ACTCCAGGTGAGTGCGATGTCGCGCGAATCGTCAGCTTACAAGACGCAAAGCAGAGCGAGCAGTGCAGCGCGACGACGTGATGGAGCAAGGTGAGGTCCACGTGAGATTAGACAGATTGAGGTTGAGAAGGAGGACAGGTATGGACGTGTAGTTGCACGCGAACAATGAACGTTTTGAGTTGATCTGCAAGCGTGTCCCCTTGAGCGTTCGCACAAATAATATCGAACAAAGTGCAACTCACAACACTAGCCCAAGCAAGCGACGGCGTATCGTTCGTTTTCATCCAGCCGTTTGTCTTTGTGAAAGAGTTCGTGATCCTCACGTCCGGGGTGAACCCTTTAACCTCCGGCTACGCACCGTTTTGTGAAATTGGCTACCCCGGACGCGAGGTATATCCAGTGCCTGACGGCGCAGACGTTGGCGGAGGTGTAGAGCCAGTCAGAACCGGGGCAGATGCGGCGGCCACGGCCATCTGAAGTTGAGCGGAAGATGCGCACGGGTCGCCACTTCGACTGTCGTTGTCCCCGTCAGCCAGCTGGTCCATATTCAAGGACTGCAGCTGCGTTCAAGCATCAGTGGTGGCAGCACGGCGACACAAGCTAGGCGTCCGACGTGCCTTACGCATACAGCAATCACGTGGCCTGAACAGCGATATGCACGCCCTGATGCCCATACTCCTCGAGGACGCGGAGCTTCTCATCGAAGACGTAGGCCCATTTACGCACCATACTGTGCTCCACGGGCTGCGTGACTTGCAGGTCATTCCGGTTTTCTGTTGCCTCGTCGTCGATCATCATATCTGACGACCGCCGTGCGAACTCGCTCCTGCGCCCGCAGGATCGGGCGATCGACAATCGACGGGAATTCTACGCGCAATTGCTTCAGCTGAGGTCTACCGCCGTGAAAAGATGGACGCACTGTGTTTGGAACCCGCATCACCGATTTTTGACGAGATGCGACCGATGACGGCCTCCCTATGAAGAATCGCCGCACGATTGACGAGGATGAGTGTTCGCAAGGTTTCCTGGCGGTAGATGATCGGGTGGAAGGAACTGTCGTTCGTCGCCTGCGGCAAGGCGCCCTCAAACGCGACTTGTCGTAGAACATCGTCTTCAGCTGTGCTGATGAGGGCGATGCTGACGCGGTGAATAGGAAACGTAGACGACGGTGTAGAGACCTTTTCAATCAAATTCAGTGATCTGGAGTGCTTGCATCGGTGGCACCCCCGACGGCGATACCGACGTTGGCACGGGAGGAGGGGCGTGAGCACTATCACTGGTCTCGGAGGAGAGGCCTTGCGCAACTGTCGGCGTCGAGGATCATCCCGTCGAACGGAACGTCTTCGCCAACAGCGTCCTTGAGCACTTTGGCCGGGGATGTGGTCGTTGAGACAGAGACAACGATCAGTTTCCTTCGCGGAGAGCGAGCTGGTCGCCGATAACCACCTTGACCTTGAAGTCGAGGGCGTGCCATGGGGTCGCCGAGTGCTTGCTTGGCGTCCGAACAGGGATGGTTGGTTCATCTAGGCGAGACTCTTGCGAATCGTAGTCGTGACCGGGCAAGCGACGCGGTGTAGAATGAAGAACATGTTGGACCAGTTATCCGTGGAGAGCACCGCACCCTCGGTCTCGCCCCGTTTGCAAGCTAACCCCTACGCACATTCTCAGTTAGTTACCGTTGAGAGCGAACTTGTATAGGATTACACGTACAGATCGCAGCGATAATCACCAATCTTCCTGCTCTGGTGAAGAGGTCCACCCGTGAGCACAGCATGATCGAATCGAGACGTCGACGGCGGCAGTCGGCGGGGACGATGTATCAGAATCTGCGAGCAGGAGGATGATACTGACGACATACTCCCGATCCAGGGGTTGTTGCTCGCCATTCGACAGAAGGATAGCGATAAAGCGCCGCACCTAGGAAAGCGTGTTCCATGTGAATGACAAGGGCCTAACACCACATGACGCTGGAAAGTGAGATGGAGAGAATAGCAACGAACTAACAATTACGTTCCTCTGACACAGGCATGCTCCCGCCGAGCAACTCGGGGCGACGATCGGCACTCCTTGCCAGTCAGACCGTTTCGATCCAACCGGAGGGGCGTGAAGGACATGCCCGACGACGATGGCCTCGCGGTCGACCTTTTCTGAATCGCGAAAACCCTCCGCACCCGATGAAACGAGTGATCTTTCCGCCTAGGATACTATGTCGGTGTGTTAGCTCAATATGAACCTGAACAAATAGCTTGCCAGATCGGTGTACCCACACGTAGCCGTTCGTCCTCGCGTCCAATGCTTTTTCCGCCTCCGCAACGTAACATACCCAGATTGAGTGACCATCTCGTTATGACCTGTAAACAACTCATACGGCGGCAGCGCGACCTGCCTCCACACCTCCATAAACACCCTCTCTTCCCCTTTCTCCCGTTCTCTCGCCGGCGCTGCCCCCTTGTCATCCGCCTCATCCTCTAACGACACACACTTCTTCTTGCCCGAATCCGCGTACCCGTTCGCGGATGCTCTAGGGCGGAGCATAGCGACAGCGCGGAGGACGTACGGGAGACCGATGATCACCGCTCTCAAGGAACGCATTCAGGGCTTCATTCGTGACCGTGATCGCGAACATCGGGTCATGCAGGCACGCCGGCGCGACGTTGTTCGGCGCTTTCGTTCTGTATATCTCCCAGAAGCTCGGTGCCTTGCCCACCGCCCTGCTTGCACCCGCACCAGCACTCGCGGAGGCAGGCGTGACCTTGGCGATCGCGCGCGAGGCAGAGCAGAGTAGAGTATGGACGTCAGGTTGAGGTGCGCCGCGAGATCCTTCTCGATGGTGCGCTGGATGAACGCCATCGTCTCCTCGTCGAAGGGCGCGTACATGAACGCGGAGATAGCGGGACCGAGGCAGTCGGCGATGCCTGCGAGCGTGAACGACTTGAGTGAGCGACGCGTCGTGGCTCGACTGATGCCCGTACTTCGTGAACGAGAGGACATACCAGTGGTAGATACTGAGGAAGCGCGGGACGAGGACGGGGACGACGATGATTGGCATGGAGGACTGCGAGGCGGGTCAGAGGAGCGCAGTTCAGGGAGGGGATAAACATACGATCAAGTGGGTTCCAGGCCCAGCATAGAGCATTGTACAGGCAGCCCAGCGAGCATCCGGAAGTCCTTCTTCTGCCACGAGATAGGCACGTACTTCGCGCGCCGTGGTTCTCAAAGCGAAACGAACCACGCGTCCGTCACCGCACGGAGTGTGCTTTGTGGTCTCCACCAAGACTCGACAAAGGCTCTTGACCATAGCAGGAGGACGGACGAGTAGACCGCTGAGTAGGCCTCGTGAAAGAAGTTATAGTACGCGCCGGAGACGGAGATGAACATGGAGGATCCCGTGTAGTATGAGAGGTGCCACGGAGTATCATGACCGACCATGACCGACTCGATGCGGTCTCAGCTGCTCGAGCCCGGCGCCGCGCCCAGGCCACCGTCCTTATGGTTGATGTTACATATGCGTGATCAGAATGAGTCGTAGAGTCGACAGAAGGCAATAATACAGAGGTGAGATCAAGCACGGCGGCAAGATTCGCAGTATGGAGGCCGCAGGTCTGTTCCGGGGCTGTCAGTGCGTCCATCATACTAACACGATATCCACTCACCGGTCACGCTGTGTCAGCCGTGCTAATGTACTTTGTGGACATAGTATGAGAACTAGCAGCTGCCAGTCGTTTTCTCCCCGCTCCTGACAGCACGCAAGCCGCCCGTCTTGAGGACATGTAGGAGCTTTGTCTATTAGCGCTCTGCCTGCCTTGCATTCTCGCGCGCGGCGGCATCGCGTCTAGATGGCACTCTTGCTGGAGAGGAGCGAAAGGCGAAGATGAGGTCAACTCGGGGTGGTATGGCGACAGAGATTGGTGCTCAGCCCCGAGCAGAGAGAAGGGGTGTGCTGGTCGTCCAAGAGGATCAGAAAGAGTGTGTTAGGTCGGTATCCTTGACCAGCTCGGTAGAACCAGCCTCCTGTGCAGGTAGGGGACAGAATAAGAAAGAGCAGCCTGTGGTCGGGAGGGCGAACAAGTCAGGAAAACTGTATCCTCGCGCTCCACCACAGCAATCGGCAATTCCTTGGCTGACTGTGCGGTTCGATTACTTGAGACCTTCACGGCGATTACAGCTTCCGTCCGTCTCCCAATATGCTTCGACGGCTCCTTGAATCACCGCTACGGTGGTACCCCCTCCAGTCGTCGCGTTCTCCTTTGACCGTCTGACAAATCTCATTCGTTAACCATCCATCTACGAGTCATGTTGGCCGCTTACCTTCGCGCGGTAATGGCCACCCGCGTCCTATGGAGCCCACACTCACGACCTTTGTCCCTTCACCTTGAGATCGCCCATCACGACGGACTGAGGCACATAGAGCCTTATAGAGCTGTCCACTATATATGGTAGATCAGTTAGAGTGACGGAAGCATCTGTCGAATGTCTCACCAGTAGCAACGTACGAGGCCGATGTCGACGGGGATGATCTACTAGTATCGGCGCCGCGGGGGAGGCGCGAGCGCGACTCGCAATGCGCGAAATTAGCTGGATTACCCGAAATGGCAACTGCAGGCGATGTACAGTTCACGACTTTGCCTGCCAGTCCGGGCCCCATACAGTGAGTAGGTGCGTCGACGAACAAGAAGGCCGCCATTCCCTAAGTTTGCGCTTTCAAACGTTCTGACATCCATAATCCCGCACGCCCGCACATCACCTCCGTCGTGGACCTCGCCCATACACTTTCGCCCGCCCACCCAACGCCCACGGCCCGTACGCTCATGCGCTCGCCGATCCAACGAGGTGTGAATATCTTCATGATAGCATTTTATGTTCGTTGCGATTTACAACGGCTCGCATGACTCCAATTTCGAGATGTGGTGTCATCATAATATTACCTCTGCCAGTGCTCGCAACTCATATGCACATTCAGTGATCGGATAGAGAACAGTTACAAGAGATGGACTTGAAGATCCGTACAGGCAAGGACATATATGCTACGACGATTTCAAAGGAAATAGCCCGCCACAACCCATAACAGGTAGCCAGTCGTGGAACACAGAAGGAGCACGACGCAGGCATTGCAGAACGTGCGCCAGAAGGGCTTGTTGCTCTGTGGGCGAGCATCCTTGTCGTTCTCGCTGAAGCAGCGCCCCGCGAGCGACCAAAAACTCGCGGCAGTGGGCATCTTCGCTTTGTGCAGCACGCCTGCTGCATTATTAACCCAGCATATGGTCAACTCCGGCTGGAGAATTTCTCAGCTCTGTGTTCAAATAGATAGCGATGTTCGTACCTCGTTCAGTGAAACCTTCACGGTGTGCGAAAGAGCTATGACCAGCTGGTCGTACACAGTGTGGCGTGTCACCCCGAAAAAGACATCTGTGGCAGCTGTCATTTCACCAGATCGGGGGAGGCAGAAGGGAGCGTCAAACTCACAATGATTATCAGTGAGTGGGATGAAGAAGAGCAACCCGGGCGTCGCGGCACCGCTACGAAGGTGCAGAGCGGTTTCATGGGTGAGGATCTCTTCGTAATCGCTGACATAGTACACCTTTGCCCCACTGTCGGCCAAACTTCAGCGATTGATTCATGAGGGAATAGCCCAAGACTTACTTGGTTGCAGATGACGTTCGCGGGAGGCCTAAAACAGCACGAACATGCGATAGCACAGTGGCGAGGGGGAAGAACAAAGCCATGGTGGTCGTCTGTTCCAAGGTCGGTTAGCTACGGCTTCGCCTTATATACTGCATGTGGCGCTAACATGCATCTGTGCATGTGGCGCCCACATGCATTGTCCTTCGAGCAGCGGCTCAAGAGCCCAAGACAAAACCTACTTCTGCCGAGGGCACCGTTATGGCTCAGAGTAAGCAGAAGGGCGCACCATCAACTACTAACGGATGCCAGAACGCCGACCTACCATACCGCGTGCATGAGGACAGGCAGGCTTGAACATTGCTGGTGTCCCCAAGATGTCACTAGTGAGTCCACGAGCACAGAAGTACGCGAAGGAAGAGCACTTGAATGCGATAGTCACTAACAGCAGCGAGGGATGGCACGAAGGCTGCCATGCTCTCTTCGGCACCTTCAAGCCCTTGCCCTGGTGCCGCGTCGATCATATTCGGTCGATCGATGAACGCCTCCATGGCGTCTGAGTCATCGCCCGGATGGACAATGTTGACTTCGAGACCAGGACAGCCAGACGACGGGCTGGGACCGAAGCCAGGTGTAATCAGAGCCTAGTCATCGCTCTCCGATGAGTTGACAGTGCTGAGGGAGGTTGAACCACGGGGCATCGACGGTAAAAACGGATCGCCGCCATGCAAGCGGAACCCGCCGTAGTCCTCGTCACTGGAGTAGCGATCGATTCCAGAATCGCGTGGCCTGAACTCCTTCTGCAGCGGGGAAGCAGGCGCCTTGCGCTTCTGTCTCTTCGTGGGGCTGGGCATCGCAGAAGCGATGCTGAAGCTGAATGATGTATCGGGGGCCCGTTAAAGAAGGAAGGCGTGCTCACCCTCCGACGAGCCGTCTTTCTTGCGGGAGTTGGAAGACGAGACGGTGACGAGGCTACGCGCTCATGCCACATACACGCAGAAGGCATCCCAGTTGAGCCGCCGTAGCTGTGGGTTGCACGCCTGTGAACACTCCGTCGCTGGGGGGTTTCTTTCATAACGGCGATGTTCATACTGGGGCGGGGACTTGTGACAGCGCCTGTCTTCGACGATTTCTTTCCACGCCTGGGATCGGACTCAAGACCCGCTCGTAGAGCTGGTAGACGCGCGCCGAAGACGAGGAACAGTACCGGAGCTCGCGCTGTGTGGCCCGCTAACGGGTGGAACAGCTGGCGCCTGTGGGCTACATCATTAATCGCAGTGGCCTGAGCTGAAGAAAGCACATAACTAATTTTCAAAACCTACGACAACTGCGCCCTGCGCCGACTCTAGCAGTTCAACCGGGCGGGAATGCGCACGTCGCTTCGTGACGTGCCCGCCCGGTGAAACGGCCTCTGCGACCTCTTCATTGCTCATCTGCCCCGTCTTCGTGAACATTTCGAGCGCAGGCGACTTGACCTTGACCTTGCTTTTAGCACAATGGAGCGGCGTCCGGGACACAGAACCGCCCTCGAAAAGCGCCCGCTCATTGTCGTCTGCGCACGCACATCAGGAGTCAGAACCCGAGCCATACCCGCTCTCATGGTTTGAATGAAATCGCAGCATTGTCATCGACTCTGCTTGTCATTTGAGGTGCAAGTCCGTCTCAGTGTTTGACTGTGGCGTGCGGAGGTCGAAGCGGGCAGCAGGCAGAGGCGCCAAAAGCGTCGAGGATCCGCCTTCAGGCTGTTCTTTGGCTGACGCAACCTGTAACGGGGTGCTGGCTCTGGGGCGCATCGGCGTAGCATACTGATTGGGGGTGGGCTTGCGCCTCGCGACCAGGAGAGACGGAGGACAGGGCGTTGACGTGCTTGGCCGAGCATCTGCTTGGTGTCCAAGCAGAGAGGGTCGAAGATGGGGAGGCGACCAATGAGATCGAATGCGTTGCCCTCAGCCTCAAAATCATGGCCCTCGACCTCCTTGTAGGAGAAGGCGAACGCACACAAACTACCGGCGGCAATCTCCTCATCGTCACCTGCACCTCGGCCTTCTTGCGCGGGCAAACCTCGACGATTGTGCCGTTCATGCCCTTGGTACCAAACTTAAGATAGCTGGTCGATTCCTCGCGGTAGGTGATCTCGGCCCGCGTGTCAACGGGGTTTGAGCGGCTTGAGATCGAGGAGCTTGGTAGCGCGCGAGAGGTGTCGCTGAGAGCGCCCACATCGCCAGGGTCGATGCCTCTCGAAACGGAAGGTACGGGTCTTCTGTGATGTCGCTGAGACCGCGACGGTGTTTACGGCGGGAACAGTTAGAAAGTGTCGGTGATGGCGAGACTCTTGCAAGTCGTAGTCGTGACCGGACGAGCGACGCGGTGTAGAATGAAGAGCACGTTGGGACCAGTTATCCGTGGAGAGCACCGCACCCTCGGTCTCGCCCCGTTTGCAAGCTAACCCCTACGCACACTCTCAGTTAGTTACCGTTGAGAGCGAACTTGTATAGGATTACACGTACAGCACGCAGCGACAATCACTAATCTTCCTGCTCTGGTGAAGAGGTTCGCCCGTGAGGGCAGCATGATCGAATCGAGACGTCGACGGCGGCAGTCGGCGGGGACGATGTATCAGAGTCTGCGAGCAGGAGGATGATACTGACGACATACTCCCGATCCAGGGGTTGTTGCTCGCCATTCGACAGAAGGATAGCGACAAGCGCTGCACCCTCTATGACTAGGAAAGCTTGTTCCACATGAATGACAAGGATCTAACGCCATATGAGACTTGCGGATGCAAAGGCAAGGGATACGATGAACCTACAGATACGTACGTTATGTTCAGACTTGCTCAAGGCGACGGCGGGCCTCCTAGTCAGACAGCTTGAAGGCGTCCTGGGCGACGATGGTCTCGAGGTCGACCTTTATCCTTGTCGTAGATTCTCTGCACGCGATTGTATGTGCAGTGGCGTGTATACGATTTCGCGTCCTTGACCGGTTCGGTCGATCTACTCCCTGGGCCACTGTGCGATTCGTCTACTCGAGACCTTCCCAGTGCGCCACAGTCATAAGCCACTTCGTTCCGCACGACCCGGCGGTCGTCCACTCACGCACTTTGTTCATCTCCTCGAGCCTGAGATCACCCAACTCGCCCCCTCAAGCCTGGCGGACGCGCGCCGGCACAGTTCGTCAATGTGTCCTCAGAGCTCACACTCACATCAGAATCGGAGAAGGACAAATTTGAACATCTCACCAGTAGTAGCCTTCGAGGTAAGACAATAATAACTCAAAGACGAACATTCAACAGAGCCGAGAGTCAACGAACATAAGCACTGGCGCCGGGCCCGGGGGCATGGCCTCGCAAGGGAATACTTACCCAATATGGCAAGAGTAGTCCCAGGCACGTACCTACATCGCAGACGGTTGGGAGTCGTCAAGCCTACTGCACAACCCCCGGTACGTGGGTTGTTGTGTAATATATGTTCGTAATCGATAGAAGAGATTATTTGAAGAGGAGGAGGTCTGCGCAGACATCGACATACATGCTACAAACTTGAATCGACGGCGGCGATCCAGAGCTAATAGCCAGTCATGAACACTTTGAACGCGAACACACAGCCTGTCACCCAACAGAGAAGAAGCACGATACAGGCATGCCAGAAGGCATGCCTTGAAGGCTCAACCGTGGAAGGCTCAACCGTGGAAGGCTCAACTGGGGTGCTGAAGCAGAGCCCTACGAGCGACTGAAACTCCTTGGTATTGCCGAACCTCACTTTGTGTAGCATGCCTGTTCTTTCGTCGGCCCAGCAAATGATCGAATAAGGCTGGATAGTATCTCTTTAGTTACGAATTCAGGTGGAGAGCCGCGTTCCTACCTCTATAGTCACAACCTTCGCGACGCGCGGAAGAGTTATGGCGTTCGGCTGATCGTGCGCTGCGCTGCCTGTTGACACGAGGAAAACATCTGCGGTAATTGTAAATTCACGAGAGTGGCGAAGGTAGAGATGGCTAGACTCACACTCATCACCAGGAAGAAGTTTGACGATCAGAAACCCCGGGATAAGGACGCCGCCATCAGGACGAACAGTGGCTTCGTGAATGGGCATTACCCGGTAATCACTGATACAGTAAACCATTGCCCCACTTTTGAGCAAACTTTAGCTGCTGACCCATGAGTGAAGGGCCCAAAACTTACCTCATTGAAGTAGGCATTTGCGGGAGACCTGTTATGATGGTCGTCTGTTCCAAGATCAGTTAGCCACGGCTTCGCTTTATATGTAGCATGTGGCACCCACATGCATCCGTGCATGTGGCGTCCACATGGATGGTCCGTCTCAAGAGCCCAAGACAGAGCCGGCTTCCACCTAGGGCACCGGTGTGGCTTGGAGTGAGTAGAAAGGCGCAACATCGAAGCCCAATGCATGATGGAACGTCGACATGGCTGTCAATACGGCGTGTGTGCGAACACGGGCAGACAGGCTTGAATATCGCTGGCGTCCCCGAGACTGTTGCATCTTGCACAGTGCAAGCCAGAATACCGTGACCCTGACATGCGCAGCGAACAGACCGAGACGGAAGGAAGGGAGAGCCTAGCACGGTAGTTAGTACGTCTACATAGGGGCCTCAGCGACGCTGGATGGAACAAAATAATTACCATAGCCCGATATTCATCACCCGAGATCTACCTCTAACGTAGAGTGTAATACGTTCCTCCTGGATCGGAAAGCAAGCTACACGCCGTCTGACGTCTCGCGGTGTCAGAGGGTGTCAGTTCGGAAGCTTAGATCACAAAGGATAGTCATAACACTATAGCACCTTATGCATAACCATCACGCAGGCGCGATTCCGACCGCCAAGCTCCTGTAAACCTATTACTGAGTTGTGAGTAAGCTACGGGCGGCCTGCCCATGTCGGTGAATACGCACCGGTAGCCAGCCAACTCGCGGGGCAAACGTCAGTAGTGAGTGCAAGAGCAGAGCCGTAGTACGTGAGGGAGGAGCGCTTGAACGCATCCTCACTAACGACAGCGAGGGATGCCACGAGACCCATAATGCTCCCTTCCAACTCCCTTGGACACCTTCAAGTCCTTAGCCCCGTTTCGTCCTACTCCTTCTAGCATCTCCTCGTTCTCCGCGGCGCGTTGAGCGTTTACACATGTACAGCTACGTCGTACTCCCGCTGCACCGCGTCGATCGCCATTCACTGCCGCTTTACCGCAGTCTTGGGGGTCGTAGTCCGCGATAAGATTCGTGCAGCGCTTCGCTGTCGACCCGCTAAACCGTCGTTCAGAATGCAGCGGCGTTAGACCCGCAGTCTATCAGAATGATATCTCGGACATTCGAGGTTACAGCACGGTCTCGGATTGTGGCACTTCCTCAACCGAGCGAATCCCAAAATATTTGAACCAGAATTTCCCTGTGGACAGATCAGCGAGACTTTCGCCGTAACTAGTAGCCCCTCACGGGACTTACCGTATGCCCCATACAGTACTTGTCCCCCAGTAGGCTAGGCTACTAGTTAACAGATTGACTGTGGAACGCGTCCGTACTGTACGTTGACGATCAGCCCGATGAGTCCCTGAGCATTTCGAGTTTTGTGGTCCGCGTCGCTGGCAAGACAACTCTCGCACCCTTGCTCAGCGCTCAGCGCTCAGCGATCGCCCTTGAAAGCTTGACGTGGGAGCTCCTCGGTGGATCCACTGCAATTAGCCTGAGGGAGGTCGCACGACATCAGGAAGCGCTGAACGGTCAACGCAGAAGATACTCAGGCTTACAGACGGCTGTTATGCTCTGACGCGTGTTAACGATGATGGTGAAGCGGCGCTGGCTGCTGCCGTTCGTCTCGGGGCACTTGGTATCTTGCGACCGCAACGAGCGTCGCGTCGACGTACGGAACGTCTTCGGCGATTCACAATCCTTGACTCCTCTCTCCGAGTCCTTTGCTGTCTTCCTCCTACGGCGATCCCGTCCCTTCTCCTTGCTGCGTCCAATATTATAAGCGGCTCGTCGCTCAGATGCCGTTGAGGATTGTGGTGAACGTAGGCACCTGATCATGTGTCGCACATGCACCAAATTCCAGGTAAGTTACCAGTGTGCCGCGGGTTGTCGTCCTCCAGTTACCAGTGTGCCGCGGGTTGTCGTCCTCCACACTCACATGGGAGCGGTTTTTGGTTTCAGCGATCAGAACCAGCTTTACGAAGTGAGAACATGAACTTGGTAAACGATTCCTCCTTACCTTTCCCCGCATCTGCAGCTCCGTCGAGCCTTCGTCGAGCGGAATGACTATTACTGTACAGGAAAATACTTAAATCACGTCGATGATGAGACTGCGGTCACGTTATCCAGAAGCGCCTTCAAGGTTGCTAGTGCCAGTGAGGTATAAGTCTACTAGCGCATACGTATGTATTGAGCCCGACGTGCGATGCGACCGATAGAGCACTGCACAGTGTTATCGGTGCCGTCTTCATCGTCTCCCACTTCCACGTCCTTTTGACCTGAGCGTATAATCCAAGACATGAACCACCCTATTTGCGAATTATGTGAAGCTCGCTTGTACCATTTGCACCCACTCTCTCCGAACGTGAAGATAAACACTCGGTGTGGTTCGTCAACCTGTAAAGACTGTTGTAGATGACTCACAGGCCAAAATGAATCTTAGGGCACCTTTTTTGTGGAGATTGTATCGATCGCTATGTGTCAGAACATCCCGGGCTAGGATGTCCAAACTGCGGCGCCGCCATACTCGTTTTAAACCTCGCTAGACCCGCATCGGTCAATAGGGCAATTGAGCCAGCTGAAACCCATCTCAAAGATGTCTACGTTCCAACCAGTGCGGATGCATCGGATACGGATTGGCCTCGCCAAGCGCTGCGAGTATACTTTAGCTCTGGACGAGTCGTGATTTGCTAATTCTCACTGGGGTTCAGGGCGAATCCACACTCCGTGTACCTAGACCGCCGTCTGAGCTTGGCGCAGGATGCTCTGGACTTTGCCAAACAAGAGCACGACATGTTTCAAAGTGAGAACACGGCCAACGCATCTACCACATCCCATCTGCTAGGGCAGCTGGAGGCTACGAGAAAGGACCAGGCAGATTACGAGAAGATCTGTGGAGACCTCAGGGACCAGTTGATGGCATTGTCTTTGAAGCGTCAGGAACTGGAGGCACAGGTAGAGATGCGGACGAAAGAGGTGAGCATCTTTATGACTCCAACCAGGAACATCGTCAGCTGAGTTCTTTACCGCATATAGATACTTCATGGATCATGATTAGCACTCGAGCCCTGACTGTACCGCCACTGTATCGGCAAATGTATGAACTAGGATATGTTGGAATGGATATTCGTCGCGGCTGTTCCTAATCCGGTGAAATGGGTGCACTTACCCTCTACTGGTATGCCCGTCGTCCGCCGTGTAGTAGAATATTCGGCCTACCTTGCTGGACGCATTACGATGCATAGATCACATCAGGCAAGAAATTTGTAAGGCTCACGTTGCATGAACTAGTCGGGACAGAGAGAACGCGACACGGTGTGGCGCACAGTCAACGCTCCGGTCAGATCATGATATTCGATGCGCAATACAGGGAGGCAGGATGCGATACAAGTACATTTACAAAACAGCATTCGGGAGGCAAAAAAAACTACGCGGTCGACGTCGCTGCCTCTAAGACACTGATGAACGCGGTGTCTTCTATGTGTTGCAGTTGATCTTGAAGAGTCTCAGCTTCCTCCCGAGCAGACCTCAGTTCAGGGCTGCAATCCGTGTCCATACGCGCCGCACGAATGCACGCCACCACCGCCCAGAAATCTTGAGATTGTCTGAACGTGACGGAGAAGACCCTGTCGCCTTGTTCCCAACAAATGGCCATAGTTTTCTAGAGGTAACGTATTGCAATTGAGCGACGCAGCAGCACGTACGGTCGCGAGCCTACCTCGTAAATCCCAAAGGCAACATGTGCCGTGATTATCAGCGTGTGGTACTCGTCGTCCGCGCCTGGCTCCGAGTCTTGGGACTTCACCATCAGAACGACTGACCTATCGCGTCAACATGTAAAAACACCCAAACGTGCAACGCCACTCACAGTAACCGCTAGGAAGACGGGCGAAGACGACAGCGGCGTTCCTGGCGAAGTCGAGTGGCTCATCGTCTACACGTACACGGGTCTTTAGCACCGTACCAACCGTCGTGCGGTGTATATACAGCATGATCAAGAACCGCCTGTTAAACTCACCAATCAGTTACTCTCCGGCCCTCAAGCTCGGAAAACGTACCTTCGTTCTGGGCTCAAGTCGCTCGGCTCGACCACCAACCACCTCGTCCAAGGGGCCTGCGACACCTTGGGGGTGCTCTGGCGAATCGCTTCGTCGGTGGGCGATGAAAGGTGCATCTTGAAGCGGCGTCGGAGCGGCCCCTGGCAGGCGCAGAATGCTGGTATTTATATCAACGCGCCGAGCCCCAGACTGTCCCAATTTGACCTACAATAGCGGTGAGGCTCACTGTGAGCCAAGTCGAGATGACATTGTCATGCAACACACGATCCCTGAGCCGCCTCTCGTGCCCACGCACCGAGAATGGCCTTGGAGCATCGAGCGGCGCGCTGGGGGATCAAAGGTTTGACGGCTTATCTGGTGATACTGCCAAGATGGATTGTCAACGTGCGCGTTGAACCTCTCCAGACTCGAATCAGGAAAAAACTACCTTTCTCTTGAGTGCTCCAGAGGCTCGAGAGCACTCGGAGCACGAGAGGAAGGTCCCCCCCTCTCAGAGTCCCGAGAGTGTCTGTGCGTGGCTCCAGAGCACTACGGAGCCTTCGGGAACACAGTGGCAATGCTCTCAAGATCTCTACCGAACTCAATATTCATCGTTAACAGCGGCTTTTCGCAAACCAGGTCATAGCTGTCACGAAAATCCATCTAGCATTCCGATGTAGTACACCAGCATTCACATCCAAGCTACATACATAGGGTACTACTACATATGATTCGTCAATCATCCGCCTCGGCCTCGCTGTCAGTCAAACCTGTATGTCCTTCGAGTTCTCTCTTGGGATCCTCGATCCTCGCTGTTGACACTTTCCCGTGTCTGGGTGCGTCATCTTCATCCCGGATCTTCGCGTAGTTCCTAGAGCAAAACCAATGTCTTAGCACTCAGTACGAAAATAGGATATTACCCATCTCGCACCTGCCACACTTGTACAGAACAACGCGGATGTTCTGCATCTGTTCGGAAGACGCCTTGACCCATCCTTCGACGTCATCGGCGCATTCGCTTCCTCACGGAAGTTCGCTCTTCCTGTGTGTCACTGGCAGACGAGGCTTGAGACTTGGTGACGAGCGAGGACGGACGAGGGCGAGTGGACGGTGATAGTGTTGACGGGGAGCACAATGATGGGGTAAAACTTGTGCTGAGGCGCACCGAGGAACTCGCGGGAGGCCTCCAAGCACGCGAAGACGAAAGAGAACAAGCCAGATCCAGCGTCTTGCTTTCCGCCCTCCTCGGAAACGAAGGAGTCGACGGGGGCCGTAGGGCACGGCACCGCAGAGCGGAGCTCAGGAGAGGCCGAAGAAGGCGAGGGGCCGTAGACGATGGTGGGCTCCGAGACGGCGGTGGAAGTGGGGAGAACGAACGAGCCAGTGGCCGAGGCGACGTACTCTGCGCCGATGAAGCACCTTGCCGTCGTGGTAGTCTCGCTGACCGCGGTGGCTGACGAAGTGATCAACGACTCGGGCTCCGATGTGTGGGACTCCATGGGCGAGGCCGTAGAGGACGCAGTACCGACAGTGGAGCTCGAGGAGGCTGACGGAAGGACACGGAAGTCGATATCGAGGTAGCACCGGAGACGAGGGTCGATCGCGTTCAGGTAGGAAGCACCGTCAAGGTAGGAAGCAGAGCCCAGCGCAAGACCAAGACCAGAACCAGAGAGATCAGACGGCGTGTAGTCATCCTCGACGAACCAGTCGAGGTAACTGACGTGGTAGGGAGCGTCGCCAGGCCAGAGGGTGGAGGTCCCGTTGGAGACGTATCAGTCCAGGTATTCGCCCGCAGTGTACTCGCCTTCCCTGAAGATCGTGTGGAGTTCCGCCACCCTCGGGCACACAGCGAATCACTCGGACTGCAGAAGTGGGAGTCCCGTCCGCACGGACTGCGGTCAGCACCACGAGCTGAGTGCTCGTCACTCGACCATGGTGGCTGGGAACAGATCATCACTCCCGCTCTCGTCCTGTTGCCTATCCCTTGCTTTGTCCGCACTACTTGCGGTCGGGCTCGCCTGAGTGTCCTGGAAGTCGGCTGCAAGCAGGTGAGGCTTGAGGCAGAGGAGAGGCTGAAGGTTGGACGCAAGGGGAGAGATGGGAGCAAGTGCACGTGATGCCTCGTGCCCGAGGCGCTTAGCACTTCAATCGTCGACTCAACTTCGACACTGTGCGGTACATAGCAGCACACGCATATTGCGACGGGGGAGCGAGGGTAACACGGAGTCGGGGGAACCGGGCCCGGCCAGGGCAAGGTCAGTACAGGTGAGTGCGACGCCCGCCCACTTGCGCATGCGGACCAGGACCATCTGCCTCGCTCCCTTGTTCGCCCGCTTGCTCGTGCCCGCCTGCTCGTATGACCACCTTCCTGCCCGCTTGTGCTCCCGCCTTCCTACCCTCTTGCGTCCCCGCCTGCTCGAGTTCCCGCTCGCTCGTTTTCCGAGTCTCCCGTGAATACATCCCGTCGTTCCCGAGGCTCGCACCCGCCCATACTCACCCACTAGCAATGCTCCCACCTCGGCGTCCCCGAGCCAACCATCCAGCGTCGCTCGTCGGACGATGACTTGTCTTGTCTCCGACCGCTGCCGGCCACGATCCCGAGAGGGTACGGGAAGGCAAGGGCCGGAGCCCATTGCGGTCGAATAGCGTGCACTGCGGCTTTGCATCCTCGTTCGTAATCTGGGCTGCGAGCTGGTCAGGGACACCGAGTTGGTCAGACCGACGTACAAGCCCACCGTACACTGCCCGACGATCGACCCAGTGTGCCACCAGCAGCCACGTCTCACACTCTCGCCACGAATCCTCGCCTGCGACCCTTGGCCGCTCGCTCTCGATCAGTCTCGATGGCTGCCTGCCGCTACCTCCGCAAGCAGATGCGCCTGCGTGTGCCCGACGCGACAATTCGGCGCTCTTCTGTTGACGAGCAATGGTTGGACACACCGAGCCAGTGCAGTGGCCGGGCCATGCTTCCTTGCTCACCGGACGGCGATCCAGTGTGTCGGTCAAGAACGTGGTGCGAGGGACTCGCGCCCGAGTCCGGAACGACTTTGCGAGGGAAGGAGCGAATGAGATGACCAGCGCGCGGCCTGCAAACTCGCCTCGCATTCCGTATCACGTCGTGAACGGTGTCTGTCGCCCACCGAAAACACTATATCGGGTCGGTGACCCGTTGTTAACGCGGCAGACGAGTCAGGTCAGTACCACGCCTTTCCATTAAATGGTCGACCTCACCTCTCTCATACCATGGCGGCCGGCCCGACGCCATGATCGCGCGTTTCGAACTGGACGGAAGGTAAGCACCCGTGTCCTCAGCTCGTCATGGCGAAGGAGACCTACCGTAGTCCCCGTCTCGGCGACCACATGTACCTAGCTAAGGTACTCAAGAACGGTCCCGAGGCTTGTGGCAAGCATGCGTCGCTCGACGGGACGATTCTCGACGCCAAAGGCTTCCCCGGTGTCTTCCCTGAGCACGAGTACGATGATCGTCAAGCGTCACCAGGGTCTCGGTCACTTGATTGATATGGCTGGCGACGGTGCTCATGATGCCCCTGCCCTGTCCCGTGCTAACATCGGTATCGCCGCCGTGCTACTCACGCTACCGCCATCGTCTTGACGGAGCCCGGTCTTTCCACTATCGTGCACGCCATCCGGGGTTCGCGCCTCATTTCCCAGCGTATGCGCAACCACTCCATCAATTACTGCGCCGTCACGGTTTTGTCTCGTTGTCTGCCGCCATCCGGGCCATGTGTGATTTTCAAACTCGCGTCCGTGTAGGCTACCGCGCACGATGTACATGACAGTATTGATATAGTGCCACTTACGTGGCTTCGATGCGAGCCACTAGTTTCCATTATGACTCGCGGTGAAAATTGGCTCCGTTTATCAGCAATCATGAAAGCACGAGAAAAGGACGGAGGACGACGGATGTCGGTGGCGACCCGCCGTGACGTAGGGCCAGAGGAGGAGGAGGAGGGGATTAGTTCAACAAGTCGGTGGCGCGGGCAGAGGTCGTCGGCGCCAAGGGGAATTCACGCCGACGTACTGTAGGTCCCGTAGGCACACTCTGAACGCGGCCTCTTTGAGTAGAGAAAGACTGCGACGAAGGAATGGGACGCGTGTGCACCGGGTCGCGGCGACCGGCGGCGGGACCATCAGCGCGAGAACTGCGGGTCGCCGGCATGGATGCGAGGACGTGGCCGGGGTGCGCGATGGCATTAATGTCTGGTCGTGATGGGAGGTGACCGGTGACCGGTGAGGGCGATGGGACAGCAGTACAGTGCGCGAAGGGCAAGGACGGTGACGCCGCGGCGGGCGGACCGCTGGGCAGTGGGCCAGCGAATCGTGCTCCGGATGTCCGTCGGTGAGGCGGTGATTTTGAAGGGAGGAGCACCCACGGTACCAGTGTCGACGACCCGCTGACCGCTGTAGCTCAAAAGTCAAGTGCCTGTATAAGGTGGATCCTGTCGACGTCTGCTTCACCAATGCTCGAGCTCAATGAAGCTAGTGACGTGCGGTCGTGCTGGGATGTCATACGGACTCAGGCTGGTGCTGGAAGGACGACTGGGTAGGCGCCATCGTAATACACATGATACATGAATATAACAGCGTGCATTACTGGGCAGTATTACTCGAGCTCGAGATCAGATGCCGTAGGCAGGAAGAACCCGTCCCAATTGCTGCGAACTCCTTCGTCCCCTCCGTGCGTTGTCATTGGGTCCTCTTCTCCAAGCGCGTTGGCGACAGCACATACAATGCTCCTGAGAGCGATATCCTCGATCGGCTTTGTCTTGATCGACTGTCGACAAATCGGGCATGTGTAATGCGGGGTAGGGTAGGCCTTCAAAAGGTCGACGAGCTCTGCTTTGATGCGCTCCCGATCTGCCCTTGGTAGTTCGGCGTTGCGGAGAGCTTCGCGGTATGGCTGCAGATTCGGCAACTCTAACTGAGGGTTGCGATCCAGGTGTTGCATCAGGGCCTCGCTGAACCACTCGCGCAGGCACAATTGGCACGCCGAGTGGCCACAGGGCAAACTGCGGGGGTAAAAGACATGAAATCATGGTGACACGACAATGCGCTGGAGCACTTACACATAGGGTAGCCACATCCGTAAAGTGCACACCGTGCATGTTGTATCGCTCTGCAGTACGTCCGTCAACCTCTGGTGACAAGATCAGAGTGGGATACAAGAACGATGCGGGAAAGCGTACTCTGGCAGCCACAACAGTGCCCTCGCGTTGTCGTGCTTCTTCTTGTAACTGTTCGATGTCCTGAGACCAGCCGCTGGTCAGTGGACCTAGTTACGTGGACCTTGTTGTAACACACACCTGCTACGACAAATACAAAAGTTTTAGGTGAGATGACAGTGGAGAAGGAGTGGCAGCTGGCTGAATACCTGCGTCTTCACCCTGTGCTCGTGCCCTTCCTGAACAATGAGCTGTAAACTGTCCCGTTCCTGCGACCATTCGTCAAGTGTAGTACGGGCGAAAAGATGCAGGCTACAAAATACCTGGGTCATGGAGGACAACTGCTGTAAGAACTCATCTGAAGCCTTGTAGGCTGCCTCAAGTTCATGCTGCAACGTAGCCCTAGCCGCCGACACCGCGACGAGTGCTTCTTGCAGCGCCTCGTTTCTGTCGGCGGATATCTCGAGGTCTTGTCGTGGGTTCTTCGCCACCGGTTGATCCCGCCGTGCCTTCTCCGGAGGTGCGTTGGCCCTTGGACGCTTGCTCACACGATTTTGAGGGCGTTCAGGCGAGAGGTTGCGCGTGTTTGCTGGCCGAGAAGAAGCCTTGTGTTTTTCGCTGTGGTTGCGACGATGGGATGCGGAGGCTTCAGCTGCGGCATGCGCCCCAAGGTCATCGTCGCCTGAAGAAATGCTGATAACGTCGTCGACCGCAGAGGAGCGCTTGGCACCCGAGTTGTTGCTCGGCGCCATGATCGTCAGATGGTGGGCTGCGCGAAAAGGCAGACGAAGACGCACCTTTATTTATACCAGGCGCGAACAATGCGGAAAGTTTGCGTCGTGGTGGATGATCGAGATCAAGATCATGAGGATCAGCCGCGCAAGGATGTGGGGGCTCTTGCCAACGAGACACCTGAAGTTCATCTCTCTAGTCTCTCCGCGAAAAGCTTTGACGGCGTGTAGATGGGCTAGCGAAGCGTGTTCTGCGAGGTTACAAGGAATTAGCACACCCGACAGCACACGTCAACGATGGTCAGAGGCTGACCTCGAGTGCAGTGAGTAATGCGGGCACTGGAATATCAGCACGGCGAGGATAGGAGGAAGGCACAAAGGAAGGACATAAGTTCACTGCCATGTGGAGACAGAGAGGAAGATGATCCGCGTACACGTGGCGGAACACATTGTCCCGCAAGCCCCTCGCGCTTCCAATTGTGCCAATATGCACCGACGCCATTAGTCGGTGCTGTGAAGGCCATTGTTGTCAGGACCAACAGAGAACGTGCGCATGTATACTGGGAGGCAGACGTGTGTACAACAAATCAAAGCTCGCAAATGGCTTCGGACGGCGAAAATCATCTCATAGTACTGTTTGATTGGGAAGATATCATTACTGTTGAGACGAACGACGGTAGCGAACGCACCATGCTCCCCATTGTTCAAAAGCCCGGTCCTGGCTTCTTCGAGAACCAGTTCCTGAGTAGGGGGAAGTCGGCCATAGTCGCGTCCATCAACGCCACATATTCGCTATGGTATTTTGCGACGACGATGTCGCCGCGCCACACGTTTGGCGACCGGATTTTTTTGCCTCGAATTTCGTACATGCACTTGTTGATCGGGAACACCATGCCGTCCGACGAGACTATTGGGTAGAAGGCGAGGTAGGGTGCGGGAAAGTCAATGAGCATCCCGTCCAACTTCTTGATAGGCTATCATAGCCGTCTGTCAGCGGGTTATACGCAAAGCCTGGCTGGATGATGCTCCTACCTCGAAACGCCACGAACGAGGCCCTAGGCCGGGCGCGACATGATCGAAATACATTTCCGGGTGAGGCACATAACCGCAGCGGTATGGTTCCGATGCGTTTTGAATCGGTACGGCAAGGGGGCTCACGTAGAGACTGATGAGGCGTGGGGGCTGCTCGTCCGCGGGAAAAATCACTGCATCAAAGCGCCGCATCTGGCCGTCGTTCATGTTTACACTGGTGGTACTCGAATTCAAACAGTCGGGTCCTGGTATTCCAGATGAGCGAGTAGCAATAGCAGGGAAATGACTTTGCCCACGTACCTTTGCGGGTGCAGTTCAAGGTCAAGGTACAGCCCTGTGGTCGAGGGACAGGAGGGTTTATGTGCCCTCATTGCGACTATCGGCGTCGCGGCGTGTACGTAGACGTAAAGACGTAGGCGCCCGCTGATTGTGAGAAGCGGACTTGTCCCTTTACAGTATACAGTGTTGAGAACTGCGAGGTGTAACGCTGTATATGTAGTAAGCAATCGCGAAGGATGGGGACGATTCAGAGCGTCTTCGCACTTCTATTCCACGTTCTGTGACGAACAAGACGCAAGGGACGTTACTAGATCTATTCTACAGAGCGCATTGGGAAGCGTGCGATCCCGTCCGCAATACGCTGAGCTCTGCCCGAACGGTACAGGAGAAGCTCATCTGGGGCGAGCTCAGAAACCATTCTCCCTCCGAGTTCACGATGCTGAAACATCGTACCGCCTGTCCAGAAAACGGCCGAGCCACGGGTCGCGCCCTCCGTCATCAACGGTGTGTTGTAGTGTGTAAAAGCCGCGGATGGCAACCAGATGGGCACACCCGGGCCTACCTCCACTTCACAGCCCAATTCCGCCACGCCAATCCGGCAGTCCTCGGAAGGGTCAAACGTGCCGAAAGGGACGATGCAACAAAGGCCAGGACCCAGGTTAGTACAATCAAGGTGGCGCGAGCAAACCACGTCTCCGACGTTGAGGGCGAAAGATGCGAAGGGGTAGAACAGGCTTTCGAGAGCGGAGTCATCGCCGAGCGCAAAATCGAGCGTGCGGGAATAATATTCGTAGAGCTGTGGGAAGACCCGGCGGAAGACATCTATACCAGTGAGAGTCAGGATGTGGGCCTAATCATGAGTGGACACAATGCAACTATATGCTTACCAGCGACCAGTCGGACCACAGGCACCAGCTGTCGACCAAGTTCATGCGCGGCACCCACATGGTCGCAGAAGTATTTTGACATCCTAGGTCTCTGGCCAGATCAGGTATGAGCCCCTGATGTCAAAACGGCCAGGCCATGGACGTACAAGTTGGTTGTCCTTGTGGAGAGTAAAATAATATTGTGCGAAGGTGCCGCGCTTGGAAGTGATGTACGTAGGCTTAGTACCGGCCTGCTTGAGAAATGCGGCGGCTGCCATCAGGAGTCCGTTGGCATCTCGAGTCGCAGCCCCTTGCCATGCTCGGTACACCACCAAGCGTCCGCTACGGTCGACCACTTCGGCCGCCCTGCTGATTCCGGTTCGCGCTCGCTCAACCTCATGCAAGGATATCGCGCAGAGAAACATACCCGGCCTCATGGCGTATAATCAACGGCGCTTCACCTAGCGCCGCGTCCCCTGTGGCCGCGTGTTGTACATGGCGATGGCCGGTAAACCCGCCGGAGAGCGGCATGTCGGAAAGCCCGTTTTCTGTCACAGCGGCGCGCAAGGCTTGCGATTCTTTGGCCTGGATTCGCCGCGCCGCGCGGGACGCATTGCGTGGGCCTTGACGTCGCGCTTTGCGGGCATGCTTCTTTTCGGAGCGTGTTGGGCCAACCATGGAATCGGCGGCCCTAGGGCGCAAGCGTTTCGCAGCGAAGTCACGCCGACGGTACAGAGGACTCACGTATCACTGTCCAAGCCGTAGCCAATGCCTTCAAAGCCTCCACCTAACCCGGTGCCATCAGACAAAGCTCTCTCTGGGCTGTGATCCATCGCTCCCTCATCCACGGCCTCCTCGTTCCAGAAACATGCGAGCCTGTCCTTGAACAACGCCGGTCCTCGCACGACGATGGGGGTCTTGGTCGAAACGCAGCCATCAGCACGAGCAACGTCGAGGAGCAAACGCTCACCATCATGGGCCAGCAGCGCAGCGTGACCTCTCACCTGCAGACGTAGAAAAGGCGTCAGAGCGGGTCCGTACGCGTTAGGAGAGCCAGAGACCGCTGGTAAGGGCGTGTGGGGCACGGGATATTGGTCTCCACTCGACCGTGCACCTCACGCCCTCGACAGAAGGCGCTGGCTAACCATGGGCTGAAGGCGGCTCCTTACCCTACCAAGACGGGTCTTGCCTGAGAGTGCTCGAAAGGACGGGGCGCTGAAGTGCTGCCCTGCTACACATATATATATACTGCGGCGCACGACGCGTCGCCGCGGCGACTCGCGGCGTTCAACAGCATCACGTGTCTAGCGTCTTGCACGTGACCGCGAAGCTGACGCGCCCCGAGGGAGTGACGCGTGACGAGCCGTGGTCGGAGTTGCCGTTAGTGGCGGCTTAGCCTGGGCCCAAGGTCTGGCCCAGGCTCACAGGCTCTCAAAAGACCTCTAAATTTCGTACGACTCATCGACGGGGTGCACAAGTGCAAGTCTTGTTGCGGGGTGGCCCACTGCGTCACACAAAATCGCTGTGTACGATCTATATATTGAGGTCATAGGTCACTTAAGCCGAGTCCCGCTTTCCTCGTAAGCACTGATCTACAACGTGATGTTCACGCCAGGGGCGTGCAGTACTACAGCGCCGCTCAGGTCAACGGGGCATCGACAAACTGCCCTAGCCGCTTCTGGCGACCAAGGTATGTACGAAACGTAATCCTCGTCACCCAACGCGGATCGCCGTTATCGAGCAGGCGCAGAACATAACCCTCGATGGTCGGATGCGGGTGTCGTTCGGCCACAGGTAACCAGACTCCTGAAACATCGCGCAGCCAGACTTGCACCTTTTCGTCCGTCTTATTCACATACAAATCGCCAGCGTTTGCGAGGGTAGGAGCCATGGGGACGGCGGTGAGCGGAGGACCTATAGAAGCGAACCAGACGATCTTCTCGGGGCGTGATCTAATCGCGTGCTCCTGTCGGTGTGGTCCGCTACGGCGCATTCAGCCATAAAGACAACCATACTGTATGGGCAACGTACATTAGGGCATCGTTGGATGCTGCCGCTCTGTTGGGCGGGGCCGCCATGGCCGGCGGCGGCGGCGGGGGGCAGCAGGTACAGGGACATAGTGCAAGGGCGGCAGCATGGGACGACGCTGTGGGCGATTCCGTGTGAAGTCGATTTGCACGCCGCGCGTGGTCGAGGACTGAGCCGGCGGATCGGCCGGCATTCTCCTGGGTGCAGACAGGCTGAGCCCCTGGAGCTTAGAATAAAGCGAAGCTACATTGGGCTGAGAGGCATGAGCTGGCACGCTCCGTCGGCCCTCGGAGAGGAGCTAAGGACAGATGCGTAAGCATATCACGAAACTTTGGAATGTGGAGAACGCACCGGCACCGTCGGCGGGTTGCTCGGAATCAGCTTGTCGCTGGGGTTGAGCTTCGTCGGGACTTGTGTCGAAGGCGCCAGCGACGATGTGTTCGTTCTGCCCTGCTGATTGTGGACGTTGATGAGCATTGAGCGACCAGCATAGGCGGTCGAGTGCTCAAGCGGCCGAGAAGCCTGAGCTCACTGACATGAGCCGTAGGTCACATCATGAAGAAACAGTACGTACGGAGTGCTCAACTCGTCGAGCAGCGCCCTCCGCTGATTGTCTCGATGATTCCTGATTGCTGCGGTGTTGGAGGAGGTGGTATAGAGAGCAGCAAAACTTAGTCAATGATGGCAATAGATGTACAATAATACACACCCGACCGTTCCTGGTCCGTGCAACTGCCTATATCGAAGAATAAGGGGGCCTGTACGCGTGCCATCTTCCTGTGGCGAACATCAGTGCTCATCATAAACGGACAACAGCGGTCACAAAGGCCTACATCTCCCTCGCATATGGGCAGCGCGCTCGTGCGAATGGGGTTGACTACCGGGTGTTGCGACTCGGCCATGGCACAACAACGAAAGAGAGAGGGAAAAGCGGGAGCATAGGCTCCGAAGGCCCTTCCTAGGCATGCCTGCTTAAATGCGGTTTGACCCAACTGGCGCCAGATACCTTACCGGGGGCTGCATTGTGTAACCAGCGGCTAGTCCAGCTTTGTAAGAGCTTTCAGCATCCGCCAATCCTGCTCAATAGTGCGCGATGCTCCGAGCGCTGTGTGCGCGGCGATACGCAGGCTCACATTGGCGGTCACAGCCTTGTGAAAGCGGATCCGGATCGGTCGATGGCCTTTGGGATGCCGACTTCGGTATAAACTAACGCAGCGTCGTAGCCGTCGACGTACTTTTGAGCCCTGTTGCATTTGTTGCAAGACAGCAGGCTGATGTTGAGGTGCAATGGCGAAGGGTTGTCAGGGTGTAACCAAGAGCATAGACATCGAATTTCTTTGAGGGCCCGGATGCGTGAAAACGGTCAGAGCTTGGTTGGACTCAGGCCAACCAACCATGCAATCTCCGACACAGATCTCGCACCGGAAACACCCGACTGAACGCGCTGTCTGTGAACTAGTAAGTACTGACTAAGTATGCGCTCGGGACACGGTCGGCAGCTCTCAACTGTCACAGGGCTAGCTCAAGAAAACCTGAGAATTGTATGTCATGCTGGCCATTCCTCTAGGTTTGCGCGTGCGACGATGACCGCTGCAACGACACTTTCCGGCCGTTGCACGAGCAAGCGGAGGAATTCGGCGCTCACCGGCACCGGCGTAGAACTAAGGGCTAAGTTTTGTTTTCCTCTATGGGCGCGATCTTGTCAATTTACCGCGCGTTTCTCATACGTATCGGCGCATCCTACCATCCCAGTCAAAATAAAAACGGCATCCGTCGGAGCGCTTTCCGCATCGGCCATGCGCACTCGCGCGCGGTTGTACAAACAGAGCTCATCTATGCGTCCGGTGATTCGCGGACTTAGTTGACGACAAAGATGACAACGAAGGAAGTAAATTATGCGTAGCGGTCTGGTGTGATTATGGGAGTTTATACGAGGCACTTTGTAACGAGAGACGTAAGAGAAGTATTAGTTATGAGGAGGTATATGAAAAGTGGTTTGTACAGGAATCGTAAGTCATGGCGGAACAAAGATACAAGGCATTGTGCACAGGAAGCACTTAGGTACAAGGTCAAATTGAAAGGGAATGCACCGCGAGTCGCAAGCATGGATTTCCAACGGCACTCGCGATGACGGCTAAGCATCGACGTTCATCTGCTCGACCTGCTCGTGAGCATCAACGAGCTCCAGCGTACCGTTCCTCGTGAGGACGATTCCCGGCCCAAAAACGAGGTCAGCGGGGAGTGCGCTGAGGTTGTCTAGCAGCAGGTCCTCGATGCTCTGCCAAGCCTGCTGTGCGTAGTGAAGCCCTATCATGAAGGCTCGGACGAGAGCCACGAAAGAAGGGCCGCCTTCGTTGAGGACGAACTGGTGCTCTACTCCTTGCGCATCCGCCCACGCCAGGAGTCGCGATTCCTGAAGTACAATGAGGTCAGACTTCGAGAGACTGTATAACAGTGCGTACTTGGACGGCGAATGTTCGCCACTCGGACTTGAAGACGGACCTGTACGATCGCCGCCTATCGAAACCGTCGACGACGAAGACGCCGACTAGGTACGATCACTTGGTTAGAAAAAGAGAGATGCATTGAAAGCTGCGACGAACATTCGGTGGGCTTTATCTCGATAATAGCAAAGAGGGAGGGGACCCAACATCCGGCGGAGCCCGTGCGGTAGTGCCCAAGACCGAGGAACTTTATTGAGCGAGGGTTGAGGCGTACGACGCTGCGATGAGTGAGCGTCATGTTCTCGACGACGACAGAAATGACCTGCTCACCGGGGCATTGTTGCGGATGGGACGACGGTGGTGGAAGTTGCAGCAGAGCAGTGTACTGCCGGACATGCAAGTCCCCATCGCTTAATATACTGCTTGCAGACTGTGAGTGGCGTCGACGACAGAAGAAAGGGCTCGCCATTGTTCCTCTGCGGGTGGAGGTCAATGGATTCCGTATCCAGCTAGGAGGGACAGTAGGCGACTCGGGGGCGACGGTGTCCAAGCGCGCATTCGCCGGTAGGGCCAACATGAGGCAGATATGAAAGTCCGTGAAGGATACAGACAGGTTCCAGCGGCGCCGCACCATGTACACGATGAATTCATATGTGTGACCTTCTGGCTGACTTTGGCAACGCTCAGACGATGATCGAGGGCGTATCCCATCCCTCGCAAAAGAGTCTGTCGCCCACAACTAGTACGAATGCTCACGGATGCTCACCTTGTGACATTGATCCAGGACGAAGAGGTGAATATGTCGACGCGGGCGGCTTGATACGGAACGCCTGCCCAGCATCCCGGTAGAGGTATGCGCCAGTGGGAAAGGGGCGCTGTCGGGATCCTAAAAGAAATCGTGGTGAGAAGCGTACACCGGCGGGGAAAAGGTGCCACCCCGATGCAAATGCATCGGCCTGGACCTATCCCCCGGCATGAGGAATTGTCAATCAATGCAGCGAATTAGCACTTGCCGGCATTCCCCCGTCGCGACTCGGAATTGCACATGTCGCTAACTCGAGGCAAGCGCGAGGCTTGAGGCGGCGTTTTCCCGGCGCGGATTATCGCACGTCTGAAGACGGAGGGCAACATATACGACTTTGAGCAGTAGGGATTAGGCCCAGGAAGAATCGCGAGCGTTGCAAGATCAAGCTCACCGATGTCTGTAACAACAATTCTTGAGGAAGGTAACATTGAGCCAAGACGTGAGCCACGATGGATGCGCTCACCACTATCTGGCACGGCTGGATGGCCAACACGGTGCACGCTAGACGCGCCGACAGCAATAGCCGACAGTTCATATGCCAGTTCATATCCTGTAAAAGTGTCCATGTGTCAATTGAATGAGCGATCCCTGAGTCCGAGTCGATTAGTTTTCAACGATGGACGGACGGCGAATGCAGAGCGATGGGTTGATCTTGAGATCATCGAGTCTCTTGAGCAGTGCTTCATTGACTGCCGGCCTGAGGTACCTCTCATTTACCTGCTAGTAAGTGGTGGCGCTGTCTCGCACGCAGATCTGATCGGGCATCGTGAGGCGGGAGGAAGCTCCGGGACTTGTACTCTCCAAAAACCACCGGATCGCGGACGCCGACGCGCTGATGTTCCAAGTTTGGGCAAGACGACGCATTCTGCTGACGGCTCACGTTCACGTATCGTCGGCGACGCACTGTTCGTCACTTCGGTCGTCGGTAAGTGTGCTCACGGTAAGTTGCAGGCGCGTCCGAGGCTGAAGGTGGCCGGCGTATGCCATCGTCTTCTGGTACTGCCATGTCCCCTCGTGCGTACGCCTCCTTGCTGTCGCGTGCCTTTCGGGCCCTCGCGTCGTCCCCCTTAGCGTCTACCCAGATCCGCTGCTCTCCGGAGAACGGCCTCTTCTCGAATGACATGGCTTGCTGGCGATACCCATCCGTGTAGGTGGAGCTTGCTTGGCTCTTCGTATGGTCAAGCGTCGTGTTGCCAGTCGGTTGAAGCAACGTCGGCGGCATGGGGAGTATCTGAGCGGCGGCTGTCGCGCGGAGGCAAATTCATTCCATTGCGATCGGCAGGCTGATGTCGCCCGATGAAGCGGCTGAGAAGGTCACAATGCATAGGCTTCTCCTGGGCGTGCAGCCTGGCATGTATTGGCGCTTATCTGGTTTGTTCGGCTAGGACACGCCTTTCTGCTGTGCCACTGGAAGCGACCGCCCGGAGTCACCACGAAAGGGTTACGGCCAAGTGACAGAAGCGTTATGGATGTTTATCTCCGTCCTGTCGTCGGGCTACTTCTTCCTAGTGTCCCTCATCTTTTCTCCATCTTCCCATCGACACCATGCTGCGTTCTCTGTTCAGCTTCGTCTCTCAAATGTTCGCTGTCCTGATGCTCATCCTCTACGGCACATCGTGGGTATGGGGTGGGTTGCGCACGCTCTGCCAGTACCCGTTTGTCTCGTCTTTCGTGCAATCTTGCGACACCATCAATTCCAACATGACGGTTTGGGCCGCTCTCCCGTTGCTGTTGAATGCGCAGACGACAGGCATGGAGCAGGTGCTCAGCCAGACTAGTGCACACACCGAGATCATCGTTGATCTTCTGGATACGCGTCTGGCTTCGGTTGATTTGTCCATCCTCGTACAATCGAGCGACCTCGAGTATCGCTACCAGATATCCACCCTCATTGACAAGCTCGCTGATGATGCGCTGGACCTCAACCGTGGCCTGCAACATCTCTCGGCGAAGATCACGGCGGGCTTTGACAGGTAAGCTGAATTTCACCCGATGAAGTAAGAAGCCCTTTAACACCCTTCATCGCCCCCTTCCCAGGATTCTCTTAACGAATGATCACCTCTATCAGCTGCTGCGCAGCTCCCCCATTTCCCCCGGTCACATGGCTGATGCTCAGTCCTGCCACTCAAGCTCGATGTCAGGCAAAAACCAGGAATGCGAGCCTCCTTACCCCGACATCGCGCGTGCGTATGAGCGCGCCCTCCAGACGTATGAGATCGTACTTCGCGAGCTCATGCAGTGCAGTACCGACTCCCTCACCAAAGCGGCAGTCCTTGACGCGGATTTAATATCCACCATGAACGTCGTCGCGCGGGAGAAATTTAGCGTCGACCTAGCTCGACGGGAGCTCGGTCTAGGGCTGCTCTGGGAACTCCTAGGCGGTAACAGGCTGCATGCCGTAACCCTCGCTCGGAATGAGAATGTCCTCAGCCGCGTCGGAGTCCACAGCGCAAAAACTCTGCGCTACGTCCGGACGATCCAGGACACGCTCGAAGGCATGGAGAGGCACCTCGACGAGCTGCGGCTCGTAGCATCCGGGGCCATGGTAGCCGAGGCCGCACCACCAGAGGTAATTCTGCGAATGCTTGCCAGAGGTCTCGAGCGCTTGGGAAGCGCTCGGATCGGCGACTCTAAGCGCAGAGTTTCGACGTTCGTGGACGCTCTTTAAGCTTGGAATTGGTGAGCTTCATATAGGCGCGCCCTGAGCGTTGCTGACTGCCTGCGACAGTTTGTCTGATCCCTGTCTCCCACCCAATGATCCCGTTCTCCTTCACGTCGTTTGCTCCCCTTTTGCCACCCCCCCCCCGAACGTGCTTGTTATGTCGTATCTCGATGCTCTTCTTTCTTACGCCTATGCTTGACTCCGTTCGTTTTGTCTAATCTAATTTTTATCCCTCGAAATTGTCACTCGACGTTTTTCGTCCCCGTCCACATTATGCCGCTGAAAGCTGGAATTCCGATGTTTTGACTATCGAGCTGTTGTGCGCCGGCAGTCTCATTAATTTGTCAAGTCGATCAGGAAATCCGAATCCGGTTTGGCGCAGCGTACGAACCTCGCCGATCCGCGCGCGAGTCGTAAGGCCGCTCAAGTGTCGGGCTGGCGTGCTTGCCTTTGTTGGACTGTCGGAGTATGCCGGACGAATCGCGACAGACGAGTTGAAGGCTAGAGATCGCGTGGTTCTAGAGATTCACGTGAGGCGCGACACAAGGCCGTTCACGTCTATTTGGGGATGGCATAGCATTATCGTCGTACAATTCCAATATAGGTTAGAGAGGTACACGGGTGCGAGATCGGAGTGCGGTGCATACGTAGGATGAGTCGTGAAAGGGAAAAGTACATAGAGGCGTCACCACTTGAATCTACTGAGCACGAACCAAAGCTTTGAGCGGTTGAACAACACTATTATCCTTTTTCGCCGAACGTATATATTGCCTGTTGACCAGGAGTTCAGCGACGTGCCCGCTGGTGTACCGGAGACCGGGGATCAGAGTTCCTGGCTGGGCAAGCCATTTCTCCAACTCGGCGAGCCGTTGCCCATTTTCATCGAGCACCGCGAACAACTCCTGCACAGAGGAGAAGAGCACCTCAACATCGAAGCGCGCCATCTCGAGGCCAAGCGTCAAGTCTCGGCATTGGGTGTCGTCGAAACTGGGATACATGATCCGACGAACAGACCCAGCCCTACCCAACAGGCTCGGTGAACAGAACCTAGACGCATGGTCCTCAAGGCGGGCGAGATCCTCGATGAGTAGGAGGACCGCCTTATTCGTGGCCAATAGGTTCCACGAGATGCGCATGAAAGACCGCCTTGTTTCATCCTGGACGGCCTTGAACAGCCGTGCGACGAGCCATTGTTCGGACGGGTACAAGACGTTACCAGCGAAGATGCCCTCGGCAGTCCGTATGCGGGCTATCGTGTCCAACGATACGCGACACGCGTAGTCAGCACTAGAGAGAGGGATTCACTGCATGAGAAATCGATGACAATTGTTGTTTTGACGTTGCACTCACTCGTTTGCCACGTATCCTATTTCTAGGTTGAGGTCGATAACTCGCAGGGTAGCGTTGCCGCTGGAGGTGAGCAGACTCCTCGAGACATTGGCGTTGAGGCGACCCGTAGATTGAGACGTGGTGTGGAGCTTGAGCATTACTGTATGAAGCCGAAGGGCGGTCTGCAGATGTCCGGATGTGCTGTTCAGTGCGCCAGCTACCCAAGAACCCTGTATATTGGCAAGCTCGGCAAACTCTCCCCAGCCGACCTTGCCTAGTGGCTCTGGGATCGATCGGCAGGTAGGGACCAACACGTTCGCGGCGGGAATTGTGCACAGGGCGATCTGCATCATCGACAAACCGAGAGGGTCGTTGTCGAGCAGCAGCATGGTAAGCGGACTGACAGCCCATGACGCATACGCCGCTATGTGGCAGCGAAATCCTGGTAACGACGACACAAGCGAGAACATGATCGTGACGATACACATGATCACCTAGGCCCTGTACGTGAGCTTCACCGTAGGCAGCGGTATACTACTACTCACAAGGCGACGTGGCGTAGGCGGACGGGGGGCACGATATATATCCCGGGTGACGGTCGTAGGCGGGCGATCCTGAGCGGCGTTCGTCGCCTCATGGGGAAGTCCTCCCGCCTGGTTTCCGGGATGGAGGCGTGTCGACCGTCGGCGAGTGCTGGGAGATGCCATGGAGGGTGGTGCTAACGACGCGAGTTGGCTGGCCTCAAGTCTGTGGGATTGGTATAAGACGTCGCGCTCCCAGCAGCAATACTGAGTCACACGAACTCGAACCGACGGAAAGAGCGTGCAACGATATCGATGAAGCAACGCGTTCTACACACTCGCGGCGTCTTTACCGGGAGAATCGACCTGGCGAGAGTCTCACCTTTCCGCGCTGAAGCAACGGCTCTTGACTTCTTCGTGCTCTAGAGCTTGACTAGGCCGTAGATGGGCGGCCCTCGGCAAGCCGTCAGCCAATGCCATTGGACCGAAGGACAAAGGACGACGGCGTGTTGGTCAGTCGAGTTCTCAAAGTACCATGAGGCATCTTCAATGAATTCCGTGAGGCGTGCCACACGGTCTTCCTCGCTTGGCTCAGGAGAATTCAATGTCGGCGGTGGTAAGCTTGTGATGGCGTCCAGAGTGGTGAGGCACCCACGTTGTAATTGTCAGGGCCTGCCGCAGGATGATGCAGTGCGACAAAGGCCCGAACTTGGCTCACGTCGGTCAGAGGTGTTTTGCGTCTCATACGCTTGTGTGGAAGGCGAGAGATCACTTCTGTGTGGTGAGCACTCGCTGCGAGTCACCGCCGTATGCATATTGATCGGGGCCGGTCGTCCCATTGCTTATTCTGGGCTGGGGTCTACGGTACGTACAGTAGCGCTGGTTCCGGAGGAGCGCTCCGAGGCGTGTGAGGATCGCTAGAGATCTCAGATATAGTATGGATGGTGAGTCCACGCTTGGCCCACGCAGCATCCCCGAATATGGGAGGATGTGCCCGATTCGGCAAGTTAAGATTTCCGACCGGTGCCAGCGTGACATATCGCGCGTTACGACCCGCGAAGCACACTGCTGACGAACACCGACAACGTTGAACGTCACAAATGATCAGACTCGGATTGGCCGCATACGTGATTTGGAGGTGGAGGGGGAAAACAGCCAGGCGCGCAAACGAGTAGTGGATATCGTACATTATGACCGGTTCTTCGTGAATAGAGTAGGAGCACTGAGAGATTAGGGGTAAGAAGTATCGTACATCGCGACCAGTCCTTCATACAAATCAGTCGACGCAGACCCCAAGACGCTACGGGTCGCATTTACTGAAAGCTGTGCATGAGTCTGTGGATCATCAATTAGTGCAGTAGGGCTTACGTATACGACGTGCACAAGAGTTTGCAGGCGGTCCATTGCGGAGGAAATCTGAGCGAACTCTTGCCTCATTGCGAGTCGCAGGCGGGCGATCTCCTGCTGAGAAGCCGAGGTGCGCTCTCGCAGGGCGCGAAGCGAGTCTTCATGGGCTTGTATGCGCTCGCGCTGGACGGAAATGCGCCGGTGAAGGGTCTGTTTGGACGCACGCAGACGCTCTCGCTCTGCGGCGATCGTGTCCCTATCTTCTAAGAAACGAACGGCCTTCCTGTGATAGTGGTTACATGACGCTACTCAGAACTGCATTTGGTTTCAGATCTCACCTGCGAACGAGGTTATTGAACAGCGAAATGCTGTAACCGTGTTGTCCGAATTTGAAGCGGACATGAACGAGGTCCGTCTCCGGTCGGAACGGTTGTCTGCATAGGTGACATAGGGAAGGTATAAACCTGCGGCGAATCTGCTTGAAGCAGTCTACACAGACAACATGTCCTGCAGTGCAGCATCAACGTTCTAACGAGACTCCACACGAGAAAAGACCGCACTCACCGCAGGATTTGATGGCTAGTAGTTGGATTCCACCGGGTCCCGCTATGTTGAAGCAGACAGGGCAGGTGGCGAGCATGGCTCAGCGACGAAGCGAGGGATTTGCGGTCTTGAGCCGCCTGCATGAAAGCGGTACTGCCCCTTGTATATAGCAACGCAGCATAAAGAAACATGAGAACGCCACACCGTGCGGTGATGCATCGAGTGGCGTATCTACTACGGAGGCGTTGGCCTCAGCGGGCTGGAACGAACAAAGGTGCATCCTTGCCAGACGGCGCTTATACTTAGCCAGGGGAGGATGGGTCCATTTAGCCATCAGCGCTTCAGCCGGCAGCCGCCGTCGCATGGGTGCTGAGCGCTGAGCGCCCGGAAATGTAATTACCTCAGAATTACCTCCTCATCTTCCTTGACGGCGACAATCCGGATCCCACGATCATTTGGCAGATGTGCGATCGTGTTCAAGATCTCTATACTAAATCTGGAGGTGCGTACTCACCGCATTCTTGGGGAGGCGTGTCCCCCACGAGCCTGAGCGAGGTACGGTGCCATGTCCTCCATCTAGCCTTAAAGGCCACCTCTTCACTCGGTTGTCCGGTCATCCCTTGCCAGCAATGGTCTCTACTGCGTATGTCCCTACCCTCACGCTCACCGGAGGACATTCTGATACCGTCAACGCCCTCGCCTTCTCACCGGATTGCAAGTACCTCGCAAGCGGAGGTGACGACGGAGCCGTTGTTATCTGGGACGTCCGCTCCGGCGATCTCATATATCGCTTCACTGTCGATGGTCAAGTTGATAGCCTTCTGTGGCATCCCATACAGACAGAGACCATTATAATCGGCTGCAACAGTGGTTCAATCCGACAATTACGCTACTTTTCGGCGGTACGTGATCCTTATTCAGGTAGCCGGGCAAGAAGCTTATCAGAGAAGCGCAGATATCCAGTGAAGTCTACGAGATTGACCTTGGAAGACAGCCAAACATTGTCTACAGTATGGACTATAGCGCCGCCACATCTTGCCTTGCCGCGAGTGTTGGGCTTGACGTGCTCATTGCAAAGGAAACTACCCCTAGTGCGATCGCTGTTATTTGATATTCGCTATTCCGCACGTCGCTGACTTCGCCGAAGATAAATATAGTGTCATCATCCCGCTCCCTCATCCTCAGGAGGGGGCCCATCCAGCGCCCGATAACGCAGTCGCTCTGAAGTTCGACAAGGATGGACGGACCCTCGTCGCAACATACTCGTCTCGCGGAATAATGTGAGCTTAGTCCCTCCGCATCGACATATCTGACGATTCGCGAGAAGATGCTGGGATGTGCATGCGCGGCATCCACTTTGGCGTATCGCCCCTCCCGAAGCATATCCCTCAATGTGCGTATCCTTCCTGCCCTGGTCTGCTTCCGCCATGAATGATTGCTATTGCTAGGGGTCACTCGGCGATCAATCAAACGTCCCGATTCATTGCAGTTCATAACGGTAGCGACGGTGTTCATCTGTACTCGTTGGGCGGGCACGATCAGAAGCCGCGACGTCTCTACAAGTTTGCCGATACTCAGCCACTTCCTCGCATTGCTGTTCAGGTGTCCTTCATTCACGGAGATCAGGCAATCGTGTGCGGTACATCATCAGGGAATGTCTGCATATGGCAGACGAAATCTGGGGAACTGTTTCAATCGCTGGGGCACCGAGGTAAGCCTTGCACAGTGCCCATTCAACGTCATTTTTACCCTATAATAGATGACATCATCATGGCCGTGGCGGTAAGCGACCAGACTTCGTTCAAGTTGCTCCGCCTAATACACGCGCGGAAGGGTTGTCAAAGAGGCAACGTATGCTATCTTGCCACGGGATCGGCGACAAGGGGTCCTGACACCTACATTAAAATATGGCGCGCAAGAATTGGTATGTTTTCGGTGGATCTCTTCGCCGTCTTGATGCTCATAAGTTGTAAGACGGGATCGGCTTGCAACAAGTCCCTGAGTCGTTTTTCCAGGGATTCATACGGGGTCTTTCAGTATGTATACTCTTTGTGCCGTCGTGATTGCGCTATTGACGTCGCTCTACCTAGTCTGACTCTGATCGACTGATCCCTACCGTGGAAGAGCTACAGGCGGTCTTTCGCACAATCGTTGTTTTAACGATTTCCCTCGGACTATGTTGGGCTCTCCTCAAAGTCGGATCTGTCGTTCCATGGGCTGACTGCGGTCGCACCATGCTTCACGCTGTAAGTGGATAAGCGATGTACCACTCATATTTCTCATGTCTTTCATCTTTAGGTTTACCTTGCTCAGCATGCCCTTGGCCGCTGCTGGATCTGGGGCCTGGACATGGCCACAGGTGCCTATTTGGTAGGCAAACGGGTGGTTTGCCAGATGGTGGTCGTCGCGTCAGAGTGGGCGAGGGCTCAAGCGCTCAGGGCGCTCGGGCTTCCGTTGGACATCATGGACAGGCTGCCTCCGCCTCAGTAAGTGTCCTTAACGCGCGTACGTGAACAGGCGTCGTATTTGCATCCGTTAGCTTCACGGTAGAGAATATTAGAGTACGGTTGGCCGGGTTTTCAATATTGTAGACATGCTGCTCCATCCACATATCTTCGCCGCCTATCTCCAACAGCGAAGACAACTTTCAGGCGTGCTTCTCTCACATCACGCACCGTGCTTCGCCGAGATGATGATCTTCGCGCCGCATTGGATTCATAACGCCACTGCGCCTCACCTTCGCGGCTCGCCGCGCATGACGTTTCGTGAATGACCTTGTGACGACGCTCAGGCTGCCACCCTCCCTATATCAGACGCGCTCAAGCCTCGAAGGTACTTCATTTGTAGCGACGCCAAAATGAGCAGTGCGTCATCTCGTCTTATTCGTCGTTCTTGCCGATTCTCATCAGCGGCATGTATATTCAGGGTGGTATTTCGCGTGTATCATGCATGCTGATTGCCACGACGAGCGTACACGCGTCTGACGTACACGTTGTGGGCACGTCTGCAATCGCAGCTGCCTTCCGAGTTTATTGCGAGCCTTGACGTGTCTTTCTTGATACGCCACTCCGCTGCACGTTTCCCCCTGCATTGTCTGCGTTTGCGGCTGAGTCCCTTTGTGACGGCAAAATGCAATCCGCTACTAAACACTATACAACGTTCACGCCATTGTCCTTCCCCACATTCACCTGTCCCCATGGCTGAAGCAACCGATGCCTCTAGCACTCAGATTCCTCCTCCCGTCGCCTCCGGCAGTCTGCTTCCCAATCCTGAAGAACCTCCTCCCGTCGCTGGCGTTAAGAGGCCGCTTGAAGAGGAAAAGATGCAACAGGCACAAGATGGGAAGGGCAACACCATTGCTCGACCTCGCGTGAGTCTCAAGACCAGGGTGGAAATCCGGAGACAAGATCCGAATCCTCCTGAGCCGGCATGGTTCATTCAACTGAAGAAATTCAAGTCAAATGTGGTCCAGGCTGTACCTGCGTTTGAGAGCTTGGTAAGTGCTTGAGTATGTGTTTTTTAGCATTCCTGACACTCGGCCGACCGGGTAGATCGGGAGCAAACCTGAGGTGGCGACACCAAATGTGCGGGTGGTACGTAGTACAGAGCTTCGTGCAAGCAACGGCACTCAGACCCCTTTGTAATAACAGCCCCGCGAAGACATAGTCAGCACGCACGGGGGCACGGTCAGTACAGTCCAGAACCACGACGACACAAACGAGGGAATGGTTCCGGGTCTTGGGGAGCAGCGCCAGGAAGATGGTGCGACGGGAGCTTCCGAACAGGTATGTTCATAAGTCTTCGACCGTGCCACCCTTTTTGACGAAACATATCAGGTCGCAGGCGGTTCGCAGGCTGTGTCTGGAGCATCCCAGTGGGCGATGAACTCTCTCTCCGTGCTGCAGGTACCCCAGAGTGACTACATACCGGTTTTCTGATATTGACCGAGGACTGTAGGACACGTTCGCGCCATCGGCACAACTGGAGATGCCTAACTTTCAAGATTTCTTCCACTCGTTCACCGATTTTGCGGCCTGGGGCTCTGCGGAAAGCACAGAAGCACCGGCGGGCGATTCCGCAGGTCATCATTCTGGCGACACACAGAGGCAAGTATCGGACAGTGGCGAAGCACCGGCGGGCACCTCCACGGATAATTCTCGTGATACACACGAGAGACGAAGAGCTGAGCGAGCTCGTAGGCAAGAACTTCACTCCCATGAGCCATACCCGAAGGTGATTGGGGAAGCGGACGAGGCTGAGGAAGCCACCGGCAGATCCGCGGTGAGTTGGTCTTCCGGCGATACTAGATAGGGAACTGATGCGTTGTCTACCCAGAAGCGTCAGAAGGCAAGCTCGGCCCATGTAGCACCCGCGACGACTGCAGTGGCCCCGACTGTCATTGCGCCTCCTACTGCTGTTGCACCCCCTTCTGCTATTGCTCCTCCCACTGTGGTTGCGCCCTCGACTCTGGTTGCGCCCTCGACTCTGGTTGCGCCCTCGACTCTGGTTGCGCCCCCGATTACGAATGCCCCCCCGACCAGTGCCATCGTACCTCCGGCTGCCATCGTACCTCCGGCTGCCATCGTACCTCCGGCTGCCATCGTACCTCCGGCTGCCATCGTACCTCCGGCTGCCATCGTACCTCCGGCTGCCATCGCGCCCCCGGCTGTGGTTGCGCCTCCGACTGTGGTTGCGCCTCCAACTGTGGTTGCGCCCCCGGCTGTGGTTACGCCCCCGATTACGAATGCCCCCCCGACCAGTGCCATCGTACCTCCGGCTGCCATCGTACCTCCGGCTGCCATCGTACCTCCGGCTGCCATCGCGCCCCCGGCTGTGGCTGCACCTCCGACTGTGGTTGCGCTCCCGATTACGAATGTCCCCCAAACTGCCATCGCGCCTCCGACTGTCATGACACCTCCGACTGCTTTTACTCCCCCGACTATGATTGCTCCCCCGACTGCGATTGTTCCCCCGACTACAATCGCGGCCCAGCGTCTCGAGGAGTATGAGAGAGTCCAGCATGGGGCCGCAGCAATTGTGAGCGTGTTCGGGATCCGTGTCGAAGAAACGACTCATTTGTGTCCGACCAGGCCTCCAAACAAGGCGCTGCAATAAGCGATGAGGACGTCGAAATGGGTGACGCGCACGCTCAAGTTCGTCGTGGTGAAGGTTCGCAAGGTTTGAGTCACGTCTCTCAGGTTGAAACAACGCTGCCTCCTGGTGAGGTGCACCCAGTCAGTACTCTCACCAATCCCCAGTCGTCTCTCCTTCCCGCTGATGTTAGTTGCGCCAATCCAGCCGATATCGACATCACAGACGCCGACCGCTGAAACTCGACTGGACGCAGCAGCAAGTCATCATGCGGCCGCTCAAAACCAAAGTTCCTGGACGAACCTGCCTCAGGTATGTTTAAACGACTTGTCTGCCTCGTAATGACTGCGATTGAGACTGGCGCTGGGATTGTGTTGTTACAGCGCCCAGACTCATTCGAGGTATGCCCTCCGTTGTCGGGAGCGCGACAATGACCTAACTACCTCCGCGACAACAGACGTCCGATCGTGATGTAGACATGGCAGACGTGAGCATGGCACCATACCATACCTACGTTAGAACAGAACCTGACTTCACCATAAGCCTGCACTGGCAGCGTTGCAAGCTAGGTGAGCATCAGTTCCTGACCAAATGCGCGTTGTGCTAACATTCCACGCAAGTCTGAACGAATACGGACAGGCACAGGTAAGCTGTTGCCTGATCTATTACGCAATTGCTCAGTGACCCGTTCATAGGATCATAGCAACAAGAGTTCCGAATTCCTCGCTTCTATACCATCTCAGTCGAAAGCGCTCTCGGGCGGTGGTAGTCTTGCTCAGCATGTCGGCAGCGTAAGTTCATCAACGACGGTTCGGTTCAGAGCATAGACGGCTTATCAGTCTCAGTCTCAGCCATCTCCAGACGTCGATGTATCCATGGACGATTCGGCTTCAGATGGCGCTAGCTCGACCTCAACTGAACGTCCACCTCGCCCTGATAAAGGAAAGAGGCGTCAACATATCGGCGAGGACTCGCCCGACGAGGACAGTTTCACGCTAGTCGAGCAGCGGAATGAGAAACGGCGCCGTCGCGACCCAGAAGAAATGACCTCTCTGCAAGTCAAATCGAATGTGTGTACTTTTGTTATTACTGTATGACTCGTTATATCTAAACCATCTCAGGTGCAAACCGCGACCAAGCCATCTACTGCTCACCAGGAAGTCTCACACACAGTGCGTATCGGTACAACATAGGTGTTTCTCTTCGATTTCATTTTTAAGCAGGCGTCTCGTCGCCCCTTTGAACGATTCGACAATAGCAAACACACGCGCGTGACGAGGACGCCGACGACCGCACAGACAGGCTCTCCTGCGACCAATGCGAGAAAGCTACCCGGGCCGGCCGAACCTGTGTCTGAGCATCAAATTCCTTCGACAGAGTGGCAAGAACCACGTAGACCTTCCAGCGCGCGAAAGGGGCAGACTCCTCCAGGAGTCTCAAGTGTGCCCTCGGGTCAAACGCACAACGTAAGATATACCTCCCATATCGACGCTGCTCTGACCTTATCGCACACGTTATCGCACCTAGGCTGTCACTACATCGTCGAGCCATTCTCTCGTCGATTTGACTCCCCTTACGCGGCGCGATCTCGTCGTGATTGAGCAAAGCATGCAGCACAGTTTCGACACCAAGATGGCGGAGCTCGCAGCTACCATCGCATCGTCGTTGCAACTATCGATGGAAACTGCTATACGGTCCGTGGTGTCTACGGCAAATGCTGTTTCATCTGCTCAGGCTTCCGGGTCCATTGCATCGACGTCGCGTCGTGGGGATGCAGCCGACGCTTCGTCGTCCAAAGGGCCCGCGGCCAAAGGATCTGGAGACGAAGACGATGGCCCAGGGGACACGGCTGACGACGAGATGGACGTAGATAACAAGTCTCGCTTGCCAATTAATCACCGCGAGCGGCCGAAGAAGTCTCCGGAAGACAAAGCGTTCAAGGTGAGAGGATTGGAGCTCAACGATGACGCTGGTCCTCACTGACAGCTACTAGCAAACCCTCGCCGTTCATGCTCTCCGACTGATGGCGCGTCAGAACAAGAAGTCTCCGTTCGTCAACATACCATCGGCGGAACAGATAGCAGCCTTTGATCCGACTAGTGGTCGCGAGTGCTGCACCGCAGAGAGGTTCTCCTACGACATACACGCACGACCTTCGTCTGCCTGGAATCTATCCGCAGCAAGAGTCTTCACGGTCGACTTCAGGGCGCGATACCCCCGGTTTGAAAAATCGGAGGAGCAAGTGATAGAAGCTTGGATGAGGCACACAGAGACCCTGCGCCGGCAGCTTAAAGGTCAGGCCATGAGTGAACAGGAGACTCAGTACGAGCAGAAGCTGCACAGGCGACAAGAGCGGAAGCGGCAGGTAAGTGATCGCGAATACATTCGTTGTCCATGTTATAGATCTATCGTCCTATACAGCTGTTCACGAGGCGTCGCAATATCGCCGTCTCCCTACTTGCTCCAATGGACACGGAGCTCATTGACGCGCTCGGTGTTCATGGTATGAGTACTGATGAGTCCGACCATGCTGTCGGCAGAGGAGAACCGACGTATTTTATACGTTCCAAGGCTTGGCGGTCTCCAGAACTCCAAGTATGGCTGCGGACCCTCGATTCGCTTCACCTGTGGACACGCTACAGAGGCGGCTTCCAGGCTTCCCAGGGTGGCTGGCCTCACTATCGGGTGGCTAGTCAACAGGTCACCACTCGCCCTGCGGTCATCAACCTTCCAACGAATTGCTACGCCCCATCTCTACTGCAGGGATGCGACCCATTCAAGATGAAGTGGCTGAGCCCGCTCCCAGACAAGATCAATCTCAAGCACGCTGACCACATCATCGAGTATGTCTGATATTTCTCACACGTATGAATGACACCGATTGATCATGTTATAGGACGGCGAAATTATACGACCTGTCTCGTCAGGTGGTGGTGACCGGACGCTTCGACCCTGAGAGGCCTGTTCAGCCGAACGCAGGTACCGATTAGATGATCCGTTGGTGAGCCCTCAGATTTGACGAAACAATTGCTCAGAGGCTCAGACGTCTTCAGGACACATGGCGATGCATACAGGCGGGTAATACAGACACCACCCGTCCAGACGCCACATGAATTATACTCCGAATTTGTCACGAAGTCCATCTCCTGTACTAGTACACACCCTCCGCTCCACGAACACACCGTAGGCTCTAATGTATCCTGATTTTCTGTACATGATCAGTGCCACCGGCCACTCGTGAGACATCTGCTGACTCGAGCAGGCTTGACCAAGATCAGCACACAAGCAATTGCCATCCGACGTCGGCGTGACAGACTGCGGGGAACGCGCAACTAGGTCAGTGCTGCACTTCTTGCCGAGCTGGTGTCAGGTGACCATCCGCGGAGGGCGATGGTGTCGTCGAGCGGTCGGCTTGTTGTCCGTACGAGGAGGGTCGACGAGGGGAATGAGGCCGATGGCTCCGAAACCAATATACCCTCAGCCTCAAAGTCATCGCCCGCCACCTCCTCGTAAGCGTTGGCGGGCGCACATAGGCCTCGCGGTGCGAACTCCTAGGTTGGGTTCCTGCGCCTCGCTCTTGTTATTCGTGAGCTCGGTTTAAGGTGCCCGACCGACACCTCGCCTTGAGGATGTCATCCTCAGCGTAGATCTGGATCGTGTCGCCGGCGGCGGTCCATAATGAGCTTGTTGGTCGTGAGCGTACCCGACTTGTCTGAGCTCAGAATGGTCACGGCGGCGAGCCGCTCAATCGCAGTGATACGAGTGACGATAGCCTGGTGCTTGGCGAGCTGCTGAGCACCGACGGTCAGGGTGACGTGGTGGGATGGCGAATGGAGATACCGCCAATCAAGAGCACCAAGGTAGCGTTGAAGCTGTGACCATAGAGCTGATGTGGGGGAGGATGTTCGGCAGATGGTTGACGGTGTGGTCGTCCTGACCGACGAGCAACGCGGAGCGACCGAGGAACATGTTGGGGCCGGTGGGGATGACGACGCTCGGCCTCGGCCTGCTCGGAAGTAAAACCACTAGGCGCATACAGTCAGTGTCTCGATCAATGTGAGTGGCAGACTCAACGTACGGGAAACATTGATCGTCAACCTCAGGCTTCTTGCACCGAGGCGATGACTCGCCAGTGAGCGCAGCATGGTCGATCGAATCATCGACACGCTGATGGACCACGGCGCTGAAGCCCGGGGTGAATGGGTGGCAACTGGAAGTCCTGCGGTGGGACAGCAGCATCCTGTCCAAATCTCTCATGTCTCAGGTAATCGATGCCGCTCTGGCTCGTCCTCCCGCGTACTCACCTTCTCTTTCATCAGCCCCTCTCACCATTCCCTGCGCGCCCCTTGGAGGTACTTACCCCCATCCGTCGGTGCATCTCTCGGAGTTCCGTCCCGCTCGTCTCGTCCTTCACGCTCCGCTCGCCAGACTTCCTCCTGGCTCCACTGGACGTCCCTTGAGCGGGTCGCATGGTTCTGTCGCTCGGCGGCGCAAATTGCATAGCATCGTCAGGTACGTCTAGGAGGGACCAATGAGTGTATCTTGTCGCGCAACGGTCGTGGGCATGAACAGTCGAGTGAGTGATTGCAGTTACAGTAAGAAAAGAGCTCTGCAGTGCGAAACGGAGAGGTCAGACATTGGTCAGACAAGTCGGTCCTCGGAAGCATAAGTATACCGTGACCTCCAAGTGACCTCAGGTGCTCTGAGTGAGATCTGGCACATGACTCACCTCGCCACGGCCATTATGAAGTCCTTTCGTTCTTATACAGCCTATACCCTCCCTTGGTTCTCCTCAGAGTTTCCTGCCATATGAAGCCTGCGTGCCAGTTACTCCATAATTCTTATACGACACTACCGTTGGATGACCCGCCTCGATTCAAGTGATCTGGTACGCGGCCGGCGTGTGCCGTGCACACGAAGACATCCTCACAGAACGCGCTCGCCAGCGCCTCGTGACTCTCAGGCCTGTCTGCACACATTCGCCGACTATTGATATCACGACAGACGGCCTCCTTAAACGCCTTCGCAGACCGTTTGTATCACGCAAGACCCGGCACTGTATGTGCCTGTCTGCCTTTTATATGACGTACCACTGAGTGATGACTGCTGTTCAGATTCCACGATACTCAACAGAACGTCGGAACTGTACGGCGCCCCAGCGAAGTCTGCTAAATTTGAAGTGACCTCGTTTCAAGGCGCCTTGAAATCCGTAGAGGCGGGGAAAGAGACCGGTCAGGAAGCGCAGAAAGGATACGACCTAACCGGAGTGACGCTTGCCATGAGGTCATGTTGACGGCCACAACGCCTCTTACATAGGTGAGTCCTGTCTTAGCCGCGATCCTTGCATATTGTTGACTAACCTCCCAGTACTGGCAACTGGTCACGCAGTTCGAGAATCGCGTACCGGCAAAGTGCGAGTTTAATCCCGAGCGACACGCCTGCTCACAAGATCGCGGGTTGGCTCACGTCCCCGTGCTATATCGGTTGGAAACCTTGACGACACGACGCGAGCGCTGCAGGCCCGTCGTCAGGCTGCGGCTGAAGCACAGGCGTACAACGATCTGTCCATCCAGACGAGCCTGGGCGGTATCCCTCGTGCTGACAAGGCTAATACTCGGGGTGGTGGTTCTCCTTCGGTCCATTTCTTCAACGACGAACTCTCCAAAAGCAACTCGTACCTCGCCGCTCCGTCGACGAACCAGAACCGCGCTACGTCACCGAAGTCGGAGGGGTCTTCCCAGATGCAAACGCCGACCCGCTCCCTCTGGATCGGGAACCTCGATAGCTCCGTCACCAGCGAACAGCTCATCCACGTGTTCGCCCCGTACGGTGCCATCGAGTCGCTCAGGTTGCTGCCTGAGAAGGTCCGTGTCGTGTCCATTCATTTCCCGTTCCCACCGCGCTGACATTCTCGCATTAGGAATGTGGCTTCGTGAACTTTGTCGACCAGGCGGACGCGATCCGCGCCAAGGAGGACGTCCTGAACCGCCTGGGCGGAGACGTTGGCATGCCGAACGGGCAGACCGTCCGCATTGGCTTCGGAAAGGCTGATAGCGCGCCGGTCGCTCCCGCGAAAGTCACGAACATGAACAGCCCGTCGGCGACCTCGCCTGGTGGCGGGCTTGGTAAAGCGACGGGTAACAACGTCGGGCTGGCGGGCATGGATGCGCAGCTGCAGTCTACCCCAACAAGAGCGCTCTGGATCGGGTCGATTCCATCGACGACTACGCCCGCGACCATTCTTAGCGTGTTCAGCCCGTACGGCCCCATCGAGTCTGCGAGGGTTCTCACGCACAAGAACTGTGGCTTCAGTAAGGTTTCGTCTGTCGTCTGTGTACATGAGGTTGTTCGGGAGGTTGATGTTGGTGCCCCAGTCAACTTCGAGCGTCTTGACGATGCAGTTCGCGCTCGCAAGGCTCTCAACGGCCGCGACGGCCTGGGCAGCGACGTCGGCGCTATCCGCATCGACTTCGCCAAGGTGCCCGTCAAGAACGGTTCAGAGGGCACCGGCGGACAAGACGAGGGCAACGGCCTCAACGTCCAGGGCGTCGGCGATCTGAGCGTCGGCGCGACAATACACGCGCTGCGCAACATCAAGGGCGCGACCACTATTCCCGTCGACCAACAGGTCCTCAGCGGTGAGGTAGAGAACTACCGCTCGAACCTGTCACTGAGCATGATCGCCTCTGGGGCGCATGCTGGCATGTTCGACTCGGCTGGCAAGCCTGCGGGTTGGACTACGGCGGTTACGGAGCAGCAGATGGTCATGAAGGAGCTCAGTGGTGGAAGTCCTGATGCTGAGGCTGACGTTCAGGCCCTTGCAGGTGAGCTTACTGGGATCGACTTAGTGATCCAGCACTGACGTACTAGCAGAGTTCCGCCCTCCGATGATGTACTACACGACGATCCCGCTGGTGTCTGAGAGGCCTCACAACAGACGGTGGGATGCGTCGAAGCTGCGTGAGCTCCGCAAGAGGCTCGACACGAGCACGATCTCCACCGAAGAAGTTGACAATACCGCGGCCGACTTCCTCGACGGGGAGATTGTTGACCTCGCGTCCGACTGGCTTGGTAACACGTTATGTCTCCCTTCGGATGTCCGCCATCGATCTGACAAGTGCCTCTACGTCGTGCAAAAGCTTTTCGAGAAGTGCTCTCCAACGCCTCGCCTTGCCATGCTCGAGCGCCTCAGCCGGCACCTCGCTATGATCGGTATCCACAAAAACGGCACGTGGGCTGCGCAGAAGATCATCGAGTGCGTGCAGACTGCAGACGAAGTGGCTCTCGTCACGCAGAACTTGAGGCCCTACGTCCCGCCGCTCTTGTTGGACCAGTTCGGTAACTACGTCGTGCAGTAAGTGTGAGAGTACGTGTGTATGGGGATGCATACTGATAGCCGGGTAGATGTGTCTGCGCTTCGGTGCACCCGCCACCGATTTCTTGTTCGACGCGATGGCCGACCGTCTCTGGGAGATCGCTCAAGGCCGCTTCGGAGCTCGTAGCATGCGTGCCTGCCTCGAGAGCAGCAACATCACTGTCAGCCAGCAGCGCCGCATCGCTACTGCGATCATCCTGAACTCGATCCCGTTGGCGACAAACCCGAACGACGCGCTGCTCCTGACGTGGCTGCTGGACACGTCGAACTTCCCGTCGAGGTATAACTTGCTCGCGCCTCGATTCACGCCGCACCTCTCGCACCTATGCACCCACAAACTCGCATCGCTCACAGTGCTCAGGATCGTCAACCAGAAGGTCGAGCCCGAGGCGTCTACGCAGATCGTCGAGGCCCTCTTCTCGTCGCCGGGCGATCACGTCCTTACCGACGTGCTGGGCGATCAGGTTAACGGTGTTGCCGTTGTCCACAAGATCTTGACGAGCCCCTTCGTTGACCCTACCCAGCGCCCGAGCTACGTAGAGGCCACCAAAAGGGTACTGATTGAGTTGAAGGTCGGCGCCCTCAGCTGCGTCCGCCAAAAGGTGTCGCGGTGCATATTCTGGCCTTCGCCGCCGTCTGACAGTCTTTTCAGAGCGAGGGAGCTCGAGGCAGAACAGGGATAGGTGCTCGACACAGGCCCCCCGCGCTGCGCGCCTTGGCTTCCGGCGGCTCTCCTCCTAATAACGACCTATCTTCGTCTATGAACTCCCCAGGCGACAACGGTGACCTGCCGCCGACCAACTACCCCGCGGGCTTCCGGAGGGCGAGGGCGGGGACCTTGCCCTCCAATGTCCAGCTCGCAGCTCAGCGCTTCGCCGCGGCATCGAGCACGCTGAGCAGCTCGACAGCAGCGGCAGCTGCCACTGCGTCGACGGGCTCGTTTCAGGAGCAGCTCCAGCGACAGAGCTTCGCACCGCCCGCGTCGACGGCCCCCGTGCGACCTGGTTTACGTCACTCGGCCTCGGTCGCTTCTTCAGCTGCTTCCTCTGCATTGACTGAGCGGGACAGCCGCCTCCGCTCTGGCTCACTCACCCTCCCCTCGGGCGGTCTCTCCAACGCGTTCGGCTCGTCCCTCTTTTCGTCGACCTGGATGCCCAGCCGCAACGGTGGTATGCCCGTGCTGGACGATCTGCGCTCAGTGACGTCCATGGACTCCGGCGCAGATGATTTCGATGTCCACACGCTGGACTATCTGGGTCTTGACGAGACCCTCCGCCACCCGCCCGCTGCTACCATCTCGGAGCTACGCAATCAGGCCCAAGCCGCGATCGCAGGCAATCTCGCTGCGAACCCGTCTAGGCTTCGCGCTACTACCGTGTCCAACCCGTACCGGCCTTCTGCAGGCGCTTCTCTGCTCGCCACTCCCAGTGCAGAGGAAGAAGAGGAGCTTTATGATGAGCGTATGTACGGCAGGCAGAGTCTCAACGCCTACCAGGACACGGAGAGCGACTATCTCTCCGCTGCGTACGTGGCGAAGGGCTTCAAGCAGAGCGACCACCTCTCCGTCGGTCTTGGTGATGAATAGGAAGTGCGTCTCAAAGATGAGCCATCTCGATGAATAACGGGAAGAGCTAGTCAGGCATTCGACCTACTCCTTGTATGACACTTGTCTAACTCAACGTTCTGTACATAGCCGTGCGCACATATTATTTTTTGCTTTATACCTCGAATTCTGATCATGGTAGCTATGCTGTAGCCACTCGCCACTCTCAGCACGCTGCGTGGCACATACCTCAAACGTGATGACGAGCGCGGTATGTTCTGTCACATCCGTTGCGGGCCCTGATTTCCTGCTCTGACGTGTCCTACGTAGACAACTAAAGTGCATGCGCGGGACTTAGTGTATGTGCTCGGTGGTGGTCGCGACACGACGCGTCGATTTCTATCTGCGGGCATGTGCACGGCTCGTACTGAAACTAGGGTGCTATTCTCTCGGTTTCTATCTCTACATAGAGCACCCTAACGCCCCGCGCCGCTCTCTGATGAAGCCCTCCAGTGGCCTTGCCATGGAAGAAAACCAGAGTAAGGGACAATGTCCCGAACGTTGACTATGCTCTACACCGTCTGCATGCGACGGCTTCTGTCCGTTGAACTGGAGTGGGCCGTACAGACCGTTCTAGGTGCTTTCGCTCAATGAGTATTTCAATCAGACCTCCGAAGGACAACACGGCAATCACTTGGATCGTCTCGTTGACGTTCACATCGCACGCTCAGTGTAAAGAGAGGAAACAAGGAAGGGGAGCTCGCAATTTCGTGCACATGCTAGCCTCACGTCACGCCTTCCACAGAGGTACTGCACATTGTCGGGTTCTGTCGACCATTTCTCATGTGAGTAGTCGTTCGGTCAGGCGATCAATGGTGAGGACTGACGGCCAAGCAGTATAGATTACCCCTTCCGCTCAGCCCACGATATTGAAACATTAGTGGGAGACGAAGGAACGGCCAGTACAGCGCAATGTACTCTGCTTCTACCGTGAGCTGACCTCTACCATAGCTATGGGCCGTGATAGCTACAGGTTAAATGATATATTTCCGCACTACTCGCTGCGATTCATACGTGCAAGTCGGCGCCGTTGGCACTCTCCGCAGGGCGCACAGATATCGCTAGTCTCATCGCTCATGAGCACGGGATCTTTATTGAGGAGGCTGGGATGTAGGCTAAGCGCCGGGACGCGTGACGCGTTTTCTCAGATTTACTAGTACCGGAGCCACTGGCACTGCCATTCCCATTTCCTTTGTGTAGTCGAAAGTTGGCATTTCGAATCGCCCCGGATCGAAGGGCGGTGCCACTGACTCGTAAGTGTGACGCGAGTTGTTACATGCGTGAGCTATGGTCCTGACGCTTAAATCGTCATGGTGTAGAAGATCGGCTGCCCTAATACCAAGAACACACGCGCGCACTATAACTAGACAAGAATTGATATTTGTTGCATTGCCCAACGTGCGTGAGCTTCAGAACGGCTCTACAGGCCAGTGCGGTACTGATTTCAGGAGGTCGTAGCTTCATTTATCTAGGCCCTCACATCACCGCGCAATGAACACCTCCGCGCTGCACAGCGACAGGGCAAGTCATCCAAATGCTATTGTGGATGGCAAAACGATGTATTTGTGCACCTGCGATGCATATCATTGTCGCGACAAGGAGGTGCTCGATCCACGCAGCGGTCGTACCGTCGTCGGGGACTGGCAGACTTCCCGTGCCATCCAGTTTCATTCTACGATCGACCGACATGTCAATTCTTTGCGGGAAAGGATCCTTTCTGGCCCGGAAATCGAAGCTAGGTTCATGGCCCTAGCCGTGACTGAAGCTCCTCCGCCCAATGTGTCCTTTGAAGGCATTGCGTTATCGACTGGGCCCTCGGCATCGGCACCGAATGAAACCCCTCTTAACTCGACAGCAGCATCTTACGAGGCAGCAGGCGGTGGACCGTCCGACGGGGGTAATGATACCGCGGAGCTCGACGCATATGCGTCGATCGAGAGTTCTCTGAGCGATCTGGACACTATGTTCAGTGCTATCAAGCAAGAGATCTTAGGATTCTCCGCGACCGCGCCTCTAGCCTTTGCGGTTCCCCCAGATGCGACGTCACCCCCATACACGTTCTCCGATGAGATTTCGGATCGTCCAAATACCGGTATATTTGCCCTATCATCCACTTCCACCCTCAACTCGACTCTCTTGGCCCACGAGGCCAACATGTACAACTACTTGGATCTTAACGGACGCTACGCTCTCCCCGCCGTTGAGGCTGTCGAGCGTATACGATTACGTATTCGCGGGAGTATCTGCGGAGAGATCAAACGGGTTTGTGATATCAGAGGGAGAGAATGGGATGCCCAACGCGAGCATGGTCCGCCAGGCCCACAGACTCATATAGAACATAGGGGAATGGCTAGGATTTATCTCAACTGTGGTGAGGACACTTCAATGACTACCCCCACAGTCTCTAATAGCTCACACCACGTCTTAGATCGCTATCATCGCAAGGCCTTCCCAGGCCTGGATCCGGCTGTGGCAGCATTATGCTACATGGTTTTAACGCTCGCTCTCCTCTGCGGTGTGTCGAGAAGACAATGTCGTTGGGTCTTGGACATCGTCCGGTTTGTCTTTTCTTTCTTGCAGGGAAAGTTGGGCCTCGTTGGCCAGGTCCCTTCCGACCTACGCAGCTTGCTCCGCCACTTCGATATCGATCCCGAAGTCAAGACATACATCTCGTGTCCGCAATGCTTCTGCCTATACCCGGGCCTCCCTGCGGACTGTCCGGAACGATGCACGTACACGGCTTACGAGACTGCCTCACCATGTGGCGCCGATCTTTTCGCGACACGGTCTCTCAAGGGTGGGATGCATACCATGGCGATTCGCAAATACCTGCACCAGGACTTCAAAGCATGGCATTCACGTCTTTTAGCTCGCAAGGATATCGAAGCCTCACTGGACAAGTACGCGACACAATGCGGGCAGGTTTTGCACGACGACGTTCACGACAGGGTTCACGATATCATGGAGAGCAAGATTATTCGGGATTTTGTCGGGCCTGATGGCTTGCGATTCATGGATTGCCCCGATGACGAACTGAGGCTCATCTGGGGCTTTGCGTTTGACAGTTTTGATCCGCATCACATGAAGCCCGGCCGCAAGAGCATATCGTCTACCGCCATTTACCTCGTCCTCATGAACCTGCCCCCAGATCTTCGCTATCGCGAGGAAAACATGTTCTTGATCGGCGTTATCCCCGGCCCCGGAAAGCCTTCCTTGGACGAGATCAACCACTATGCACGACTCATTGTGGACGACCTACTCGTGTTCTGGAATCCCGGAGTCTACTTCTCCAAAACCGCCAACCATCCAAGCGGGCGTTTCTCTCTCGGTGCCCTCATCCCAATGATATGCGACCTCCCTGCCGCGCGCCAGATATCTGGCTTTGCGGGCCACTCAGCGACATATCTCTGTTCGATATGCCTTTTGGAGAGAGACAACATCGAGAACATCGTGAAATCGACCTGGACTTACCGCGATGTCACTACACATCGTCAGAGTGCTGAGACATGGCGTACTCTCAGGACGAAGCGTGCGAGGGTCGCCCATATTCGGGAAGGCGGGGTACGATGGACGGAGTTCCTGCGTCTTCCGTACTGGGACCCTATCCGGTTTACGGTTGTTGAGCCCATGCACACTCACTTCCTCCGCAATCTATCACACCACATATCATATGCCTGGGGCATGGACGCGTCGAGTCCATCTGGTGATGGGGTGTCTTGTCATAAGATGGACATCCCGCCGTGTGCTGCGAGAAACCGGACACAAGAATGGGTACAGAAGGAGGCGTTCTTATGGACTGCGACACAGGAGAGTCTGGAGCTGCAGCCGTACCCAGTCTTGTGGCACTTGTGCTATGATCGTGGCCTCCGGAGAGCGGGCTCTGTACGCATGCTCGCACGGCGTCTGATTGAATGGGTGTGTCTTATGCTATTGCAGTTGTATATGTCTCATGTAAATCATCCACAGCGCGACCATCAGCCCCCTGAAGTACGGGCGAGAGCGGGGTCCCTTCTAGGTGTTGCTCCGCATGCACCTACTCCGGTTGACGCTCATCGTACCCCTACGGGCACATCGCCATCACCGTTTTCGCTTGAGGCACAACCGTTGCCCGATCATGTCATGACGATTGCTGCTGGACGTCCGAGGAGCGGGGACACTGAACAAGTCTCCAGAGAGGACTCCGTACGCTCATCCGAGTCGAATTACACCGCGTCGAATTACACCGCGTCGAATTACACCGAGTCTAACTACACCGCGTCGAACTACACCGCGTCGAACTACACCGCGTCGTACTCGGACATACATGGCGAGAACAATATCGTCGGTACGCAGACATCTGCATATCAATCTGCTTACACAACCATGACTGAATCACCCTCAGGATCGCTAGACACTCACGGGGGATTGGATCGGACATCTTCTACAGCAGGGGCCAGTGGCTCTCAGGCTTCAACGACGTCTCTATCAAGCCAGGCTTGGACGGAGGATGATATCGCTAAGGCCGAGCTAGGGCTTGCCAAGGGGAATAAAAACCCCAACGTACGCGCAGCAGTACTCCAAGCCCTCTGCAGGAAGAATGGCATACCAAGCGAAGGGACAAAAAAGCAGCTCTGGGAACGACTTTCAATTTGGGTGAGTCTTGTACGGCGATTGGGTAACTTCTGCTAAGGATGTCTATAGACCGCCGCACACCCCGGGGCAGCAAATGAGATATCGCCAGATAGGAAAGCCGTTGTTCTTGGGGCTGATATGCTGCAAGAGGTATGGGATGACATAGATCGAATGCTTGTCCCTTCGTGCGTCTCTCCTGCGCCACGCAAGGTTGCCGCAAAGCCGGGAAAGCTAAAGGCGGACGAATGGCGCTCGTTAGGCATGATGCATTTAGTTGTGACCCTCGTACGACTTTGGGGCCATGAAGGAGGCCGAAGAGAGGAGATGCTGCACAATTTCATGCACCTCGTATCTGCGATCTTCATTTCGTGTCTTCGGTCAACAACCGCCGCACACATCAATGCCTACGACTTCTACTACACGACCTACCTCAGGGAGTTCATCTCTCTCTACCCCGAAGCACCCCTCCAACCCAGTAATCATCTTGCCCAGCATTACGATGAAAACCTGGAGGATCTAGGCCCCTCCCATGCCACACGAGCTTTTGGCCCCGAACGGTTCAATCACAGCTTACAGAATGTCCTAACGAACATGAAATCAGGTATGCAGCAATGACAGTGACTTCATTGCATATCTGACAGCTTATTAGGCGAACTGGAAATGACTATGATGTACCATGCAAACCGTGCAGCCAATGTGCGACCTCTGCTCACGAACGGTAACCTCCCTCCAGAGCTGTCGGTACTGCAGACTTCATTCGATACCGCATTCGAGTCGGAGTCTCGGGGCACAAGGCTCAATGACATGCTGGGCCTCGGAGACGCAGCGAGACTGCAGGTCAAAGAGTTCTCGTCCTCGATTCGCTTTACGACTGACGAGGAGAGACGTCTGGTAATCAACTACGTCGGAAGACATGACCTCAGCGGTGTGTATAGACCCACAATGCGCGATTGAGAATCAAAGTTTCTTACGGTCATACAGGGATCGTGTCGTGTTCTGTGATGCGAACAAACGGCTTCAACTTCCGGCCATTCTTCAGGAGTCACCATGATGCCAACATACTCATGCGGTCATGTGAAGAAGTGTTTGATATTACTGACCCAGAGTTGCCTAACATTGAGAAGATTGGAGTTTCTCCTGCCCAAGTTTCACGGATCCTTTGGGAAAAGGAGTGTCCTATTGGGGGGCCGCAGAGGAATCCCACTCGAGGAATCTTCCTCATTGTGCAGCGATACCGGCCCCTTGGCCAGGACGCTTGCGAAGATCCATATCGCCGTTTCGGATTTGCCGTTGCAGGCTGCTTGTTCTACGAAGATCTGTTGCCCCCGGAGATAATATGTGCGCAAGATGTTGTCTGCCCATTTGCACGCACGCCGTACCATGGGACGTCGGACTCTGCAATAGTCAAGAACAGGATCCATGCATTTCCAATTGTTAAGGTACTCCCAGCGTTTCGAATGGCGAGTGCTTGGCATGATTTTTAACTCCCTCTGCAGGATTTGTACCCATCACCGCGTTCAAACGGCACACCTGGGAGGGGCCCGCCGGGGGACTCAGTAGAAGACATGGTCGACGTCACGCGTACATGACTTTAAAGGCGACCTGTAGTTTTGTTCTTAATGTGTATTTCGTGAGCTCGAGCGACCAGCGAACCCATTCACCGCGACTTGGTCCTGCCGGCGAACAGAATATTATACTCATCTTCAAAATATCATCGTTATGGATATTGCCTGCTGTTGCCATATTGGGCACAGGGCAGTCCAATGCGAAGTCGTGGCGCCAGTACGCGCCTCCTCATCCACCCATGATCAATTTGCCTTGTACGTTGCTACTGACGAGACCTTCGATTAGTCGCTGCCACCACTGATGCTTGAACGCAGCTGCAGTCCTTGAATATGGACCAGCTGGCTGACGGGGACAACGACAGTCGAAGTGGCGACCCGTGCGCATCTTCCGCTCAACTTCAGATGGCCGTGGCCGCCGCATCTGCCCCGGTTCTGACTGGCTCTACACCTCCGCCAACGTCTGCGCCGTCAGGCACTGGATATACCTCGCGTCCGGGGTAGCCAATTTCACAAAACGGTGCGTAGCCGGAGGTTAAAGGGTTCACCCCGGACGTGAGGATCACGAACTCTTTCACAAAGACAAACGGCTGGATGAAAACGAACGATACGCCGTCGCTTGCTTGGGCTAGTGTTGTGAGTTGCACTTTGTTCGATATTATTTGTGCGAACGCTCAAGGGGACACGCTTGCAGATCAACTCAAAACGTTCATTGTTCGCGTGCAACTACACGTCCATACCTGTCCTCCTTCTCAACCTCAATCTGTCTAATCTCACGTGGACCTCACCTTGCTCCATCACGTCGTCGCGCTGCACTGCTCGCTCTGCTTTGCGTCTGTAAGCTGACGATTCGCGCGACATCGCACTCACCTGGAAGTCCGGGAATCCATGAGTCAAGCACGAGTATGAACACATCGCCGATACCAAGAGACAAGAGCATCCGCAGGTGTTCCCTGGGTACAAGTTCCAACCGGTGAAGAAGGAGGACAAGGAGAAACGCAAGGAAGAGGAGAAGGCTGAGAAGGCGAGAGTGAAGGAGGAGCTGAAGAAGGCCAAGTCGCGTCACGTACCGTACGTTCAGCAGGATCTCTTCGTCCCGGGGCCGCCTCCCCAGCTCCCGCAACCGCCTTTTGTGCATCTCAACCACCCCTACCGCCCCGCGCTCTCCACCACTCTCGGCCGCCTCGTCGCCGACCTGGACGCCCAGTCCCTTGTCTGTCGCTGGCGACTTCCCGGGGGAGGACGACGCGCAGGACGTGAAGATGTCCTTCCCTGGACGTCCGTCATGTTGCCGCCGACGGAGAAACGGCCACGGGCTGGGAAAGGAAAGCAACCTGCGTACGATTCACGCATGCCCCCGCCTCTCGTACCAAGCAAAGTGTAGCCTGCGCCTGTGTCGCTCACGGCCGAGCGCATCTCGCCCCCCTGGGCCTCGAGTTCGCAGACTGTCGAGCTACCCATGGTGGACGCGTCGTCTGCCTCAACATCCGCTCCCGCGGATGCTCCGAACATCGTAGTATCTGCAGCAGACTCAGGATCCTCGTCTGCGGAGCTGAAGGGAGAAGACTGCGATGGATGTATCGAATGATACTGGACCGTCGAACATGGACCCCGACTATAGGTTCATGAACTCAACCCTTTTGGAGCTGATGGGGTACGTGTTTTTCTCGTCCACCAGACGCGTCGTGGCCTTCACTGATCGACGTGTGAGCTACAGGACATGATGCAGTCCGGCATGCCTTTGTCGGACCTCTGAGGGCTGGACTGTGTCCAACCGTAGGCCCTGGACGACGGCTTCAGCGGCGCAAACGCCAATGCTACGGGGGGAGCCAGGAGAGTACGAGCTTACGCCTGTCCAAATGACGGAGTTCAACGTGTTCCCGCCGCCGGGCGCGAACATCGAGGTCGGCGTCATGACCGGGCCCCTGCGCACGCACTCGAGGAGGTCTACCTACGTGTTCGCGGAGCTGCTCGACGGGCTCGACTGGTCGACCATGTCTGGTGGATCGATCTTTGGCTCCTTGCAGAGCGAGGGTGCCGACGGGGAGGCGGGAGGAAGCGGAGACGGGATGGACATGGATGGGGTTGACGCGAACCCGATGCAGGAGCTGCGACGGAGCGTTGATCAGAACAGCCTTCGGTTTCAGGGGGGCTTCAGGCCGGGTTCTTGCTGTATGTGCTAGGTACGTCGGATGCCTAGCTTGCGCCGCCGTGCAGCCACTGATGCTTGAACGCAGGTCTCACTACTGGTGTGGTCGTCGACACCGGTGACGATTTCACGATGGCTTCGCTCTACTGCATCTCACACGTTGGCTGAATATGGCTGGCCGGGACGTAACGCGGTATCTGATCAAGGTTCGGCTCATGCGAGGTACACGGTCGAACAAGCGGGTGACTTTAAGACTGTCCGAGAGATCCAGGAGAAGCTGTGCTATGTCAGGTGCGTGAAATCTGAAGAAAACCAGTCGGAAGCCATTGGACTCACCGTCAGCTACGATATGTACCTCGACATAAGACTATCGGAGGCAACAGTCCTCGTGGACGCAGTAAGTGCACGTCGATACGAGAGTTTGTGCGTCTGCTCACAGTGCGTCCAGCTGCTGAACGGCTGACTGATCAAGAGCGATTCGCAGCGATCTAGTGCATGTTCCGGCCACACCTCGTAGACGTTGAGCAACCGGGCGTATCAATGATGCTCTTCCAGGCCATCCAGGATGCCGTATCGTGTCCTACGTGTACCATGGCCTGTGAAGCTGGCTGGAGAAGGACATGGACCAACTCTACCTCATACAAGTGCTCGGCGGTGACCCGTCGCGCGACGGCTCAAGGTATGCTCCACACGTCCCGCGTATGATGGCTATGCCGAACGTCGAACGTCCTGATAATCCCTCATAGAAATCTAAGACTCACTGCGCAGAAAACGCATGGCGTTCCTCGGCGGTGTAGTGCTCGCAGACATCTTGAAGAATCAGGAAGGATTCTGGGTATCGCACAGGGAGTCGTTCGGGCAGGCTCCGCTCGCTAGACAAGCTGACGGCGGGGTGAACGGTTCCGCGCGAACTGTGTTCCGTTCCAGCGCAGGTAGGTCATGTACGTAGCTCCCTAGTCAGCATCTCATGAGCGCTGACTCGCGACTGCGCTCACAGTTCAGTCAAGATACGCCATCTTCCCATATGGGGGTGGCGCCGACATGCACGAACACCACCTTGATGTGATTTCACTCAAACACGCCCGCCATTTGTGTTGCAAATCTGCATGAATCAGTATGCGAATGGATGCGAATGATGTCGTGAATGGACGCAAGTCGCTTCTTCGATTTACACGAGTGGAGGCGAATTGTCTTTGTGGGTGGAGCGAATTGTTTTGTGAGTAGGGCGAATCATTTGGCGAGTAGGGGGCGAATCATTTGGCGAGTACGGGCGAATCGTTTATGGAATATGGGCGAATCGTTTGGCGAATCGCAAACGCGTTTGACCGACACAGAGAATTTCTGGCCGCCTAACATAGTGACGAACCATGCAGTATGTCAGGCTTCCGAACATCCATTCTGGGCTTTCCGTATTTGGCCGCCTTACATCACGCCTTTTAGTGGGCCGAACATAGCACCTGCTAGGGTGCCGCAAATACATAATGCTCGGCCCACGTACATTGTCCTTACATCATAAATTATATCCGCTTTGTTCTGGGCCCGCACATGGCTTCTGGAAGGGCGTCGCGCATTGCGCGAGCATTGTCCTAACATGCTCAATGATCGACCTCTGCGCGGCCTCCTAACATGGCGACAAACACGACCAATGTCGTGTCACCTGACATGCGGTGTTTAGTCTGCAATGTGAGGGCCTCGAACAAAGAGCGTGACATTTCCACTTTTCGTCCAGTGTTAGGGGGCCTTAGTCCGCCGCTTACTAATCTACACGGTCTTCCAATGTTAGGCCAATGTTAGGCGCTGCCACAACCCAGTTTGTCCCCAGTGTGTATTCTGAATCTTCTTTGCTCACGGCTCTCTGTCGGTTCCAGCGAAATCCTTGTAAATGCCCTTGACATGTCTTTCTTCGGTTTTGACAACCAGATCGACCTAGAAAGTGAAAGGCGCAGATTTCTCGAGGGAGAAGGGCAGGGGCAAAGGGAGGACATCGCGGTGTATACATGGGGCGAACAGGGCTATGACGGTCTTGGAAACGAGTTGCAGGAGGGCGGCGATGATCTGAACGATGAGACGTTTGGAGCATCGGGACAGGTTGGTGAGTTCCTTCGGTCGTCTGCCGCACAAATCTTGGTACTGATGCAGAGTGATCAGGCAAGGACTTCGACTTCTCGCAGTCCGTCTTACCTTCGGATGGTTTGCCTCAAGCAGCCCCTTCCCGCGCTCAGCAGGCAGCGACCCAGATTCTGGAGCAGCCCCCATCTCAGCCTGTCCAGTCGTCCGCACCGTGTATGATGCTTTCAACCTTCCCGGTCTCATGCGTCTCATACTCTCCGTGTAGCCCGTTCAACGCACTCTTTGGAATCTGTGTGGGATGACAAGTCTCCCTTTTCCGTTCTTGGGCGCATGAGTGGGGCGAGCCGGGCGACAGAACAGCATCATGCGTCGCACACTCCGTCACAGTCGCAGTCGTTCAAGTTCTCTCCATTCGGTTCGACTAGCAATGACGCCCTACCTGCTTCTCAAACTTCAGGCGGGATGAGCAGTGGCCTGGCGAAGGGTGCCTACACGCTGGAAGAGGTAGAAGCGGAGATGCGCGCCAAGGCAGCCCTGCAGCATCAACAGCAGCAACAGCAGCAGCAGCTTCACATCGCACAACCTAGCTCCCTCACGCAGGCCCAACTTCGTGGACAGATCCCGCGTCAGGGCACGCCTCAGCACGCAGCTTCGCCACCTCCGCGTATGCACCCACATTCCCAATCGCCGCGCTTCCACCAACAGCAGCAGCAGCATCAGATCCACCTCATGCATATTCACCAGCAGCAACAGGAGCGCCAGCTCCTCGAGCTTTCCCGGCAGCGCGAGCGGCAGAAGCTGTTGCAGGAGCAGCAGCTTCTCCAACAGCAGCAGCAGCAACAGATCATGGAGCAGCTGCGCCTGGAGGAGATCGAGCGTGCGCGACAGATCCGATTGCAGCAAATGCAATCCGCGAACCACCTTCATAGTCCCCTTCTACATCAACGACAGAGCCCAGCGCTGTCCGATAGACATCCGCGTTCAATTGGTCGCCAGTCCCCTGCCATGGTAGCCGGCGTCGGTGGGCTCGGCGGCGCACCGGTAGACGTGCCCTTCCAGCAGAGCATGTCGTACTTGCCACAGGACATTCAGTTGCAGCAGCGTCTCCTCGCAGAGATGGCCCAAGCAGAGTTCCTGAATAGCATGCAGGGCGGACCGCAGAGCGAGCGCGAGATCAGGGAGGAGCGCGAGATGCAAGAGATTCTGCGGGCGGAAGCCATGCGCAAGATCATGGAGGCGGAGCGCAGTGATCAGAAGCGTAGGCGAAAACAGGCGAAAATCCAGCATATGGTGCGTGCCCTTCGTTAGCAGGCTGCAGACAATCCGGGTATTCACCATGGGTTTGTAGTCGCGCTACAACGATCTGATGACCCAGTCGGACAAAGACTTCATCACTCGCATACAGGTCTCGCAGCTCGTCACGCAGGATCCATATGCGGACGATTTCTACGCGCAGGTCTACGGGGCCCTCATTCGCTCACGCATGGGCGTGCAAACTCAGGACGATCGCATTCTCAAGTTCGGCTCCGGTGTAGGTGTCGGTCTTGGGCCCGGTCAGAAGGGATCTGGACGCCGGCCCAGCGCGATGCAGCGTATGGAGGCTCAGGTAGAACGGATTGTCAACAACGCGAAGATGAGAGAGAAGGAGAAAATCAGTGGGTTGTTCTCCCCGCGCCGTCTAGTCTCTCTCATTGTGTATCCCGAATAGCCCTCAACAGTCTCCAAGGCGCGTTGGGCAAGACGTCTGGTCGCAGCTACAAGGCTGCCCCTCGTCAGCTTCTCCAGGTCGATTCGTCCTCCTCGCCCACACCGTCGCCTGCACACGCACACATCTCCAAATCGGACGTAGAGCCGCGTAAGGATGGGCTGAGCGCTGCGCATGAGGCTGCAAAGATCGGACACCAGGCTCTGGGCGGTGCCGCAAATGTATGCTCTTGCCCTCCGTCTTCGTTGATGTCGAATTGACGAACATCGTCATCAGAGCGAGGGTGTCATTGCCAAGGACCCGCTGACGCATCGAGAGGCCCTCATGATTCTGGAGCGCTTGTACGACCTTGTACTCGACATCGAGCAGCTGCGTCGCGATCAACCCTCGCCTGAGGATGACCCAGAAGCTCAGGAAGCTTGGTATGTGGGCGTGAGCAGAAGCGTTGACCGTACACTTATCTTGCATATCGACGTGCAGGGAAATCGAATTGAGCGCTCGAGTGGAGCAACTGTCGAATGGCCTTCGTCTGAATGTCTACCTTGAGACTAGGTCCGTTTTCCCTCGCATTACAATGGACCTCTGACTGAACACTTCGGATTTCATAGCGTCCCGCACCCATTCATCTCCCTTCTCATGCCGATCAAGGGCAAGAGGCTGCTTCCGCGCGTTGCACGCCACCTTCCCTCAGAGCGATTGCTGATCATGCTCTCGCTCATTATCGCCTGTTTCTACCAACTGGACGTTGTCATCGAGTCCCCTATGCTCGACACGCTGGAAGAGACCGAGGAACGCACAGAATCGGAGCATCACTCGCAGGTCTTCTTGTCCAGCCTCGTTCAAAGTGTTCTGCCTGCCATCGGCAAGTTGGGCCTGGACATGCTGACGGGGCTGCTGGGCATGCTGTTCAAGTACAACGACGTCGCAGCAGTAGCAAGGACTCCTGTGAGCCCATTTCATATTTTGCGGCAGTCCGTCTGCTGACACGTACATACCCGCAGGCTGGAATTGCCTTGCTGACGATGTTTCTCAGCCGGGTGCAGAACATCAAAGAGGCGATCTCGTCGACGCCAATGGCGATCTCAGAACCTGAGTTGCCGACCCCCGAGGATGAGCGGCGATGGTACGACTTTCTCCTCCAGCCTGAGCTTTATACGTACTGACCCATCTACAGGCAGGAAGTATTCGATGAGCTGTTCAATGTGCTCGCGCCAGGTCTGCTGCTCCTTTTCCCTTCCATCCGCATTTCCAAAAACAGCGGGGGTATACCCTACGGGAAAGTCCCAGGCACGGATGACATCGATCAGCCAGTGTGGCAATTCCTGGCGGCGATGGCAGTACACTCGTCCATGGAACAGCAACAGTACCTCGTGACAGCGCTGCGCGAGCTCGTACTGGAGAATGTCAGCTCTGTCCGGAGGGGATTCGTCGCCAGCGAAGAAGAGCGAGAGAAGCGGCTGAGCAACGTCGACATATTGATGCGCGCTTGGGTCTCGATAGCTCTCAAATTGCTGTGTAATATAACGACAATGCTTGGCATATCTGGACAACATCATCAACTAGTACTGTATGCTCAGAGCCTACATAGTATCAAGGAAATATTGAATCATTGTAGACCGAGAAGCGGATCACGGAGGCATAGAAGATCCCAGACGTCGTGTTGCCCATGCGGAGGTCTTCACAGCCCGTCAGCTCAGTTCTCCGTACACGACCACGTTCCTGGAGTGTCTCTTCGGATGCGACGAGGCCAAGAAGATCGAGAGTAGGCAGATCTGTCCATAAGGGCAGTTGCCCCTGCGGGAGATCTAGGAGGCCAGTGGAGCTGTGCCGAGTAGGCTCTGGTAAGGGCATGAGAGGTAGGAGGAAGAGCCTCTTCTTCCGCAGATAAGTCTCGATGGGGACGTCCTTGACATGCGAACCGACTTCGAGGTGGTTCGTGGATAGCGAGACGTAGTCTGCGTAATTGGGATAGAGCATGAGGTATCCACGCAAATAGGCAAGCTCGATGAAGTATTTCTTCCACGACCGCGTCCATTTGTTTGATCGGACTCCAGGAACTACGACTTGATCCGCGTCCCACGCGTACTCAGACAGCCGGAAGGAGAGGTAGGCATGGAACTCGCGCCAATGTTCCGGGAAGTAGACTGCCCCCAGCTACAAGGGATTTGCGAGAGGTATGGCGTGGATGGGTCGTTCCGGCCTTTGGAAGCGAACGTGTTGCGAGCGTTGAAGGGATGTCTCCCTTCCGGTCGTAGTTCGAGGTGCTTTTGCTGGTAGAGACTGATTCCGAAGAGCTGTGGTGACGCATCCTCAGGACGCCCATACCTAGTAAAAATCTGTGAGCGCGCATAAGACAAGAGTATAGTCTACCCACCTATAGCGAAGGAGAGTGAGTTTGATCCAACCATAGAACAACGGTGATAGCTCTACGTCATCCTCCAGGATTAGGCCGTACGAGTCGTTTGACTGCGGGTACCACGATTCCACGACAGCAGGGAGGAGACCTCCATGGATGATGCGGCGATGAAGAAACATCCTGCCATGATCCCAGGTGAAATCATTGACGATCTGCTGCGTCTCCCAGTCTGCCGTTTGTTCGATGTTGATGCGAATGTCTAGCTCGTCTCCGAAATAGCGAGCGCGAGACAAAGAGTTCAGAAGCCGTGAGAGGGATTGCGGTCGATCATTAGTGATAACGGAGATGGCGACCTCTGGTTTGTGCCAGTCTGCCGAACCGTCAGTACAGAAGCCTTCACGAGAAAGTCGGCACTCACTTCGCAGCTCATCAAGACTGAGTGAACCAACCCAGTCAGAATATGGGAGATCACTGGGAGGGATATGTACGATTGTCGGCTTGCGATCATCAGCTTCTCGCGAAAGCGACAATGTAGCCCCCAGTATCGAATTCTTAGGGAGCGAAGTGATGATGACGTCCGACGGTGAAGACAGCCCATCCAACCATGCGAGAAGCATTGCCGCACTTTTCATTGCGTCTTCGCCGCGCAAATTATGGTAAGCGAGAGAACATTCCTGGGGAAACAGTGGTGATGTTTGGCCAGGGGGTTCCAAGATGAGCGGGTCGCCGAGAACAGCGATATGCAGAGTATGTCCGTTGCTTTGCAGTCGGCAAGCAGCCAAGGAGAGATGCTCTAGGTCATCCGCGGAACGTACAAGAATGGCGAGTGAGCCAAACCCAGAGGGACAGACATCGTTCCAGAGAGGCTCATCAGCCGCCAGCGAGTCTCGGCTCTCAGTACCCGAAACCGATGTTTGTGCGGTGGATGCTTGTACGATGGTCGAGTGCTCTTCATTCGATGAAGCCACGAGCGCACCCTCTTGAGGACACCAGCCAGACCCAGCAACGTCGGAGCCAACCATAAAACCGCCGACAGCATCACTTCGAGAATCGGAGACTGTTTTGCCGAAGATCCTCCAGATGTTGTGTCTACTGCTTCGCTCTGCGTAGAATCCGGGGTACATAAAGAGGCGAGCAGGGGCAACGAACGGGGGAAGGAGGAAGTCTGCAGGCTGAGGTATCTCGGAAGCCGACAGACAAGCGGAGTCGGTGCCAGCGGACGTCGCCCCTCGGGGTCCGATAGGAACAGCCGATGAGAATGGCGACAGCAGTGTCAATGCGTCTCGACCGCGTTCGTCAATATTCTCGAGCCCATCTTCATCCGAAACGAGGAGAAACGAGGTTGTGGCCTGTTTTGATGCGTGAAGAGTAGCGGAGTCCTTGTCCATTCCGGTCAGCCAAGGAGTCATAGAGAGCTCGACATGAATCAATGGATCAGCAGCAGAAAGGACAGACAGAATGATCTTCCTGCATTCAGCCTGTAGCGCTTCCTCTGGAACTAGTATTATCTCCGTGAGGTAATCCGAGCGATCGACGAGGGTGTGAAGCCGCTCCTCGAGTTTTGCTATTGACGCAGACGTGACAGGAAGCACAGCAGTCAGCGAAGGAGTCTCCAGTGATAGTTCTTCGCCTAGTTGCAGATGTTCCAGAATAGAGCTGTTATCAAAGCGTGTCGTAGACGCGTCTTGAGAGCCCCATACTTCAGACCCATTTCGACGCTTGCCAACGAGTTCTCCCATCCGGAAAGCGAGCTCCGCATGGTTTGGCGCTTCAATATGAGCAGCATGCGTCCCAGACAGTATAGCGTATTGGAAAGCGCACAAGCCCAGGCAAGTAATCGCCAGGGTCAGAAGCGCATACATTTTGAATGATATGGGTCGCGTTCGCTTGCGAGGTCGCACCACGAAAGGATGCGCGAGAGCTGGGGGCATATGCTCTGATATAGCGTCACTAGCGTAGCCACCATTCAAAGTCTCCAGAGCTGCATGAGTCAGGGCTGGAAGAGACAGAGTGCTCGCAGTGGTGGGCGTTGTCGAACAACAGTGCTTTCCTGTTTGGGAGATCATATCGTGCGTTGCAGTGGGCGCTTATTCGAAGAACATTTTGGCCTGCAAGCTTCACTGGTAGCTGAGATTTGCCGAGCGAGCTCAAGACCTCCACTTTTCCTTGGTCTTCACCAGAACCTCTCTCTTACACATAATGGCACCCCCAAAGACAGGAAAGAAGGCGGCTACGCAGAAAAAGGAGAAGCTCTTCCATCCCCAGTCCCGGAAGGCGGAGCAGTTAATCCGAGTGCAGCACCGCAAAACGAAGCTCGCAGACCAGGCCAAGGCCAGGTTGGACAAACAAAAGATCCAAGGTACGCATGCTTTCCCTGATAGAAATGGTAGCGTCTCACCTGGGAGTGTGTAGCGGATATATTCTCGTTCTTCTACCACGCCTTGCCTGCGGAAGGTGTCTTGTCGTTGGAGAGTTTGCACACAATTGTCCGGGACGTCTGGATTAAGCGATTTGATGAAGACCTGGAGGAGGAGAGGAAGTCTCGCCGGAAGGGTCGACCAAAGAGCACCCGCGAGCAGAAGCTGGAGGAACTCCAGTCGCAGGAGGCCGAGCTCTATCGCACAGGAATGGGTAAGCACCGTACATGCAGCTCAACCCGAACATCCCTCACACGTTGCATCCAGAGGTTCTTGACCTCACTGATCCCTGAATGTGAAGTTATTCCGACTGTGGGATCAGAAAGAAGTAGCCTACATCAAGCAGCTCCGATTCGTACGAATCTCGAGGGAATCGCCGGATCTAGTCATCTGTCGAAACCCGGACAACACCCATCCCTTCCCGTAAAACCGATGCCCCGTGAATCTGAGGACCAGGAGATGGATACAGACGAGCCCTCTCCTCATGCAACCACCTTCACGTTTTGCTTCCACGATCATGTCCATGGACGGGCCTGCGTAATGCCTGCCCTTATGTATGGCCCGCCCAGTATATCATAGGGACTTCATGTGATGCCGATAGGCATCTGCTCGGTGGGTTGATCCACGACAATTATATATCTCAACGTCCGCCGTGCGTGTAAGCGTACAACTATCCTCTCCCCTTCACACCACTACATCCACGAAGACACCCCGCGCGCAACCCGCCAACGCGATGGGTCAGCCCTCTCGATCCATACGCGAGCAAAATCCCGTAATCAGATCCTCACCCGACTCACTGCGCGTACACCACCTCTACAAAGCGCTCGTCATCCTCCATCACGGAACTGCGACTGGCCGGCGCAGAAGGCTGCGAGTCCAAGTCCCACTCCCTCCTCAGCCTGTTGTACACCAGCTTCAGCGTCGTCGCCGCGCCCTTCTCCAGCACCAAGTTCAGAAGCACCGCGTACCCCGCCATGGTCTGGATGGAGCTCGGCCGATGAACTTCCACCCGGAAGCGTACGCCCTTGAGCGAGGACATTGCTCCCCGGGTATCGCGCGAGTCCTCGAGCCAGCACTTGAGGGTGAACGTGTCCGAGTCAGGGGAGCTTGGGTCCTCTGATGGCTCGTATGCCAGTGCGGAGGTGACGCCCATCTGCTCGAGCAGCTGGCGGCAGACGCTCACCGAGCGGTGCGCATCTGCGATGACAGGAGGTGGAACTGCGTCGGCTTGAACTTGAAGAGCTGCGGGAACCAGCGCGTCTAGGCGTGGAGGAGAGGACGAAGGACGACCCCGTCGACATCGCGACGGATGCTGGAGAGGTGGGCGACGGTACGGGGCTGCGCCTCTTCTTGAGGCGACCCCTCTCGATGACCGGCGGCTCCAGGATCTGCACGCGTCGCCCGCTATCTGTACCGTATGCAGAGGACTTCCGCGCTGGTGAATGCATGTATTGAGCCCCGAGTCGTGTGTTGACAGTGAGACGGGGGACATTCTCCTTGTCGACGCCCGTGAGTGACTTCGCAGGAGATCTCGGTCGGACATTGAGAGGCTGCGTCGTCTTGCTTTGGGCCGAGCCCTCTGCGCCGAACACATCGACTGAGGGCATGCCTCGTCGTCCCAATGGAGTCTGCATGTTGCGCCCGGGGCTTCTCGGATCCATCGAGTAGGGCGTCGATGGCGGGGCACCCGTCGTTCTGGGCGATTGGACGGAGTCGAGCGGCGGCGCCCCTCCCGGCTGCATGACGCTGAGATGTTCTGCGACCTGAAGCATGAATTGCTGGATCCGCTCGTCCTGCATCACGTTGCCATGGTGGACGGCGGGACTCGCAGGTGTCGCGGGCAGGGGTGACAGGAGAGCTGATGTCGGCGTAGCTGCGCTGACAGAAGAGGGCTGCTGCTTGCGCGGCGTGGACGAGGTGGCCATGTTGTTCAGAGCGAGACTCGAAGTCAAGAACGATAGCTGTCGCATCTGGCTCAGTCCTCGGCTCGGCGACGGCGATGCCTGCGGCAGCCCCTCTCGCGCTGCCCGACTCGGAGTGGGAGGCCCCGTGCGAGGAGGCAGAGAAGCTAGGAGCTCCGAGCGCCCCCTCTGCATCTCCCTGTCCTGCTTGCCCGCCGCTTCGAAACGCGCTTCGCCAAGAGCTTCTCTTCGTCCTCGTCGTAATTCTCCATGTGGTTGGTGCGGTAGCGGACGAGGAGATGGTAGACACCCTTCTCCCAGGACGGCTCCTTGCTGAGAAGGCTGGCAATGATCTCCTCGTCGGGACGGCCGTGCCAGAGAGAGCGCAGGTTGCTGAAGAGATCAGAGTCGATGTCATCCTTGCTGCTGAGCGGCGCCGCGATCTCGTCCAGGTTCGGGACGTCGCAGTCCATCTTCTTCGGCGGCTGTGACGTGTAGAACGGGTGCTGCATGATCTCGGGATGGTGATGCGCTTCGCCACGTCCTTCGTGAGCATCTTGGAGATGAGGTCGCTCGCGCGCGGATCAATGTCCTTGGGCGCTTGGAACTTGCCGTTCTTCACCTTCTCGAGTAACGTCGTCAGGTCGTCGTCGTCGAAGGGCAGCCTACCGGCGAGCAGAGCGTAGAGGATCACGCCGCAAGACCAAGTGTCGGCAGACGCCCCGTTGTAGTGCGCCCCATGACACCTCCGGGGCGGCGTAGTGAGGGCTCCGCACGATGTCGGAGGAGATCGGCCTTGCCCTGCCAGCGGCCATCCCGAAGTCGACGACCTTATGTTCTTGTTGTGGTCCAGGAGCAGGTTCTCCGGCTTCAGGTCGCGGTGGGCGATATTGAAGCGGTGGCAGTAATGGACCGCGGTGATTATCTGCTGGAAGAAGCCGAGGGCCTCGGACTGGGGAGCCGGCCTTTCTCGCACAGGTAGTCGAAAGCTCCCCGCCCTCGACGTACTCCAGATGAGGTACAGCTCCGAGGACGTCTCCCAGACGTCGTAAGGCGCATGATGTTGGGGTGCTCAATGAGCTTCATGACGACGATTTCCCGCTCGATGCTGTGCAGGATGCGGTCGGCCTCGTCGCCCAGGCTACGCAGTGACATCCTGGAGGTCATTATGTTGGTCTTGGAGACAATCTTAACAGCAGCATATTGGCCCGTCTTGCTGTGTCGCGCAATACGCACGCGTCCTAGATTTTTCGTCAATAAAATACAATAGTGCTGAAACTCTGACGTACCACAGCTCCCCTTCCCGATGGTCCTGCCGATCTTCCACAACCCAATCATCTTCGGGTCGTCTTCCTTCTTGCTCCTGGGAGTGAGAGACATGGTGCCGACCGAATATGACGGATATAATGCCTATAGAGCTGTAACGCGAAGGATCGACCGGCGAACGTACGTGAAGCAGTGAGCAACTACGGGCGGAAATGTCGAGAGCTCCCCCGCCCGCGCCGTTTTGTAGAGGCTGGCATGAGGCTGGCCATGGGCTGACCGGCTCACCTTCCCGGCGCCGTGTTGCCCGTGGTCAATGTTGCAATGGCCAGAACCTCCATTGAACCTCCCGTCAGCCTTGTCACGTGGGCGCGCGACGTCGACACCGCCGATCGCCCGCCATCACGGACGTTTTGAGAACGTAAGTTGACGCTCTCTGGGAGTTGTGCGTCCTGTCAACGTCCTGTTGCAAACGTTCAGCGAAGGCCGCAAAGTACACGGCTCTAGGGTGTGGCAAGGCGCTCAGAGGAGTTCTTCGACGTAGAACACGAACAAAGGTCCAATAGCCATATCTAGTGACTCGACGGTAAGAAAAAAATTCAAGACCTGGTGAGGGAGAAGGGTGGTCTGAATGACCCCGGTCATTGTTTTCAATTCGCAATAGGCCCAATGATCACAACGTCTATTCACGCCAGTGCGTGGATGCGTGCGATACACTGGGTTACAATCTGGCACTTGGAAGACATATTTGACAGAAGTGGGCGAATGTGGACACAAGGGAGACGTCATCTCATTTGCAATAGAATTAGAGATGCAGATGCGAAAGAACAAGGCAAAGCGAGAAGCACGGTATTGAGGCACATACTGATAGATCTACATGTCTGAAAGCCTCGTAGGTCTGTACGACGGTTGCATGAAGACCATGTCAGACGGTGCACCGTGACTGCATGTCAACCGTCATGATGCTGCAATGTTGTGTTAGACACTCTGTCGCGGAGAAAGCAGAATGATACATCAACGCACCGACGGATATCCCTGTATTCCTGACCCGTTCAATCACCGTCGATCGCCCCCAACAACTTCCATTAGACCGAAAGTAATGAATCAGGCTTCGGAAGTGGGTGGATGAGCCGTACGCAAGCAGAGAATGGCGCCTTGACGCAATCATCAAGAATCGTTGAATGCAGTGCCAGATATGCGTGGGGCACAGAATCGAGTGGCACAATGAGACAGACTAGAGCTGCGTTCAGATCCGGCCCTTCTTTACACCATGAGTGATCCCTCGCCGTATTGCCTCGATCGGAGCCTCCAGAAATCCCTCCCATACGTCGTGGGCGCCCTGAGCTGCAGAGGATGAGTCGCGCGGTGCAACTCGCGGGAGAGGTCGCATTCATTCAAGACGCTTGACCGGCTCAGCCTTGTGCTGTATGGCGATGCAGCGCAAACAAGTGTGGGACGGAGGTGCATGCGAAGAGCATGTGTCGGAAACCTGACTGGCAGTGAGCAGAGTACTGAGAACGCCTTAGCATGCGATCGGGAGCGCGGCGTTGATTAGAGGCGGTTGCGTCGAAACTACGATCCCAAAAAATCGCGCAAAAACACGTAGAAATTGCTCTTGGATGCGGGAGCGATGCCTTAGCCAGGAGGACGACGAGCTGGGAGAGGTGAGCAGTTGGCGAGCGGGACCGCATCGCTGGGGAACTGTGGCGTTATCGTCGCTGAGTTTGGAGGGCCGCGGCGGTCTGCGCTTAGACCATCACCCCGTTTCGAGCCACACCCGGCGACCAACGCGTCCACGCCGCGCTGTCGCGCAACTTGCTCTTGCTCTGCTCCTTCGTGCATGTTCTTCCCTGTGGACCCAGGCTGTGTGTGTCTCAAACTGGACCTGGAGATCGCAATGTGCTCAGCCGGCAAGATTGATTTTGCGTGGCCGAATTTACGGCTGGAAATGCTCGCGGTGGTCTCGCTTGCGTTCTGAAGACATGCTGCATATTTGCTGCGCTGCAACTGGGCTTCCCCTTGCGCCTTGAAGACGAGCACGAGGACATCTTCACTCGCATGGTGACCAAGTCTTCCCGGCCAAACGACGACCAGCAGATTCGCTGCCAGTCATCTGCGGTCTCTTCATGACCGCGGGGCGCAGTGCCAATGCCCCCTTTGCGCACACTCGTCATGCAGTCTGGAGTTCAGCGACATCACGGATGGGAGGATACTCATCATCATTCATGCGAGAATGTACGGAGGTACGTCTGGTGACCCCCTTCCTTCTGCGTATGCATCCCATGCCAAACGTGTCGTGGCATGCACATCTAGGTGCTGTAGATATCGCTGGGCCGACGGCGGGGTCTGCGCCCACAGCATCACGGCGGCGGTTGCTGTATCTTCCCTCTTCCGACTTCAATGCGCTTGACGCACAATCTTGGGCACACATTCTTGATCACGCATTGCGTCTTGAAGCAGACCTTTGGGATCACACAGCACGCATTAGCCTTGTTGCAGTGAAGCACTTGCTGGGAGGAGGCAGAAGTGACTCGCCTGATGCGCCTTCTTATCGGCGGCGGCGGGCGTGACGGCGTGACGTCGGGTCAGACGTCACGGGACGCGCGCCCGCGTCGAGCGACGGCGGGCGTCGTGCTCTGCATCTGGCATCAGGGTCGTGGCTGTTCAGAGGAGAGGGGCGGAGGATCCGGTGTGCGTGCGGAATGCGCACCTGTCTGTGTGGTGGTGAGTTGCGCTCAACGTTCGGCGGGGCGCCGTCGCCGCCCGATGCCCACAGTGGTGTCCTCGAGAGCTCGGCGGAAGTTGTGCACGATTCCGCTGTCCTGTTCATGGGGCGATGTCGCAGGGCACTCTGCGGCTCAAACTTACTGAACGTACAGCCGAGGCGGTTTCCTTCTGGCTTACAAGCATGCATAGAGCCCAGAACTCAAAGAGAGGACTTGGGGCATGCCGGCAAGAACCAGCGTGTCCAGGCCTCAGGCCGATGGCTGTAGAACCATGATGTTGTTGAATGCTGCTGCTTTGCTCCCCAGTAGATATTCAGGTTGACCATTTCACAGGAATCCCAGAGCACAATGAGCCGCAGGGTCAACAACGATCGAGCGCGGAAGCAAATCGCGCGCGGCACAGTCACAGTCGCAGCGCTACGCCTTGCCGATCCTAAACCGAATCCAGATATTCCCCGCCGTGTTTACGCGATGTCCCTGCCTCGTTTGATGCACTATAAAAACGGGCGAGCCCTCGCCCGGAACCTTGTCGCTTTCCTCGTCTTTCCTCCCACCTCCAGCCCGCGGGTGTCGTGTCCTGGGTGCTCACCACTACGACGAGCCTGTTGGTCTGTGGTGCGAGCGTTGACATGGGTCTGGGACACTATCCTCTTCGCTTGCCCAGCTACCGCTCAGCGCACGGACGACGGTACCACCCGTACCCGGCAGTGAGACGCCACGCAAACAACGATGAGTTCTACATGGTATGCCCGCGTGAAGGCAACGTATGCCAGCTTCCTCACAATGTCCGGGTTGTTGTGGGGCGTTTGCTGCAGGACCCAATCCCTGATTTTGACTTCGAAGCCGCTGAACACATGCTGGACGTGCCTCCGAGTCTGCAGCTGGTGCGTACAGTTTTCTTGGCTGCGTGCTGCGAATCCTCACTGGTATGAACGCGTCTTCTCTTGACAGCACCCCGTGCGGCGCGAAGACGACGACGACGACGTGACGGCGTTCGAATTGGACGGGAGCACTACAAAAGACGCCAAGAAGATGGCGGCAGGCGCTGAAAACAAGGTCGTCGTCGTCGTGGATAAGAGGCGGGCCGAAGGTGGTGAATTGAAGTCGACCATGGCGAAGCCCTCCAGCAGGCTGACCACAGTGAGTTCCTCTTCGTTGGCCAGTTGCAATCCACTGAATATGGCTAGCTGTATACACTGTTTCTCTTCCTCCGATATGCCCAAGACCTCCTCACCAAGGGCAGGTTGAAAGCCTCTCAACAGAGTTTGCGGAAGTGAGGGGGTCGCGTTTGAAGGCGCTTCGGTGGTTCCTCGAGTCTCATTGCTTTGCTTGGTTGTCTCCTCAGTACCGGTTTCTCAGTCGTCGTTGTCGTTTCTTCGCAGTCTTGATTATGTGCTTTAGTTGTTGCCGCTTTCGTCTTGAGATGAGTCGACGTCTGCTTGAGCTCACGTTATGATTATATTACTGCAATGTATTCGCAAGCCTAATCGTACTCACAACTGTCTGCCATGTTACAGTGCAGTTTAGTATGTAAACAAGGATGGAACCAGTTCTACATTCGCTATCCCTGGTCAGTCAGTTCATCCCGGTTCACCTAGTAGGTATCGCTGGCACCAGTCGACTTTGACACACTAGGTCTCGTCTTGTGTCACACCGGATGCCAAGACACTCATCCTATTCGCACAGTACCGTTGTAGCGAGTTAGATATGCATATTTGAAGAACCGTGATGCAGTATGTACGATGCGGATGGTCCATGAATCTTGAAGCTTTGAAGACGAAGTGTACAACAATCATGTACAGTCTGCTCAAACAGCAACTCCGCGCGGTCTCTTCCACGTCCTCGCGTTCATGTCGGCATCACCGGACTCTGCGGGACCACGGGCACCTGCATGCTCGGCTCCTCACCTCCCGCACTGGCAAGCGGCGTCGCCACCGCCGCTGTCCCTGGCGCATCTTGTGCCTGTGCCTGTGCATCGCCGTCCTCCCCAAATATATCCAGATACCCCGCCGTCCGCGCGCGGTTCCCCGCCTTCTTCACGACGTACTCGCGCAGGCCCGCCTTGAGACTCGGCTGCTTGTCCACGAGCTCGCGAAGCTGGTCCTTGGGCAACTGCAGCAGCGCACCGAAGCTCGCGGGCGCGATCAGCTTCGCGCAGCGGATGAAGCCCTCCCACAGCGGCCCGTTCGTCCATATCTTCTTGGTGATGAGACGGGAGAGGAGCGTGGTGGAGACGAAGCTGACGAGGGAGCGGTATGTGGTGACGGCTTGGATGACCTGAAGGGAATGGTGCATGAATAGGAGGTATGGAGTAGAGGATGGGAACGTACGGTTCGGAGGAAGAGCGTGGGGAGGACAGGTTCGTCGACGATCTGGTTCATGAACGCGCCGAGGACCTCCGAGCGGAAGACGTCTGTCATCGAGAAGCAGATACCAATCGCTGTGCCAGCACATGTCAATCAATCGACTTTTGGAAGGATGAAGGAGAGACGCACCCTCGATGGCGCTCTTCAGGCCAATCTCCTTCTCTGTCTGATGCAAGAGAACCATCAACTCAGCAGGGCTTAGACGTTCGCTCTGTTGGACCCGGGGTAGGTTGGATGACACCGTTCCGAACGTCTGCGGAGGCGTCTGGACAATCGAGCCGAAGACTGAGCGAACCACATTCTTAGGCTCAGGCTTCCCGTTCAATATTGAGACGATGCGGGGCAGATGCCGTACGATGTCGCCCTGTGAGACGAATACATGTTTGATCTTACAGGGCAGTCCACGGAAGTACGCACCTTGTCCATCTCCGCGATGATGGGAACAAGGAACCGCGGATCGAGGTCGCGCTCGCTGACCAGCGACTTGACAAGACTGACAAGTTGAGCGCTCGGCCGGCCGTGCTCGGTGAATATCTTCAGCACGCGCAGCGCAAGTGACTCGGCGCCTGGAGGGAACATCCTCAGCAACGTCAACAATCTGCCATGGCTCGAGCCCAGAGCGCGGATGAGCGGTGTGATGAGCTGCTGGATAGTCTCTTGCACCGTCTCCTCCATGCCGCCATAGGCCGCGAAGATCCTGCGAGGCGTCAGCACGAGTAGCCAACCAACGAACCCTCCACTCACTCGTCCAGAAACTCCGGAACCTTCGTCGACAGCGCAAACAGAAGCTCCAAATGTTGAAGAATCTGCGCGTTATTCGCAGGGAGCTCGAGCTCCTCCGGGAGGTACGGCGTCTGGATGATGTCCTCAGGCGGCAGCTGGCCGTCCTCCATGTGCTCGTCGTGCGTGCCGTTCATGGGGACGTCTTCGGACCTGTCCCGCTTTGGTCGTGACTGCAGGCGCCGGAGCAACTGTAAGGCGAACTCGCGGATCATGTTGTCCATGGGCTGCACGTCCGGGATCCACCGCTTCACCGTGTTGATCGCCGCGCCACGAGTGATTTTGTCTGTTCGGCATCATTCAGCGACTGTTCGCCGAGCGTGAATGAGCAGCCTTACCGGGATGTGTGGTGAGTTCAAGAAGGATGGTCATGGCTTCCGCCCGTAGTGAGGGTCGCTGTGTCACGAACTCTCGCAGCGCAGCGAATCCCATTTGCCGACTGTACCATCGAATGAGCCAAAGCGTGAATGCAACAGTCGAGTCCACGCACCGATCAGCTTCAGGGCACGAATCACGTAGGAGGTGCAGTACGTCAGGAGGTACATGAGGAAGATCAAGCAGAAACCGTGAAAATGTCCGATCCTTGCCGTCCAAATGTGTCTGGTATGCAGATACAATCTGGTTCAACCAGGTTTCGTAGTTTGGCGGCTGGACAATACGCGTGAGTTGCTGATAATCTGGACAGTGATTGCGGGTCATACCCAGCTGCGATCTCTACCCTCTTGTATTCGATCGTTATACCACTCCTCGTTCATCCATGTCGTCGCGAGTGGTAACCTAGCGAGATCAGCTCAGACAACCATCAACAAGCACGCACTCCCCAACTCACCGTCTCGGAAAGTCCGCCATGATATACTCACACAGGGTCTGCCTCAGCCGATCCTGGTGCGCATAAAACTCAGATACGACGTCCATCCCATCCTCCGCCTTATCCGGCGTCCCAACCCCTGGCGCGGGGTCCGTCACGCGTGTGACGAGCCGCACGATGAGCAGCATCCACATGTCCACGCCCTCCGCCGCGGAGTCGACGTCCATCGGCGCGAGGTCCTTCGCGCCCTCGGATATCCGCGCGAGCGCGCCCTTCACGAGTGCCCCCCGTTCGTCCTCCGAGAACTCGCGTGGCGGCGGGAGGCGGAACTGGGTCGGCGGCAGCACGTCCGTGAGGTCCATCTCCCGGTCGAGCGCCGCTTCTTCGGGCGAGGCTGTTTCTTGCTCGCCGCCCGAGAGCTGCCGAGCGGTGAGTGAGCCGAGTAGACTGCGAGAGAAGGAGAGGTCTGTACCTCGAGGTTGAGCCTGTCCGGCTCGTACTCCATCTCTTCCTCGTCGATGTCCATCTTGAGAGGGTCTACCGGCTCTTGCTTGACGGCGACAGGAGGTGGTGTTGGTGATTTCCGCGGAGGAGGCTCAGCCGTCGCCTCCTCGACAGGACCCGGTGTATCCGGTGGAACTTGGGAGGATGCCACCGCGACATTCGCAGCAGCAGCCGTAGCGCCCTGCGTCCTCTTATGTCGGTACGCCTGCACGAGGCCAATGAGAGTCGCCTCCGAGAAAGCCTGGATGTTCGCGACGACGAGGTCCGTCACGAGCGCGGTCGGCAGGCCCGTGAAGTCGAAGCCCGCGGTGCCGGCGGCCGCGGCAGTGTCGTGGTCTAGCTTGGGCCGCTTCGCGTCGGGCGCGTCCTGTGCGGGGGTGGCGGATGATGAGCGTTTGCGCGAGGCTTCGGCTGCCGCTGCTGCTTTGCGCTGCTTCTCTGCGAGGGCGGCCTGCTCCATGCGGCTGGCCTGGGTGGCGAGTGCGGAGTGGATTTGGGGCTGTAGTGGGGATCCTTGAGGTGTTCTATCGAGAATGTGAGCACGAGGACGATTCTGTAGCTGAGTAGGCCTACCGGGAGATGTGGATGAGGAGGATGCGGATCGTCTTTTCGACGCTTTTGATGCTGAAGGCGGGCAGGCCCTCGAGTTTGGCGGGTGTCCATTGTGCTAGGGTGGAGACGAGGACTTCGGTGAGGGCTGGTCTGGCTTTTATGAGGGAAGCCCAGCTGTTTATGACCGCTACGATGATGTCGGGGTTGCTGAAGATAGCAGCTAATGTCAGACACAACGCGTCCCGTACAATGCACCGAGTGGCACCCACTTGCTGGTGTAAAGGATCGTGAAGATGCCTTTCATGAGCTCGACGCCTTCGGCCTCCAGGGCGGTAACAGACATGAAAGGGTGGTCCGAGGGCAGCATAGCGAGGTTCGGGTCATTCTGCTTTTGCAACTACACACAGAGGATGAGCATAGTCATACACTACATGTACGGGGAAAGCGCACTCACCCGTGGGTCACTGATGCCACGGGTCTGTACGAGGATGGCCCTCTGCATGAATTTGATGGCGGCGAACTTGATGCCATTGCTGACGGTTGGCGACCAGACAAATTCGAGGATGCGTACTTTCGTCTGCGACAGCACTTGCCACAGATCCCTCGAGTTCCGGTTCACACATCTTAACGCATGTCATTCATAAGTGGTGGTATGCGACAAAGGGGGACTCGCGCTCACAGCATCCTGAACAACAGCGGGTACACCGTCGCAAAGCATTGCACGCTCACTTTCACGGTGGTCGGATTTGAGTCGTGGAGTAATGAGGCGAGCGTTTCGACCGACTGCGACGCAACTAAAGACAAGACAGTTGCATTAAAGACGACTCTAGCACCACAAGGGCCCAACACGCACGCTGAGTGCGCGCGTCGATAGACAGACTCGACCGGCATATGGCAAAGTGTAGGAGGTCAATAACCCATCTCTTCAGCAACGAGTCTCCCGCGCCGGAGACGGTCTTGACGAGTGTGGTACATAGGATCGGTATGGGACCGGGGTGGGTCTCGAGGGATTCACGCAGGGTTGCGAGGAGGTCGGCCTGCTCCTTCGAGTCTGCTGGGACTGCGAGTGCGGCGCTGAGGGTCTGGAGGGGGTCTACGGGGTTGCCTGCCATCCTGCGCGGGGCTGCTCCCTGCCAGTGCCACTGCGAGCGCGTCCGACCACTCGAAGGCTTTGTGCGCGGAGGCCTCTGCGCGTCACCCGCGGCCGGTGGCGAGGCGACGCCTGCGCCGGCGGAGTTTGAATCACCCCTCCTCTGCGACCGCGATGGTCAGTCTGCTCGTCCGTCCGCTGTCTGCGCCGTGCTGAATCCCGTCTTGTAGGCTGCGCAGCAATCCCAGAGCATCCAAACCCTCCTCGAGGCGGAGAAGGAGGCCGCAAAGACCGTCCAGCAGGCGCGCCAGTGTCAGTCGCCCGCGCCTTTCCCCTCCATCCTGTGGCTGATTTCTCCGAACAGACCGCGTGCAGAAACTCAAGGACGCACGCGCACAGGCAGCGAAGGAGATCGAGCAGTACAAGCGGCAGAAGGAGGACGAGTTCAAGGCCTTCGAGGCATCGGTGCGTCCCTCGCCTTCTCAGAGCACACACTCCTGACCGTTCTCGTACGTCATGGCACAGCACGCCGGAAGCACACAGACAGCACAGGCTGCGGTCGACCAAGAAACAGTGGTTAAGCTACAGGAGATTACAGATGCATACAACGAGAACAAGGACCAGGTCGTCAAGAAGCTACTCGACCGCGTCGTACTAGTCAAACCGGAGCTGCACCGCAACCTCAAGAAGGCGCAGGCGTAGTGCCGTCCCTTGTATCCCATTATCTAATATATCACAGCATTCGTACCCAGCGCAGCAGCGTAACTGCAAAATGATATAATACCCAATACCGCAGATGCCGGCATGCCCCAGCCGCCGCTCGATGGGTTGCTGACGGCGAATCATGGCCAACGAGTGATCACGGCTTTCCTAACCAGTCCAGGCCTATGGGCATCATGGGACTAGACCCGACCGGCACATTCCCTCGCAGAGGCTGCATCGGTGAGTTCAGTATCGTTGTCATTGACCGGCGGTCACCCTGTGGAGGCGTCGCACCCTGCGGCGACAACGACAGCGCGCTCGCGAACGCGTCTGCCGGCGGCGGGAACGTGTCCAGCAGGCCGCTTGCCTTCAATGACGGCAGGTTCGGAGCCCCATCCCGAGTGCGTACCATCGGAGCTTGAACAGGAAGCTCTGCACCCGCAACGTAGTGCCGCGCACGCCCTATCTGGTGGTGGTGGTCGTACCGGGGGTCCACGCCCGTATCTCCGTGATGGTGCTGTTGCGCGACGTCGAACCCGCCTTGCCTTCCTGGACCCATAAGCACATTGTTTTTGGCAATTGTGGGCGAGACGCCGGCGTCGTGCGGAGGGCTCGCATTGGGCGATGCGTTGGCCTGGGCCCGGTCGCGCTCCTGGACCTGCCGCCATTGGTCGGCCACGACGAGCACCCGGAAGCCCCACACTTTCTCAAAGTCGCTGTCCCATACTCGGATCTTCGGGTCATCGGGGTGATATTTGCTGTATGACTATATGTACGCCTGGCGTCAGCGCACTCGTCCACCGATCGCATCTTTAGATTGCCTACCCAGATCACGCACGCAGCTGCAGACAAAACGTGCGGTCAGAGACTCCGAAACAAACCGCATAATGTAGACCACATACAGAGAATGGTATTTTTGGCCCGAGTTCCCGTGGCGTTGAATATGGTCCCTAGTTGGTCCCGCACCCACTTGATAGGCTCGCCTAATCGGCCTTCTCCCTGTCAAAGAGGCTCGTCGTTGGTCATTCATTTCTTGTCAATCGTGTCATTCCTCTTACCTCGACCAAAGCCAGATAACAGCAGGGGTATAAAGCGTGCATGAAGCAGAAACACCATGCACCGGTGTTAGAGCTCGTCTCAAACATATCAACTTGTTTCTGGACATTGTCCTCCGAAAAATGGAGGTGGTGCGGTAATGACGCCAGCCAGTTCTGAGCGACGCATTAGTCCAGCGTGCGATCATGATGAAGCAGCTTACATCAAGCAATTGCCGGCATTCTCGGAGCGCATTCGCTCGTGCAGGTCCTTCGTTCTTCACTATGGGGTGAGTATGCGTCGTTAGCGTCGACACTGCCGATGATGCCCAGAGGAACACCAGCTCACCGATGACGTTCTGGACGGTCTCATATATCGACAAAATACGTAATACGTGCCCAAACTGCGACGCATAGCGGGTCGTCGGCGCACGGACGTGCAAATACTCTTCCGCTGCACACGCCCACCCGTCAGCACGTACGTAAAACTCTCGTCACGCCCGCCAAGGCCAAGCGGGCCACTCACTCGCGGAATGCCAGTGCGCGGCGAGGTCGAACGTCGTCTCGTCGATGGGCAGCCGGATCTTCTTCGTCATCTCGAGGCTGCGCGGGCGCATCGGCTTGTAGATGTATATTCCGCTGATCCAGCTCATGCACTGGATCAGCCAGAAGCAGCGCCGCGTGCACTCGCGCTCGATGCAAAAGTCGAGGCCGTCCGTCCGGCCCCGCACCTGGTCGTCCGGCTCCTCCACCTGCAGGCTCTCCTCCATGACCTTGAGCGCTAGATCTGCGGCGCGAGAACGCACAAAGAGTGTCAGACGGGAGAAGCACACGACAAGGGACACAGATGGCGAATTCAAAGTGACAGCTATCGATCATCTGCTCCCGCCGGCAACAGCGGCGCTGTGGCCGGGCGCCGTGGACGACGGGAGAATGCAAGGGGGACGGAGCGCAGACGCACCAAAGTATTTGTTGTGCTTCGTCCACGAATGGCTCGCCGCGATCTCGTGCATCTCCATCAGGCAGAGCGCCTGCGCTGTTTCTAGCGTGGGCTCGCTCAGCAGGCGGCCCGCATTGTCGAACATGATCTTGACTGCATCCTGGTAGAACGGCACGCCCGCGACGCGCGCGATGCTCGCCTGGGCAGCGATTGATTTGGACAGCGGCGCGGCGACTGCGCAGAGCGCGAGTACCAAGTACTCGGGCACGCGGTTATGGCTGAGCGCCGCGGAGAAGGACGGCTTGTGGAGGATGAGCCGGTGCGGGTTGCAGTGCGCGAAGAAGACTGGCAGGGGGGACGTGATGAAGCGTGCGTTAGCAACGAGATCCGACCGCGCGGGGGTTCAAGGTGTGTACGCACGGTTGACCAATTCATGCGTCGTGTCAGGATCCAGAAGCTTTGATTGTGGCTCGCGCGGCTGTGGGAGCCGGGGCGAGTGCTGGGACGACGACGACGCGAACGTGCCCGTAGGGCTGCCACTCGAGTTGTCCGACCGGTTCCGCTTGGGCGACGTGATGTGCTCCTTGGTTGGAGGGTTCGGGACAGGCTGGGATAAATCTACGTGCTGAGATCCGAGGTCGTCCGTGAGAAGGTCCTAAATTAAAGAGCGGGAATGAGCCTCGTGGGCCGCAGCAGGTAATTTGAGCACGAACCGCCGGCGACCGTGGAGGACGTTCCCCATGAGATGTATTGCGAGGTGCGGGCACTGCGCGACCGGAGGAATCCGTGTATGTGCATTTCTTGGAGGCGAAGTAACTGCGGCACAGTTAAAAGTTGTCCCCAGGCGAGAGAAAGATGCGTGCACTTACCAGTTGCTACAGGGAGCTTCAAGCGGTGAAGAGCTTGTTGAGGACATTGATGCGCTGATGTAGACCAAGTCACTGACCTGTGCCGTCGCATCTCCGTTTGCTCTTGTGACAAGCGTCGCAAGCCTGTTCATGGTCGTGAGACGTGTTCAAGGCAATCATTAGACGTCAAAGGATCAGCGGACCGTCCGACGAGCCAGACAGGACTCGTCCAGCGAAGTCTATCTGGTGTCCTTGGCAGCAGCGCAGGCTCCATTGAGTCTAGTTACGATGGCATCTCGCCGTAGTCGCTATTTACGGGAGCTTGGCGCATCGGACGGGCGTATCACATCGAAGCCTAGAGAGTGCACTTCGAGAGGGCGGTCTCGTACCTTGCTGAGACGCTTCCGTTTTCCGCCCTTGACAAAGGCGACGGAGTTATGGGCCTGTGGCGGCGAGCGGGCAGGCGAAGGGTGTGCCTCGACGGGGCTCATGGAACCGCTGGGATCGATAGGTAAGAGTGATATGTGACCGCCATGGGTGTGGGGGTCCATGACACGCTTTCCTTGCAGTGGTTGCGGCAGCTCCTGGTGGCGGGAGGTCAATACAAAAGACAAGGGACGTGGCGGCGGGTGAATCGCGAAATAAGGTAGATAGGGTGAAGAGAGGGATGGGTGGGGTCGCTTCGTCACGGTGCCGGCGGTACGCAGAGGGTGAAGGGGCGTGGCTGTGGTGGTTCCAGGACAAGTCCGGGGAAGGTAGACGCTGCATCGGCGAGCGTTACATACAGGGGGGATCTGAAAGGGCGAAACGGATCTGCCGTGGCCACAAAAGGAGATGGGGGGACCAACCTCACTGTCATCCTACTCTCACGGGCGCCTGGGAACCGTGCGCGTGCGAGAGGAACGGAGAGTCGCGGCGATGTGGGCTGCGGCTGCGAGACGGGCAGGCGAGAGGACGAACAGGGAGCGGTTTCGCGCTGGCTGGCTGTCACGGCCGCTGTGGGGAGGTGGCTGAGGTGCCTGCGACCACGGCCGCCGCCGGCGGGCAGCCCGCCGCGGCAGCATCCCGCCGGCAGAACTGCTTGCCGCCGCTACCGCCGGCACCGTCCTCGGCCAAGCCGATCGTGCCCGGATCACTTGTGGGCGACTCTGGCAGGCTCTCGCCCGGCCATCTGGCCAGACCGCCGTCGCCGTCGCATCCTCAGACGCGCCCGTTCGGTGCCGCAAGCCGCTGCCAGTGCGCCTCCCAAAGCCTGGTGACTGCCCACGACAAACACGCATGCAGCGCACAAGCCGCGAACCGACACCGAAGCAGCTGCAGCTATCTCAGCGCCGCACCCATCTCAGCGCCGCACCCAACATCGACGCATCCGGTTAGATTGTGCCGTACATCCCCTTTACAGGCCCGTCCAATGGATGTCATCCCGTTCATTTGGTCAGGGGCAAGTCCTTTATTGAGGAACAGACGCAAAAAATTTGCCCAATTGCGCATGCGCTCATCACACCGAGTTCAACGGACTGTCATGTCGCGGGTGTCATTAATTGCTACAGGGCCAACAATACACAGCGAGTAGCAAAGCATGGTTTTATCGGAAGATGCGAGGAGCTTAGTCGAAGAGACCGAAGCCCATGTCGTCGTCGGACTCCTCCTGTATGAGACGTCAGCGGACGAAACAAGTCTGGCACAACATGCATTGCTGACCTTTTCTTCCTCCTTCTTCTCCTCCTTGGCCTCCTCAGCAGGGGCAGCTGCGGCACCACCAGCAGCAGCACCGCTAGACACGCCGACCGCACCACCAGAAGGAACCTATGACACGAGAATAATTTTAATAACATTGTGCATGGCTAACAGCGAAGTGTCACGTACGGAAGAGAGCTTCGACGAGCCCAGAGCAATCAGCTGTAGGAGGCAAGGGAGGAACGTGAGCAAGACACAACTCGAGCCTCACCAAAAAGCACGCACCTCGTTGATGTCCTTGCCCTCGAGCTCAGAGATGAGCTTCTCAAGGCGCTCGTCTTCAGCCTCGATGCCAACGGCACCGAGGACCTTCTTGACATCGGCGGCAGAAGGGGAGGCGTTCCCGCCGATCTGGAGGAGGAGGTAGGCAGCGACGTGACGCATCTACACACGAACGCACGCGTCCTCAGCACTTCATTCCGCCCGCCCGAGGAGGGTCACGTACTGTGTTGTTTTAGTGGGGGGTGCGGTAGCCACAAATCACTGCAGCCCTCGCAGTCAGCGTCGTTCTGCGCAGCAAAGCCGACCCGCACTCACGTTTAATCCTCGAGGGAAGACCTGTGGATTCTATCCGACGATGATGAGTAGAGACGATGCCCGACGCCTGCCTCACCGGGTGGGCGGCACGCGGTGGCTGGGAACTGTACAGCTGCGTTCCCACGCTCTCGCAGCCACCGCCCGTTCAGACTCCGCCGCGCAAGGCTCACCATACCGTCCCCGCCGCCGCAAGACCCGTTCACGACACACGCAAGATGGTGAGTGCTGCTGGCGCGGTGCGTTAGATTATGTGAGGAGAGATGCTGACGGTGTGATCTTGCGCTGTAGGCTGATTCCGGCGTTACCGACCCCGCTCTCGCTGCTGAGCTTAAGAAGAAGAGGACGTTCCGCACGTTCTCGTACCGTGGGGTTGAGCTCGACAAGCTCTTGGACCTCAGCAACGAGGAGGTGCGTTGCCGTAGCTCTTCCAGTTTTCCAACATTCCACTGACTTAGTGCTGTCTAATAGCTCGTTGAGGTACGATAAGCTTACGGGAGTCTATCCAGCCCTACTTGGTCTCACGCGCCTCCCCACCTACAGATCGTACATGCCCGTGCCCGGCGCCGGTTCCAGCGCGGCCTGAAGCGCAAGCCTATGGGCCTCATCAAGAAGCTCCGCAAGGCGAAGAAGGAGGCGCCCCCGAACGAGAAGCCCGCGGTCGTCAAGACCCACCTCCGTAACATGATCATCGTCCCCGAGATGATCGGCAGCGTCGTCGGCATCTACAACGGCAAGGTGCGAGAGGCTGCAGTTCTCTAGACGAGCTGGGTGCTGAGGGCGGTTATTTGCGAATAGGTCTTCAACTCGGTGGAGATCAAGCCCGAGATGACTGGCCACTACCTCGCCGAATTCTCGTGCTCGTACCGGCCCGTCAAGCACGGTCGCCCTGGTGTGCGTGTTCCCTTTCTTCCCCGACCGTCCAGTATATCTGATTTGTGCGTGTGCAGATTGGTGCGACGCACTGTAAGTACGCTCCCAGCGCTCCCACGATCGTCGAATTGACCGCATGCCCCATCGCGCCCCATAGCATCTCGTTTGTAAGTCTCCGCTGGCGTGCTCGGTCTGTCCACACGATGCTGACAATGTTATTAGCATTCCTCTCAAGTAGTGGGTGGAGGGCCGCTTTTGTCTATGTTTGCTTTGCGATCATCATGTGCTATACGACCAAAAGTACTACGTAACATGCACCCATATGCCATGCATGCTCAACGTATCGTGCACGCCTCGGACCGTGTCGTGTCGATGTCAGATGTGGCGAAGTGTAGTCAGGCGGCAACTCGTTCTCAGGCGGATTCGTTGTGTTGTGGCATGCGGTAGCGTCCGTGCGCCAACTTGACAATAATTCCAGCACTGCGTAAGTAGTACCCGAAGCCAGCGTTGTTTCGTAAGATTCCCGTACATAGAACACACAGGTTCGTGTAACTCATCGTAAGTCTCTTCCAATTCATGCACGCAACATGCTCTCATAACGTGCACGTCCTCGATACGACGATACCCCACGCGTACGTCTCATCACAGACCCATTCAAGCGTTCAAATTCAGCGCTTGAGTCGAGCTTCCGATCACATCGATATCATTTTGGCCTCTCTTGGAATGGACAATGGACATGTCGTCTCCTCAAACCGCGTTTGATACAGAGTCCCAGTCTATGGCTATTCTCCCTCGGATCCACAACCCATACCACCATAAATTGCTCCCTCCAGAGATCTGGATGTACATCACTGATTACTGCACCAAGACCTCCCAGCGGACCTGCTTATCCTCTCCAGGAATTCCACAGCCGCACAATCCAGCCTTGTTCCGCGAGATCATAGTCTGCTTCGGTGCTTGGGAATCCTGGATGCTCCGGGGAAGCGGGACGAAGAGCTGGAAGAAACGCGCTCGTCGAGGGCGTTTGGTGTTCTGCGCCGTATCACCCTCGATGCTTCATTTGCCAGCGCGGTGAGGGTCCTCGAGATAGAAGCATACATGAGGAATGGATCCGGAGGGGTGTTTGAAAATTGTTAGTATGGGATATTCACTGAGGTGTCGGGACGGCGATAGACTGAAAGCACATCATACTAGGCTGCTTGGTTGAAGCCATCCAATGCCTTCCCAACCTCGAACGCTTCATATGGAAGGGACGCACCCCGTCGCCATCCATCGGAGTAGTCGATGCCCTTGCTGCGTCGTGTCCGAGGCTGCAAGGCCTCAACCTGCCGTGAGTGATGCTGTTCAAGGCTTCAGCCTACGCCTGAGCATTCATGTCGCTGGATTCCAGTTTTCTCGTTCATCAAATTCCATTCCACAAGATACAAAACGTCCGCCTGATCGATTACAATTGCACAGTCGACCAAATATTCGGCCCACTCTTGGAAGACTACCTAGATGTCAATATCGACGAGGAGACATTCCCAGAATTGCGCGAACTGTATTTCTTCTTCACCAGACCAGCTAGCGTCAGCTCGCTCGGAGGCCTCTTGCAGCAGATCACGCATCTCAGTCTGCTATTTATCCGTGACCTTGGCCATCTCGAGGTTCTCCTGCAGAACCTGCCTCACGTCCAGTCACTCACACTACAGGCCCTGCGAGATGACCAAGAAGAGCAGCTCTTCGCCGCATTCAAGCACGGTCCCTTCAATCTCCCGCACCTGATTCAGCTCGCGATCATCGGCGAAGATATAGGGGACACTTTCAAGCAGCTGCCCTCAACGAGCGTCCCTCTACTTGCGGAGCTTGTCCGTGGCATACCAACCCTTCGATGTTTCGACTGCTCGATTTACATCGCATCCACAGACATGGAGCTGCTCCTTCCGGCTCTGAAACAGCTCCGAGTACTAGGTCTGCACGTTGGCTCGGTCGATTTATGTGCTTTTAGTGGAGTCATTCGCCATATCCCGACAGAGCTCGATGCACTGGCCTTGTCTGTGTCTAGTCGCATCTACGAGCACGAGTGGGCTGAACTGGTACGTCGTCCCACCTCCTCACGTATAGGTGTTCATCATTAATATTGCTCACGTGGCTCTCAGTGGACGAGGTGTCAGCGTCTGAGATACTTCTGCATTCGCGCGCAAAACGATGGCGGAGACGATGAAGAGGCACTGGAGTGCTTTGCGGAAGCAGGCAAGTCCCTGCGGCTCGTCGGGGTGCAGAATGCAATCCACTACGTGGAGCGCGGGGATGGGGGCGTGAGGTTGTCCGAGAAGTGGTCCAACCGGAAACTCGAGTTCAGGGGAGTCGATGATTTTGGCTGTCCGGAGTGGGAGTGGTTGATGAGGGAGACACATTTTGACTTCTTCTGAGTCCTGTATACCCTGACTTGAGGCGTCATGTCCAATGTCCGACCTATGCTGGAACTGGATGTTCTGTCAAGTATGATGCCTGACCAGTGTGGCGGCCGCAGGGATCGCCCGGAGCGGCCATTGTGGTGGAACAAGCCGCCACAAGCGACAACTATGTAGCACTACGATCAAGTTGCGCAATCACGAAACACGAATATACAAATCAATGACTTGTAGTTTACACAACATCAGCAGCAGACTTCACTCATAAACACAAAACGTAACGGAGGCAGCGTTATGAGGCGCAATTGTGTACGCCACTGTAGTTGCGCGACGAGGGCGCAATAGGATGACATCGTCAAGCGCACTGACGATGTCAACGCCAGGCCTGATGAGCAGCAAGTAAGGATAAGCAAGAAGGGCAGTACTACAAGACATGCTCGAGCGCGAGGGTCGCGAGTCACCACCGACTTTGGGCTCATCACTTGCGCAGTGTCTTCGTAGAGCTTTTGGCTCTGCTTTTCGTGAGGCTGTCTCGGACGTAGTGGAGGAAGAGGAAAAGTGTGTACAGCTAGGAGCTACTCAGTGACACGCAGCATACGTCCACAGGTGGGCACTCACTGCTTTCAGTCTAGTAGAAGGCTGCGCCATTGCGCTTTTCACTTCGACGCCGTCACCCCGCGCCCTAGCAACCACGACCTTCCCATGATCTTCTGGTTTGTTTTCCTCCTGCGCGTCCTTTTTGGCGCTGCCGTCCAGCTCGAATGCAGTCACGTCACCGTCATCGTCGTCGCGTCGCACGGGCTGCTACGAGGGGGAAAGACACATCATTATCCATAAGGCATCTGGTGCGAAGCTAAGACACAGTACGGACCAACTGCAGAGTCGGTGGCACCTCCAGCATGTGCTCAGCCGCCTCGAAGTCAAAATCAGGCACTGGGTCCTGTAACAAACGCCCCACAACCCAGACGCTGTGAGGACGCCGGTACTCATTGTCTTCGCGGGGCCATACCATGTAGAACTCATCGTTGTTCGTGTGGCGCCTCGCTGCCGGGTAGGGATGGTACCGTCGAGCGTGCGCGGAGCGGTAGCTAGGCAAGCGAAGGGGGTAGTGTCCAAGAGCCATGTTCAGTGTTCGCGCCACGGGCCAGCAAATTCCTCGTCGCAGCACTGAGCAGCAGCCAGTACGCGGCTACCGCAAGGTGGAGATGAGAGGAAGGACGAAGAGCGCGACAGGGTTCTGGGCGAGGGCCAGCCCATTTTATGTGGCATCAAATGAGGCGAGAATATCGCGTAAAAGCGGACGGGGAATTCTGAATTCGGGTTAGGATCGGCGCGCTGGGATAGCGCTGCGACCTCCCCGCAGTGTGCCGCGTGCGATTTGCTTCCGCGCTCGATCGCTGTCGACCATGCCTGGCTTGTTGCTCCGGTATTCTATGCGAGACGGTCAGCCTGCATAAGTCCTTGAGGTTCGACGAGAGTCTCCAATGATAGCATGCTCTCCAACCATTTGCGGTACGAGCACCTTGCGAATGCGCTCTGCGCTCTCCACTAATCGCCTCCGACACTGCGAAGGCTCTGCGCATACCAGGGAGCCGATGTAAAACCAATTGATCTGCCTGTCTGGTGAGCTCGGTAGGTGATGTCCTCACCAGTGAGATAACAAGTAGCTGGTCGCAATATCCACCGAAGTCTTGAGGACGCCACAGTGGTCCCCGGGCGTATAATCGGACGAGCCTAAGGCGTCGGCGGATATTGCACGACATCCACCACAAGCCCGACAGGTGCGTGTCTTGCAGCACAACAAACCCTCCTTCCACTTCGTCTCAGACACTACGACCCTGCTGCCAGGACCCAGGTGCAGAGCTGTAAGCGCGACAGTCACTGCCGTGGCGGGGCGTTGTCTCGTGACGCGTGACCCGACATCACGCTGTCACGCCCGCCGCCCTGATGACAGGCGCATCAGGCGAGTCCCTTCTGCGTCCTCCCGACAAGATCGCTCAACAGAACTCATGCGTGCTGTGTGATCCCAAGGGTCTGCTTCAAGACGGACGTGCGTGATCAAGGGTGTGCCCAACATGTGCATCAAGGCCTGCAAGATGGAAGAGAGGGCTCAGCAGCAGTAGCCGTGGTAAGGGCGCAGACCCCGCCCTCGAACCAGTGATACCGGCAACACCGAATGCACGGCCCAACATACTGTTCACGGAACACATCCTCGGAAGAGGGTGGCAAGAAAGAGGGGACATTAAAGCGTACCTCTATGCGCACTTCCCAGCCGTTTGCACAACGATGAGTATCTTGTCATCGGTACCGTTGCTGAACGACAGATCGCACGGGAAGTGTGAGGGCATTGGCACCGCGCCCCATGGTCTTCCAGAGACCACCAGAGACTGGATGGTCCCAGCGAGATCGGTGGCCGTTCGCTGGTCGAGAAGGGGCCATCTGGTAGCCACACAAGCCATGATGTTCCATCATCCTCGCGCCTTGAGACGTCCAGTTCCGGCGTAGGAAGCATACAAGGCATCTTCAGGACCTAACCAAGGACAACGCGAGTTTTTCCAACCGTAAAGTCGGCCTATCAGATTTGTTATCGCCTGCTGCGCGTATGGCTACACCAAAGTCCAGTCAGAGACGCACGCAGCCTAGGATCAAAGCAGAGGACATGCACGAAGCAGGAGAGCAAGAACAACCTGCGCGACGATACGATGTGGACGCGATGTCCCGGGTGTGGCTCGAAACGGGGTGATGGTCTAAGCGCAGACCGCCGCGGCCCTCCAAACTCAGCGACGATACCGCCACAGCTCCCCAGCGACGACTGCCCTTCACTGCAGCCTACTCGTCGCTCACTCCAGCGACCACCAGCATTATTCTCTGATTTTCCCCGATTTATTGAATTCTCCGGCAGATCTTGGTTGCATCGTTCACATCGATCAGCGTGGCTTGCTGTCCCCATGCTCTCTCAGTCTCTGGTCGCGTCCAGGTTGCGTCCTGCTGCATCGTACCCCCGACCGCTCCTTTCATCTGAGCTCGGTTCCTCATCCAATGCATATCCGGTGCTGACCCGTCAATCCCGAACTTCAATTGTGGATCAGTAAAGGCTCCAATCACACAGCTGGTTCAAGGCAGCGATGCACCGTGCTCCCACACTAGCTAGGATGGCGTTACGAGGTCTCTGCTGTGACCTGTCTGCCTGTGTATGGATCCTTGTTCTGGTCTACTCAACACGATAATCCGCTCCTGTCTCGATGGAGAAACTGCCTATAGTTGCGGTGGTCGTACGTGTGACGGCGAGGCGATCAACGGTGAGCAGACCCTTCAGGATGTCCAATTGGTTCGACAGGTCAACATACCACTTCTTCTGCCTTGCATCAACGAACGGGGGTTTCCTGCTGACGCGTCGTTCATTTGGTGCAATTGAAGCTGTAGGGGTCAATGATGGCACGTACTCATGCGGAACCAGCGGACTGCGGTCGAGACACCTTCTCCTGTTGCGCTCCATTGAAGACTCGCACTTCTTCATGTCTTCGGTAATTACATCCAGTCTCTATATCGCTCGAACTCGACCGCGAATAGACACTTCAATGTCCAGTTATGTCCTTGTACGTCCGTGTACACGATCTACGGAGGTTGTACAAAGTTTTGGTGGCATCCATCAAATACTTCTGGATGTCATCACACTGATTCCGAGCAACCTCGGGTTCTCCTTCTTCCTGCCCAGAATGACGTTTGCGACATAGGTAAGTCTTGACTATCTTATGCTCCGACCGTCTTCAATCGCCCATCAGATCTATTTGTACAGCGGGGGCCCATGTTGGTTAAATGCGGCGGCAAATGTATTGTCACCTTGACTTGAATTCGAATCTTCCGGATGTCCCGTGCATGCGAACGAACTTCGCTGGTATGCGTGCTTAACTACGCATTGGCTCGTAACTCTCAAGAAGGTATGGTACTGACTCGTGTGCTCTCATGTTTGTTGATAACGCAGAGCTAGGCAGTCGAACGATGACTGATCCGAATGTGAGGGACCAAATCCATGTCACAATGGCGCCATTTCAGTGGGTTCTATGTCGCACAAGGTCACCGGTCAGTACTTCAGTTTGCGAAGGTTGATGGTTACATCTTGCCGGTTGCGTCTAGACTTCCCAGGAGACACTAACCCTGGCGTGACGCACATGTCCTCACCCAGATGTACCACACCGATCATTGTTGAGGGAGCTACTTTGACATAAAGGGCAGCAAACTGAAAGGTCAGTGGGTCATGCGCTAAATATGGGCGCGCTCCCAGGTCTGCAGAGACTATACGCAAGTCGGAGTTCTCACAAATGTATGTGTGGCCTGGACCAACAGGCGTTGTACCACACCGGCGAGCCTATCCGAATCGGGAGTCCTATGCCCTGTGCTGGAACATATCGCTTCTTGTGTGGCTCGCAAAGCGTGTCCCAAAGATAGAGGGTTAGGTCAAACGTATATAAGTCCTCGACAGATCGATACTCCTAGGTACCTACAATCGCACACAGTTACGGACCTCGAGATGCCGACCTCAATTTCCCTCTCTGAAACCAAGGTGAAGCTACAGAAGATATGCGCAGAGTCCACCGATGGCTCTCGTGTGTATGATCGCGGTAAGCTGTCTCGGTATGGTGTACTAAGCATGCCTGCTCATGCCGCAGTGTAGGGGAGGCAGGCTACTACAAGAGCATCGCCCATTTTGTAATCAGTAGCACAGAGCCGGCAGAATTTGCCGTCGAACCTGGCAGTGCGTCAACACTAGCCAAGGTGGTACGTGGTCCGAACTACCTGACTCTCTCCCAACGACTGAGGCGAACGTGGAAAAGATGAAAGTGCTCGCAGAAGACAAGGCACACTTCGCAGTATGTGCTCATCTACTATTAGTCCGTGGTCGCTGACCGGGTTTATGCTGCATAGGTCAAGGGCGGAGGGCACGCCATGAACCCACATTTCAGCTCCACGAAGGGAGTGCAGATCTCTATGGCGCGCTTCAATCAGGTCGAGTACGACGACACAACCGAAGGCTTGGCTGTCGGCGCTGGGAATATTTGGGACGACGTTTACGATATAGCCGAAAATTACAAACGCAAGGTCGTCGGGGGGTCCTCCAATCAGGGCGTTGGTGTCGCGGGATGGCTCTTGGGAGGAGGATACTCCATGAAGACGAATAAGTACGGCCTTGGTATTGACAATGTCCTCAAATACCGGGTTGTCCTTCCCGACGGACAGATCTGCGTGGCTACGGAGAGCAACAGCTACAGGGACCTGTATCAAGCTCTCAGGGTATGTTGTCTGCTCATCATGCCCTAAGGTATCAGTAGCTTGCTAACGTTACCTGTCGCGGTTAGGGTGGCGGTAACAACTTCGGTATCGTCACTGAGTTCACCCTCAAGACATATCCTCAGTTCTCGGTCAAGGTTAGTCACCTTTCTTTTCTTCTGCCTCGGGTGTTGTTGACAGTCGTACCATCGATCAGGCCGCTGCTCTCTTGTTCTCAGGGACCCAAGAAGAAGCCGTGAAGTCTGCTATCGTAAAGTACGTCGGCCACGAAACGCCCCCAGAAGCCGCCGTCGTCTCTGCATTCAGGCACACTCTGGTGAACGGCATACCAGACGTAAGCAGTCCAACTCATCTCGTCAAGAGCCGTACATTCACGAGCCGATACTGTGTAGTACAACATATCCACCTACTGCGTGTATGACTTTGCGGAGCCAGATGATTTTCAGGGGAAGCTGATATTGTGTTTCCGGCCATTCTTCAACATCATGCGCATATACAACACTCGGAATGCCGGCGCCGCTCTATCACTGGGTACCAGCAGTAGCGAGGCGCGGGGAACAGTAGACCAGTCCGACGAACCGTACTTCCGTCAGCTGTCATCCGTGGAAGCCAACCGGCTCGCGTCCTTCCCATACGACTTCGCGACAGACCTGCCTCTCAGAACAGTATCAAGGCAGGATGCTCAGGGTGTGTCGCATTCGGTCCGTTACGTCGTGGGGCCGCCGCCTGACTCCTCACGCGGTGCCCGCCGAGGTCGGGGAGGGCACTCTCAGGTCGTCGGCATGACTGAGGTGCCTGTGGGTTTGGGTGAATTGGACGCACGGTTCGTAATGTACTACTCCCGGCGCTCGACGGGCTTGTGCAAGTAGTGACCGGAAGACTGAATACGCCTACAGCGGTCGCTTTGCGTGCATCATGGTCTCCAAGTACACGAAAAACCTTGTCGACGCGATTGCGGCAGAAGCGCGAGTACGTTCAGATCCCCCAATGCCCATATACGACATTGACACCGATACGCGTGTCTCTTCTGCTTAGAAAGCCGCTCAGTTTCTGAGTGACAGACGAGGCAAGCTCGTCCTCATCGACGTCTGGCCGTTCCTCCCCTCCATCTTCGACAACAGCCCAGGGGGCGCGGCGTGGCCTCACAAGAAGGGCGAGCCCCTCGGGCCGCTGCTCGCGTACTTCCTCTGGGAGAAGGAGGAGGACGACACATTCTGGGTGGACAAGATGAAGGCGGCCCTGGATAACATCCTCAAGGTTGCGCTCGCGGAGGGCTGCACCACAGAGACCGCGCCGTACTACTCTAACACGTCGCTCGGGGGCACTCCGGTCGCAGATATTTACCGTGATCACTTGAAGGAGCTCAGCAAGGCCAGGGCGAAGTACGATCCGAATGACGTGATGGGTCAGACAGGCGGCTTCAAGATACCACTTGCATAGAGCGCTGCCTGACGTCGACGACAGCTTTTGGTTTGATCTATCGGTTCGTAGTTCGTGTCACGTTGTAAGACCAGGCGTTGTACGATCAGCCCTCGACTAGTATGAGAGTAATGATACTTTGATATATGGTGTGACAGTTGTTGTAGGATAGGCCAGTGCATCAAAGGGGTCTCTCAGGTAGTGTCCATCGCGATGAGCCCCTCCAACTCTGGCGCAACCGGCTGCTCCGCCAGTTCCATAGCAGCGAGAAGGGTCTCCACATCCGGCGAGACGACGAACCGCCGATTGACCTCCCCCAACACATGCACGCGCTTGTTCTCCGAGTCGATGTGCACGGCCTGCTGAAGGAAGGACGGCTGCGTCGCCGCGGTGACCTACCGAGTCGGGTTAGGGTTCCGTTAGACTCGCGAAAAAAAGGACGAGACCGGACGCACGTCCATGAGGATGCCGTTCGCGAGGCGCATCTTGACCGCGCCGCTCGCGTAGACCTCGAGCTGGCCGATGATGCCGTCGACCTTCTGGTCTGCGTCTTTGGCCTTGTCGTCCGGTTTTGCGCCTTGCGCGGGGGCAGCTGGTTTCGTGTCGGGCGCGAAGGTGACTTTCCGTTCGCCGCCTGTTTCTGCGGTGTCTGCGGCGGGATTTTGTTCTACGGCTGCTGCTGCTTGGGCGGAGGGAGAGACGAAGGCGGGGAAGGGGGAGGGGAACTGGAAGAAGTATAGACGCTCTTGGCGGATGTTTGGGTCCTGTGGGAGGGAGGATTTGTCAAGATTATACATCCAGAGGCCGCGCGACTACATACCAGATCTTCTGCCTGGTTTTGCTGAGCGAACGCGAAGTCGTCGATGATGTCTTCGAGCTCTTCCTCGTCCTCGCTCTCACTGAGGTCTACCGCGTTTGCGAGGTTGACTTCCGGTTCTGCTTCTGGTTCGGGGCTTTCGTCAACGTCCATGACCTCCGGCTTGGCAACGCCTACAGAGCGACACAAATCAGCATTCCCTTGCCTTCATAGCACATTAGCACACACCTTTGCCCTTTCGATCCTCCTTCTCCGGGTCCTCCTTCACCTTCGCGGCTTTCGACCTCTTCTTCACCTCCCTCTCCCTGGCCAAGCTCTCGGGCGCCATCCAATCCATGTCCCTAATCCTCTCCATATCCACGATCTCCACGCCTTCATCCGGGTCCGAGTACGCCTCCTCCTCGTCCTCCGCCTTCCCCAACGCGTCCCGCGCCTTCTCCCTCTTCAGCGCGGGCGCGGTCGTCTGCGTGAGCCCCGCACCAAGCGCCCCAGGAGTCTGTGGGATGGCGGGTGCGAAGTTCGAGCGGGGCGCGGTCCGCCGCGCTGAGGTGCCTGCGAGTGCGGGGCCCATGGCGAACGGCCCGCTCGCGGTCATCTCGACGGGCGGAGGCCGGGGTGCTGCGCCCCGTCCTTCACCACCCCGACCCCGCCCGCGCGCACGGTCGCCCCTCCCGCGCCCTCGTCCGCGATCGGTGGGCACGGCGGGTGGTGCTTCTTCCTAACAACCAGCATGAGAACCGGGCACAGTATCCGCGTGCGCGGAGGAGGTAGAAGCGGACACGCACTCTTTTGACATCTCTGTGGGGAAACGGCGTCGGGAGGGCGCGGGAGAAGAAGGGCGGACGCACTCACTCCTTCTTGCGGCGCGCGGGGAGGGTGGGCGTGAAGACGAGGCGTGCGGCGCCCCTGCGGGTGGTCTCGCTCGCGCGCCTGGCGAGGCTGGGGATCGCTTTTGGGGTCGAGGAGGACGCGGCGGGCGGCGGGGGCGGGTCGGGCATGGTGGCGGGCGGTGAGAGAGGAGAGTGCGAGTGGTGGCTTCAAGTTGCGCGGGAGGCGCGTCCGGGGAACGCGATCGGCGGCTAGATCGGTGCAGATGCGATATTTAAACTTTTCTTTGATTTCAGCACCAGCCACCGCAAATCTCGCAGCCACCGCCGTCCTCCTCTCGCTCTCCCATCGTACATATCTTCTCCTTGTCCCGCAGGCTGACCTTGCTTAGGCGACGAAAATGGCCCCGAAACACCAACACATGACTTACAACGACGTACACCACCTCATCCGCGACTCGGCGGAGAAGATCAAGGAGTTCCGCCCAGACATGCTCATTGCTATCGGTGGGTGGTGGTTCATGAGGAATGCTTGAGGGTTCTGTGCTCAGGCAGTTTCGTGTATAGGTGGTGGGCGAGTATATGCTTCCTGAACATATGATGGCCCGAGTAACAACCCGCCTGTGTTGCAGAGGATTTTTCCCTGCGCGTGTCTTGGTACGCCTCCATTTGACTTCCTCAGACACATGGGACGATAGCCAGTCGCACATCGTGCATATATCGCGTAAATTTACCCCCACTCTAAACGTGAAGAAAGGAGCTGTCTGGGATGACTGGCGCGCTCTGCAATGCGCCGGAGGCTACGACTTGCTACGGACGCTTACCTAACCTATACTAGGTCAGTGCGCCGTCAAGGACATGCCTGTTCTGCGGTTACGGTGCCACTCGGGACCTGTCTCGCCAGTGCATGGCATCGCTCCGCGGGTGTGTTGCTAGCCTTCGGGTACATCTGCAGTCGAGGACTGTTAGACTGTCTACCTTGCACTCCGTCATCCCCTGGAACCCAGTCAGTAGGACATGACCGGCCTTTATTTGCCGTCATGCACTATCAGGCTACTGCGGCGTCTTCCGCGTCGCTGTATCCTCGTGGTCGTGGTCTTTTGCTGCGGTGTGCAAGCTGCCTGCCTGCGAGCATCGTTTGTGAAGATCAATACCGATCGCTAGGACGTATATGCATCCCCAGTGTGCATTTGACATGGACCTGGACGAGCCCATGGACGGACACTACTGTACGCCTATGTGCATCCATCGCGCCGACGGTGCCTACATATATCTCCATTGCGTTGCCAGTGCCCGGGCAACGCTCTACACTGACAGTCCCCGCACGTTCGTGCATTATCATGTTCGCAGCTCGAAGCAGTGCTGGCTATCATCTCATGGATCTGAACCTTGATATTCGATACAGCGGTCTAACCGGCGCGCCACCAGCGTACGTTCCTCAAAGACGTCGACACAGAACGTAACATCCCTATCCACGCGATCGGCCTCTCGCTGTACGAGTCCCTTCCGGGAACGACGGCAGAGCAGATCGGCAGGGAGGTCATCCGGACGCAATGGCTGTGAGTCGCCTGCCGCCCGTGCGCCCAATGGACACACGCTGATTGCGCATGCGCTCCTGCTCACTGGCAGAGGGCCGGAATCTGGCAAGATCCTCCTTGGCAGGCGTGCTCTGATTGTGGTTGGTCTCCCGTCGCTCTCTGCCCTGACGCCGATGAACCTTGTCCCAGGACGAGGTCGATGACTCGCGCAAGACGCTCCAGTACGTTGCGCGTGTGTGGCGGGGGGCGCTGACCATCGGGCAGATACGCCGTGTCGGAGCTGCAGAAGGACGTCGAGCGCGAGCTGCTCGCGCTTCCTGAAGCGGAGCGGAATGCGAAGCGGACGCACTTCGCCGTCTTCGTCGTGCACAACAAGCTGAACCGAAGCTGGGCTCGCTGCCCCAGATATCCCGTGAGCTCAAACTCTATTTCCATCATCTGCGTGCCCTGACCACGCCCTCGGCTCGCAGGTACTATCCGGGCGCCGAGACGGCGGACGTATGGTGAGCAGCGCATTAGTTGTGGATGCGCGTCCTTCGCGAGGCTGAACGAATATGTGTGCGCGGATAGGCTGGACTACCCGTGGGAAGCTGTGTAAGTAGTGCGATGCTCATTGGCCAGCAGCCGTAGACCTTGCTGACGGACGTGCGTGACCAGTGATATCGACGAGCACGACCGCCTCGCCGCCGCCGAGCGCGAGCACGAAAAGCAGCAGGCCGCGTAGGGCGAGTCGCGGGGCGCACGGGCGGGGTGCGCGAGAGGCGTAGAGACTGCTGTACGATGTATTCCTGCAATGTACTGGTGCTAAATTGGCTGCTTGCATGGCTGCTGCGGTTGCGACGATAGAGAGCGATCCACGGAGTGATTTGTTTTGAGGAGGTAGAGATAGGCCGCTAGTACAGACCCGGACGGGCTCCTTCTCAGACTCTCACCTGCCACGCTCCGCCTTCTCGCCCTCCCTAATATAAAGCACCGGCTCCTGCTCTCGCGGGCCTCCCGCTGTCGACGACCCGAGTCCGATATTGCCGGCCGACGACGCAGCGAGCGACATTGTTTGAGAGAGGACCGTGACCGACGCGCAGGCTTACCTCATTCTGCTGCCCAATTTGCGCTCTCGCGCTAACCCCTGCCAACTGCCAAACTGTCGCTGCTATCTGCCTCCGCCGCGCCCGCGCTGCCCGTCGACGTCGACGAGCCCACCGCCGCGCACATCATGGAGGTCGCAGAAGAGATTGAGTACGAGGGGCTGGACCCGAACGCTGGCCTGGCGGTAAGCATTCTCGGCCCCTCCTGTGGTCCAGCCCAGATTCTGACGGTGCCTGCAGGTGAATATGATGGCGGGCGCGCTGGTGAGTGCCGTTCTTGAACACGGCTGCGTCGGGAGTGAGGGCGAGCAGTCTGCGTGATGGGCACGATGGCAAGGGACTGACGAAGCTCTCGCTGCGTAGGCTGGCATCACAGAACATGCAGTCATGTTCCCTGTCGACAGTATCAAAGTGCGTATTCGCTCTTCTCGCACCGTCTTCGTACCGTGCAATGCGTTTTCGTCGAGTGCTGACGACCTCCTCGGAATTGGCGAACGAGTAGACCCGGATGCAGGTCTTCGCCACCTCGCCGTCGGCGGTGTACACTGGGATCGGGAATGCGTTCACTCGCATTTCCAGCACGGAGGGCATGCGTGCGCTCTGGCGGGGCGTGTCCTCCGTCATCATGGGCGCAGGACCCGCGCACGCCGTCACTTCGGGATGTATGAGGCTATGAAGGAGCTGGGGGGCGGCAACGTAGCAGGCAACCGAAATCAATGGATAGCAACATGTGCGTGAATTGGGTCTGCGGAAGGCGGACGTGAGCTTATTGGAGTGTGGAGAACAGCATTAGCAGGAGCATCCGCGACAATAGCGAGCGATGCACTGATGAACCCCTTCGATGGTGCGCAGCTCGCAAATTGATGCTTTGACTCTCCACGAACAACCCACTTCCCCATAGTCATCAAGCAGCGCATGCAAGTGCACGAATCGCAATTCCGTTCTGCCCTCACCTGCGCCCGGACCGTCTACGCGCGCGAGGGCCTCTCCGCCTTCTACGTCTCCTACCCGACCACGCTCACGATGACGGTGCCCTTCACCGCGGTGCAGTTCACCGCGTACGAGCAGCTCAAAGCGTTGCTCAACCCATCCGGCACATACTCGCCCATCTCGCACATCATCTCGGGTGGCCTTGCGGGTGGCGTCGCCGGCGCGGTCACCACGCCACTCGACGTCGCGAAGACGCTCCTCCAGACGCGGGGCCAGAGTACGGACCCCGAGATTCGGGGCGCGCGGGGGATGATGGATGCGTTCAGGATCATTTTGGCGAGGGATGGGTGGAGGGGGTTCGGTCGGGGCTTGGCCCCGCGGGTGTTGACGTTCATGCCGAGTAATGCGCTATGCTGGTTGTCATATGAGTTTTTTAGTGAGTTGGTTTCGCTGCTGCGTCTGTGTGGATCATGGCTGACGGGATGTTCTTGTAGAGGCGGCAATACGAGAGGACTAATGGCGCGTTCCTGTTTTCTATCTGCACTCTATAGCTTATATACTCTCCGTCATGTTGCTCTGCGTCAGTCAAGCTATCTCGATTTCCTGTGAGCTCGTTGCGTCTTGTGGCGGTCGATATGACTGCTGTCGCTGCGATTGCCAGCATGTTCAGATGACATGCACGCGTCAAGTCCGTTCAAATTATGCAAACTCGGAACGCGAAGTACGTTCAGCTGCCTTAGCTCTAGCACACTTCGGCGTCGCATTGAATGTCGGTCGGTCTACGAAGATAGGGAAGACGACGTGTTCAGCAAATAATCGTCGGTATTTACGCATGGGGGCTACTCTCCACAACCCAACGGGGAGTCCCTGAACTGACTTCCTGTTGTCTATGTAGAGCTGTGCCATCGACGTCTGAAGGTGCGAAATGATCATTGTGGGTCCAGCATCAAGCCAGATGGACGAGGGCGTAGAACATTCAAGATGAATCAAGTTGGATTGACAGTTGATCACAGCGAAGTTCGGACTAATGTTACAATCTGCAGTACAAGCAGTCACTATGTTCCAACCCCCCTCGTGCTCCGCGTCGTTCTCTGCACGTCTCCATCAGGCAGAGTTGTCTGCGAGAGGTATCTTGAAGCCTCCCGTCTGGCCCATCACGTCGTTCGGATCGTACTTTGCCCTAACCTTCCCTAGCTTCCTCAAATTACCGCGGTAGATCATCCTCGGCGTGATGTCCTCAAGCGACGTGTTGGAGTAGTACGGTGCCTTCAGCGTGGTACACCCCTCCGCGAGCGCGACCTCCCGGATGTTCTTCAAGGCGGTCTTCATCTTCCCGAGCCAGAAGTCGTCATCCTCCGCCTTTTCCCATAGGAAGTAGGCGAGCAGCGGGCCGAACGCCTCGCCCTTCTTGTGTGGCCACGCAGCGCCGCTGGGGCTGTTGTCGAAGATGGTAGGGAGGAACGGCCAGACGTCGATGAGCACGAGCAAGCCGTTCTTGACCCGAAGCGACTTGGCAGCCTCCTAGTGTGGACGTTCGCAGACCGCAGGAGAATGTCAGTGTGGTGTGTTGACGGCATGACATCACACGTACCCGCGCCTCATCTGCGACGGCGTCCACAAGTTTCTTCGTGTACTTGGAGACCATGATGCATGCGAAGCGACCCCTACCTAGTTGTCAGGATTCTGGGGCGATCAAGAAAATAATATGAGACGGACCGTGCATTCTTCTCACCGACACCTAGCATCGCCTTCTTGACTGCTCTGCCTCCCTGCGCTTGACGAACAGTGCGCGGCAAGGCACTAGGACTTTGCGAGGAAGGTCTTCCGACGAAACTGACCGAGTCTCCAGCTGCGCGCCGGGCTCCTGTCCTCGACAATGTCTCGACGGGCAACTCCAAGTCGGTCTCGAGATCGTACGGGAAAGAGGCGAGTTGGTGAACTTCCGCGTATGACATCGCGCGGAATCCGTACGACTCGTTGCTCTCGTCCTCTCGATTAGAGGAACCCCTACGGACAGCGCGCCCTCCAGATCTCGTAGTACCCCAGCCAGCAGGGTCTGCTTTCCATGGATTGTACTCTCGCATGATGTCGGCGAACGCTTGGAAGGGTACTTCTGAACGCAGGTCGGGCTCCGGAGCGTCGAACACACAGAAGACAGACATTTTGTACTGCAACATCATTGTCAGCGAGATGGGGTTTGTTGGCGAGACGAGTAAGTACCTCCGGTTCGCCATGAAGCAGCGTGTGCCTGAAGGCGGCGACGATGGCAGCCTCAGGCCTCTTCTCGTTTGTGACGTGCTGTACTATGGCGGCCTTCACTTTCTCCTCTTGAGTTCCCGGGAATGACAACGCAGCACCCTGATTGACAGTCAGAACTCATCACTGGCATGTTTGTCTTAAACGGAAAAGACTGACGTATGTCCCGGTTTGAGGATGCGTCCTGAGCGTGAACTCCGTCACGATGCCAAAATTGTTGCCACCCCCTTTCCGCGCTCGACGTTAGTTGGAAACAGACAGGTGGGCGAATGCTCACCCTGAGAGCCTGAAACAGGTCTGTATACTCGTTGTTCTTCGTAGCGACACATATCTTACCATCAGGCAATACGATCCGGTACTGGACGACGTTGTCGATTCCAATGCCATATTTGTTCGTCTTCATGGAGTATCCTCCTCCCAGAAGCCATCCTGCGACGCCGACACCTTCGGAAGCAGCCCCTCCGACTACATTGCGGCCGTAATCGGAGACCTTTCGATAAACCTCGTCCCAAAGGCATCCAGCACCTACAGCTAAGGTGTTGCTGGAACTGTCGAAACGGACTTGGTCAAAACGAGCCATGGATATCTGCACACCCGTCGTCGAGCTGAATCCAGGGTTCATGGCGTGCCCTCCACCCTTCACCTATGAAAACAGTGTTCAGGTGTGCAATGACCACATATATGAATGGTTAGCCACGTACGGCAAAAGGTGCCTTATCTGCTGCGAGTACTTGTATCTATACCGAGTCCATGCCATTCACTATACGTCAGGTGTCTAGGAACACGGATACGTACGATCTTGGACAGTGACTCCTCACTGCCGGGTTGGACGGCAAACGCTGCCACGTCCGCACTGCTGTCAAGGAAGTGACGGACACTACTCTTGTAACCCTCTCCGCCTGAACAGCATGAGGACCAATTATGGTAGCCAGTGAGCAAAGACGTACCATAATCATATACTCTGGAACCGTCCTTGAATTGGGCACATAATTCTTCGAGTCGGCGTTGGGTTGCGAATAGGAAATTAGCGGCGGGGGTCGGGAGGTTTGGTGCCGGCTTCTCCGCCGATGGTTTCAGTGTTTTTGTCCCTCGGCGTTGCACAACCGTGACGAACACTGTGTCCCATATTGGTGGTTCCGGCAGATCGGGTTTAACCATCCCCCAGTTCGGTTCTTCGCATCGAAAGGCGACTTCTGCACCACGGAAGAGTAGTCGACAGGCTGGCTGACGAGATCAAGCCTGATGAAACCGACCTCCAGGTCTCGTCCCTTCTCTAGTTTGAAGACTGTTCGATACGAGCCGCTAGCATCATAACCAATGGTCAAAGAGCCTCCCACAAGGAGTGGGCGATCAGGCTGGAAGCGGCCAGCAGAAGCCGTTACATTCAATGATCCTGTTCGAGCCGCGCAGTAAATGTGTCACCAAAGGGGGAGTCGCCTTACGAGTACTTGAATTACTCACCTACGCTCAGGTCGTTGCAGTTGAAGTAGAACAAGTACGGATATAGTGGCTGTTGAGCATTATTTTCGAGCCGATATCCGATGTCTATTGGCTTGTCAAGGAGAAGCTCGAGGATTCCATTCTCGTTGAGATTGGTATTCTCTGGTTTCCAAGCGAGCGGCACGTCCGAATCACTGTCACTGTCCGAGTCATCGCTAGATCGCCGAGCACTGTTCAGCTTGCGAATATCGAGCGTGACCCCGGTCACGATCCGCTCAGGCTTGGTGTTCCTACGGCGAAGATGCCAGAAGTAATCTGCAGCGGCACAGATGATGGGGAACACCTCGTCCGCGTCCGTGCTGGCGGTATGCGGTAGGCGAGTCAATCCGTATTGGGTCACGCGTGGATCAAGGATATCGAAGACAACAAGCCCGTCCTCGATCGACATACCGAGTTCAGCCTGGTCCTTGTTGCTCGCGTATGTGATCTTCCTACCGTGATAATCTGAGTCCTGCATCCTTCGGTCAACCGCATCAAGGAGGGTAGCGAGCGTAGGACTTTGTGCGGCGTATACTCGCAGATCTTCTGCCAAACCAACTTTGGTCTGAAGCGCGAATGCTGGGTCGGAAAGCGAGAATACGGAGGCACCTGGAAGCACCTTAGCTATACTGACGAAGGCGCGAACTTTGTTCACCCTGAGGACGCCCAGCGGGGTTCCCGTGCCGACTGTTGCGCGATCTTGGTACACGCTGAACTCGGCGCCCTCGGTGATGCCTTGAGCAGCACCGGCTTGGATCCTATACCGGTCCTTGTCCTCATCCCTGCGTACTTCAAAGAGGACACGACGCGCAGAGGGTGCCTTGCCGTCGAAGAACATTCGATCTTGGTTATAACCTTCGCATTGAGGTGTTTGCCTGTAATCAATTTAGTAAACGAGGTAGTCAGTTCGGGATACTAACGTTTCACGTGGCATGATCGAACTTGTCAAAAGGATACTCACACAGACAGAGGCGGTATCCGATACAGGACCTCATGATACGACAGTTTCTCCACTCCGTTTGCCCTGATGGCCTCCAGTAGCGCTTCCGTGAAGATGCCGCGTGACGTTTTGGGATCCTCGAACGCAAGCTCCCACGCTCCGCAGGCGGCGAGGAGGACGTGAGACCTAAGCCCATTTGATAGGAAGCCCTTAGGGATTTGGACTGCTCGGGCCGCGCCCGGAGTCCTTCGCAAGATATCCTGGTCGAGATCGACAGGTGTTTCATATCCAGGGGGGAACGTCACGCTACGAGATACGAGACCAGAGCCCGCCTTGCGGGTCCCTGATGCAGAGTGGCAACAGACAAAAATGACCGTCTGCGAGCGTCAGATGGAGAGGGGTGGAACAGAACGAGAATACTCACAATGTTATCGCCTTTCGCTTCTGCCAACCTATTCAGCAATACGGCGACCGTGCGATCAGGAATACCGTGAATCAACGTCTGGTTCTCTCCTGACATCACATTCCAATCACATGGGATCAGCTGCTGGATTTCTGTACTCCCGGCTTCCCAGCCGGGTGGTGTGGCTGTCAAGCCGCCATGCCCTGCAAAATAGATCAAAATCGGGTCCCCCTCTCGATACGTGGGTGACCCTGTAGTTGAATCAACGCCTCCAGGATGGACTTCCTCGTGGCTTGTGCGTCACGAAGATTCTTGATTTGATCCTGGGGTACCTTCAAATCCTGTTTTAAGAAGTCCTCGACGCTATCAGCGTCTGCGACGGCTCCTTTCAAGCGGCCAACGGCTGGATGATAGTCATCGATGCCGATGACGAGCGCAAAGAGACGAGGATTTTTGCTACAAATTGTCAGCCAACTGACTTCTAAGCGGGCACTTGTGCGTGTGCTCACCTTGTAACCTGAGCAGGTGAAGAACTGCACATAAAAGTACGTGAGGAAGTGATTGTTTAAGACAGAAGTGCACACTATAGCACTGACCTTAGATATTCGGCGGTGCCTCTGCCGAGATTTTGAGCATCACACAGCACGTCCACACTCGGAATCAACTCACTGCTGTACGGCCGCCCTGTTGTGCGTTGTTATAATCTCGACATATGTCCGCTACCGCGAGACAGCATACCTGGAAAACGTGTCGGGAATACGGCCAAAGCCACGCCTTTCTGCAGGTGGTGGCATCTTGGAATGAGGTGACCGTTGAGAAGAGACCAACAGCAATCAACAAAATCCAGTGCAGAGCCACTTGCAAGGGAAGTCGAAATGATGCTTTATATTAGTAGGGCGGCGATATTCTGCCAATCCACGCCCCTTGAGCCACACAGACACGGATGTGTTCTATGAAGCCACATGCGCTGGGGTGTGCGCGCTCTCGTGACGGTATTCTGGAGAGGGACAGCGAGTGGTAATGCTCCATCAGGGATGATTTCTGCTCATGCTCAGAAGAAACACTGTCATTGAATTGGCGACACGGAAATGAAGTTGCGTATGGACCCTGTTTCCCGTGGTAATGGGTCAGGGACCGACGAAGCGCGACTCCACATCCAAGATATGTCCCACTGTAAGACACTGAGCCAGGACCGAAGGGAACAGAGACTTTGCATCATTATCAGATTGAGTTGAAAACGAGCTTACAGCGTGCAATGCCGCTGCCGGCTAAGATTCATGGAAGTCGCATCTTCAGCTCAAGCCTTCAGCGCTTCAAGATCGACCTTGCCTCCGAAGGGATCACATTAGGTCACTGCCTCGGATTCTTTGACCCAGCGTGATGGCCTAGTCTGTAGTAAATCTAGTCAGCCAGTCGTGATGTCAGATATGAGTTCGGATATCCCACATGAACGCAGCCGGAAGGCAACCAATGAGTCCCATTGTTTACCAGTACTGCCAGTGAACGGACCGAATTGAAGCCAGTGGACTTGATGGAATCAGGAATATATGATCGCCTGGGCCGTTCAAGTCAGGCGATGTCGGGTACAGTATGTCGATGTCAAATCGACAATGAATTCGGCCACAAAGAACAGATGCGAGGGCCGACTCGGACTAGCACAAAGAATAGGTGCAATCAGCCTCACAGGATCGATGTGACCAGAAAGAACAGATGCCGGACCACAAAGAATAGATGCGTCCGCAAAGAACAGGTGCAGCCAGGGACACGGTGCAACCATAGGCGGTATGGTTGATTGGTCAAGGCCACGCACACTACGCAAGGCAGGTGTTGTCCACAGTGAGATTACAGATCTCAGATCGGGGTCTGCGCAGCCTGGTTCACCGTCTCCTCACGGTCCGGTCATGCGTGAGTAGACAAAGTGGGCTGCCTGGCTTGATCCCATACCAAACCAGCCGGGGGGCCGATCCACCTACTCATCATGTGTGATGGGCGGGGCCCAACGATAGTATGGACCGAGCTGTATATATACTAGTAGTAAAGACAGCTTTCAGTTGAGAGCACGCAGAATATCATTCAGGCTACCTAAAACAACGCGCACGAGTTACTAGTAACGGTATGGCATGTCGCGAGAATATCTCCACTAGTCTTCGACAACGGCGATCCACAAACATGTCAACCTTCGTGGTCGCTAGAGTATATCCGCGGCTTCTGCTACCAGTTTCTCAAACACAGAAGCCCCCCCCACCACCGCGCGCACGACGAACCTCATCGCCTTGGCCCACAATACGTCCCACATATCCGCCATGTCGGCCAATTGCACCTTCATATAGGCCGCTACGATAGCGGTGACCCAAATTGTCTCCGCAGTCGCATTTGAAGCAAGCGAGGATGGGATTGTATGCTTCACGCTGTCCAGAGACACACGCTCCTTGAAGATAACTGAGATGAGAGTGCCGTCTAGCTTGAAGGAGCCGTCAAAGGCTTGAAGCTGAGCGAGTAGCGTGACAGGATGGTTCAGCGAAACGGCGGAGGGGCCACTACTCGTTCGGTGGACTGGAGTCGGCATTTTGCTGAACGCCTCCGTCTGCCCGGGCATCATAGTGAAGCCACCGCGGATCGGACCTACGCGCGGGGAGGTAGCGAGACTGGCGACACGAGCTGGGCGGAATTCCGCGCGCAGTGTTGAAGGCGCAGCGAGGGTCGTCAGTGTAGAAGGCGCAGCAAAGGTCGCCAGTCTCGCGACCCGTGCCATTCCTGAAAGATTGTTCAGAAGATCAGCATACTATGCAAACAAGTTACCACGTACTTTGGGTGCCACTGATATTTCCCCAGTAGGTATTATCCTCGTTGTCATAGTAGTCGTCGTCGTCGCCGTCATCGTCATCGGTGTCACCATCGTCACTGCCGTCACTGCCTTTGACTTCATCACTGTCTTCCTTGGGAGGATCTTGCTCGACAGCAACGAAAGCAGCGAACTCGCTGGTGAGTTGATACTCTTCGCTTAGGCGTACAATCGCTGCTTCAACCCGAGCAGCCAGTGCCTGCGACCTCTGTGCATCCTTCACGCCAAGCGACTGGTAATCCCCGTCTCCGATCTCTTGGATGAGGCGACGCGCTGCGAGCGTGTGCACCAGCGGCGCAGTACCAGGGTCGACAGAGACCTGGCGAACGGGTACAGGGAGTCTGACAGTTTGGCCATCGGGGCTGTCGCCAATCAGGGTAACAGAGGAAGGAAGAATATCTGTGTCGGACAGGATGGCAGAGACGATGAAGCGACTGTTCACATAAAGGCTGGGGACGTCAGACGGTGCTTGCTGAACAGGAATCCGGACTCCGGTGGGACGGGATGAAGCGCTGGGGTCGAATCCTTGATCGAAGAAGCTGCTCGCGGCTTGCGGCTGGGTGGGCCTGGAAGTCTTGGCGACGTAGCCCCAGTCCACCCGAAGGTTGGTGAGGTTGCCCGAGGGAGGGACACTGCTGGCATCGAGCAGCGCCTTGCACTTCGGCGCGATTTGTTCGCCTTCCGTGGTCATGTAGCATATACCGTTCCCCACGCGCGCCAACCCTTCGCACATCTCCGTAGACGCTCCGTCGCCGATGCCCAAGGTGAAGACACGAAGGTATGTTTCTGAGTTTGTTCTGGATGCAGCTGCGACAGCAGCACGGGAGGATGAAAGGACCTTTTTCGCATTCCAGATCTGTCACCGCAGCGAATGGTCTAAGTCGCGTTCCGGTGCGAACAAGATGGGACTTACATCTCCGTCTGTGAGGATAATGACGGACGTCGGGATCTGCGTGCGACGTGATTGATAGATACTCTCGAGGGCGGCCTCGATCTTTGTTCCACCGAAGTTTGGTTGCATACCATCGACGTGCTTTTCCTACGCAAATCATCGTCAGTTTGTGCCGTTGCTGCACCAAGGAACTGAACCACGTACAGCTACTGCCAACGTGTCAGGCGTATAAGTCTGACTGGACGACCAAAGAGCCGAGAACCTCGAGCCAAAACTGATAATGTTGAAGCACGTCCCGTCAGAGGGGAGACTTTGAAGCAGGATTGACATGGCTTCTCTTGCGAAGTCGATCCTCTTCTCTTTCTTCATGCTTCCACTCCGGTCAACCAGGAAAACATACTCTTGTTCCGCCAGCGGTGAAACTCCAAAGCGAGGCACAAGCGTCATCGACAGCGCGACGGAGGACCTGTCCCGGAGATACTCCGCGACGCAACGAGGAGTGTTGAGACCAGACGCTCTGATGGAGAGCACGAAGTCCCTGTCAAGCCTGGCGTCAGCGGAGGCAGCTAGCTCGACTTTGGCCGAGGTTGCGTCTGCGGAAATGCTCGTCTTAAGCGAGGCGTCGTTATGTGACGGAGACGAGATATCTTCTATAGGCGAAGTCATCTGCAACTCTGCAGTTAGAGTGAAAGCCGCAAGTTCGCTGGCAGACGACGCCGACTTGGTAGCAATCGTCGGCGTGGTGCCATACCGCTGACCGAAGTACGTCGGGAAAGCGAAACGAAGGGTGCCAAAAAGTGCGTCGTCGACCAGTTCAGTGACGTACTATTGGAGTGGAACTTTGGTCAATATATCCTGCTGCAGGCAGCATAGCACACACCGTCACTTTCACTTGCACGTTCTGCCTCACTGGAATGGCACCGATACTCAGTACGAACACTACGGGATGACCGAATCAGTGCCTATGCTAACTTCCGGCGAAAATGGCATACGCACCATCCGCACTAGCCTCCGCAAGAAGCCCGGCTAGCTCGCCTTGAGAGACAGCAACATCGAATTCTTTTCTCGCCGCCTTCAGCTCCTTGACTTTGCCAACAAGTCTCCGGCCCGCTGCTTTCAACTCGAAAGCGCACACGGCAGCGGATGCTGGAATGGGGAATATATACCTCACGGCCGTGAGGCTTCCACCAGACGAAGCCTCCGTAGCATCGAATCTCTGGCTAAGTGCCACTCTTGCAGAAGCTAATGTACACGAAGCGGGTTGTCAATGTTCTTGCAGCAGAAAGTCATAAATGCAACAATGACACTGACTGTCAGCTATGTAGACCTGTGCATGTACCGATACCAGTGGCAGGTAGACCGATTGACCTGCCCGAGTGGTAATCAGACCATTCAAAGGCGAGTCTTTCCGAGTATTGACGATGGGTGGCATTGATGGCTTTGACTCGACTGCAAGTACTGGGAGTGCAGCCCAAGCTCACAATCTCCAAGCGCGGACAGTCACGCAAGTTGGGGATCGTCTATTTGGTGCGTGGATGTGGATGCATATGATCATCACTCTGTGCATGGCAACTGTGCCCGAGTCCCTTGGTGTTCTCGGTTGATGATGATCCGGGATTGAATGTGTGGCCTCTGCCTCATCGCGGTGGCAAGGGCGCCATGCGTGCTACCCCACTTGCGCACATCTGTCACTCGAACACGCAGACGAGATGCGCATCTCATAGAACATGCTGCGATGAGATAGAACGGCAAATGCAATGAATGAGCGGACACACGATTGACCACGATAGGTGCTGTAGTAGCTCACAGGATTTTGAATTCCCCTCAGATGATGTAGGTATTAGGACGCCTCGGAGTGGCGACAAGGCCTGGGCAAGACGTGACCGCCGAATCCAATGTTTGGATTTAGTTGGTATGTTGAAATCGATCCATAATGCCGATTGAGCGCTCCCGACGTCGCCCTCAGGCCACGCTCGCGCATTGGGTGTTGGAGGTAAGTCGGAGGCACTGGTCGGATGCATATTTACAAGTTACGGAAACCAAGCCGCAGCGACATCATACTACGGATTCGCCACGGAACGGAATGTCATGACACGGCCTCAAGGTGCGAATTGAGAACGACCGGTTCAAAACATGTTGGGAAACAACGAGGGGTATCATTTAGGAAGGGGGATCTTGTAGCCTCCGGTATTGCCCATCACATCGTCGGGATCGTACTTGGCCCGGACCTTCTGGAGCGACTTGAGATTGTCGCGGTATATCATCCTGGCCGTCACATCCTCCAAGGAAGTGTTCGAGTAGTATGGCAGCTTGCCGGTCGTGCAACCCTCTTCGAGGGCTACCTTCTCGATGTTCTTGAGAGCCGTCTTCATCTTCCGAAGCCAGAACTTGTCGTCCTCCGCCTTCTCCCAGCGGAAGTACGCCAGAAGCGGTCCAAATGCAGCGCCCTTCTTGTGCGGCCAGGCCGCTCCACGAGGACTGTTGTCAAAGATGCTTGGAAGGAACGGCCAGATATCGATCAAGACCATCTGCCCGTTCTTCGCCTTCAAGGACTGCGCAGCTGCCTGCAGGCAATGAAATGAGCGCAGATCAGGACTTTGACATATACGGGGGACTCACTTCCGCTTCCCGCGCGACTGCATCGATAAGCTTCTTCGTGTATTTCGAAACCATGATGCAATGGAAGCGACCGCTGACATGAAGTATGTCAAAGATATGCAAGAGTAACATGAATTGACACTGACCGTGCGGCCAACTCTCCGACCCCTTTCATGGCCGTGAGGCCACCTCTTGATGCACCTCTCGCAGTCAACGTGCTTGGACTTACGGCGAAACTAGCATTCTCTTCGATAGCGGAATCGATGTCAGGGTCCGACACCACCTGGAAGGGCACACGAGGCTCCAGGTCGTACGGCGAGATGATGTCGTGCATTTCGTCGGCTGTCATTTCGCGGAAACCAGATTCCTCAAGATCGCTGCCATCCTCAGGGCCTGCGTTCTGGACATCTGCGTCTGGAAGGGTTTCAAGGGTCGTGGTGGCACCACGAGCGTTCCACCCAACAGGATTGCTCGTGAACGAAGCACTCCCTTTCATGAGGTCGGCGAACATCCGGAATGGGATATCTGCCCTTCTGCTCGGTCTCGGCGCGTCGAAAACGCAGAGCACGGATATATTATACTAGGGGGTCATGAGTGCATTGTTTGCATGATCCAGGGACACAGCCCACCTCGCGTTTTCCGTTACGGAGTGTGTGTCTGAAGGCAGACACAATGGCAGCTTCCGGCCTAGACTCTTCCTTCACGAACTTTACGATAGCGGCCTTCACTCTGTCTTCCCTGGTACCCGGAAATGAAAGAGAGGCTCCCTGAGTTACGGCGTCAATGTCCACATGACCAAGGAGGCAATAAGCACGAGATGGTGCTCACAAAGGTCGCCGTCTGAGGGTGCGTTTTCAAGGTGAACTGGGTGACGATGCCGAAGTTGTTGCCCCCGCCCTTCACGTCGGTTGTTAGCATACAGGAATTGCTATTCGAAAAGTGCAGGCATACCCTCAGGGCCTGATAGAGGTCTTTAGTATCCTTGTCGTCCTTCGTCGCCGTACGAATCCTGCCATTGGGGAGGACGATCCGGTATTTGAGCACGTTGTCAATCCCGAGCCCGTACTTGTTCGTCTTGAGCGAATATCCGCCTCCGAGCAGCCAGCCGGCCACGCCAACGCCGTCGGCTGACGCGCCGCCAACCACGTTGCGCTTGAACTTGGCGACCTCCCTGTAGACCTCGTCCCAAAGGCACCCGGCACCGACGTCAAGTGTCTTCGCTTTCTCGTCGTATTTGACTTGCTTGAACCGCATCATGGAAATTTGAGCACCGGTCGTAGAGCTGAAGCCTGGGCACATAGCATGGCCCCCGCCTTTCACCTGAGACGCGCATGCGGTTAGTCCGCAAGTATCGCCTCCGTCGATGACGGACTCACAGCGAAAGGGACTTTCTCCTTGGCGATGACTTTCATCTGTTATTCGTGAAACTCAATACGAATGAAGTCAGAAGTACATCAATCATGCCTACGATTTCAACCAGAGTAGTCTCACTGCCAGGTTGGACAGCGTACGCAGCGACGTCGGTGCTGCTCTCCAAAAAGTGGCGGACACTGCTCTTGTAACCTTCTCCCCCTGCAGAAATTGGATGAGCAGGATGTTCCCAACTAGTGGCGATATGCGTACCGAACTCATATAGAACAGACCCGTCCTTCGAGTCGTTGCAAATCTTCTGAATGTTGCGCTTCGCGGTCGACATGATAACAGCTCGGACGTCGTTGTTGGAGAGAAGGAAAGCGGACGACTGAGTGCATTGTACTGACACCCAGCCTTTTCAATGGCTTGCACTGAGAAGCGGGGAAGATCTCTTCGCAACTACAAAGCATACTGTAAAGTCAGGTGAGACACATCTCCGCGAGCACCATGCATTTGCTGTTCATGAGCTGTCCCACACTTCGAAGCGAGGATCCGACCGACGATGAACTTCAATGGCTCCCGCAGTCAACAGCAACCACCATAGTATTCCCTGTACTGAGTCCAAGAAGTAAGATCCGCTGTGCGTGCAGTCAAATCAATTGAATACAAGGAACGACATTACCTGGGAAGGGGACGCCCTGCATCGCAGCGTTACAGTCCAGGGGCAGAGCGCTTCGCAATACACGTAGGGACGTCTTGTGTGACGTGCCCGATCCAGATCAACATTGAGTTACGAGTGAAAGGTTGATCGTCGCATCAATCAACGCAGCATTTGTGGTCTGGGGTAGCCGCAAGGCCGCGGGGCGTCTGACCGCAGCCTCAAGCTCGGACAGGAATTGCGCTGGCGTGCTCGTTCGCCTAGCAGGGAATGTGTCACTTGGGCCCGCAAAAATCGTAGATGTCTCGCTGAATTCCCTGGCCATCGGATGGTTCTTGAAGCACGGTTTTCGAGGGCTGCGTGGATCATGGGACCAAGTGTTGCATTCCTGAGTAGAGCTCTCTCGTGAAATGCGGCTCGCGATCGCAGACATGACGTCTCCAAGCAGGACGGCGCTCGACAGGTGAAACGATCTGCGTGAGGAAACGACGAGTCAGGTACACCGAAGTCGGATACCGGCCCCCTTGCTCTCAAACCTAAAACATTGGCGAGCTTCAGCACTGTGTCCATGACATTGAGGAAAGTCTCACATGGCAATACATGTAAAGATACTGTGTCCGCCTGCACCGACCTTGTTCTTGCTACGTGCAAGAATGCCACCGCCCGTCAGCTCGTGCGACAGTGTCTCAGCAGTCACTGGTCAGTATTCTTGTCTTGCATACCGAGCACGATATGGCTAACGTGGATCGAGGCTGAAGATATCCGTCTTTCGCTCCGTAGTGTCATTGTCATATGTCATTGCATAGCGAAAGATCGAGCCATATTAGTACACATCATACAGACCAGTCCGCACCTTGGCGTCTACATTACAAATAATACTCGGGCTTGCGAGAAGTTATGCCATACTCAGTCAGAGCCGCACTGAGATCCTCCATCATGAGTGTGGTCTTCGTCTTGTCCTAGCAGAATTCCGAATGAGGACAACACGTGAGGTTTAGTCTTAGGGGAAGAGACGTACCCTCGCTGACGCAGGGCCAGTCGGCTGAGCGCGAGCCCTACCACCTACCGCGTTGGCACGTATACGGGCGTGTTGATACGCGTCTGCGGCGATATCAGACACGAACTTCTGTGCAGCGAGGGACAGAAGACGTTTCCTGTACCGAGTTATATCGCGTGTAAGACAGTGAGTTATCGCATATGCATTGGAGACTCACAGTCGAACATCCTCGCATTCAAACCCAACCCGCTGAAGATAGTAGTCCGTGACCTCGTTCGGGACCTGTAAGTGAGGCCGTCAGTTCCTCTGCAGACAGCGGACTCCTCTTCTATGCAGCTATGAGGCAGCATCCAGACGCGCTTGGACCAAAGGCGGTAGCCGAGACATACCAAGGGCTCATAATCGTCCAGCATGAGAAGAAACTCAGCCAACGTCCTGTCCTTCCGTGCCTCCTCGGCAGTTTGGCGCGATGATTGCGCAGTTGCCTGTGCTGGCGCAGATGTACTCGCGACTTGGGACGGGTCTGGCGTAGATTGTTGCGCTGGAGGGTGCGCCGGGAGAGGAGGATAGTAGCCCTGGCTTTGTGACGAGGTGGCATATGGTGTAGTCATAATTTCTTGCAATATTGATTTGACTCTTTGTCCCGTGTGTACGGATGGTTGAGAAGTGGAAGATGATGAGTGTCGTGGCTCGGAAGTGGCACTGTGGCGACTCTGTGGCGACCGACAGTGAGACACCTCGTGCACTTCCATAGAAGGCAACTCATGATGTTCACGCTGGTACATTCGCGATTTCTGAGTAGGTACTTACAGCCTGGCGTTGTGACGAAGTAACATTCGAATGGGAAGTATAGCTAGCTCCTCGAAGGGAGGTAATAGCGCTGCTCCATTGTTCATTGTTCCCCGTTATTCTAGAACTGCGCAAGTACATAGTAAGTAAGTAACGTACCACTCACTCACTGCCATCTCACTGGCACTTGCCAGCCTGAGTCACGGCGGTGCTGCGTCACATAGTACACGTTAGGCACCCCCGGCCGCGTCAGCGGTGCCATTGAACCACGCCGCTTGCGATACCCTAAGTTCCGGGACGCTGAACAATGGACAAATATTATCTCGTCTAAGCTCTCCTCTCCTGAGAGGCGTACTTGTGACATGTGATTTCAAGCGGGAAGTTCGTATACACACAAAGTAACACAATCGGCAACTGCCCGCACCTCTACTGCTCATTGTCGTAGACAATCGTCGCGGGCGTCCTAGGTAGCATGTTTCAGCGAACAAATAATTTTCTCAAAATGGGAAAACACACTGGTGCTGCACACCCTGTTCAGCCGAAAAGTCAATATAAAGGCATTTATGGCTCGTCTGAACGAGTGGAGGAGCTGATACGTACATTCTCCAACCAGGTGATCTGAGCCTTCATCTCCGTCAAACCCAGAAGAAGGATCACATTGTAGTTTTGTGACCAGTACGGCCCAATGGAGCCATCATTCTTCTTCTGCCATGAGCTTATAGCCGGGACGGCCTTGATCGTGCACAACGTAGAGAACATATCTAGCGGCAATCGGGAGTTCGCGTCAGCCTAGGAGCAAGCGACTTGGTACACGGACTCGCCTGGTTCTTCGTCTTTCCACTCAGGGTTCGCCTTATCTCCTCGGTAGGATATCACGTCAGCCGAGATGGTATGTTTGTCGAGTCTATTCGAGTAAGACGCGAACGGGAAGCTGAACTCAGTAGTTTCGGTAACCGAAATACCCTGACAATGTTAGATCGTATCAATGAATTCTATTCGGCCGAAAGGTCAATGATGTAAGTGCTATTCTCACCTTCCGCGTCAGGATGGCAAAGGCAGACGGAACGACCAACGATCCGTTTGGGAACGTGTATGCAAGGTGCCTGCGTCTGAAATGGTCTGATTTTGAAGGCTGGTACCAAGCCTCATACAAGGATCCATATGTGTGTCTGGCTACTCTCGCACGAACGCGATGGTCGAGGTAGAACCACAACGCGCCTTCTGCCACGGCTTTCGAGCTATTGTGCGTTGAACAACGATGCCGGCGATGTCATTCAACGATGGAAAGACTCACGTTTGACCTTCCGGGGAGAACATTCGCAATCCCTTCCTGCTTGTATGCGTCCTCAACTCGGCGCGGAGGAATGGGCTTGTGGCAAATCCTCCGACAAGTAATATCGTCTAAGAGGTTGAGAGCAATCAGTTTTGAACTGATAACGGTCGAGCAAAAACAATAACAACTAACAACTAGGCGGGCATTGACACCGGAAACCTGTGCGTCGATGGCTGATTTGATGGCGTCGACGGAGGGTTTGAAAAGCGATGTCATTTCCGACCTGAAGATCAGCAAACGCATCAGACCCTGCTCAAGACATAAGTGCACACCCACGTACCCGGATAGAGACAGAACACCACGTCGTATATTGTATCTCTCGTCAGTGTCACGCGGACCTCCAAATTTGATGTATGATGCGGTGGAGGAATCTCTGAAGGTTGGCTTGGTCATGCTATCGAAGTTTGCCATCATCGCGTCGACATCATCGGTCGTCGAGAATCGAGATAATCTGAGTTTCTCTACAGGGGATAGATGTGCGTATGTATGAGCCGAGGTGTGGAACGGAGGCATCATCTGAACTACCTCTCAGCAGCTCCTCAGCTCGACGGTTAATCATCGTCGAGCCCTGAATGAGACCTTGTCACGGCGGGGTGAGCCCGCATATAGATGTGGTCCGGTCAGATGGGTAACGCACATTCGGGGACAACACTTTCCTCCACGGTGATTGGCTGATCACCCAGAACACGATATGTGCTCAGGTCTATGGTACCGCCGCCGCAATCGACTATTGTCACGTAATTGTTTTTCTATAACGTGCGGTACTTCAGGAATGTGAGCAAGAATTATAGCTGGGGAACTTGCCTTGATGACGTCGTCGCCGAGACCAGTCGCAATACAGAATTGGAGACTTGCTTCTCCCTCCGTCACAAACTGAAGCCTTGAAGCACCCTCAACACTGTCAGGTACCAGCCCGGCGAGGATGGCTGCACGCCTCATGTTGTTCTGTTGCGGACCTAACCACCCATTGGGGTGGCTAAGGACAAAATCGATAGGAATGTTCGAGGTTAAGATCTGTTTCCCTATGGGATTGGTCTCAGATATGAAGTCTTTTGCACACTGAAATACGTAGGCCAGGAAATCCGCCAGTATATTGATGACAGGCTTGTTCACGTCGATCGGGGGCAGGACTGCACCCGGAAGAATAGACGGGGGACGAAGGTAGAGCTTGAACCTAGTGCGCTCAATGACTGCAGGAGTTATGCACGTGAGTGAGTGCATACCACTTGACGTCGTTCCACTCTTGCGTGTACGCCTCTTCCTTGGTGCTTTGGAGCGTCGCTTCCGCTCCTGCAGCGCGGAGCTGATCGTGTTGGTCGTAGTACAGGACGGAGGGTATCTTTACATCCCTTGATTTATTTTCACCCTCTTGTCCCGGAAATCTGGGCACAGCTGAGGATAAGTCTGACGGTATACACAACCACATAGTACGCACCGTGTCACACTCAAGACCTTCGGGATCTCGCCGGGATCCAAGACACAGTAGGCGACACCACTATACGTCGTGCCGATGTCAATGGAGATGACAAGTTTGCGGCTACTGCCCCGGTAGGGATCAAGCTGAACCATGCTGAAAGGCCGCTAGGATGGTTCGCGGTTCTCTGACCGATTATAAACACGACTATCTCCCTGGCATGTGTTCCCAACACGAGGTAGGGGCGTGCGCGGCCGTTCCCACAGCTGACACTGACAGCAGATACTTAAGAATGCCAGAAAACGACAGAGAAGCATGAGCAGCAAACTCTATTCATAACATCGTGTCGGCCGCATGTCGATGCCTCACCGGTCACCGGTCACCACTGGCATGCCATATATGTAACTGTTTATAAGTTTCGCTGAGAGCTAATCGCCTCACTGGCCGGCACCGCACTACGCGTACACTCATCATGGAGGGCTTCAGAAGCATCGCGTCGCATATTACCAACAAGATGGGGCTTACTGACAGCGGTGAGACCTCCGCACCCGACCCGGCGACTGCTGCTGGTGAAGATCTGTCCAAGTCCATGGGCGATCCAGAGCCATCTCCTGACGTTCTACAAGGACGAAACCAGGGTGAACCGCGTTCGCCCCGCATCGACAGAGAGTCATCGGGTCACGATGCAAGACGAGGGGAATCACCGCGAAGGATGGCGACAGCCCGCCCAACAGTGGCTGGCGATGCAAGCTCGAGGCCGAAGGAGGTTAGTGGTGTTCTGGCAAGTGCGCTCTTGGTACATGCTGACGGCGCACCTAGGACCGGCACACCTCCACGATCCAACGGATGGATAGAGAGATCGCTAAGCTCAAGCGAGACCTGGAAATGATGACGCGACATGTCAGTCATTGGCACAATGAAACCATGCGTTGCCAATCGGAGATAAACACGTCCCGCACCAACTTGGAGCTTGCTCAGAGGGAGGTGAGTCCGTTCTTGCAAGGAGATGGGAACATCTGAATGACGCTGCCGTCGACCCAGATCAGCAAAGCGAGCAAGCACACAGAGACTCTGGTCAAGGAGAACACCCAGCTGGGGGAGCTGCTCGAGACTCGCCGACAAGAGCTGCAGGACGCCCAGCGCTTCATGGGTACGGAAGACACGTTCGCGGAGAGCGAGGTTGTTCAGGAGGTTCACGGCCTGAACACGGAGATCTTCAACTTGGCACGTTCGATGGCAGATGGAGCCGTGCCTGTCCAAAACAAGGATATGAAGCGCGCCGCATCGGAAGAGATCATACACGCCTTGGGGCGTCCTTTTGTCTCCGTGCTCGAATCCACAGATCCACAGGGAGACACCATCCTTCTCGAGATCGCCATCCAAGCTGCCGCTACAAGATTTCTTGCGTGGATCATCTCCACATGGACGAGAAAGGCTGAAAGCGACAGCGTTTTGTCATCAATATACGAGAGGATCCGAAGATCCGGTAAGTGCACCTCGACTTCGATGCAGCTGCTATCGTATACTGAAGACCACCAGAAAATCAGAGCGTTGCAGGCCAATGGCGTGCTTTGACCCGAAAGTTCGCACAGGCTGAACAAGTCAGCGCACGGCAGCAGGAAGACAGCTACAGACAGAAGCTGGTCACGTTGCTACAACATGTTGCGGCACTGTCACGCATGCGTACCCCTTCGGAAAGGGATCCGCGAGAACTCGTACAGATCCTGGTCAGCAAAGCCTTCAAGATCCGCCACCTCATTGGTGAGGCCATGAAAAGCAGCGAATACGAGATTCTGCTTAAGCAACCAGGAGCAGCATTCGTGGCGGAAGATATGAAGGACGTGTATTGCCCGAGAGGTAAAGGGAAACGCACGGGGTTATCCGTCTTGTATTGTGCATCATTGGGGCTTCGACGGGTCGAGAAGGTCGAGGGGGGCTTGCGATCGACCACGCTTGTCAAGCCGGACGTAGGCCTCCAAACTCTAGTGGAGGATCTGGGTTTGGCGGACGGCGGCGATGTGAAGATGTCAGGCTAGAAAGCGCCTTCACATTATGACAAACGCGCAATATTTCTGGTCAATCGCAATCATGATGATACGTCGATAGTCTTTGCGATGAGACTTGTCTACGAACCTTACACGCAACACTTTCAAGTTGACGATAGTATTGGATACGATATAGTTGTTGGTACAGAACTTCTTCCACGTCACGGTGCTGGGCTAGGAAGAGATCGTATCTCATCAGCGCTTCATTGTTGACAGTAGATGGAGTCAGTTTTGGACCAGAAAGCGTTAAATGTCCGAGCCCTCGATCCCTAGACCTGCTCTAGGATACAAGGATTCAAACGGGATTGTATGCACAGGAACGACGGTAAGACTCACCTCTTCCGGACGCCCCGTCAGTCCAAGAGACGCACTTCATGTTCACGTTTAGCACCAGTCGCCGTCCAATACAATCACACATCATCCTACCATCCGAACTACGCCTTCATCTGCATCATCACGAAGAGCTTGATAGAATCGTAGTTCTGCTCCCAAAAGGGCCCTTCAAGTTCCGGCCCATCGCACTTGCGCTCTGCGAAGGTTGAGCCCATCCACAGACAGTATTGATGTACATGCTCAGAAGATTTGTCAAGCCCACGGACCCAACACGGACTCGGAGTACTGGTGCAGTCTGAGATCTGAGCGCTGAGCGCTGAGCAGTCGAGTCTGCCACTGAGTGATGTCGACCGTGGCGTGACAGTACGCGTCTGTGACAGCGCGCAGCCGCGTGACCTCCGTCGTGCGGCTCGCCGTTCGTACGATCCTCCTCCTCCTGGGTGGAAGCATCCCCACCCAGCAGACTAGCAACATTGACGTACCGGTGGGCGCACAGTACAGGCTCTTTGTCGACGTCCTGCTCGGTAAGTATGTGGAAGTTGTGGACAAATCAGAAATCACTGATTGAGAGTCCTCAGAAGCCACTTAAATCGACTCCCGCGGTCCACGCTACTTGCTATGCAGTATCCCGTATCTTTGCAGGTATGTGCGTATCGTGTGCTCTTAACGCGATGCTATACACTAAGTCCATACGAGGGCACACCGTGACGGCGTAAGCCATCGCCCGCCATCGTCCAGATGCTTTTGCAGGCTAATGTGCTACCGTCGTAAGTTACCAGCGGTGTACTACTCAACGAATGGGTTACTTATCGACAGCATGGTTCAGGGAACCTCCAGGCGAGTACGAAGGAGTCCAGCTCGGTGTTCAGTTCCTCACAAAACAACCCTTGAACATGTCTCTCCTTAAATGCCTACTACTAGAGAAGCGTCGCGACATGGCACTGGATGAGCGTGAGTCATTTCAATGGTCAATGGAAGCAGTGATGCCACCACCTCATCGGGCCACAGACTCGCTCTACGCTCCAAAGTTCGAACGAACTTCGGGTAGGCGCTGTTTCGGTAAGTACGTCGCAAGGCTGTATATTTGCACTCGCAGGGGCTTCCAGCCTCATAGCTTTATGGGCGACCTGCGGAGCCCTATGCGGCGGTATGAGTAATCTTCCGGTCGAAGAAGAATGGAAGGGAACAAGTATGCGATGATGTTAGACGGCAATATCAATGGTCTCAGATCCTTGCCCGCGTACTACGTACCAAGTTGCAATGTATGGCATTCGCTTGTAACTTGCATACTAGTGATGGACTCTTGTAGAAACTTGGTAGTCGCGGACATGCGGGTACAAAAATGTGTGTGATACACTGTAGAAACACATCGGAGACGGTCACCAAGGTAGCAAGAAGATCGAGACAACAGCGCTCATCGTACAAAGTCCTAGCCTCTGAGTCGCTGATAGGCAGCACTGATTTATGCTATGCGCATGATATGACCATGGTTGGCAATCTGATGTCTACTGTTCCTCGTCGTATATGATGTTCGCAGGGGTCCTATGTAGATCATATTGGATCAGTACAAAGAGAATTGCTGTGACTCGGAAGGCTCACCTTTGCTTCACGCCCTGTTCGGTGAATGACAACTAAGCACATGACACAAATAACACGAATCTTGACACATACGTTCTCCACCCATGCAATTTGCGCCTTCATCTCCGTCAGACCGAGGAGCAGGATGACTTCGAATTCTGTCGACCAGTATGGTCCTTTGGCACCACTATGCCTCTTCCATGAATCGAACGCAGGAGTGGCCGTGATTCTGCACAGCGTATAGAACTCATCTGGTGATCAGGTATTCCTTTTAGAGAGAATCGTGGCTGAGGAATCTTGAGAGCATACCCGGTTCATCATCCATCCATTGAGGATCGGTTTGATCGCCTCTGTAGGCAGTGACATCGGCCGAGATACTAGTGCCATGGCGAGAAATCTTGCGCTGATATGTCACCAAAGGGTAGCTGAATTCTCTTTCCTCTGTGACTGATGTTCCCTAAAGGAATATGTGCGTTCGTCAATGTATCCGTCTTGGCACACAATGATACATGCTGCGCTCACCTTCCGTGTCAAAATAGCGAAGGCTGATGGGATGCAGATTCGACCGTCCACGCGCATATATCTCAGATGTTGGCGTCTGAAGTGCTCCGGCAACAAAGGATTATACTGTCGTACACATCCTGTGCCATACGTGTGCCTAGCAACTCTTGCGCGAACGGAATGGTTGAGGTAAAACCATAGGGCACCTTCGGCGACGGCCTTGGAACTGTCAGGTGCATGAATGCTAATTCTAGCAGTAGTGATGAACACGAAGGCCTACGTTTGGCCTTCGGGGGTGAACATCTGCAATCCCTTGTTGTTCATGTGACTGTGTAATTCAGAGCGCAAGAAAGGACTGGTGGCGAACCCGCCGACGAGCAATATCGTCTACATGGAGAGAAGTCAGGCAACAGCTGGGTATGATCGTAAGAAAGACAACTGACAGCGAAGCGGGAATCTACTCCAACCAAGTGAGTGTCAATGGCCGACTTGATCGCGTCAATGGACGGTGTGAAGAGTGACGTCATTTCAAACCTGAGAAACAGGACGTGAACACAAACATCTCGTCAACATCATTTGTTATCCACGTACCCTGAAAGAGATAAAACACCACGCCGTATGTTGACCTCCTCATCAGTGTCCCTCTGCCCTCCGAACCTGACGTAAGATGTGTCAGAAGGATTTCTGAAGGTCGGCTTCGTCGTATTTTCGAAGTTTGTCAACATCACTTCTATGTCTCCGGAGGTTGAGAAGCGAGATAGTCTGAGCTTGCCTACCACGTCATCACATATGAGCAGATATAGTCATGCTGACAAAAGTATCTTTGACGTACTTCTCAACAACTCTTCCGCTCGACGATCAATCATTGTCGAGCCCTGGATGAGGCCTTGATTACGTCGCATTGAGGCGAGTCAGCATCATATGCAAAACAATAAGCCACTGGCAGGGCACCCACACTTGGGAACGACACTCTCTACCACAGCAATGGGCTGACTGTTGAGAACACGATATGTACTCAGGTCTATGGTACCTCCACCGCAATCTACTATCGTCACATAGTGATCTTTCTACAAAGTGTTAGTCAGGACACGAAGTTGTTACAGAAACGGGAGCTCACCTCCATGACATCGTCCCCTAGACCCGTCATGATACAGAACTGGAGGCTTGCCTCCCCTTCGGTGACAAACTGAAGCCTCGCAGCACCTTCATCGTCGTCAGATACTAGCTCGGCCAGGATAGCTGCACGCCTCATGCTGCTTTGTTGAGGGCCCGACCACCCGTTGGGGTGACTAAGGACGAAATCAATAGGGGTCTTGGACTCCAAAATCTGTCTACCAATTGGATTGGTCTCGGAGATAAAGTCTTTAGTGCATTGCAAGACATAGGTAAGAAAATCTGCCAAGATCTCGACAGCGGATTTGTTCACGCTAATGGGTGGTAGGACTGCACCCGGAAGAATTGACGGAGGACGAAGGTGGAGCTTGAACCTAGAAGGGTTGGTAATTATAACCATGGTGCATGGTGTAAATGAAGGCATACCATTTGACGCAATGCCACTCCTGCGCATATGCCTCGTCCTCAGTGCTTTGTAGTGTTGCTTCTGCTCCGACAGCGCAGAGCTGGCCTTGCTGGTCGTAATAAAGGACGGAAGGTATCTTCACATCCCTTGATTTATTTTCACCTTCTTGTCCCGGAAAGCTGAGCAGGGTATAATCAGTTTGGCGTATGAAAGGACAGCTGCGTACACGCACCGCGTGACACTCAATACTTGGGGTATCTCGCCAGGGTCCAAGACGCAATAGGCCGCACCACTGTACGTGGTGCCAATGTCAATAGCAATGACGAGTTTACGGCTGCTGCCGTTGTAGGGATCCGGTTGAAGCATGCTGTCTAGATAGTTGGGACAATGACCGCCTATGCCACTCCCAGATATAAACCTCTCCCGGGCACGTGCACATGTTCACAATGCAAGGTAAGTAGGAGCACACGGACGCCCCCCAGGCCCGCAGAGGCCCGTGGACAAAACGTGGATGCTTCCATAGTGATCCGCAGGTAATGTCATATTTCACTAACTCACGCTGGGAGCTAGTACTCTGGCTGCTAAACACGATCATCATGCGAGGCCTGAAGGACTTCACGTCGAGCTTGACTCACAAGAGTCATACGGACAGCGGTGAGACATCGACTGATGTACAATCCAGGAACATCCCCTGATGTTCTACAAGGACCACGACAGACCCGGAGCGAATCACCCTCGCACTACATCGACGTGGAGGAACCATTGAGTCACAGAAGAGGGCGGAAATCGTCACAAAGGGCCCGTCCGCCAGTGGCAGACGACGCGAACCAGAGTCGGAACGAGGCAAGCGATGCCCTAGCAATCGCGCTCATAGCGCATGCTAACAACGCTTTAGGGACGATACTCATCCACTACCCAACCAATGGAGAGAGAGACCACTAAACGAGGCCGCGACGAGACGACGCGAGATATCGACTGGCGACGAGTTACGCGGTACATATTGGAGAGAAAGGAGTGGCGCACGGAAGCCGAGCTCGATCAAAGCAACGTGAGTCCATCCTCTAGGAAGACAGTAATATCTGAGTGACCCGGCCGTTGGCCCAGCTCGACAATGCGAAGAAGCGCGAAGAGATTCTGGTCAAGGAGAACGCCCAGCTGAAGGCGCTACTCGAAACTCGCCGACAGGAGCTGCAGGACGCCCAGCGCTTCATGCGTACGGTAGACACGTTCGCGGAGAGCGAGGTGGTTCAGGAGGTCCGCAGCCTGAACACGGAGATTTTCAATTTGGCGCGTTCCATAGCTGATCAAGCCACACCCAACCAAGATCAGCATACGGTGCTCGGTGCAGAAGATGATGTGATACGTGCATTGGGTCATCCTTTCCTCGCCGTGCTCAAATCCACAGATACACGGGGAGACACAATCCTTGTAGAGATCGCCACGCAGGTTGCGGTGACGAACTTCCTTGCCCGGATCATCTCCACATGGACGAACGACTCTGAGAGCGATAACGTCTTGACATCTGTCTACGAGAGAATCAGGAAATCGGGTAAGCATCTCTCTGCTTCAACACAATTTGCTGTTGATCTTGAGAACTCTGCAGAGAATCAGAGCGTAGTAGGCCAGTGGCGTGCTTTGACGCGAAAATTCGCACAAGCTGAGCATCTCGACGCGGAGCAGCTGGACGACAGCTGCAGCAGAGAGCTCGCCAAACTGTTACGACACGTCGTACTATCGTCCTGTATGCGTCCCTCTGCAGAGAGCGACCCGCAGCAGCCCATACACATCCTGGTCAGCAAAGCCCTCAAGATCCGCCACCTCATTGCCGAGGCTATGAAAGGTAGCGAGTACGAAATCCTGCTCCCGCGACCCGATACCGCATTCGTCGCGGAAGAAATGGAGGACATATATGGTGACAGCAAAAAGGAACGACGCACGAGATCATGTGTCTTATGTTGCGTGTCCTTGGGGCTTCGGCGGGTTGAGAAGGTTGAGGGGAGCTTGCGATCGGCCACGCTTGTCAAGCCTGGCGTAGGTATCCAAACTCTAGTGGATGATCTGTGTTTGGCAGACGGGGACGATGAAATGTCAGGTTAGCAAAGCATCGTCAAGGTTTGACGATAGCACGATGTATCTGATCAGTGATAATTCGTGCAATAAGACACGTTTACGAACCTTTTTGTGATGCACTCAGAACTCCTGCCACACGTACAACAGACCAGAAAACATGCATCAGCACCTCGCCGGTTAAGCTGGTATGGACGCACGCACTCCTGAATCGTACGCAGAAGATTTCGGATCGAGTTTAGGTCCGGGAAGTTATACGCAGAGACACGCCGCAAGGCAGACCATTCGTCCGCATCGTGCTGCTGGGGCATCCAATGCGCTCGTTTCCGGGTAGACAGGACCACGGCATGCATGGGATGACTGTCTTGTAAGCCGTGATTATTAACTTGCTCGGTTTCCTGCAGCCACTCAGGCTTCAAGATTCGAGATCAAGGGCGGCCGATTTGGTTGAGAGCTGTGACGGCTCAAAGTCCGTTATCATACACAGCGGCCGTAGCCGTCCTAAGAGATCAATGAAATCAACGAGGCTGCGTGTGCAGAGATGGACGTAAGCCTCACCTCTTCTGAACACCCTGTCAGTTCTAAGAGGCGCACATAAGATTTAACGCTAGTCAGAGCCCAATACGATCGACTCACATTTTCCCACCAACCGATCTGCGCCTTCATCTCCGTTGACCCGCATTATAACATCGTAATGCTGCTCCCGGTAAGACTTTTTCGGGCCGTCGTGCTTGTTCCATGCGCTCTGTGGGGGCTCGGCCGTGACACGACAGAGCGTGAAGAATGAATATGCTGTCCGATGAGACAAGCCCTCCTACACAGGTCAAATAACCTACCCAGCTCCACATCCATCCAGTGCGATACAGCGACGCGTCCCCGGTAAGCCATCAGAGAGGCTGATAGGGACATGTCTTGAGGCTGCGCGTAGTACGAGGCAACCGCAAAACTGAACTCTTTCGTTTCCTGCTCGGAGGTTCCCTGGGGGTCCGCATCATCCACGCCATAACTGATGAGCTCAGCCCCCGCGGTAGTAAAAAGGGAGACAAACCTTAGGTACTAGGGTGGCGAAGCCTCCCACGGGCAGTATAGACCTTATCCTTGCGACTGACATGTTCAGGATCGGAGGCGTTGTACCACGGGTTCATAGGTGTGCCGTATGTGTGTCGCGCGATCCTTGCAGAGACACAGTTGTCGAGGTGGTACCACCCACAGCGACCACCTTGGACCTGTCCGCGAAGCATTATCCCACACGCGCCCAAGCGTGACGATGGTCACCACTCATGTCTGACCATCCGGGTAGATTATCCACACCCCTTTGCCTCAGCGGAGCTCTGCAGTCCACTGCGCAGGTAAGGGCTAATGGCGAAGCCACCAACGAGCAGGACGGTCTAGGATTCAATGGATTAACTGCTATAGAACCTCACGGAATCAGTTAGCTACAACTCACAGCAAGACCTGGGCTGACTCCTGCCAGCTGGGCATCAAGGCCTGCAGGCCAGACTTGATCGCATCGACAGACTCGTGGAAGAGAGCCTCTACGTCCGCGCTGTACAAGATGAGCTGTTAGTTCGTCTGAACGGTTTTCCAATGGAACCTGACACATACCCCGGCAGAGTGACAACGGCCCTTCGTCTCTGAGACCATTGCTTCTTGCATATCGTTATATAAACAAAATGGATACGCAGCAGGGATTTTTTTCTCATGCGCGTGCCGGACGGCGCAAACGCTGACAACGTTCGAGTGTCAGAAGTACGATACTTACTGCTTTCAGATGGGCTGGGTGGACAAGATGAGTTAAATGGCAGAAGTCTTGCTCATTGACAAACATTATACATCGCACACAACGTGTGCAATACCAGAAGGCATATTCGGATCCCCAGCTGTCTTCAGCAAAGTGTTGCCAAGCCAGCCATCGTGTAGGCCCGGGGATTTGCCAGGTCGTTCAGAGAAATCGAGCTAGGAAAGCTGGTTCCACGAAAACTTTCAGTCATACGCCTAACCCTCTGGGAAAGGGGCACATCGAGAGATGGGCAGGGAGGGCAAGACGAGCAGTCACGCTACGCGCCACGTCACAGTCATAAGGTCACACTTTGATCGACACGGGCGCTCGGTGCCCTGACAAATCGGAGATCTGGGCTTGGTAAGGTGGCTGCTTGACTCGCCCACTCTTCATCCAACCTTCGTCTCCTGCTCTCATCATCCAAGACATGATAGCCGTACAGCAGGCTGTACCCCTCCCAGATCCGCTCTCGGTCCCTGCAAATGCACCGGAACATTGTCCTGTAAGCTCTCCGCCCGTCTTCAGATCGACGTACATTCTGACCAATGTCACCAGGGAACGGAGTCGGAACTGGCAGGAAAGGCAGATGCATGCGCGGGATGTGCCAACCAGGAGATATGTGCGTCCGGAGTCGCGAAGGGACCAGACCCTGCCCTACCATTCGTACGGGAGCGCATGTCGACTGTGAAGCGGAAGATCCTCGTCCTCTCCGGGAAGGGCGGAGTTGGCAAGTCCACTTTCACTGCGCAGCTGGGGTGGGCATTCGCGGCGGACGATACATTGCAGGTGCGTACCTAATCGCCATGATGCCATTCCCCGCCTCATTGTATCTGTTAGACAGGGATCATGGACGTTGACATCTGCGGCCCCTCGATTCCTACCATCCTCGGCATCGCATCTGAGCAAGTGCACGCATCCTCTTCAGGATGGTCACCCGTCTACGTACAAGACAACCTCGGTGTCATGTCCGTCGGCTTCATGCTTCCCTCCTCAAAGGACGCAGTCATGTGGCGGGGGCCCAAGAAGAACGGGCTCATCTCGCAGTTCCTCAAGGACGTCGACTGGGGCGAGCTCGACTACCTCGTCATCGATACGCCCCCGGGCACGTCCGACGAGCACCTCAGCATCGTAACCTACCTCAAGGAGAGCGGCATCGACGGTGCCGTCGTCATCACCACCCCACAGGAGGTCGCACTCCAGGACGTCCGGCGCGAGATCGACTTCTGCAGGAAGGTCGACATACCGGTGATTGGCCTCGTGGAGAACATGTCTGGCTTCGTGTGCCCTAGCTGCAAGAACGAGTCGCAGATCTTCAAGCCGAGTACCGGTGGAGGGCGGAGGCTCGCGCAGGATATGGGTGTTGACTTCCTGGGCGCCGTGCCCTTGGATCCGCGGATAGGCAAGAGTGCGGACTACGGTGTCAGCTTCCTGGACGAGTACCCAGACAGCCCCGCAAGTATCGCATACCTAGACATCATTGACAGTAAGTCCCCTTTCGACGTCTCGCCGTCCTGCAGTGCTGATGAACTACCAGAAATTAAGCAGAAGCTCGGGGACTGAGGCTCACCTCTTCTCTGCCTTTTCATTTCCGTGGACGGCTGTGTTATTGGGTCTCAGACTTGTTGTAGCTACTAGATCTATTGCATGTATTTTACTCACATCCATATACAAGAGCAATCATTGGAGAGAACATTGAGTATACGCGACAGCGAGACATACACTCCAACCCAGATAATCCAGACCAGCAACAGGCTCATGCCCGTCCTTCTTCGTCTTCCTCCTCCTCTTCCTCTCCCAACATCTCGGCCAGGAAGTCGCCTCCCTTAGTAACAGGCGCCTCATACACCGCGAACGCAGCCGTCCGCGCCGCACCACCCTTGCCCTCCTTCTCCACGCCCTTCTTCTCCCCAATCGCCGAGCCAGCGGACGTCCACCCTCTGCCGCGCTCCGTGTAAACCTCAGGGCTGCGATCGAGCAAGACGTCGAGCTCCTCATCGCTGACGACGCTCGCCTTCCCCGCCGCCGTGCTCGGCACGACCTCGATCTGCTCGCCCTCGAGCTTGAGGAGCGCCGCGGCCATCGCGGCCATGGTCTCCTTCCTGTTGCGGCTCGGCGCGAGCGTCGGGTCCTTGAATTCGCCTGCAAAGAGGGACCGCGCTTGGTGAGCGAGACTGCGGACGGACGGAGAGATGGTGAGGACGTACCTTTGGCGATGACGAGCGCCTCGAGCTTGCGCTTGTCGTTCGCGCGCTGCATGATCTTCGTCTCGACGGTGTGCTTGCTGACGATGCGGAACACGAGCACGGGCTTCGTCTGCCCGATGCGGTGTGCCCGGTCCTGCGCCTGCAGGTCCATCTGAGGGTTCTGGGAAATGATACTTGTCAATACAACACGGCGTAGCGGACATGACTCTGGGACTCTCACCCAGTCCTGGTCGTAGAAGATGACCGTATCTGCAGCAACTAGGTTGAGACCCAATCCTCCAGCCCTCGTGCTGAGCAGAAAGAGACGCGGCGCGTCGGGAGCGTCCCCGCTCTTCTGGAACCTGTCCACCTCATCCCGCCGATCGGCCATGGACGTCGACCCGTCGATACGACACAGCGACCACCCCTTGAACTCAGTAGCCCAGTCCTAGATCCATAACATCAGTCAACACCGGAGTGGACCAGGTGCATGGAAAGCTCCGCACCTCAATGATATCCAGCATAGTCGTGAACTGGCTGAAGAGCAGCACCTTGTGGCCCCGCTCGAAAAGCTCTACTAACAGCCGTTCAAGGACCATCATCTTCCCGCTGGCTGTCGACAACTCGTCATTGATCACGGGCTGGCGGGTCTTCGGGTCTATCGGCCAATCGAAGAGGAACGGATGCGAGCAGACCTTGCGGAGCTGCATCACCATGTTCTGCAACGACATCCGGTTCACCTTGGACACTGGAGTGCCGGGCCATGCATGTTTCAGTGTCTAGAAACATCTGGTTTGGGCGGGACTTACATAGTGCCTTCCTGCGCCATTCGCGTGCGAGCTCTTCATTACTTTTCTCCTGCTCTCTTCTCCTGATGTCGTCGATCTCTCCAGCTTCCAGCTTCCTGAAGTACTCGTCATCGTTCCCATCCACAGCGTAGCTCTTTCGCTTGGTTCGCCGCAGTCCCGCTCGGCCCTTCCCTTTTGCCTGCGCCTTCAACGGAACCTCTTCCTCGTCGTCCGACTGGCCTTGCTTCTCGGCCGCCTCCTTGGTGAGGAGCGCGCGCAGGCCTCCGCTCGCGATGGCGTCGTACAGTTCGCGCTGGCGCTCACTCAGAGGCGCGTAGAGCACGTACTCCTTCTTTGGTGGCAAGTTAGTCTCGACATCGACCTTGAGTCGCCGAAGCAGGAACGGTCGCAGGATCGAGTGCAGGGAGTGTATGATCTGAGCGGAACGCGAGCTCGAGAGATTAGCTTGCAGCTGCGGAAGATTGAACCACTTCTCGAACGCCTCAGGATCAGAGAACATATCGGGAAGCACAAAGTTCAGGAGAGCGAATAACTCGGAGAGGTTATTCTATGAGATGTGCCGTTGTCAGCTAGAGCCTGGGCGTAACTTGTTGTCGACGTACTTGCAGCGGTGTCCCTGTGAGGATCATCCTCGAGCTTGCTGGTATCATCCTGAGTTCGCGGATCAGTCTGCAGTTCATATTCTTCAGTCGATGCCCTTCATCGACGACAATGAAGCCCCAGTAGTACTCCGCCAGGTAGGCGCGATCCTTCATGAGCATCTCATATGTCGTGATGACCACGGGGAAATTGGTGCGCTGATGTGGAGGTAGGGACGTTGCCTTCTTGCTGACGCTGACGCGAGGTTGAGACGAGTTAGCACGGCCCTTGTTATTGTTCGCTGTGGCCTTGTTCTTTGAAGTCTTTGATTTCCCCTTCGATGAAGATGAGGAAGCAGCTGGGCTGGCCCCGCGAGAGGAACCACCTTTCTGTCTGTTTTGGGCTTGCATGTCCGCTTCCGAGAACACCATCTTTTTGTGTCGAATCTCAGCACGCTCCTCGGGCGTACCATGGTACATGACCACAGGAATCTAAGTATCAAAACTTCTGTGAGTGAGTTCAGCAATCAAGACGGAGACACGCACGTCAGGAGCAAAGCGTTCAAACTCTTCCACCCAGTTATTCAACACGCTGAGCGGGCACAACACAAGGAAAGGTAGCGAAGAGCGCTCACGCAGAAAAGCGTGGAATGCAATGGTTTGGAGTGTCTGCGTAGAAATATGAGCATCTCGGACCCAAGTGCAAATGACTAAGACGGACCTTTCCCAGACCCATCTCATCGGCTAGGCAATAGTCAATCTCTCAGCGCAACCGTCGATCACATCGCGAACGTACCTAGGATGCCCGACATTCCACTCTGGTGCAGCGCAGCCATCCAGGCGACACCTTCCAGTTGATAGTCTTTCAATGTCGCACCAGTGATCAGTGCAGGTTGTTCGAACGGCGTCGTGTCCTTCGCATCCTTCGCGTCATACGTGTCTGTGGCCTGCGGATCCTCGTCCAACTTCACGCGCTTTGCAGTATGTGCCTTGCCATCTTGTCCATCCGCCCGCAGTCGCTTCTTCGTGCTGCCTTTTGTATGGTGTCACTGGAGGTGGACTTCTCGGCCCTCTTCGACGTCGGTGCGTTGCGTTTGATCGTGCGGTGAGTACCGCTCAACTTCACCCTATCCATTTGCTGCTTCAGAACCTCCACGATGACGGTGGACTTCTCGAGCAGGTTGGTGAGCATTTGAAGTCGCTCAGCTGTCTCCTGTAGACATCCAGGTTAATTACATTCTAAATTACGCGAATGGGGCCCGACGACTAATGATCGTGTAACTTACTTGGTCCTCCTCCACATCAGGCTCCTTCTCATCTGAGTCTGGTGGCGGTGGGCTAGACGCGGGCGTACTGCCCTCCGAATCAGCTGCACTCATTGGGAAGACGGGCGAGGAAGCTCGAGAGGATAGCGAAGGCATTTCTAAGGTCGCTCAGAGTACTGTGCAACGAATGCGGATGATGGTCGCGTTATGAAGTCGACCGTGGCCAGACGCGCTCGCGTCCAAGGTCCGTGTGACAGAGTGACGGCGCGTAGTGTGACCAGTCGCGCCGATGTTATGCGACGCGTCGCCTGTCACCCTCCAGCGGCGCTCTCCGACTGAGTCTAAGTACACAGCGAATGCATTGCGGTCGACATGAGCCTATCTACACTAGTGATACATCTAGATCATGGGTCATCTATGCAGCTGCAACGAGTCCATCCATACAGTACACGTCGCTCGAACACACTTCGAGAGGTCTACTCATCCTGCTTTGGCGGCGACTCCAGCTCTCCGGGCATCTCCGACGGAAGTGCCTCATCTCTCTCCTGCACAATATACTTCCCAATGGGAGCAATATCCGCCAGCCCACCTGCAAAGCCCTCCCCACTCTCGTAGATCGACACAGTCGAGAGTGTCCTGAGCAGCCTGCGCGCGCTATCGTATCCGTATGTCGACGCAGTCCTCGATCGCGCCGGCACGACGTAGTCCTCCTTCTGCGTCGGAAAAGCCACTGTGCTTGCCCCACCGATGGCCTCGCCACCGCCGCCAGACGGCCTACGCGACGGTGTCGGCCGATACGATGTAGATGCGGACCCGCCGTATAGCGAGTTCGTCCGCGACGGAACATACGTGCTCGATCGTCGCGAATAAGCAACCATGGGGTCAACGGGCTGCTTCGTCCTCGAATGGGTTTCGTCGTCGAAGGCGTGTCGTCCTCCGCCAACCGCTCCTCGGGCTTCGCCGGCGGCTCCAGACCCTCGAAGACGCTCTGCGCCATCTCCGGCGTGGCAAGAAACACCGCGTCGTCCACTCCTGGTGGCTGCAGATTCTCTGCCATCTCGCGAATCTCCTCTAGCTTGCGCTTGATCTCCCGTGTGGGTGACGGTAGTGCGCTGGGTCGGCGAGGCAGCTCCGAATCTAGCTCTGGTTCTAGTTCCGGCTCCGGCTCCGACTCCTCAACAGGAATACTGCGCACTTCGCCGCGATAGTCTTGTATCTCGTTGTATAGCGCCTCCTTGTACTGTTCCAGAGTCTCTATAGCTTCGAGCGTTCGCCACCGTTCGAATGGCTCAGGGCAGTCGGGCTCGTCGGTGATGTCGTGGTACGACGCAAGCCAGGGGTGTTCGAGTGCTTCAGGGACTGTGATTCGCGCCGCAGGATCGAACGTGAGCATTTTGGAAAGGAGATCAAGAGCTGTAACGTCTTCAGCGACGCACAAAGAGTACACAAAAGGCAGTGTATACCTTGGAAATCTGCTACTGGTAGAACCTTTGAGAAAGGTACTCTTTTCTTCCAGGGCAGGGACCGTATGTACGCCCGTGCCTGCCGACACTCGTTAGCCCAAATATTACACAGTCTGAGGCACACGGTCCGCACTTTTGGACTTGCTATGCGATCGACGACGTCGCTCTCCGGGGTACCTAGGCACATTGTTTGCTCGATCGCAGTCCGGTAAATGTTCGTGCATCACGACATACCGAGAATCTCGAGGATCTTGTTCAATTGGTCGACTGCAGACAGAAGGGGCACTTGTAGTTAGATGGGACATTCATTCGTTATCCTGCATGGAGTGAGCTGACCATAGCTGCGTGACAAGTGTCAGATGCTGGCAAGCAAGGACAGAGGGTCCGTGCTCACTCCTTCCCCTTGAATACTGGCCTGCCAAGCATAAGCTCTCCGAAGATACAGCCTACTGACCAGACGTCGACTGAAGACAAGTCTTCAGCATCATTTGATACCCTACATGAACAGTCACGTACTAGCTGTGTTGTACCCCCTTCATCATGCACTCATTGGTGATCAGATAACATACGGTAAGCAGGGCCCACTCACTTGAAAGCAAGCATGATTTCCGGCGCACGGTACCACCTCGTCGCAACGTACTCGGTCATGTTGGTCGGCTCCTCATCCGGTTTTGAGTTGAACCCTCTACTCAGACCGAAGTCACAGATCTTCAGCTCACAATCGGCGTTTACCAACAGATTGCCGGGCTTCAGGTCTCTATGTACGACGGACGCGGAGTGAATATACTTCATGCCTCGGAGAACCTGGTAGAGGAAGTACTGGACGTGCTCATTGCTGAGCATCTGTCCAGATTTATGATTTGGTGCAGATCCGCTGGTGCGAAGTCAGGGATCTCAACGAGAGTGGTGTGGTGGGGATTCGCACCTTCCATCGGCTACCCACACCGTCGTCAAAACCCCGTTAGCCGGACAATCGTTCGCACAACCTGATATATAACGAACCTCCATAAAGATATATCTGCACACTGTCAACTCTTCGCAAGCGAAATAAATTAGTGGCGGCTCACATCTCACTCAAGTCCGGAGTACAGTCCACATCTATGAGGCCGGTGATATTCTCATGATTGAAGTGTCGCAAGAGGGTGATCTCGCGCAATGCACGCTTTGCAAGCTGGACCTTCTCTGTCGCGCGAGTGACCATCTTGATCGCCACCGGCTCTCCCGAGATCTCGTCCGCGGCCGAGCTGCGAGATCTTCGTCAACACGACGGTCCGGCGTTCTCGGTAAAGAATAGACTAACATGACATAGCCGTACGCTCCGGACCCCATCTCGCGAATAAGCTTCCATCGTTTCTCGACATGGAACGCCTTGCCAAAGGAGGACATGAGCGTATGGTATCCCTGCACACGAACGGTTAGATTCGGCCACGATGGACTTGGAGACCTACCACCGTCGCCGAAGTGCGTCACTCGACCGGGTGCGAGCCACTGCACGCGTCCGCGAGCGTCCACGCCGGCCGCTGGAGGAGTCGGGCGAAGGTATCGGGGACGACGACTTGCCTCGACCGTTCTCCTGTCTCTCGCTCTCTTTGTCCTTTCGTCCCCGGAGATCGTTGTCGGTGCCTGTGGTGGGGGAGCAGTAGCCATATCACAGTCGGATCCCGGATGCAGCTGCAAGTAGTCGGCGGTAAGTGGGTTCGGAGCCGCTGATCGCTGACACCGGTGTGAGCAAGACGATGGTGGGCGTTCGGGACACGTCGGTAGATGGATACGAGGTTGGTCGTTTAGAAGACGGAGCGAATTACGTGCAGATTACATCCGTCCTGCCTGGACCAGGACCGGCAATACCAATGGCACGCACAAACATGCACACCTAAACTGGGGCGCCAGATACAGATCTCGCTCCCAGATGACATGCCTCCTGTGCATGCGTCGAAGACAGATGTCCCTGCTTGCACCCGTGCTGCCTCACTCGCCGCGGTCTCTCTTCTGCGATTGACCCATGCAGCACAGTCGATGGCACTCCAGCTCAAGCGGACGGTACGACGATTCACATGGTTGAAAGCACTATAGTACAACTTTGCATAACAATCCTCGAACGAAAGCAGTCCCACAGCGATCCACACATCTGGTCTCGCAGATCACGCACGCTATACTTCCATGTACCAACAGCCATCACGCGTCCACCGGCACCCACGACTCTCCCTCTACAGCCGCACCACTCGTCTGGGCGCGTGGAGCACGAGGGCGACTAGTCTGCCTAGCCACGCTCTCGTCCGCCGAGTCCTCCGTGTTCCGCACCGTGACCGTCTCGTGTCCGGCACCTCTCTCCGCCCCTTCTGTTGGGTAGTCCCCGGGTGGTCGCAGAGCGGACTCGCCGACCATCGCGGTGGCGCCAGCGGCCGTGTTACTCCATACGACACGCCCGCGACCATCGGTCAAGAAGGGCGGGTCACTGTCATGCAATGCTTCGGCAGCAGCGTCAGCGCAAGGAGGCCTGGCACCCTCGCGCGGAGGCTCAACGACTGGAGCCGCAGGTGAGGCAGGAAGCTCGCTAGCCTCCAGCGAGCGCATGACATCTCGACCCGCCTATCAAACTCCGATGCCTCACTGAGCAATGCCTCAGCCTCGCGCGAAACCTGCTCGCGCTTGCACACGATCACCTTGTGTTGGGGTTGCGTTGAGGTCCGTCGGAGCAAGCGCATTGGTAGCAGAACCAGGAAGAGGGCGCGCCTCGTCGAGGGCGACGCTCGACTGATCCGAGATCGATCGTGGTTGCCGATCGACGACGGTGCTGAAGCGGCTCCGAGGGATGGGCTCAGACGTTGCTCGGTCGGGGCGGAGCGCCTCTGGGTCGGAAGTGCCAATGGGAGGGGTCGCTGCCTGGGTGCAGGTATTGGCAGTGGGGATTGGCTGCGCGAAGTGACTGTCACCGATGTATTCACCAGTGTTTCGTCTGTACCGACGGGCGATGGGGCGTCGACGTCCATGAGGTAAGGCGCATTGCCTACTCGAGTATCTAGTAAGATCGCCTGTTCAGTTAGACAGAGCAATCAGACCCGTTGAGGGCAAGGGGAAAATAGGAAACGCCATCACGTACTAGTCTTGCAACCATATCCTCCATCCTCACGTTGTCGTTGACCAGGAAATGCGGAGGTGTGCCGAGGTTGTCATCCGGGGACATGAAGGTGTCCGAATCACTTCCCTGGTCGAAGTCACGCTCCTCAGGGATGTCTGAGAGGCTGGCGTCGTCGTCATCGTAATCATACCCCATGAGAGCGCTATTCATCATCCGACGGAGATTAGCATATCGTTCCCTTTCCTGTCGCCGTCTAAAGACCTACAGTACCATTGGGTAAATGGATAGTCAGAGGACAGAGTGGCTCACCCTCATGTTGTGTTCGACACCAAGCGCGAAGACGTAAGGAGAACCGTCGGCGTTGCAATGCTGAAAGAAACAATCTTTGCCGAATGGACAGAACCTGTCTTCGACGGGTGACTGCTGGAAGTACCTGTGTCGTACTATCAGCCAATGTTGACGCGGGGCACTAAATATAAGACGTACTTGCAAGGCACCCTAGCCATGCTCGATTTGTACTCCTCGATGATAGCAGCCTTTCGCGGGTGACCCTCCGGGAAGAATTGACTCGATGGCGTAACAAACTTCGAGGACGCTCGACATAGGGACACTGCTTCGTGACACCCGACGCGACAACATCATCCGACTTTCCGTTGGAGGCACGCCATTCGCGGATGCACCCAACGCAGAAGATGTGACTGCAGCCCGCCAGAAGGCCGTACGTTACAGGCTTCTCATAGCAGATGCAGCAGAAGGGCTCTTCCACGTCCTCCGCGGGCGGTGGTGCTGATGTAGATACGGCAGCGTTGGTTGGACCCGGGTCAGCGTGCTTGAACCAGCAGTCGGCACCACGGCGGCAGTAGCCATTGGCGTAGTATCGGCACGTCTTGTTCTTGTCGTAGGTGTGAGCTTCTCAGCCTCACCGTGGAGGAACTTGCACTTGTTCCCTGCGTAGCAGCCGCGTGGTGAGTTGCTGCGCGGTGACCATCCACATCAGCGCTGATCGCCGTAAAGAGAGCGCTGTCCACTCACTAATAGCGACATGTTCCTCTGGCTTTGGACGTCACAGGGCGTTCACCGTTCATAAGGACGCTGTTGGGCGAGCAGACCAGTGGCTTCCCCGAGAGGAAGAGATCGTAGGCAGCGAGAATCAGAAAAGGAGAGATGAAGAGACAGGGATAGTGTATTTATTATATTATCGTATAGTCGTTCAGTGAGAGCTGCGGTGAGATGGTGAAGGATGGTGGGCAAGTTGTGCAAATAGGCGCGGGCGAGTCGTGCTCAAGGCATATGGCGGAGTTGCCTATTCGGGATGAGAGTACCGGGCGCCTATTGTATCGGGCTGGGATCTCGGCCACCTCAGCACTTTAAGAGCCCTTCCCGGTCCAAGAGCAACACAATCATCCCGTTTAGAGTGTGATTGTATCATAGTACACTTTGAAGATGTGTTCATCACTTTTACTGATTTATGAGCATGAATATGAGAGTCGTGAATATTTCCGTGACAAGGGTACAACTTATGGACGCCCATATATCCCAGTCAACCTCAATTGAGTGCACACACCGCTAGAGATCGTTTGCGGGCCTAGAGCTAGTTGTTACAATCCTGAGGATACAACGACAACAAAAATAGTCTAAAATAGTCTCATTTTTGGGCTGGAAGCCGGAAACCGTGACGAGAATGTCGGGGTGAGTGTGCTTAGGTAATACTTACCAAATCCGGGTATCATCGCTCGGATTCATCACTCCTATTCACAATTTCTGCTGTAGGAGCCTGTAAGTAAGCCTATGCGAAGAACAGATGATAGCTTCATGACAGTCACCGGGAACAGCACTTCCGAGTCAACTGTCGAACATGCAACGGAAACCACTCCTTGTGGAGAACCGTTTCGGAGCACATTTGGGATCCAAAAGATTGACGAAGATGTTATATTTTCGGTCGACGAATTTCGTTTTTTGGTAATTCGTTGAATATCCTTCGTATTTTCGGCATACCTTCGGACTTCAAACATGCTCCGAAACGGTTCTCTAACCAGGAGCGTTGTTCATTGCATGTTCGACAACCAATTCCCAAGTATTGTTCCCGGTGAGTAAGTATTCAACTCGTGGCCATGGGAAGAGTAGCAGCTGTTTGAGGCCTAGTGGCCGAGATCTTGGCCCGATACAGTACTTACGGTGCAGCCACAACAACTTGCTCCGCTCTCCTTTGCTAGTCTCGCTCATGTCCTTGCCGTCGACGACCACGACAAGACACCAGCTAGTGTCTGCGCTCGGTCCAAAGGCGCCTCAGTACTGGCATGTTTGCGCGAATATCTGACAGCGCACATATCTCGTACCGAATTCGACGAGCAAGTCAAGGCACTCCTCGAGACTACGCAACTATGTTCGTGTCCTAGTAGACATCGCCTTTGTTCTCCTGACATTTTCATGTAGTGCAGCTGCACAACTCGCTGATAGTATCTCTCTTTGACACCTCCGCACATCTCGCACCGCCCACACCGCCGCCAGACCTCCCAAGCCACCACCGCGGAAGCGGCGACGAACACTACCGTACCAGGGAGCGGACAGCTATGACACGGCGACACTTCGCTCAGACAGGTTGAAGAGGTGGACGGTTGGGCTGGGAAGGCGGGAGCGGGAGCGCGTACGGCAACTTGAACAATTCGCTGTGCCACTGGAGTCGCGACCTCAGCAATACAAGGACGAGATTGCTGCCGACCGAGGAATTCAGGTACTCCAAGAACGTGGAGGTACGTGGCTGTCGAGTTCCTCTGACTGTACTCTAACATACTCGGCAGAACCTCCAGGGAGTAGGCTGCCACTGCAGTTAGCTTCAATATCTCGGGGGTTCACCTTGCAACATATCTCTGACCGTATGAACCTTGTGTGTGCGCAGAGCAACCTTGGCGCGCCCTCGAGACTCGTTTCACAACTCATGATGCTTGGATTCGAGGTGAGCTTTCCTGTCGTCTGCGCCGTTTGTGCGAATTCATTCCTTCGCGCAGGCGAAGCTCAAGCAAATCATCTCTCAAGCACTCTCCCTTACTTCAACGTCGCACGCCATCACCTCCATTCAAACCTCTGGGAAGAAAACGAGCAGTTTCATTCTTCCCGTCTCCGCCTTCGAGACCCTTTTCACAGTCTCGCCAGCTGTGCTGCCAAACAAGTCAGCAGCGGCCATGCGAATGGCGCTAGGCGACAACGATGGGGTCGAGGAAGAGCTGCCATTGCGAGAACGTGAGACACACGATCAACGGTGGCAGCTGCTTTCCCTGCTCAGCGAACGCAGTACTGTGAAAGAAGCTTTACGGGCGTTGAGATAGGGCATGTGGCCTTCCTGGATAATAGTCGGTGGGAGTATGTACGACAGGAGGGAGCAGGTGACGCTGCAGTGATGCACTGTATTTCATGTACTTACCTCGATACCCATGATCGCAGCGTCGAGGGTCGAATGTTGACTTGCAGAGCTTTGCAGAGATTGGCCCTGAGCCGGCATCCGGGCCGTTCCTGACCTGTGCTTCCGACGGGCCACCGTACGTCTTGTCCTCTGACCAGTATATAAGGCTGGTGGACGTTGTGTCCCCGTTACTAGAACTTGAGCACCGCAATTATGGCATCGACTCAAATGTTCGTACTGCGATGGGGTGTTGTCTCCACTGGCCGAATCGCCATGGAATTCGTGAAGGTCCGTGTGGCGGCAGCAATGTTATCAGATCGTTCTGAATTTTCTGATTCGTACCGTATACGTTAGGACTCCTTAGTGGATCCTGCTACGTGAGTAGCCTTCTGCGACATATCTGTCGAGTTCTTCGGGCAGTCTAATAGGTTCGAACGTTCTTTGCATAGGCGTGGAACCGTCGATGTTGTCCACAAGGTCGTAGCGGTCGGGTCTCGACATGGCGCAGTGCAGAAGGCCGTAGACTTCATCGCCGCACACGCGAAGGGGAAGCCTATCCGTGCATACGGAACATACGAGGAGGTCTTCACAGATCCGGTGCGCGCCTCCCACTCCGAGTCATGCCCGCCGAGACGCTCACTAGTGCAATGTTGAACACAGGATGTCGACGCGGTCTACATCGGTGCGCGGGTGTACCATTATACGAAAAACCTGCAGGATGGACTTACCTTTATTTTGCGGAAGGTTCGCCACACACGCAGCATTACACGAACGCTCTCGCCGCGCTTCTCGCAGGCAAGCACGTCCTATGCGAGAAGGCGACCACATCCAACGCAGCTGAGCTGCGGCAACTGATCAAGATTGCCAAGGAGCGCAAACTGTTCTTCATGGAGGCGATGTGGACGCGGTTCCAGCCTTTGACCCTCGAGGTGAAGCGCATTGCGGAGGAGGGCACTCTAGGCGACCCAGTTCTTTTGCACGCAGACTTGTCGCATGACTTCGACATTGACAGTAAGCCAAGTCACCAAGTATCTTCCTATGTTGGGAGTTATAATTTCGTACATCGCGCAGACATCCCCAAGTCTCACAGAATGATGGACCCGCACCTGGGCGGAGGAGCGCTTCTCGATCTGTACGTTCTCTCGCCTATCGCTGAATATGTACTTACTTACCGAGCGTACCTTCCAGAGGTCCTTACCCCATGATCTGGGTATGATGGAGGTTGTATTCATTGCGTGTTCTGACGACCCTTGCCCAGGCCGTGCTCGCTCTTTATGAGCACCCCTCAAACAAGAAGGCCCTCCCCACCTCTGTTAGCGCGTCTATGGTGAAGACACTACAGACCGGCGTCGACAGCAGTACAAGCTGGATCGTTAACTTCACCGAGACACTGAAGGCTCAGGCAGTCCTCACGTGCAGTATGACGCTGCCCACAGCACACTTCGGTGCGACAATTCGGTACCGCAACGGGAACATCATCATCGGCACTCCAATCTTTAAGCCGTCACATTTCGTCGTCCAGTACTTTGATAAACCAGGCAGCGGCGTCGTGGTTCGCGAGGAGAAGCGAGCCTTTCACTATGTGGGTGGAGGATGGCATTTCGAAGCGGATGAGGTCGCACGGTGTGTTCGGGATGGCAAGATTCAGAGCGAGCTATGGGGCCATGATAAAAGTCTCCTGCTGATGGATACCTTCGACGAGGTACGCAGCGCGTGCGCTTTATTCGCAATAGGGGCTCTGACCTCGCATTCTAGGTTCGCCGTCAAGGAGGGTATAAATTGCCCGACGGCGTCGAGAAAGTGCTGTAAACCAGCTTGAAGTATGGTGAACGTCAATACCAAGTGCGTGTATGATAGGTATCCTTGCATCCGACGCAACAATGGAGTCTTGTCTTGCTGGCGTCAATGTGTCGAACTACTGCACCTTCCTTTCTTGGCGATGGTATTCCAGTGCACTCGGCCGCGGACCTCAGCGAGTCCGTGGTTCGTTTGCCTGTGACACACAGCATGGCCGACCGTGCGATTCCTCAGCTTGTCTTCGATTGAGAACTTGATAGGCGGTCATACGGAACGGCGGCGCTTCAGCGAGTATTATCGGCATGTGGCCTCACACGCCCTCCGTACAGTGCCAGAGCTTACCAAGCGAGACCCTTGTGGTGCCCATGCTTTGCGAATGATGAATAGCGGCTCGGCTCATGCGAATTCACTGCGCCTATAGCGCTGAACGAGATGACGGGAGGATGTCTTTTTGCCGTTGTACTTATGCGCGTTCCACGTCATGCATGTTCACATCGCGTAGAAAGGTGACTATGACCCGGACATGACCGAAAGATGTACAGGTGTACGTGATTGCACATCGCCCAATATCATTTGTGTGGATACATGGAAGCTAAGTTGTACTGCATCTGCTCAGGGCCTTAGTGACGTACAACTGTGGCCGCTTAAACGAGGGTTGACGCTATGAACAACGAGGCCTCACTGGCATAGGAGTGAGATGTGTTCGCATCGATCTCAGGGTTCAGTACTCAGTCACGGTAGCTGTTGATGCCGTCACGTCGCTCGCGGTGCGGTATCCATACTAGTTTGTTTGTAATCCCGTTTATCGTCATTTGAGGGCGAAGCCCTATGTAGACTCGAACAATACACATGTACACTACTGAGGTTCGATTCGATGGTGTCTAGCTGATCATTGGCTCAGTGCGCCTCCGTAAAGGTGACTTCGCCGGATCCATACTAGTACTGGACTAAACGGAATACCGACCGGGGTAAGTTACCCTTGGTTAGGTCTCAAGGTGCGCATAGAACGCAAGGACATGCACTGAAGGGATTCATATAACACGGTACTGTAGGACCCCTTGAATCTCGAGGAGGACGATGAGGTGAGGAGGTGAGGAGGATGACGAGGACGAGGACGAGGAGGGGATGTCCATCTAGTCGTACAAGACCGTAAATGTCACACAAGGTAGGACGCCCTGATATCGACAGAATCTATCCCAATACTCTCAAGCGCAAGATCTTGACCCTGTAGCTTCAATTGTCGATGTGCAATTGCACCCTATCATGCATGCATTTGATATCGAACTTTGTATCTAGGGACTACGTTCGCGTATTTAGACCTTATCATGCGGGCGTGCGGTATGATACATGAAATAGGAATAGAGACTGTGGCATGATCGAAGAGGGATGAATGAGTCGCGCTTGCTATCCAACACAGTGGGTTTACGGAGCGCTGTAAGAATTAAGTGTTTCCAAATTGGACTAGTGCATGCCGGGTGCGGCCCTCTGGGCTACCCGATCCAAAGAAAACTCCTAGGCCTGGGGAACAACGGATGAGCTGTAATCCTCGGCATGAAGAAGCTGGGGGCGACGTGCTGCGGCTCGTCTGTTACTCCCCTTTGGAAGTCGACGCACCTAGAATGAATGCAGCTTCCCGCTGGCGCATATGAAGTCTGCTCCCGCGCCGGAAAAGTTGCCGTACTCATCTGCCGAGGGAGAGGCGTCAACGTTGAGAATTAGAATCCCCGTGGACAGCGCCTGCTGGCCGCTGATTGGGGTAGAGAGAACTCGGAATTGTGCGACATGCATCTGTCACATTTTGTCTTGCTCGGAAGCTGACCGCGGCGGGAATTGTGCTGCAAGCCCGCTGGCGCATAGATGCCATGCCAGCTCAGCGACTCGATACGACGTCTGCAGCCCCCACGCGCTGCGTACGAGGACACTGCTGAGCACCGTGAGTGGCTTGTCCACATCCCGAGCAGAGGTGCCTTGCGTCGTGCGAACGGCTGGCGCATCCTGCGGGCCGTTGCCAGTCGTAGCACAAGGCGTGTCCGCCGTCGGTGAGGACAATGCTCTTCCGGATGCGCTTGGTGATGGTGTCGAAAGAGCTGTCCCAGGTCTTCTCGGCGTCGCAGGAGTAAATATGGTGCTGATGGCGGCCAAGGCATATGGCGCAAGCGGAACGAACCGACCCGCCTGCGCCGCTCGGAAAAGACGGCGGTTTGCGGCTAGGGTAAGGTGCCGATGTCCTTTTTCTATTTGGCTTGGTGCGAACAGCTGAACCATCGACGGAGGCGTCAGCTCCACGATGGGAGGAGGGGCTCTGCACTGGGGATGCTTGGTCGAGGGACACGCGCAGCGCGTCCCAATGCGCGTCGTTCACTGCATCTTTCGCCGCTCGATCTGCCTGGTAGACGCAATGGTAAGTGTCACGTAAGATCTCCTCCGAGATGATAGAAATGTCCCAGGCACCCCGATGGGATGGAATGGCGCGATGCCACCTCTGCCGTTGCTCTGCCTGGTAAGTGAGCAGCGCGCGCGCGTCCAGCGGGTCGTGCGACTGCCTGGATGGATGGACTCGTAGGTTGTTCCAGAGATCGGCGAGCATGCGTACTCGGTCCCAGGCCCAATCTGCTTGTCGCATCGCGACCAAGAACCTCGGGGCGGCTTCTTCGAATTGAGTCCATGTGAGCTCGCTATCAGGGATGAGATCTTTCGCGCGTTGCATTGAGGCGGCCGGTACACAGGAGATAGTGCCATCACTGTCGCACATCCATGTCATAGCTGGTACGTCGTCGACGGCTTGCGCTACTTCCGCGGCAGCTGCATCCAAGCCTCGGTTGGTGTAGTAATACATTGCGATGTACTTTCCCTCCTCGAGTCGACGGACGGCGTACGGCGCGGCGAGTGGAACGAGTGTTCCTCGTGGAATAGGACGGTCCGGGATAGGAACGTACTTCAGGTAGTCCGCGCCCCACTTCTTCTTCAACTCGTCTATTTCCCCACGACGTCTGGCCGCCCCGGCAACCAGCTCTTGTTCGGGCAAAGCTTGAGGGAAGGCAAGCGCAGCGTGTTCAGCGCTCCAACCCATGTCAAGGAGACGCTGCTTGCTCTCGGCATCCTCCTTGCGCTTGTAATAGTCGGGAGTTGCTAGCGTGTTTGAGTCGACAAGTATCTGTGGCATTACTAGTATGGTATGGTATGCTTCTGCAGCTCAGATACAAAGGTTCAAACCGGTTGTTTGTAGCTCTGAAGTGAGCACGCTGGAGGAGAGGGTTGGTGCGCAAAGAGAGGCGCTGCGCGCTTAACTCAGTAAGTAGACCGGGTTGATACTTACATAAGTTGTTTTACGTTTTGAGTTCCAACCACCATACCTTCCAATAATCGGACGTAACCGGATGACCCCTGGTGGATTCAGCGCGTACGTGTCGACCGGATTCGACGATTCCTGTGCCACCAGCGAATCTATTCGCCAGGAAGCCCTCTGCCGGATTGTTTATGGGGCTCATGGGGCCAGGTAGTTGAAGTCATGGTGATTACCAGAACCAAATGCCGTCGAACGCATCCGCGTTGAAGAATCACACACAGGCAACACCGTAGTAAGTTCATCGGTACGCACTATGGAGTATGGACATCCGTCAATTGCTGAAGTATTATAATAGGAAGGGACTAAGGATAGTTCGTGCTGTACATGCGGATTCGTGTTTCTCTATGTGAAATGTGCGAGAGGAGCCATGCAAATGTTCCAAACCACGCAGCCCGGATCTTGAGATGCGTTCTACTGAATGTTTGCTGCGCATCGCGTAGATAGTCCATACGACGACCGCGTCCGATATCCAAGGAGAGTGGATGTACCGTTTTCATACTTACACCTTCGCGAACAGCTTCTTGCTGAAGTGCAGGCGCACAGGCACAAGGAGAAGCGACGCTACCATGGGCGCGAGCGCACAGAACACGATCAGGTACTTGTACGCTTCGCGGCTGTCCTGGGAGATCCCGTTCGCACTAGACGTCCCGGCGATGATCTAACAACAACGCGTCCACGTTAGTCATCTGGTCAGGCGGGAAGCATGCAATTGTACGCACTCGTGCACCGATGGGTGAGGCGAACATGGGCGGGATGACGTTCATGAGGAACTGAATTGCCGCGGCGGAGCCAAGACGCTCCATGCCGACGATCTTCGCTGACGTTGGCACAGACAACGCCCAGTACGCTACGTGCACCTTCAGTACCCGCAGCTTACGACGAACCTTCGCAAAACTCACCACCACTGAAGATGCCCCAGAGAACGCCGAAACCCATCATGTCGCCGAGGTTCTTCGCGACGAGCCACACCGCAAGGACCATGACACCCGAGAGGAAGTTGAACGAAATCATGACGTTGAGCACACCCCAGTGATCCGCAACTCTGCCCGCGAGGACACGTCCGATGGAGTTGACTGCAGCTGTGACAGACAGGACAGCGGAAGTATTCGGGCCCGAGATGCCCAGCGCTGTGCAGTAGCCTGTTCACCGAAGAATGAGCATCAGCGAAGCGGGGCACAAACAATCGACGTACCTGGGATGAAGAAGATGGGTGTGACGTAGCCGAAGAACTGGAGGAAGGCGAAGACGAGGTACAGCGGGTACATGGGCACCCTCAGCACGCTGAGATCGAAGACCTTGTACTGGACTTGCTTCTTGGAGGCGACACGCTGGCGGAGTAACGCGAGCGAGACCATCCCGCAAACGAAGCAAAGGAACCCGACGATGCGGAGGGCCCAGGGGATACCGAGGTTGTCGATCGCAGTTTGCACAATGGGTGACAGAATGACGGCTCCGATACCACTCCCAGACTAGACGATTGTTTTCAGTAGCCACATCCAGAGCGCAAGTGCGAATGACTTACGCTCGCAATACCGGTAGCAAGACCACGGCGCTTGTCGAACCATTGGGAAGGAAGGCCGATAGCAGGAATGTAGGCCAGCGAGCTTCCGATACTACAGGAACCTCGTAAGTGCTCTGCATCACGCGGGAAGTTCATTATCGATACCGACCCGAACATAATACCCTGGGAGAGGAGAAGCTCCCAGTATTTGGTGGCAATGGATGCAAGCATAAGTGCGACAGTCATCATGAGCACACCAAGTAGAATGGGGGCGCGGATGCCAAACTTGGCGACAAGGATGTTGCCGAAGGGGCCAACCGCGAAGCCGAAACCCACGGCAGTACCACCGACGAAACCGATCTTGAACAGGCTCACGTCCAGAAAACGCGAGTCGGACCTAGTTGTGTATGCGTCTTGGTAGATACCCCAGACGTTTCCTGAAGTGGAATGAATACAATGAGTGGCCGATACTGGAGCAATATAGTCCTCCGCCAACTTACCGGTACCAAAGGCCATGAAACTGGCCAGGAAGGTGGCAACAACCGTCATCCAAGCGTCGAGGCCACCATCCGGAGGCGGCGCCACTTCCTCCTGGACTTCCTCCTCTTCCTTGGAGGCTTCCTGTGACCCAGAAGAAGGGGTAGCGTGCTTCTCCTGCTCGAACGAGCTCTTCATTGTTGGTGCGGCCGAGCTCATGATGACGATAGCGTTGGTCGCGGCGGGAGAATCGCGGTGGAAGAAGAGCACCTAAACCGTCCGAGACTCTATACGTCGCGGTCATTTTATTGTATCGACCGTGCGGTAAGCTCGTTGTTCCGACGGGTCTCGGGGGATGCGGCGTCGTTGCCTACCTCGGAAAGCAGGGATTCGGGACGCTGGTCGGGGGCTCCAGCATGACGCGCACACGTGACAAAGGCGCGACGCGACGCGTCAAGCGCCCGGACATCCACCGGGGCATCCACGCATGGAGGCATCCAAGAGGCATCCCCGGCGCTGCATCTCCCGCCGCTCCTCGTCCGCCTTCCATCAGCGAGCTCGAAATCTTTCATTTGACAGTCGATCGTTACGGTTTTGCTCCATGGACTACCGCGGATAGCCGCATCGTCGGGGAGCTGCACATTCCCGCATCACCTCCGGCGCATCCGGACGTGCCATAACTTGCGCTCCTGCAACTTTGATGGGCAGTCCCGCCTGAGCGCTCCCCTGGAAGCCAGTGTTATCCCCGCCATGGAACCTGTCACCGTTGCCCAGGGTGTTATCGACCTCACATTCCACCAGGTCGGTGTCTGTCGAGACGATCAAGCCTAGTGCGCGCCCTCCATGCTGAGCATCTGTCGTTTTGATAGGTTGTCGCAGCCGTAATTCGTGCTGTGCTCGCGAAACATGGAGTGACCATATCCGAAGTTATCTCCAAACCGCACGAGCAGGCCTTCATCGACCTGCGCGAGGGCCGCACCCAGATCCTCGTCGGTTGGCTCCCCGGGTCGCACGAGACGTACCTCGCGCCCTTCCGGAGCGACGTGCTCGTCCTCGGAGAGGAGGACGGGGCACCCGCTGTATACGACCCGTACTGCATCTGGGGCGTCCCCGACTACGTCCCGGAGGACACGGTGCGCTCCATCGCGGACCTCGCCAAACCGGAGGTCGCTGCGCGCTTCGTGCGCACAGTGCAGGGCATCAACCCCGGCGCGGGCATCTCGCGGTTCTCGAAGGAGATCATCGCCCGCTACGGCCTGACCCTCGAATTCGTCGACGGCGACATCCCAAAGTGCTGTGCGGCGTTCGAGGCAGCCTATTCAAACAGCGGTGAGTGGTCCCTCCTATCGAACGTGCTCTGTTCAGCGTGACTCACCGGGCATCCGGCGCACTATGCAGAATGGGTCGTCGTCCCGCTATGGCACCCGCAATACCTGCACGCGAAGTACAAGATCCGTGCGTTGGAGGACCCAGATGACCTCCTTCGGGCGCACAAGCCCGACGCGGCGCGCGTCATCGTCACAAGATCCCTTGCTGCGAAACTACCGACCGACACCGTCGACGCGCTCCGTAAGCTTCGCGTCAGCAACGAGGGCGTCGCACGGATGGACTATCTGCTCGCGGTGGAGGGGCTGAGTCCGGATGAGGCGGCTGCGAAATGGATCGAGGAGACCAGGCTGGAGTTCTGAATAGAGACGCACTTGTAGAATACAGGCGACGTCGACCGAACTGTTGTACAACCTATCGATAGAGGCAAACAAGTTTAGACGCAGCCTCGTTGGGGGGACCGGCGTAAGAGTACATCATACAGAAGTTGTTGTGAATGTCGGATTCATGTAACTTATGGACCGACGTAGACAGGAAAGGATGAAACAGAGAGAACATAGATACTACCTAATCGCTATAGTACATTCTATACGGAGTAATAACACGACAACGACAACACGGCAGGCCCAATCCACGAGCTTCACAGCGACATACACAACTGAGAGAACCCACCGACATACAGACAGTGGTACATGGAACAAATACACGTAAAATCATGGTAGACAAGTCCAACAGTCCACAGCTCGCAGCTCACAGCTCAACTCACATGGAACGGCGGGAAGAGCCACGTCAGGCCCGACCACTCCGCCTCGTTCAAGAACGTACGGAACGAGCGGCAGAACTGCGCGAACGGACCGCCCGCGCGCTCCTCCGGGTTATACTGACCTGGAGGGGTCCACGGCGCACTCCCGCCAGCATGGGCGATCAGCGTCAGCACGATCTGCGCACGCCACCACGTCAGCACCCTTGACAAGCCACGCGAAGGCCCACACGCACCATGTAGATCGGCATCGCGTTCTCGCACGCAGGCACCGGCGCGCCCGCCCCATGCGCCGGGTCGAGCGCGTCCCACGCATCCTTCCAGCGACGGAGCGCCGCCCCGAGCCCGCGTGCTCTCTGCACGAGCGCCGCGTCCAGCGCGTCCGATGTGGCCCCGCCCTCCGCGCACAGCGCGTCTGCGCTCTGGCGGAGGCGCAGGAGCTCGAGCACGCGCCCGAGCAGCGCGAGGATGAGGGTGAGCGCGGCCGGCGCGTCGGGGATCGCCGCCGGGCCCCCGCGCATGTCCATGAGCCGCCGGAAGAGCGCAGGGGGCGACGGCGTGCCGCCGCGCAGCTCGTCGATGCTCAGCAGCGCGGGTGTCCCCGCGAGGATCGGCTGCAGCGCGTCGAGGAAGAAGACGCCGTGCGCGAGGCGCGCGCGGGCCGTCGCCTGGCCTGGCGGCGCTGAGACGGACGGCTCAAGGACGCAATACCGGCGGACGAGCTAGGATCGATGAACCAAATGAGCATGGCAAAGAAGCGGCAAGATATGACGGCGCGCACCTGGACTAAGGAGCCGTGGAAGACGTTGGTGAGATCGCGGTAGTTCTTCTCGTGCTGGAACGCGCCGAGGAGCTGGTACAGGAATAGCGCCTGCAGCATCGCGAGCGCCTCCGCCTCGTCTAGCCGGTGAGTGGACTGATGACGCATACAATGAGCATGCCGATCTGTCAGGGTCTGGAAGGCTGTCACGCACCAGCTTAGTGATGAGTGCTGTGCGCTGGACGAGCATTACGGCAGTGGCCAGGCGACGGTGGGCAGGCACCCCGTCGTACATTGCACCCACACAGCAGACCGCAACGCCCAGGGCAGGATGCAGCGTGTTGAGATCGACCGAATGTAGGCCAAGAAGAGGCCAGTGTCGCTCGAAATGGCCTGCGTAGAGCGCCGGGTACCGAGCACGCATCGCGGGCGTGAAGAAGCTTGCAGGATCGTTCCTGTCGTGGATGAGTCAGCGTTCAAGTCTAGAGGGTTCCCTGTATGCGCGAACACACCTGCACGTCGAGACTGTGGGCAGTTGCATATTTCGCGGGGCAGGACTCGACCGCCCTGAGCTAGGGGCCGATGAAGCATGGTACTCTGAATCACTGCTGGGCCAATACGTCGACGAGAGCATCTCCAGAGTCGGGCAAATCTCGCCTGAGGGGCTCATCGAGTCGGGCATGGACCTTCCACTCGAGCTTAAGTCCGAGAGCGGCGAGTGGTGCGTAGCGGATCCCATCGAGGGTAGCGGGACAGCCATGGGTGCAGCAGGCCAAGGATTCGCTGGTCCCTCCGCGAAGGCCGTGCTGAAACCGAGCAGAGGATCAAAGCCGAGAAAATCGCTCAAGTTTACTGGGAAATCGCCAAGCGGTGGAGGGTTCGCGGCAAAGAAACTGAGATCAGGAAGATCGACGGACATGGCCTGGTCTGCAGACATGGGGTTCATGAGGTCCGATTGCATTGGTGTTTGCGAGTCAGGGAGTGGCTGCGGCCGCGTCTCCGGTGGAGGCGATAGACTGCCGTTGCTAGAAGCTCGTGCTGCGAGGTGGCTCAGATGAACGTAGAGTGCGGGGGAGATGAAAGCTTACCGGAAGAAGTAGATTGAGGCTCGCATCGAAGTCCCTTTGCTCGGCACCGGGAGCACGGAGACTCCCGGTCGCATCGCATCTTGGAGGAAGCGCATGCCTTGCATGCCCGAGGCGGCGGTGGGGCCAGCACAAGGCCGCGATGGTGTTGGTGGATGTGCCTCTGGAGAAGGTCGCTGGAGGATCCGGTTCGTGAGTGCCTGAACGCAAATACGGTGGATAGCCCTGAACGTACGTCCGTGTGAACTGCTCGCGGCAGCTGGGGCATTCGTGAGGCGTCAGGCCGACATCTGTGTCAACGCTGTAGGAGCGATCGAAGGCAATATAAGGGCGCGGCTTACGGGTTCTGCGGTGCCGCTGGAGGTTCTGCCGTCTGCTGAAGGTCGAGGTGCAGTCGGGGCACTGGTAGCGGCTGAGGCCCTCGCCTGGCGACTCGCTCGGCACATGGTCGTGAGTCATGGATGGCGGGCTCTGTGGCGAATGTCAGAGGTAGCTGAGCAGGATGTGACGGGATCAGGAGGCTCGATGAGATGTACAGGCCTCAGAGTGAGCAACCACATAGCTGCGCGCTGCCTCCTAATAATAGTGTCCAGACTGACGTCGCCCTTCTTTGGGACATGTCACAGTCACTCCCAGTCACACTGCCAGCGCCTCTCCCCGCAATACCGCCGGGTTCACGAAATGCGGCGATGGCACCGACATGGCATGTACTCACCGCCAGGATGCAGCTTTGCCGCTCGCCCTCCCGCTGACTCTCTTAATTTGTAGCAGCCGGTGGAGGCCGGGCACTCTTACACGCCCGAGAATCGCAGGCAAAGGATTCAGAGGGACAGTACGCGCCCGCCAGTTCGTTTTAGAACCACTACTTGCTGTGGCCCGGAGGTCCGCTACTCACTTCGCATTCCAATGGAATTACAAAATTCAAGGTGGAGTGCTCGCAAGTCGCCGATCGCACTCTACGAGTCGGCGGCTTGTGCCTTTCCGCTCTCGCTCGGCGTGCGTCTCTACAGTGAGTGCGAATACTCGATGTACTCGAGGACCAGAAGCTAGGCTACGAGAGCTTGTCCACACATATTTGTACAAACTGACAATCAACGCCATCCCATATGAGCCATAGTATGTGACTGGGCGCAATTGACGCGCCAAGAAGATCTATATTCGTCGACGTCCTTGATGGAACTCACACTCGCTTTCCGAGATCTGATTCCGCGACAGGCCACAGCGCTAGCGGCGTTTGCCGCCAGGGACGGACGGCAAACACCTAGGCAACCTTGGCGACCCGACCCGGCAGCCACCCAATGAAATACAGTCGTCGTTTGCATAAGTATTGATTTGACGGTCGGCATCGCAAGATTCACCGCCCTCGTCTCCGCGTGGGTGGGCGAAGAACTGACGGAGGCAGACCAAAGTCTAAGAGGCTTTGTGGGTGCAGCGTTAGCCGGAGCGGACGCGGACGCGGAGGAAGAGAGTCGCTGGGAGGGCGGGCTCGCTGTCCGCGATTACCCGTTTCGTAGACTCCAGGCCTCGGACTCAAATGTCGGACAAAGCTGCCGCATGGGTGGCACATACAACGGAGATGTCGGGATTCAAACCTACACAGGTGGCAAACCACAGGGCCGTGTTCAAACAACGTCAGATCAGTAGGTACGTAGGGGGATATAAGAAAGCTAAGGTAGGAGACAAGTAGGAGAAGAGGCGGACACCGTCCGCTGCGACGTTCAAACGACTGTGGTTGTCGGCCGTTTGTCGCCGAAGACGACTCCTACGCAGTAGGCCGCCGCTACTAGGCGCTCGCTCGCCGATACTTACGCTCGGTGGGCGCTCGGGCCTCCTCCGGGGCTGGCTCGGAAAGTCCCGAACTCATACCGATGCCTACGTAGTACCGTGACCGATGCTATCTACGGTTGCCCGGTAGTCCGAGGCTCGGGACTTCTTCCTCCTCCGTGTCGCACACTTCATGTCCTTACCAACTCGCGCAATACTTACTCATTTTGTGACATCACTCATGGATTCTACGCGTCAAAAGTAACAGGGTGGAAGTGCTAGCAAGGCAGGAGTAATGGCTGGAAGTGCGAGGGACTGAGTCGACAAGTTCAAGGCTGGCATGCCCGAGTCAGTGCAGGGTTCAGAACTTCAGTGCTTCGGCGAGTACGTGGTTATGCTACAGGAGGCTGTGTAACGCCTCAATAATAATTGCCAAGCAGGCTGTCTCTTACGTTGATGACATGCATACACCTCATATGCGTATTGAAGAGCACAGCATCGCTTCATGTCAATAGGTAAGAGATGCTCATCTATATGATCCCGAAACACACTAAACTCTATTACAACAAAGACTCGATCTATATGTGCATGCCAAGGCGTAGTCTCTGCGTCTCATCAAGCCCGCCCAATATCGGAGACAGTCTTGATGAACGACTCGAAGAAGGGGTCCATAAGCGCCGCCGAGGTGTGCATGATATTGTGGGTCAGCTGGAAATTCATCTTCCCGCCATACGTCCACAGGTGCAGGCACGGTGTGTCCGGGATGACCTACAGTGATACGCGAAGTCAGCACACGCACATGCTCGCCCAGGAACCAATCGCACGCACCTTCAAGTGCAGACTCACGTCCGCGACGCGCAGTTCGCCCACCGTTTCGCCGAGTGCCTCATCCTTCGCCTTCACGGCATACACCGCGGGGAGCTTCTTGCTCCAGTCGCCAAGACTGCTCAGCAACGGCAAGAACGCGGCGACCGGCGCGTTCGCCGCCTCCGGCTTCGCCGCCGCGTCAAGCGCCGCGTCCAGAGTCGCCTGCGAGTCCGCGAGGTAGTGCCGGATGAAGTGCCAGAACCACGGCGAGTCAACAAAGTCGACATGGCGCTCCTTCACCTGCCGTGCGAGCGCGTACAGGGCGTCTTCGCCCTCGTCCACCGCCGCGCGCGGCACGCTCAGGAACGTCGGATAGTGCCCCACGCGCACGGCCGCCTCGCGCGGTCCGTCGGCGGCCTTGGGCGCGCGCGACAGGAGGTCGATGGGGAGGTGGATCTTGAAGAAGAGGTTCTCGTCGCCCTCCGCCTCGGGGGCTGCCTTCGGGCCGAACCTGATGGCGGTCATAATCAGCGCCGCGGAGCACACCTGGGTGACGGTTACGCCGTGCGCCTTGCACCCGCGCAGAATCGCCTTCGTCGCGTCCTCCTGCCAGGTGTGCCGCACCACCCGCGTCACCGCGATGCTCTCCGTGGACGGCCCGTCGGGGTTAATGCCGAATCGGGGCTGTCGCAACACCAGGTCAGTGTCAGACGAACTCGACAACCGCTCCGCGAACGTAGACTCACACGCAGCGACGGCACCATGAGCTTGTCATACGCCATCCTCGCCGTCTCCCGCTGTTCCTCCGAGGCATCGTCCGGGCCGGGTATGATCTCCTCCAGAGGGCAGGCCATCTCCCGGGGCGAAGCGATATGCTCCAGGATCTCACGTTCTGCCGCGCCGGGCACTGAGAGGAGCTCCAGCAGCTGCCGCGAGAGGCCGAGCAGGCCGAACGCGTCCGCGACGGTGTGCGACGCCTGCAGCCCGAGGAGGTACTTGCCCGCGCCGGTGCTGTACCACGCGACAGTGCACGTCGACTCGCGCAGGTCGATCGTCTCCGCGGGGTCCACGCCGCCCCAGCGCGCGCGGAGCGCGTCCGCGCCCGCAGACAGGCCGGAGCTGCCGACCGCGGCGAACTCGAGCTGCGCGCGGACCTGGCGGAGCGCGTGCGCGGCGGTGGTTGGCGGCGCGTGCACGAAGTCGTACCCGGTCGCGGTCGGGACGATGCGCACGCCGAGGAGGGGGTGTCGCAGGCGGAGGGCAGCCCACGCCGCGCAGACGTCCGCGTCGGAGATCGGGCCTGTGTCTGTGCCGTCGACGGTGACGAGGAGGAACGGGTCGGCGCAGCCGCGCTCGCCGCGCATGCGCAGGAAGTATCGCTCGGTGAGCCCGAGAGGACGAGTGAGCACGAGCATCGGTGGGACGCGGAGGAGGTGTGCGGCGGTGAGTACGTGGGGTGTTGGTCTGGTCTGATCAGGAAGGCTAGGTCAAGCTGCCGCGAATATGACAGCTCGAGACTGGCAGGGAGATACTACATACCGCCGCATGCGAAGGAAGTCCTTGGGCTGCTGGTCTGAGCGCGATGTCCACAACCTCCGCGTAGTGGATCGTCCGGACGTGGCCTTCGGCCGATCCCCATGATAGGAAGACGCCCCCACATAGCCCTCCGTCAATCCGGGGCGCCTGTGGCCGTGTTCTCGTACCCGCGACTGATGCGGTGACGCCGCTGCGACTCGCTCGCTTACCACCGACCAACCTCTCGGGCTTTGGGAGAGATGCTGCATACGGAGATCGATCGAACAAGAATTGCGGGAGAATGCGGTTACGACCTCTCTCACCTCCACTCGCCGAAGCGTTGTCGTGGCCAACCAGCTCGTGAACGCGCAACAACTTCTGCATCGTTGAATTATATCGTGTTCCAATCATGACGCAAGTGAGCGCTTCCCCTGCACATTGTTCACTTGATGGTATGTGTTCATAGCTCAGCTGAGTGACGCAGAACGGAAGCACCATTCACGTTAGCCTTTGGTGCAACCATGTCAGCAATTCAAATGTTCTCACCCGAACCCATGTCGAGCAGGACAGGCCCACCACACGTGGCTTCTCACATTAAAGTTGACTTTTGGAGAGTAGGATAGTCCTTCGTGGCGTCTAGCACGCATTCCCGAATTAGGACCACACTTCGCCCGCGAAGCATTGGTAGTCTATCACGCATGACTTCGTTGCCTCAGAGTTTCTAGGTAGATGCTCGACGTCAGACGATAGACAATAGCCGAATGAACCGCCGTGATCTCTCCCCCACACGATGAGAACTTCCCACTCTGGGCTGCGGAAGTGAATGCGAGGTTCCTGACTACATGGTCTAGGGATGAGGCCATTCCGCCGGCCAAGTATCGCGATATGAAACGGACGTACCCGTAGCGCGAGTCCCCAAGCTCCCGGGGGGATGCGGCGCAGATTACTGTCGATGTGACACAACGAGGAGGGCAACGTCTGAGAATTCAGAATTATTGCCACTCATTCAGCTGCTGCCAGTGGGTATGGCCATGTGACAGACCCATGTCTCCTTGTTCGTATATCCCTTCGTTGTCATTTGAGGGAGAGGCCCTAAGGCTGAAGACTCTATTTATCTATGTACATACTTATAAAATCATTATTTATTGGCTCGGTGCGCCTCTGTAGACTCGGTGACTCCGCCGAACGGGATGACAACACCGTAAGGGACTGAATGTTATTATAGTAAGGTTATTACAGAAAGACCGCTTCTCGCAGCGCGCGCGCGAAGAGACTTGGCCTGCCAGCTGTTGTGGCCCACTTATCACGCTTCTTCGGGAAGCACGGTCTCTCGGCGAGGTACTGTTATAGTAACTTGACATAGCTATAGTGTTCGTTGTAAGGTTCAAGCACAGTATGCGGAGTATGATGTGGGGTAAAACACGGGGTTTCGGGGACGCGCGCATTGAGGGAGTGTGCCGTCATGCAAGTTCATCGTCCTCCGTAACTGGCTGAAGGTCCTCGTGCCGGATGTACCGTTCGCAGTGCGAAGAGACGTTGTATTCGCTCGTGTGCGCCACTGCGGTGGCTGTGCTGGCCTGGTGCTGGCGGCTCTTCGTCTGCCTTAAGCTTCTAGTACCTGGGCCTGATCGTGGTCGACGTCGACAGTGCGAATCGCACCGGGCCGCCAACATACCGCAACGCCCGATTATAATTAATGACAAGGGAGATCATCAATGTTTGGCGAGTCCGAGGCCATTGTGGCAATGGTCGGGGATCATCCGCGTTACTGCATGCCGGGCGCCTCTTGCCTCGGGGATTATCCGCGTCTGGCGCCACAGCATCCCAAGTCTGTACGCGCTGTCACGGAGCCTCCAAGCCACACCATCGCTCGCTGGATACACGTCTGCGTTCTCCAGGCACGTCTCTGGCTGTGGAAAGGTCAGCAATGCTCTTAGCAGCCTGTAGGAACCAGAATCCTTCGAGCCGCCCCCTGCGCTCGCGCACAGACCAGCCACCACATACTTCGTCGTTGCTCGGTCCTCGACCGTCTGTGGATAATATTGCTCCTTGATGGAAAGAACCACGATAGGACACTCCGACTCTGCTGTGCAGCTCCGCAAGCGACCATATTGACCGCGCATATCTCCGAGACCGAGGCGGTCTTATCGCAAACGCAGTAGTCTGCCGAGGCGGGTCCTCTTGGGATTGAAGGCCATCACGCACGTTGAGCGAAGTCTCTTGCCAGATTCCCACAACCACCTTTCTGACAGATATGACAGACCGATTGGCATCGGCCAGTATCCAGGAACTCGGAAATGCGAGACGCAGCCTGGTCGCTGGACGCGTCGTGGCGCGAAGGTGCCGTAACATGGGAAGGCGTCTTGGAAGCAGAGCGTCAAGGAGCGTGGTGAGTGTGTGTTCCAAAGGCAAAGTAGCGTGGTGATTCGATGTCTGGCCACTCAGTCGGCTTTCGCCGTGTCACGGAGATGTCACTGCACTGTATAGTATGTCCCGGCACTGTCGGGCGACAGCACACGAGACGGAGCGCGCACGTTTGCCTTGGCATTCGACCTCACTGGTACGTGCAGCCACCGCGCACTTGGCACCTGTTCCTTGCAGGGACAGAGGTTTGACACCATTGGCTTCTGCCTGCCTACATAGCTCATTTCTGGGCCCATTAGACATGCACTCGAAACAGTGACCGAAGCTTCTACCCCCGGTCGTGATGCAAACGAACTGCAGATATTTAATGAAACCTGGCACCTTCAGGGGTGCATGCATGGAACTGCCTTCGCTTGGTACAGAGCTCGATCGTTGTCTGGAACTTTGCTTCCGCATTGGATTCGCTAATGACTACTCCGTTAGGCAGGTTTGTGCAGCTTGCCATCGGACTGGTCTCCGGCACGCAACGTGCTCCTTTTCCATTGCGTCGGACGAAAGCACTCCGCCGCCGCTCTTGCCATCCAACATTCGTAGCTCCATCAGGGAGAATGGAAAGGCTATCATGGCTCTCGCAGCGGAGTCTGCGCCGGTAGTTGTACTTCCCATGGCGCAATGAGGCATGCGGACACGAGTCAGTCTGGCACGGCCTGCCTCGGCATTCTCCCCAGAATGCTTCGCCGCCGGCGGGACTGCGCTTTGGTCGTTCTCATTCAACGCCGTCATTGTTCTCTGATCTTCCGAGTATTCGGTAGGTGAAATGCTGCACTGCGGCCACAACTTCGCTATAGGGAGAAGGTCGCTTGCGTCAGTTGCGTGTCGTCAGAGCGCATCTCCATCACATCTGGCGGGCGGGATTAACGATCGGCGAGCCGTAAGTACTGATTGTGGCGCGCATGCCGTCGCTTCTGTGATCTAAGATGGTCCCCGCGCTAACCCAGGATCGGCCCCTACATCTGGACGTTCTGTCCTCGCATCCTCGAGCCGCCCAGGTCAGTAAGCTGTCGAGCACGCAAGTAGCTGGTCAGTAAGCTACCTCGCTGTGACGTTCATCCGTGCGACGGGCATTGGAATCCGGCCTGAAGGCTACCGGACTCCTTCGGGCGTCTCAGTATGCTCTGCGCCCTCCTGTCGTTACAGGGAATCTATTTTGACATCTGCTCCTAAGTGCCGCCGATTATGGAGGGAAACGCGGTGGCGATTCATCCACGATGAGGCGCCCACACAATGGGCGCTTGGTGCCGCCACAATGGTTCTGGATTCGCAGGGATGCTCAATGCTCACTTGCAGGGTAAGTGCAGCGTTCATCCATTTCAAGCGGTTCTGATGCAACGTGTGGATCAGGGCATGGTGACTCGCATACTCATCAGAAACGTTTCATTATTGGTGGCGTTCCGCGCTCATGGGGATCGTCCGAATCAACAGCGCAAGTCAATGGTGGATCGCAGTATCCGACAGCGCTGGCAGCTGCGTGTCACAGCGATGATTGCGGCAGTGCCGCCAGTCATTCTGGGTCGTAACTTGACGAAACAGTCGCCAAAACCAACCACCTCGGAGCCGCACGTCCCTCCGGCATCTACATCTGAGAACCGAATTGGAAAGAGATCGCCTGGGCACCAACCTAGCGAACAGCCATCACCCTTTCCGACATGGTGAGTACAGAGTCGGAGATCTCCCACTGCGGTCCGACCGGGGGATGTCCTTCTCGAAATGATGCCTCCTAACCGCTCTCCGATACCGTTGTCCTTCACGGGAAAGTGACGGTTTTTTTGACATCATGGTGGAAAAGGAGGGGTCCAGCCCTCTGGACTGGAGGTACAAAAGCAAGCCGGATTTGCGGTAGTCCTCCTCAGCGAACTTGCATCTTCAGCCCCGCAGCCGTTACATCCTCTCAACTCACACTAGACACTTCACCGCTTCATAGACAAGCCAGCCATGTTTGCCACTCCCAGCCAATCCCGCTCTCGAACGACCATGTTGCGCCGGTGTCCCTACCCCCAAGGGCGAGATCCGTGTGCACCCAGCAACCTTCCGCGTCGCTGCCCTCTTGGCGTTCAGAACGTACTTTTCCTTTGCGCATTGCGAGTAAGTGCTCGAGCTTTCATGCGATGTTGTTCAGCCCTCATTATTTCTCACAGAATGGAAGGTCGCCTACCACTCCGGCAAGAGCTTCAACCGTGCGGAGCAGCTGCCTTACTGTGAGTATACAGTCGACTTTCGACCGTTGCATTTGTGCTGATGGCCTCAAAGTCTCCCGTATTCCCGACGAGGATGTTCTGGCTCGTTCGAGTCCGTCGTAGACGAGACGTTCTCGACACCTGAGGACGCCGGGCTCAACGCGCTCGCCAAAGATATCTTGGGGCGCTTTGACAAGACCTACAGCATCCCTACCATCATCGCTCTCCTCGGGGAGGTCGAGGAGCTAAACGCCCGCGGCCTCGAGAGCTTGGGCGGCAAGCGCTTCTCCGTCTTCTCCCCTTCGCCTGGGTCCTCGGTGGCAGCTACTCCACGCTCCCCCGCGTCTAGCAAGATGAACCTCAGTCTCGTCGACGAGAAGCTCGCCGACCAGTACTCGAGCGGTACTGAATCCCCGACATCGACGTACTTCTCCCTCGCGGCGCTCCCTACGAGCTACTTCTTGTTCAACGTCATGGCTAACCCGGAGCGCCTCTCCGTCACCTGGCCGGAAGAGTTCGGCACTGACTTCCTCAAGCACCACGAAGATTGCGCAAGCGCTCCGCGATGAAAAGCGCGATCCCTCTTTCGTCGACTACATCGTGAGTTCCATGGAAACATGACTGGGTTGCGCCATACTAAGTAATTCCCAGGCTTTCCATCTCGGGTATCAAATGTTGAACCAGGGACAGAACCCCTTCAACCCGCTCGAGGCGCGCTTCCTCGGCACCGTGGGCTTCCGCAAGGACACCCAGACCTACGTGAGTCTCACCGATCCGGAGATGGCCACGTCTTCGGCACCACCCGCAAGTCGCGGTGGATGCGCGGCGCTATCGTTCACGTCGAGCGTAAGTGATTTGCTCTAGGCCATCCTGTCGGTAGCTGAGCGTCATTTTTAGATCTCGAGCGCCCCCAGAACCTGCCGCGAGACTCGATCGAATCCTACCGCATCCCGTCTATTCTCGACTTCGCGCGCACCCGCCTTCACACGGGCTCCGAGTCGCCCAACACGTACTTCGTCGGCCGCGCGCTCCGCGACAGCAAGGACCGGACCTTCGAGGTATGTTCGCGCGACTCACAAATTATTCTCGATCGCTCATAGAATCACTGCAGCATGACTTCATCAAGGTCGTCAACACGACTTCGTCGGCAGCTACGGCAGCCTTCCAGCTCGGTGCTGCGGAGTGCAAGGTCGCCATGGACGACTTGAAGGCTTCGCAGATGGTCGCCTACATGCGTTCCCTCGCCGGCCACGCGCTGCGCAACCACCGCCAGTACTTCAGCGCCGCGTTCAACCTGAACACACCTCTCATCGACGACCTGAACCTCGACGCCGAGGGCAAGCCGACGATCATCACTGAACAAATCGCCATCGGTCGCCGTGGCATTGAGCTCGCCGCTCTGGGCGGGTTCGACAAGGTCACCTGGGACGGCGCGTCGGACACGTACCCCTCGCAGTGCATCATCCTGCAGCTCGGATTCCAGAACGCTCTGGAGCTCGTGCACAGGGCTCACTCTGTTGGCCTGACCACCTACATGTCTGGTAAGTTCTCTGCATCCTCCACAATTGTATCGAATGCTCATCAGTACCTCCATCGAACCAGCCGGCTTCAAGTTCGCTCAGATCCACGACGCGGTTGTCTCCGGTGTTGACGGTATTGGTATCGGTGGCGCTCAGATTTTGCGCTACATGGATGGCCGCACGGGTATGCACGGTCCCTACGTGAGTGCACGTTACTCGATAGTCACGAATTTCCCTAACAACGCTCTGCATTAGACCGAGGAGTTCATCGACAAGATCTCCGTCGCTCGCGACAACGCCGCGAACTCTATTCGTGGCCGCGGTGTGCTGCTCCTCGCTCGTCTGGACCAGATGCACTTCGAGGGCTCGCTCACCGCCGCCGAGGAGGAGATCCGGGAGCCGTTGTACCAGGCGCTGTACAACGTCAACGAGGACGACATCCACGCCATCATCGAGGACTCCCCGCTGCTCTGGGCATCATGGCCATCCCGCAAGATGGCGAACGTCCCTGGACGGCTCGTGCCCGCCGCATCCTTCGCAACCCGGAGCCGCTCCTCCGCACCGGCGCGCGCGTCTTGGCTGACGGCGAGGAGCGCTGGGCGGACTTCGTCCAGAGCCTTGCGAACCTCGTCGAGGAGAACGACGAGTACGGCATCTACTCGTACTCGCTCTGCGAGCACTGGAAGTCCTTCCGCCGCAACTACCGCGTCTCCGTCGGCGAGTCTCCGATCGTCCAGGGCGAGACTCGCATGGGGCTCAAGATCACTCCCCTCAGCAAGCCGCTCTAGATAGCCTAGCGTTGGGATCGAGCTCACGTTGTTGAACGACTACATAGATGGACTTTGCCAGCCTGATCGAATGTTTTTCTAGCCGCAGTGTACATGTCTTCCTCCGACCCATCCATCACATGTTCTCCTCGTCATCATCATTTGTTTCCTAGAGTCAGTCATGCACCAGACACGGTAGATTGTAGAGCGTCCGGGCTTAGATGAATGTATCTACAGGTGGTACAATATCTCATACAGAGTTACCATCGCACATTTGCAGTGACAGTCGCATCGGCATCAGAGACGTAAAATCGGGCCTTCGCTAGTATCAGGGATCGAGCAAGTCAATAACCCTGGCAATGCGCATGCCTGCGAACTGATTGTTTGGAATCTTATGTACGCCGGCGTCTGTGCCAGTGTCAGCGTCATATTCGGATACTTAGTCTAAGTCAATATGACATCGCCAAGGGTATCTGATGCTCTGCTCGATGGATCATGTCGACATTAAGTCCAGGAAATGGCGAGATCGCGACAGCACTAGTTTCAGTGACTTGGAGATGCAGCGTACTAAGTCTCAGATCTCAGATCTCAGCCGGGCTCGCCGACCAGGTACTGAGTTCTCGCAAAGGGCACCCTGACTACGCGCTCAGCTTCTCATGCACCGTATCCGAATGGTGAGTCGGACGGTAGAACCTGGGAATAGACTGTTTCGACACGTGAGGAGTGGGGACAGTCTGCGCCACATTTAATTCAACATCCATCCACTGTTAAAAACACCTAGAGTTGCAGTGCCGGCCTTGATGTAATTCTGGCAGTTACAAGGTATACAGGAGTGAAGGGGACATGGACGGTGTACAGCCTGACGTAACTGGGCGGTATGGACGTGTACATAGCTGCTACAGAGTCCATATGCGCCCCAGTCCGCTGCTATACTGCAGTGGCAGATACATATCCGTTTTTGGATCGATTCCTATGTACCAAGCATTTTTGCAAGCGGCGGGTGGCGACGCGCCGCTAAACGGATTTGTACTGCGAAGGCATGTCGTACTTGACCTCCTGGTTCAAGCCGTCGTCTTGGTGGACCACGGTCGAGATGTCGACAGCGACGGGGCGCATGACGTACGACTGGTCGACATTGCGGCGCGACTGGAGCCCGGTCGAAGACGCCTGCGAGACGCTGTTGTTCCCCTTCACCGCCCAGCCGAGGCCGACGCGAACGTTGATCATCATGAACGCGGTGCCGGCGACCTGGCAGAGCGTGTCGACGAAGTGAACTGCAGGTTGGAGTCCGACTCGTAGATTGCGAAGAAACGACGACGTAGACCTAAGTAATCAGGGTGAGATTCAGCGTGCAAATGAATAGGCCGCACGTACGTGTAGAAGCTGGCGCTCTCGATGATGGTGGCGAGGACTCGCTGTTCATGCCGTTAGATCTGTGCGTACACTCGTCTGGCACCTCACCGCAACATACCATCAATTCCCTCCGCCGTATGAATTGGCGGTAAGTCTGTTCGTACTCCAGACCTTGTAGGCGATCATCACTGAGCCACGATAAGAAAACCATGTAGTGATTCGACGCGAGAGTCGGCTCACCAGAGCTGTAGATGTTGGTGCTGTGGAGGTCTTAGCCGATGCCTCTATGAAGACAAAGATGTATAGACACTCACATAAACGTCGTGGCATAATCCGCGGTGATCCAATGCGCGACATCGGACAGGAAGATCGTGTCCCCACCTTTGAGTCGCGACAAGGTGTAGACAATACCGATACCAGAGACTTCGTCGATATTCAGTTTCTATCCGCTGCCAGTGGCCCATGATATGCTCGGTACTCACCGCAAAGACCGAGAATCGTCATGACCGGTACAATGACCACGTACCAATTGCGACCCCAGATGATCCATAAGCGGTAGGCCTTTCAGGACCCATCAGTGAGCATAATTCACACCGAGAAGATGGCAACAGAGGCGTACAATCATAATGTCCGCGGCGATCAAAGTGCCGATCAGGAAAGCAGTTTTCGCGACCTCCGTAGACTCAGAGAGGTTGGCGTAAAACAACAGCGGCGCCTGACCACCTTCAAAGATGACAAAGGCCTGGAATAGACGGGTGATCGTGAGGACCCAGTGCTGCACAGAGCCGCATTACGTGAGTATCCGAATGGTAGGAGAGCTACATAGTACTCACTGCCGTGCAAGTCAAGAATATGAACACGGATGTGATGAAGATAGGTGTCAAGACCCGCGACAGGCGACTTCCACCATAGGAGGGACTTGAGCCTGAGACATGGCTCAGATGTAGGTAGAAGAAGGTGAATGAGAGCAGCAGCACAATGCCGTAGAGCAAGCTCTCAATGCCGACAGTGACCAAGTTGGCCGAGATGAGTGTTACTCCATCTGCCATCGCGAACGGCTAGAGCGGCAGTGAAACTCGTACTGTACAGCACTGTGGGTAGCCCTCCGAAGGGGGGAGGAGGAGACTGCGAGTGTCTGCAGCATTGTCGTGATGCGCTGACTTTATCCTGGTGGGACACATTGATCACGGTCGCCGAGCGCTTCAGAAGGCTCAGAAACCGAGGGACCGTCAGAAGTTCCACCAACTAGAGCTGTGATGTTACGGTAAGCTGGATCATACTAATCTAGACTGGTGGGGCAAGACCCGGATGGCGCGCTTCTCACTGCGTTTGACCACGCGCGTCCGTCAGTCAAAATGTGTCGCACATGGAGGCTGCAGTGCCATAGCCTCCACCAATCTCTGGGCAGAACAATGAGTGGGCCCTGCAACGACACTGCGACTCACAGAGAGCGCAGGGCCGTAAAAGGAAATCGAAAGAAGCGGACGATCCGTAGATCCTGATTGCTCGGGTATCCTCTGCCTGCTGTGGTGTAGTCTCCGTTGCCGACCATAAAAGAACGACAAGCGCTTTTATGGCTGTGGTGCCAGTAGCGATGGAGTCCGGTATCGCTCTGCCTGCGGCTCAGCTGACACAGAAGACGGGAAGGGAATGTGATTGCTTCGCGGTCCGGTCACGGATGGGGGAACTGGCCGTGGCGGACGTCACCCGATTGATCTTGAGCTGTAGCAGAGGAAGATTGGAGGAAGAACTTCAAGAAGGCGAACAAGCTCTAGATGCTCGGGGCGGGCTCCTTCATAAATGGGATAGACTCCTTCGCGGTCAATGCAGAGGAACATACACTTAGTCCCCGTTGCGCAGCATGAACATGAGGCCTGAGGGCGGGCAAGTATCGGTGAAAAAGAGGAAGTTCTGTACGCCACCTGTGCTACTGCGTTAAAGCTGCTGACCTCGACGCCGAGTTGCAGTGCGACTTGAGTGCGACCCTGGTACGATCGATTCCCCAGAGTAGAAAGATGCGATCTACAAGCAATGCATGACCTAGATACCATCTCAATCAGCACGACAACCCCGCGACAACCTGTCCTCCTTAGCGGCAACTAATCAGTCACCGGATGAGTACTTACGGTTTTGGGTACGTCGTCACGTCGAAGCTACCGCGCGCCCCAACAGCACAGCTTCTTGATGGTGATGGTGATGCTAAATTGACTACCGGTCCCACATTTCTACCATTCGGACGGGCCTCTTGGGGGTCTGTGTAAGACATCACGCGCATATGCAGCTGGTACTTACCAGTGAGACGATTATTAGTATGATACGAGGAGTACGCCAACAAACCCTGTACGATACATACCTTCGTGGCCTGCCTAGACGAGACCTTTGAATTGGCAATTGACTTGCAAGCCTTGAATGTACTTGTTGTGCTTGGTCCTTGTATAACGTGCGGCCCATCTATATCGGAAGCTTTTGAGACTAAAGGACCACTGAGTGGAGGAGCGTCTACTTGCATAATCAGCTGTAGGCTCCGAGTCCAAGGTACTTAGTAGGTCTTAGTTGCACCCTGTACAGTGTGATAGACACGCTCTTGAGTCGATTTTCTTTCCCATGTATCGCGCTAGCGTATCATTCTTGGTTGTTTCGTTGTGAATTCAGGGATAAGTAGACGTGGAGAAAGGACAAGAGCGCGATCGTCCGACAATGTCGCAAGAAACGCGGTGTCTCGATTTGGCATCTGCCCAAGCCACAATTTGGGCGCCTAACAGTACCGCCGGCGCCACAACTCAGTCAAGAATCCCCTCCTTGAACTTCGCCTCCTCCCCCTTTTCCTGCTAAATCCAATTCTCGTGATTTGGTCGACGTGCCAGTGGATTATGCAACCAGGGTCGGGCAACGTACATGCTTCGCTGCTCATAAAATATAGTGCAGTGACATTAGTTGGTCGGCTCCGAATCGATCAGGTCTTGCCGAGTCGACAACGAGTTGAAGTTAGAGAGGTCGAAGCAGCACAATGCGGGACATTGGGATTGCTACTAATGCTACATGCCGTCTGGGGACTGGCAGACGTTACGGATGTGCACCATTGAGCTGATCGAAGCATTAGGACCCGGAGGGAGAAGAGTGTCATGCAGCTGATATCCATTGCCCTAGCGGCCGGCTCGAGGGTATAATGGTTGGTCCGTGTTATAGACTTAGCGGATGAAGTATGGTGAAGTACAGATACGTGAAGGTGAAAAATGCAACAGGATAATAGCGATGCCACATGATATATACCAACCACGAAAGCCATATGATAGTCATATTCGCTGCCGCACTGCGGGCTGCGGGTGTCCGTTTGGAATGAAAGGATGTGCCCCTTCGCCGCTGCTCCGCGGGGGTACGTACGAGTTCGACATAGATGCCGGCCGACTGGGTACTTGCCCGATGAACGGCTGGCGCTCTGGCGGTGACCAGTCTTCGTCGTTGGGCTGCGCTTGCCGAGGTTGTGGTGCTGGATAGGCGGCATGACCTGCGCTTGCGATGTCGACGGTGGTGGCGCACCCGAGGGCAGTGGATATGAGAACGATGAGTGCTGCAATGCAGGGGCAGACGGCGGCTGTCGTGACTGCGGCTGACCGTTGCGAATTGGGTTATCCGATGGCGAAGACACCAGCGGCGGCCGGTCCTGGAACTGAGGGTTCGTTTGCGCTCTGGAGAAGGATAAGCATCACGTCAAAAGCGTTATGGAATGTGCGAACCTTGGGGGCATGGAACGCATGTCTTCGGGGCGTGGCGTGCCCGGGTTGAAAGGTGCTGATGCTGTCAGTGGGACGTGAGGAGCGGTGTGCGTCCACTAGCTTCAGGCGCATGTACGTTCGCACTTCTTGAGGAACTCCTTGCTAGGCAGATCCAGGCTGTTGGCGAAATAGTCCTGGTCTTGCAGAATCGGGAGGAATTCTTGGGGTACGAAATAGAACTCATCCTGATTCTCTAGGAGAGCAGTGATACTCGGATCGCTCCGAAGCTTTCGTCTCGCACCGCGTCCCGGCCCCGAGAGTACAAGATGCTAGGACAATTACAGTCGCCAAGTTGGGCAAGTCCATCTTGCTCCCGTCTCCGTGTCCAAATGGGCAAAGGACGCAACCCACTTCAAGAATACAAACAAGACTTCCATAGTGTCTCTATGAGCCTTCGGTAGAATGAGCGAGATTAGATGTAGCATCCGGTTACGTTCTTGCTCAGTGGGCAAAGCTGTTTACGATGAGGTTAGAACCCAACGCGACAACGACTATCCAGGAAAAGCATACACTGCGACGCTATGAACAACTTGTGCAGCTTGAATGTCATCAACGGATCCGGCAGTTCGCGGAAGAACTTCTTCAGCAAAGCAGCCAGTTGCACCGGATTATCTTGCGTAAAGTCTACGGAAGAAGGATCCCGGTCGATCGCTTCGATCACCTGATTGAGTCGCCTGATGTTGCCATTTCGCCGGAAGATACCCTCGACAGACATATCTACAGATCGTTGTCGACGTCAGCGCCGCATCACAAACGCAATTTCGGATACTGTCTTACCCATTTGCCGCATGGACGAGATGACATCCTCAACGAAGCTAGGTATCTTGACCGCTGCACGCGACGCCCCAAGCAGTGACTCCGCACCCTCCCTTTCGACGAGAAGTTCCAGCGGTACGCCGAAGATGCCTAGAGGCTGTTAAGCGATAAACTTCGTGCTAGCTCTTCAGACGTACCTTTCTTCTTGACGTTCTTTTTGTCGTTGCCCGGCTTGAACAGCCGATTCCAGAATGTACTCTTCTTCATCTCTACCAGCTCGAGGATCTCCTCCAAGTCAAACTGATCTCGAAGCGGGGACCGTTGTAGCACTAGCACGGCGCAGTGTTTGACGACGGCAAGCTCTAGCGTATTGAGCTCGGCGATGAACGGGATGGAGCTCTGACGAGGAAGTGAACGGCGCTGCTCCCGCGCTTGTGCGGCCTCCACGATTTGCGGGATGTCTGCCAGGGTGATACCGTCTTCGATACCACCCACGGGATCGTCGACGCCTCCAGTAGGTGATGTTGGTGCAGAATCATCAACAATCATGACACCCGTGTTATTGCGCGCGAACGGAGGTCTGAGGACCTGCCCTTGCGGGTTAGTGTCGATGGTGCCAGGAGGTATCCGCGAAGGTTGTTGGGAGGGTTGTTGTTGTGGGGGTTGTTGTTGTGAAAGTTGCTGCGGCGACCTTTGTAGTTGTGGCTGCCTAGATGGAGAAGGTGTGACTCCGTGAGGTGTTGCCCGGAATGAATGCGATGGGACAAGTTCGTGTGGTCGCTGTGTGGTCACGACATCTGCAGGTTGTGCAACCTTGCCCGTCGGACTCTCGACCACTGTCGATCGCCTCGGCACGCGAGCAGTAGCAGATAGCTTCCGATCCAGATGTACAGACTTCAGTCTGTTGATCTCGCCTGCATCGCGGTAAGGATCGTCTTCTCTGTGGTTTCCGATTTGACTCGGAGCTATGCAACAGGTAAGAGAAGTGACTACGTGCTCTAAAATGACTGAAGACGTACCAGGAGCAAGCTGGACTACGCCGCGCTTCTTCAGGAGTACATACAATCGGCGAAGCGCCACGTTGAGCAGGAAAGCGTACTGCTCTAACCTTGAGACGGCCTGAAACCCACTTCGACAGCCGCTATGACCATGCTCGGTGCAGTAAAGGACGATGGGTACAGGGCCAAAAGAGCTCGTCTCCTTCACCGAGTCAACCTCATAGATGAAGAAAGCGACATTGGCAGGCGGTCGCCGGGCTGTCGACAACTTGGGGGTGTCCTTGTCCTTGTCCCTATCATCCTGAGACTTCGGCGGAGCAGGTTCCTTTGGGGCAGGGACAGCGGCAGTCTTTCCGCAAGTGGAGCATTGTACGCAATGTGAATGCCACCTCTGGTAAGTGCCTAGCCGCACGCAATCCTCCTCGACGGTCTGGCTGCACTTCACGCACAGATCAGACGGCGGATTGACGACATTGACCTTCGACAAGCCAGGATCTCGAGGCCCGCTCGCGAACGGTGATTCGCCAGCGTTCTCTGGGGCCAAGCTCCTGAACCCAAACGTGACGCCTTGCGTGCCGAAGTTGCCATCACCCTCCGCTGGCATCATGAGCTCGCCGTTGGCCCGTTTCATCATCCGCTTCGCGCTCGGGCTCCCGCCCTGCACGGCCAGCATATGCAGCTTGTCGAGGAAAGAGGTGAGAGCCTCATGGACGTTTTGTTCTCGTTCCAGTTTGAGAGCGCCCGTAAGGGCAATGCGGATCAGTATCTTAAGGTAGTGCGCCAACCCGGTGACAAGTGCAAGAAGCTCTTGCGTCATACCCATGCGACGCGCCCCCGTTTCTTGCGTGTGTGATAGAAGAGTGAACAGGTCGACGGTCTTCCGACATAGCATACGAGCCTCGCGTACGTGGGACATACCTGAGCGGAAGATACAGGCGCGCCAGAAAGCGGTGAGATATGATCAACTAATGGCGATAATATACGGATGCTCTAGACTCACCCTTCTGTTTTAGACGCGCAAAATGCCACTCCAAGTCGTCGATAGTAGCAAACAGCACCTCTACATGGAGGATGAACTTCTCCGCCATCCGGATCGCCTCGAGATACTGGCCATTGCTGACTTGCCGCAACATGTCAGAGATACACGCTGCGCTCGACTCCTCGAACGCAGAAAGGACGCTGTGATCTCGGTCAGTGGGACGCCACGACCGTTGACCCAAAAATGATCTCACGTCCAGATCCGATACACTTGCTGTTCCATTTGGATCTGCTTATCCTTCAGAGATACGGCTGTTTCCGTCCGCTCCTCCTCTACCCAAGGCGGCTCCTCAGAGTTTGGTACACTGTCATCGCCACTAGGTGGCAAAGCAGGGCGACGGGCGACAACTTTAACATTCCAGAACTACCGAAGTCGGCAGATGAGCAAGACAGGATGCGACTTGCGATTCAAGGGGACAGACCTTATTAATCATGTAACATTCCGGATGCCAGCATTCGTCCCGCATGTTGCGATTGATCTCGACAAACTGTTTGAGGATAGCGCTGTTGCAGCCTGCACATTTCGTCGCGAACCGGGTAGAGTAGTGATAGTGGCAGTAGACATCCCCTTCGTGCTCGTAATACGAGTCTTGTGGACCAAACAATGTCGGGCAGACAGAGCACGAGAAATGCTCGACATGGAACTTTTTGTCTGCAGGGACACGAGTCGTCAATGGGCGCGGGATTCCAGAAGCATAGCATGAAGGTACACACTGCACGCAGTTATGTAACTGCCCCGCAAAGCCATGCCACACTTCGCACATATGAGATTGAGGCGCCGGAAATAGTCCCTCTCACATAGCGGGTGCTGCTTGCCGTCGGGCCCATCGATTGGAAAGAACTTGGAAGCAACAACTGTGCCACAATCCTGAGTGCGGACCTGTGAGCATCAAGATGCCGATCAGCAATGCACAGGTCACTCACCATGCATTTGAAGCAATTTAGATGGAATACTGTACCGAGGGCCCGCACAAATGCACCTTGCATCGCCTTCCCGCAGGCGGAGCATGGTCTGCCGAGAAAGCGGATGTCAGAACACCGAAGCGAGAAGTAATCGCAGACGCAAGAGTGCACGAGTTCTGGTCGATGCAGGATAATCACGGACACTTACGTAGACGCGGCGCTGGTGCTCGTATGCGCGGTCGATGCACCCGTCCCACCACTTCCACCAGGATTAGAGCCCGACGAATGCAGAGAAGAGTCGGAGTGAACGCTTCCCGGTCGCCCCTTCCCATTGTCTGAGTGATCGGAAGACGATTGGTTATGAGAGTTAGACGTCCCCGGAGTAGTTGGGCGACTGGCAGTCAAGTAGCCCTGCGAGCGAGCCGAGTACGGGTCGGATGAGGCGGGATCAGCGACAAGAGTCCGAGAGCTCGAGCTTGAGTGGTTGAGATCCTCGCTCCGAGCATGAGGGTAATCATCGCGGCTGGACTTTCGCTGTTGATCTGAGTGGTAAGGGGTACTGACGGTCGAGGCTCGGTGCGGCATTCTGGCTCGCTCTGGGGGCTGAGAACTGCTGGTGGGAGAGGTAAGGAAGGACCCATTCCGAGGAGAAGACGCGGGCGACTGCTCGCGCGGCTGGGGGGGAGGAAAATCCGAGGCCATGTAGGCTAAGGCGGAGGGATCTTGGATGAATGAGAGTCACCAGCGAGTTGCTGCATATGACGGCCCTGGCTGGAGTAGCTGCTCATAGATGGCGGCGCCGAGAGAGGCTCACCAGGGCCGTTGAGGAGAGTCGGAGGGGGGTGGGCCGGTGGTTGTCGTCGTTGCCCACGGCGAGCACGAGGGAAAGCAGCAATACTGGAAACAGCACTGGCAGAAGCAGCGACCTTGGCGTGACACAGCCGTGACAGACGGCAACAATGTGACTGTCACTTTAGTCTCGTGCGATGAATCGGCGCTTACTCACTGGCATCGCGACTCACTCGTTTCACCGCCAACTGTTACTGTTACGTGTCAGAACTGATCTCCCAATTTTCGCGGCGGGTATGTATTCACACAATAGCTCTCTGGGGGGGCCTCGGCCCGTCTCAATATACTAGAGCAAGTTTTCCGCAAGTAGAGTACACTGAACGAACAATATTTCAACACCAATATATCATATTGTTATGGATGGCTGCCGGCTGAAAGCCCTGAAACCACACTACGACATCTTGTGTGGAACACGGTCATGATTCCCAACCACTCTAGTACAGTGAACCTCCACCTCGGCGGAGCACGGTGCCTGTGCAGAATACATAGAGTAGCGTCAACGGGTTTTTGTGTTGATGGGCTCAGGAAGCTGTGAGTATTACCAAATTCAAAGCGAGATTGGACAATGACGATCGACCCGGAAATTCCAAAGCAACCGCACCTCTGCAACACGACAGCGTCGTACAGTTCTGGCATCACTGGGCAAGCGGGTAGGCCCTGCCTTTCATTCATACATCTTCTCATTTCGCAACAGATACCCGACATTTTTCAAAGTAACAGGAGCGAAGTCAATGCGTTCAGAGTGCAGTCGACTCATCGGCGTTGAGGATCAACGTCGTGAAGAACCGTATCATCTCCACGAAATTCTGCGCGTCGCAAGCTGAACAGATTGAGTTCAATCATTATTCAGGGCCATCACGAGCACAAGAAGTCCACCTTCATTCACTGTGTGCACGCCACTCAGCGCACTACCACTGCCAGTATTGTAGTGGGTGTAGCGGAAGATGTGGGGCGTAAGCTTCCAGTAATACCGTGTATCTGACCCGGGCATCAGTCACACTGTCGACATCCTTGCTCTCCGCTCTGACGTACCAGTGTTGCCAGACACGATACTGGGAACGACAGTGATACCGTCCTGAGTCAGATCGCGATGCGCGTTGAACGTCGACTTGATGGTGCCCGAGAGGAGCTGGTAAGGCGCCGCGTCCGCGCCCGTTGGCGTGACAGGGGCAGGTTCCAGCGCTGTTCCCCATGCGTCGCTGAGCGCCAGCGACCCGTAGGCAGGTGTATCGCCCGTAATGCTTGATCCGAACGCGGTAAACGACAAGTTAAACTTTGCGGCGAGGCCCTCTAACGTCGCGATACTGTGCTCCTGGACCACGCTCACAGAGCTGTCATTGTCACGTCCCGTCAGCGGTGTCTGTACGGTGATGCATGGTCGATGCCAAGACTGGTGTCACAAACCTGTCAGACGCGATACGGTGGTTGATGACGGCCATGGCGTTCTCAGGGAGGGCGTTCGACTTGACACCACCGCCGATCACGTCGATAGCCTGAGTGGTACCAACAAGCGCTTTGAATGCGAGATCTTGGAACAGCTCGTCCTGAGCCGCCTTCAGTGCCTTGTCGGACGAGCTAGCCTTCCTCATCGCGCTTCGAAACGAGGAAGGCAGCTCGGGGGCGTGAGCTGCGAGACATTCAGCGTGCCAGTACGTGGGGGTTCCCCGAGAGAGCTTGGCTTCAATGGGATTGTTCTCATAGTGGACAAGGAGCTCAGCGAGCATGCCGATAGTCTGTCAATTGTCATCAGAAAGAGTAGAGCAGGGTTGTCAGTATGACCCATACCGTATGGGCAGGCGGAACACTAGAGTGGCCTCCTGGTGCCGCTATCTCGACGCGCACATCGATATAGCCTTTCTCCGCGACAGAAGGGAGAGCGAACGTTCCCCCGTATTGCTCGGCGATCTTGCCTGCAAGTCAATGCCTCAACACGTTGAACCTTAGGACTACAATGCATACCGAACCTCCTTCGTCAACCAGCATCGCGAAAGCGTTTTCGCCATATGTCGAAAGCAGATATTCGCCAAGCGCAGACGCGCCCTGAACGAAGTAAACATCAGCATCATCTCAAAGGTAGACAGATTGAGTACGTACACGGCGGCCGCTAACTTCCTCGTCAAATCCGAAGGCAAGAACGACCCCGCGAGTCGGTTGGAAGTTACTTTCCAGCAAAAGTTCGACAGCCGTCCTAATCAAGGTTCTGAGTAGGGTGTAAACTGACCAAAAGCGAGAGACATACAAGATACCGATGAGACCGCTTTTGTCATCCCTACTGCCACGACCCCAAACAAACTTGCCTGAAGGCTGTGTCAGTTGGATTAGTGATAATGGACTGAAATTCTGACCATCGAAATAGCCCGAGAATGGTGGATGCGTCCATGAATCGTAGGTGTCAGGGTTAACAGGTACAACATCTGTTCAACACAATTGAGCCCTGCTTTACGCTTTGACGCAATGATGGTAACCTACCCTGGTGTCCCGTCAACAGGAGAGGCTTGAGTGACTCATCCGTGCCTTTCCAGACGTATACTAGGCCATATGTGTTGACCTTGGTGAGCTCCAACGTGGCATGGCTGGAACAAGACCTCAAGATTTCAAACACAGTGGTAGTGAAATGTGAGGCAGTATGCTTACGCTTGAGGATACGCCTTCAGCAAGTAACCGTGGAAGGGACCAAACGATTCCCAGCGAGGGTCCTCGCCGATGGGACCCAAGTCATCGTAAGATTGCGTGCTGGGCCAGGAACATTAGGGCTGATGAATCATAATATCACTGTGTCGGTCACTTACGGGATACGTACAGCCCCGCCCAACAACTCGACCGCCTGTGCAAGAACTCGTCCGTGCTATACGTGTTGGCTAGGGTCTTGAACAGCCCCGCGTTCTTCACCGGGCTAAGGGCAGTTGCCTGCGAGCACAAGGCAGCCGTTCCTACTTCGGGCCCATCCCAGAGTGCCAGAATACCGTCACTCGCAGGCTGGAAAGTGTAGCAGACCGCAGACGCGAAGACAAGAGTGAGAATCCACTTGAGAGAAGCAAGTCGCGAGAATGAGCGTCGAGGGCTCTGAGCTGGCTGGGGAAGCTCAGACGGCTGAACACGTCCCTTCTCTCCGAACGAAGACATGGCGAAAAGTCGAAGGGGGATGGATGCGCGCCATCCCATGGTGCATAATTATACGTTCGCGGGGGAAGTGGGACGCATGGTGTTCCCGGGCGGCAGTTGCGGCAATGCGTCCTTCCAGGGCCCAGCGATAAGACATGTTCGTAGAACATATGAACGATGGCGCGTCTTTGAGTGCTTGAGAGATACCACCGGCTGACTCCCAGGCGTATATGGTTGATCCTCGCATGGCCTCCGACTGAGGATCGGAGTCAGACAAAGGGGCAGGGGAAGTTAGGCAACCACGATAATACTGGGTAGAGTCACAAGAGAATATTGCATCGTGAATAATGCCGTAGCATAGTTGTGCGCAGGTCGTGCGGCGGGCTGTCTCGACTCTCTGTTAGAGCAGCAGACGTCCATAGATCGCTCGTATCACGTGACTACGCGATACTCAGACCGCCTCGCATGTCCCTACTCATTGCGCGTTCGCATCCATTGTCCAGTTTCTCCAACAGTCTCAGGTATGTTGGGCCGGACGAGCATAGTTATGCATAAGTACATTACTGTAAAAGCTCAACGGCGCTCATGACAGCAATCGCACAGACGCTAAGACCCCGGAGACGTCCGCCGGAGAACAGGGTGCACGCGGTCCCGGCTTGAGCAGGATCGGGCATCGAATTTTTGGTCGCGAGCCACCGAGCACTCGACTGAGCGCGCACGCTGGCGGACGTCGACGACGACGAGCAACCCGATGGGCTATGTGCAGAAACGGCTGGCTTCAACGGCTGCAAAGCTAGCCGTGTCCCCCTCCCACGTCTATGACCTCTCAAAAAAAGCTGTCGCCTCGTCCTCCAGGGACTTCTTCGATGCGCAGACGTGGGCAGCGCTGCAGCCCCCTCCCGAGTCCGCCGTCACCGCGTTTGCCCACCGCATAGGCCTCGCAGAGGTCCTGGGCTCCGCTGATGTCGTCCGGCAAGCATGCACACATCCCTCCTTCCTCCCGCTCCACGCAAAACACCATCCAAACCAGCCACAACCCACCACGAACGCGAATCTTGCCACTCTCGGCAACTCGCTGCTGGGTCTGTTCGCGACGGAGCACGTCAATGCGACGTATCCCCATCTGCCAACGCGTGTCATGAAGGCTGCTGTCAGTGCCTACGTCGGCGGGACGACGTGTGCAGCAGTAGCGAAGGAAATGGGTGCAGCGCCCTTGCTCCGGTGGCATAGGATGGTGCGTATCACACGACATATTGGCAGGATCCTGCTCATACAGTGTTGTATCAAGCCGAACACCTTGACAAGACCAGCGGTCTTGTATCCCGATGCTCTCAGCTCCGTCCCGCGCGCTCTCACTGGACTGGTATACAAAAACCGCTCTCTGCTGTCCGCCCGCAAATTCGTGCAGAAATTCTTCCTGAGTCGTGAAATTGACCTGCGGAACATGATCAAATTCCGAGACCCTCGAATGACGCTGTTGTACACAGTACAAAAGTTCGGGAGAGAGCCGCCAAAATCTAGGTATGCCGCACTCTTTGAATACTCTTCTACTACTAACCCATTGGCATCTGTAGACTGCTGAGGGAGACCGGACGATTCTCGAACTCTCCCATATTCGTCGTAGGCATTTACTCAGGCGCCGACAAGCTTGGCGAAGGATTTGGCAGTTCCTTGAAGATGGCAGAGTACCGGGTTCGTTTTCGCTCCTATCCCTCTTCTACCGTTCCATTGACCTCGCGTGCTAGGCGGCGGAGGATTCCTTGCACAGACTCTACCTCACACGACAACCGCCACACTTGGTCCAGCTACCCACGTCGGCATTCCCAAGCGGGCGGGGCAACATCTACGAAGCCAGTGGCCCAGAAGGCTCATATGTAGCGGGCACGATCGCGGACTCTGAGGTGCTATTCGGTAGTTCGGGGCGGACGGGCGCTGTGATGCCCGGTAGACACACCATTGAGGGAGATGAGGAGGGGGATATAGAGGACATATTGTAGTATGCATGCAATGCTCATAATGCTGATAATACTGAGCCCTCGAGTACCGTGTCCTGGATGTCTTCGTTGCTGCATCCTCGATCCTTTCGTCAAGCTGTGGACAGGAATGAACGGACACCACGCCGTCCTTTGTCCGACCGTCCACGCTCAATTAACTCTGATGTCGGCATGCATTGAGCACTGAATTTACATATGTACAAGGGATACATGATCGATAGAGATACAGCACATTTGTTACAGAGTAGATCTCACGCCAATGGACGAACCGCACATGCGATCCACTGAGCGGGAATGCAAACCATCACTTTTTGACAATGGTCATAGTGAAGCCGTTCGAGACATTGGGCATGCGGACAACCGCAAGCCCCCTCTGACCAGGCCGCTGGAATGGGTTGAGTGCAATCGGGTAGTCCTCGCGCGGAGTGCAACCCGGCATGCCTGCCAGCCACTGCGGGATCAGGCTACGCTGGTGCTCCGTCGACTGCTCCGCATACTCCGTCACCGCGAAGGGGATGTTGAACATATGCACCGCGCGGATGACGGGATCCATTCGCCGTAGGAGCCCAGACCTGCGTTGCAAGCGACGAGTGCATCGGGCTTGCCGTCGTAGTCGGGCGTCCAGTGCTTTTGCTCGCCGGACAGGTGTACGCTTACGGCGCCTGCGCCGAGCGCGTCGGGGGCGCGATAGGTGTAGACGGGTTCTGGGCGGCGAGGGCGCCGGGGATTTTGCGGGGGCTTCGACGAGGGCTTTGACTGCGCCGCCGAAGAGGACGACCTTGAGATCGTGGTACGGGAGCAGTAAGGCGAGTTCTGCGAATCTGTTCCAAGAGTTAACGTTCATTTCCATCTGGACAGTGTCGCGATGAACGCGGTACGCACAGCGGAATGTAGTTGAGCTCAACCTCCGCTCCGGCAGGTGTACATTCAGCGACACACGCTTGTCTGCCGACCCAGCCGCGGGCTTCGTGATCTCGAGGCAGCGCACGAGCATTTGGTAGACACTCAAAGGGACCGCCATCAAGAGTGCCGCGGGAGAGTCCAGCGGCAGGCCGCGCCATTTATACCAACTGCGCCAGTCACTGATTTCCTCCGGAAGATCAGTGACGAGGACAGGTTGCTTAGCAGCGGAATGTCCAAAGTCGAGGTATGGGATGAGACGCGAAGGCAGCTTCCAGCCTTGCTCGTCCGTCAGGTGCTTCTTCCTGAGCAAGTCGTTCCCATCGATGAAATTCTCTACCTTGACCAGTCCGCCGTATGTCATGTCTCTGCCGGCACCAAGCGGACCCATCTCCGCGTGCGGCGCTTGCCCCCCGCGATGGGACCAGTAGCCGTAGCCGGAACTCCCGAGGACGTCAAAGCGCGCACGCGCGATGTCGAGGTTGAAAGTACCATCCGTTTCCAGGCGGCCCCAAGGGAACATACGGATGATGGCCTGTGTCTCTGGCAGCCTCTCCATGTGCCGCTTGAGAACGCGAAGTATCACTCAAGGTCAGGCCGACAGAACATCTCATCAGATGGAGTAACAGGTACCTTGTTATCGGCACAAAGCTGCTTGTGCGTGAGCTGGATCTGTGCCACTCCGCGAGCACCATGGTTCCAATAGTACTTGCTGCACTGCAGCGGGCGTTGATAGAAGTGTTGGTCCATTTGCTTGAGGCACTTACCTCCTTTGAGCACAAGATAATGGCTTTACATTGACCGCAACGCATGGCCTTTTTCGGGAGTCGGATAGCTGCGTTGCAAGCAATACACTGCTCTTGTACTCTGAGATCCACAGATAGTTCAGCATCCATTCTTGATGCACTGTGTTGCGCAGATATCTCACCCAAAATCTAGATGAGGGGGCATAGGGCCCCCTCGTTTTTCTGCGGCGATCAGTTCCTTCGCTCCTTTGCGCGCTATGGCGAACATATCCAGCCCGCCCTGTCGACGGAGAGCATCAAGTTGAGCTCTTGGAAGTCCGCCAAAATCCATCTGAGCCTATGCGGAGATCGTATGGATGTAGATGAAGTCAAGGAGAGAGGAGAACAAGGGACTCGCGATCGCGATGCCTGGACGGCAAGAATGCGAGCAGTTCGACGCGTTAATTGGCGAGAGCACGTGGTGGCGAATACATAGTTACCGGATTCAGGTAAGTAAGTACCAGGGCAAGTACTTGGGTACTTAGTGGCACAGGGTGGCTGGAACTCAACTCATCACTTGAGTACTTGTTCGAACAAAGTTCGGACGTTCAAGGCCTTCGAATATGTATAAGTAGCCATGGGCATGCGCGCCGGCATGTTGCGCTGAGCAGCTGCGCGGCGATCTTCGGTCGCCACGCCCGCAGTCAACCCGCAGTGTGCACAAGCATGAACGAGATGCGCGCAGCAGGATGCGCGTCAACGATGATAAGTTGTGATGCCGCTCAGCGCCAGCGGTCGACTCTAGATTAATGCTCTTCAGCAAATGTGAGTGTTGTAGCGGTATATGTAGCACTCAGCTGCCGCGGAGACGTGCAGATGGCATCTCAGTCGAAAGCAGCACTTGAGTGACACAGCGATGAAAGGAAGAGCCGGCGCGTGCGCATTGCCCTGTGTGAGACCTCTGAGGCGACGGGACGGGCACCGCCACCACCAACCGCCACCGGGCGCTGCTATATTTCGAACAACGTACCTCCCCCAAACCTCCCGTCTCCTTTCATTTCACATCGCCGGTACTGCACGCTGGCCAGCGCGTGTCTAGCCAGTATACCACGAAGTCGCAACGCCATCTCCATCTGTCTTGAACACTGACCGCCAGCCACCTGAGCCCGCTCTGACACCCCTGACGAGCCCACCATGGCAGTATTATCTCTGCCGTTGTCGTTCCAAAATTCGTTCTGGTCGCAAGACTACAGGACAGGATTAGAGGTGCTGTACTCACAGTTGGAGAAGGTATGCAGCTGTCCTGGTGATTCGTGTCATTGCTCAGCTAGGCCGTGTTATGTGCAGGGAGTGCTCGAGAATGAAGAGGTCGTTGCTTTCGTACGCGTAAGTGCTCCAACACTGAACAGCACACTCTCGAGACTAATCGTGCTCAGGCGCGAGCGGCAGCAGAGAGCGCACTTGCGGCGACCCTCAGCGCTGCGGGACCTGCAGGTGCGGCTTACTTCTCTACGGTACGCGTCATTCCGCTGACGACGCGAGGTGCAGGCAAGGCCTTCGCTGGCGACGACGGGGCATCCCTCCACGTCGCGTTCCGTGGCTTGAAGGAGGAATCCGTTGCCCAGGGCAAGGCGCATGAGGCTATAGCGATCGAACTGCAGGATGGCGTCGCTGCGCCCTTCGAAAAGTGGGCGCATGGGTATAGGGTGAGTGTCATTTGCTACAAGTGACATAGCGTCGCTCATGCGTATGACGCAGGATCGTCTGTGGAATAGCAGACACAACATGCTTGACGGGTTCATGCACGCGTACGAAGCCGCCCAGGGTGATGTATCAAAGTTGAAGAATGACTACCTCAACAAGATGCGTCGCGCCGACGAGGCCGAGGACGAGTACGTCTTGCATTGCTTTGGGTTCTCCGCCTCGCCTGACCGTTCCTCCAGCGCCCGTTTCGCGCCCATCTCACAGCCAGTCGGCGACAAGTTCACCACATCGCCGAGCATGCAGCCGCGCGACAAGCCGCGCTTCCCCTCGCGCACACCGACGATGACCGAACGTCTCTCGCAGCGTTTCAAGGAGCTCCGCCTCCAGGCTGGCCGCGCGACCTCGCCAGAGAAGCCCGAGGTGCACTTCGACGCGGGCACCGATGTGGAGTCGGAGAAGGGTACGCCGAAGATAGACAAGGGCAAGGGCCGTGCGCTCGAGGACGTCGCCTCGCCGGAGCGCATGGCGTCTCCGCCGCCAATGTCGCCCCCGCTGCCCCCTGCACGGCTGAACACCAACCCATTGCCGCCACCCCCTGCGCCGCCCATCCTCGTCGCCGGGCTGGAGATGGCCCCTACGGAGCTGTCCGACCTGCTGACGCGTGCGCGGGACACGATGCCGCTGCGCCCGGTGCGCTTCCCATTGATTGGCGAGTACCAGGACTGCTTCAGCGGCGAGGAGTTCGCGACGTGGTTGAAGGAGAATGTCAAGGACTTCAGCGGCAGCCTCGACCACGCGGCGTTCGCGGCCAAGGAGCTAACGGAGAAGCACAACCTCCTCCGGCGGGTCGGCGAGTTTGGCAACGACTACGAGAATGCTAACGATGCATTCTACCAGTTCAGAGCTAAGGTAGGGTGCCGGACGTCTTGTTCCGACGAGTCACTGACCTATGCCACTAGGCCTTCGAACTGGGCGCGGCCCCCGCACCCGCTGAGAACGCTGTTTCCCCGATTCAGAAGACTCTGTCACCGATGGCAGAGGCAGTCGCTACGCACACCACTACGTTCGCGTCGCTGGTGTCGAAGGCCCTCAATACGAACGGCAGCGCCGAGCCGCTCCACATCCGCACTCGTAGAGAAGCCGAGGTTGCCGACAGGGAGTATCGCGTCGCTGTGCGCAAGCTAGACAGGCAGCGACTCGGCCTCGAGGAACGGGTCGAGGAGACTCTGAAGACTCTCCAGAAGTGGGAGCTTGATAGGCTGCGTGCAGTCAAGACCGGTATGTATGTCCACATCACATCGGCGTATCCGTACTCATGTGCGTCCAGTCCTTCGTCAGTATCAGACGGCCGTGTCCAAGCTTGCGAAGGCGTACGAGCCTTCCCTCGAGCGATCGAATGTCCTCATCGACTCGTACACACCGGAAGCCGACCTCAAGGTCTTCATCGAGCGACACAGGGTCGGGCCCTTCCGCCCCGAGCCGCGTGTCTACGAGTCTGTGACACACGACGAGTCCGACGTCGTGTTCGGCATCGACCTGAGACGCTGGGCTGATAGTGCTATGTGGCCTGGCTTTGAGGAGAAGAAAGACAAGCCGGACATCCCACCCGTGCTCACCCTCATGCTCAGCTCGATTGATGCTGCTTACTCGAGGCTCCCTAGGATCACGGTAAGTCGAGGCACACACTACGCTATGTGCGTAGTGCTGAGGAGTGTTGACAGAGAAACGAAGACTTGGATCTATGACGTGCCCCTTCCCGCGGTCCACCACATCAGGGAAGCCCTCAACGCTATCCCGCCTGAGCAGCCGTTCCCGGATGACATCTTGGCGAAATATGACGCCCTGTTCTGGCTGGAGCCATCAACTGTGGGCTCTGGAGCTCATCCCCCCGTTGGGACGTATGAAGGCTGGGATGAGCTGCGTAAGCTCTATCCTACGGGTAAGTAATATTGACGCCACTCTAGGTACTTGGCTAACTAGTTCAATAGTTGGTTCCAATTCAAAGGCGGAAGAGTCGCACTCGGAGGAGCAGCACATTTTGGATTGCAGGCCGCTCTGCAGAGACTCCCTCGCGTCCATCTGCTGACACTTGATGCTATCGTGAAGCATCTGAAGAGTACGTGTTTGCAATCTGGGTTTATGTGGCACGCACTGAGCATCATATCAGGCTTGTTGCAAATACCCCCACTGCTGAAGCCGACGAAACTAACGAAGTCTACATAACGAAACTTGCATTGACGATGGGCAGAAGTAAGTCCACCTTGTAGACCTGAACATCCGCGTCTTATGGTATCATTCCAGCCATCCTCCGACCTAAACAGGAGACCGAGTTCTCGATCCAGGACCGTCATCCGACTTGTGAGTATGATAGCAATATATCATACACCGATTCGCTGATTTGTGCTGTAGTGTTGTTCATGGACCTGATCAACAAGTACGATGCGATTGTGCCGCCGGCCATCGAGCGCAAGAAGCGTGAATCGCAGCGGAAGATGCCCGTACGGCGGCGCACGCGGCCGGTGGACATGCGCATGAGTCGTAGTCGGATTTCTGCTGGTGCAGACCTGAAGGAACTGCATGCTCAGCAGTTGGCACAGCGGTCGGGCGTGAGGCTCTCAAAGGGCTCTCCGCCTCTCCCTCCGCCCGTTCCGTCACTCCCCACGGTCCCAGCAAGCCCCATGCCTCTCAGTCTGAATCACAGTCGTCTTCAATCATGAAGTCTGCGGAACCTGGGAGACCTTGCCCCGCCTCCTCCATCGATTCCGCCTCAGCCAGAACCATCACTGCCGGTGCAGGAGGTCCAGAGCCACGTACGCTAACGTCCCTCCGCCGCCGCCTCTCTCCAAGACGCCGACACCGGAGATGCCTGCAGTCCCGCCCCCACCGCCTCTTGAGAAGCCTGTGCAGCCCCCTCGCCCCGTGTTCAAGGACCGCCCCCGGAAATGGACGACTTGCCTCCTCGTCCGTCGTTCAAGGAGCCGCCCCGGAGAGTGATGACGAGTTGCCTTCGCCCTCGTTCCAGCCGCCGCCAGCCGCAGAGCCTTCTCCCGACCGGCCCCAGTCGCTGTCCCGGCTGTCTTGCGCGCTGGTTCACGCCCCAACTCGCGCCCTGCGTCACCCCGCGTTCCTTCTCAGGAGCCGTCGCGCAGCCCGTCACCCACGAAGCCTTCGTCGCCGACGGCGGCCTCGATATCTCGAACCGCCCGGGCGACGCGTGGTCCTCGGCCGTCGGGTGGGGCTCGGTGAGCAGCCTGGTGAATAATCTCAATAGGCAGTCAGTGGATCGTTCAGCTCCCCTGGTTGAATGGAGCCTCGGGACTGCGTCGCAATGGTTCACGGCCGGGTGCAACACACGTGAAGAGGGGCAGCGTATCTCGTGTGACTGAATTGTCGCGGAGGACTATGGCTAGCGATGCGGAGGATGAGGTCGTGGATCGGTGAAGAGTTGTCTCAGCCTGGGTTTCATGGATGCTTGTTCTTGACACTTGCGCTTATCTATGGATGATCAACTTTCTATTGCCATGTTTGTTTATGGGCTCTATGTTGATTCATTGAACGTCGTATGCATTGTATGACAAGAGATTTGTGACATCAACGACCTCACCTTGTTCACGAAAACTGAGTCCATGTCGGCCGGGTCAAACAAATCCTGGGGCATCCAGCTTGGGTTGCTCATAGACATACACATACGACACGAATTAAGGGACACAGTAGACACGAACTGATACACAATACAATCCTGACACGATCATGACATAGACACAACATCCTAACGTCTACACCTCTGCGAGGCACCCTCCTTCTTGCCCTTGTTCGATTTTGATGGGAGAAGCTCGGGGAGAATGAAGGGCACGACACCGCCTTGGCTGATGACAACATCGCCGAGTAGCTTGTTCAACCTGAGATGCCATGAGTATTGGTTGAGATGTCAGACTTAGAAGACTCACTCCTCATCGTTACGGATTGCGAGCTGCAAGTGACGTGGGACGATACGCTGCTTCTTGTTATCGCGGGCTGCATTGCCTGCCAGTTCCAAGATCTCGGCAGCAAGGTACTCGAGCACGGCGGCGAGGTACACTGAAGAGGTGTCACAATGTCAACATCCCAGCTGTGCCTTTGAGACAACGCCACATACCAGGAGCACCAGCACCCACACGCTGGGCGTAGTTGCCCTTCTTCAAGAGACGGTGGACACGACCAACGGGGAACTGGAGACCGGCCTTGGCAGAGCGCGACTGCGACTTGCCAGTCTCACCACCAGCCTTGCCAGAGGAAGACTTGCCACTAGAAGAGTAGAAGACACTGAGTACATGAACCTTACTGCGGATATGTGCAGCGTACGCTTTTCCCTTGCCAGACTGCAAACTGATGTCAGTACGACGTATAAACCACAGTGAATGGACATTGTCGCACCATTTCGATGAGTTGTTGATGATAGAACGCGAGAAAGGCTTGAGGGTGGTGAGGGATGGGAGCAAGACAGAGTGGTTGCAAGACGCGAAGGTGGCAAGGGCTTATATAGCGCGCCGTGTGGTTCAAACTCCGAAAGCATTAAACAAGCTCGCGTTTGCACGTGACTGACGCGTCCAGGTCATTTAGCGCCCAAACCAGACGATTAAGCGCTGAACCACACACCTCCTTTCTTTTGACTATCTGCACTGGCAGCGGCGAGACTATCGTCTTTGCACAGGTCTCTAATGGTTCTGCCAGAACTGAAAGAAACATAGAGCACGGCTTATGGACCCAGAGAAACTTGATACGTCTCGGCGCTGTGCAAACAGCAGTGGGACTGCAATGACATATCAAGTTGACTACTAGGCTGTCCAGCAAACTGTGTGTGCCACGAATGCTGCGTGTGCTCTGCGCTTTTTCGCTCCCTGAACCTGTATCTGGGCTGTGGCAAGAACTCATGCGCTCTACTATTCATCTCGGGGCTATGGGCGGCTTCTCGTGAACGCGCGAGCCACGAGGTGAAGTCTACTCTTCGGCGTAGTTTTGACACCCCCCATGAGGAGCGGGGGAACCTTCATAAGCCATGCAGCCAGCCCTTTGTCCACGCGCGAGCCACTCTGCAGCTGTGCGTATTGCTCTAGCTACCCTTGAAGTGTTCTCTCCGTGGCCGACCACCACACCGCACCACGACTTTCTAACCACTCCCATTTCTACTGCATTTGTATGATCCTCAACTGGGGTCTCAAATGAGTCCTATTTCTCCGACGAGCGAACAGGTCGAGTCTCTCTTCCTGCTGCTCTGGCGTTACCGAGAGAGCTTATGCATGCATTCGACAGTTGCCCACTCTCTATGTCGTGCGTGTTGCAGCCACTTACGCGACTTCGATCGCCTCACCTGTTCCTGACTCTCTGAATGATTTATCGCGCAGATTGTCGTATTCACGTTGTCATCTTCGCGCTCTGGGTCATCCCGGGCCTTCGCAGCGCCATCATTCCTCTCAAGTTATTCACCATTGGTGGCATGAATTCTGCCATATTGTGGCCGTCAGTATCATCGGGCTCACCTCCATCGCCCTCCATCTCATTGCAGTTCTCTCCCTAGGCTGTGTTCACCGGTGGCAATGTCACAAAGTGACCATTGATCCAGACATAGGAGGTGCGACACGCGTCGAAGGCGGCAGACCCCTCGCGATACTCGCCGCCGGATACGTTGGGTCAACAATCTTGGGCGGCGTCTTTGTACTGGCCGGCTTCGATATCCTTATGTCCAAGATTCTGAGCTTCGTCCTGGCCTCGGCCTCATTGCCCCGCTCGCACTTGTCCGAAAAAACTGTCCGTGTATTTGCCTCTTGCTCGATTGTCTATCGTATTGAGGTGTTTACATCGCAGGACCATTCTCCTGACTTCAATATACGAGGGCCTACTCGTCGGGTTTTGGTTCATCGACCATGGGTAAGTGACCTATGTTCTGGTCGTACGCTCTACTGCTCATGTGTCCGCTAGGCAGGCGCTGCGATGGTACTGTCTCTTCGTGGAATAATGAAGTACGTTCTCATTGGGATGGATATGATACTCCATGACTGACCTCTTCCCCAGCATTTCTATGTGATCTGTACGTTCTCATTTCTAGCATCTACCGCGTTCCCCTGTCATCGTGACGCAACTCAGAACTCACTCCTCTCGTCACGAAGGGGATATTGCAGATGACAATACTTCCGTAAATCCAACGACTCGGACGCGACGCAATTCGCGATGCTCTACCACGCGTGCCCGCTCACGGTGAGTATCGCCACCCTCCGCCCCACCCATCGCCGCTCAATCTGAGCAAGCTGATGTCCGCCATTCTTATTCGTACATAGCTTGGGCAGCGATCTGGATTCTCTTCGAGATCGGCGTTCTCATCGGCTTTGTGTTCCTCGGCATCGTGGCCTTCAAGCGCACGAATGAGCAGATGTACCAGGAAGCAGGTGCGATGCTATGACTGGTGCTGGGGTTGCATAGGCTCATTGATTTTCTCAAGCGGCGTTCCTGCCGACATGAAGAGGTGGTGCGGACGTCAATGCATGGTACGTGTAGGTCGCCAGCGAGATGCTTCTGCCATCGAGCGGTTTACCCACCCTTGAGCACAGCGACCCACTCTGCTGTCCACCGCAGACACCGATGACTGTAACGTAGTTAGGACGCATCATAGACTATACAACTATTTATTGTCGACAGGGACGATGAACAGCCTGTGTCTTCGATTTTTTTCGGTCCCTCGACTCGTACGTCCGCGCACCTCCATGGCTGTTGTAGCAGTAGTTATGAGAAAGTACTTGACTTGACATCATGCAGCCATCTGTGGTTCGTATTCGACGCCAACATGGCAATGCGTAGATATATGTGTATGACATTATACGCAGCAAGTCGAAAACCTAGATCCCTCACACTATCCAGAACTATACCATCATCTGCTATCATGTCGTGCCCGAGCTGTACTGTAATAAGTATCAACAGACCAAAAGAGTGTGTCGTACATGTGTAGTATTCAGTTCGTATATACATCGTTATAACATACGGTACGTGCAGGAGAGCGAAATCAGCGCGTTGAGTTGGGATTGTCCGGGCGGGTGGTTGCGTGTAAGAGGGCGCGTAGTGGTCGACGCAGCAGCACGGAGGTCATCGTGCGAGGCAGGGATCAGAGAGACGAGGGTCAGATACAAGCAGTAGTATTATTTGCGGGCTGCTCGCCGTATAAGAGACGCGAGGAGGATTGTGCCGATTGCGGCAGCTCCGCCCGCCAGTGCCATACCGATGTATCCTTCTGAAGTGCGGTACAAGGACAAGGTGCATGTGACGGTTGGGTAGGTCGCAGTGAACGGGAGAAGAAAGGAAGAAGTCAGTGTCGCGCAGTCGCCCTTTGGATTTACAGTGAAGAGGACGAACCTTTGGTGACCCGCTGGTCAATCAGACTGGCAAGGCTCTGTGCTTGCATGTTCGAGGGTTCCTTATCCATTAAGAGGGCTACGATCGACGCGTGCCGGCAAACAAAGCATTCCAGTATCAGCGGCTGACAGGGAGCAGAGCTCAGTGACGCACAGTTAAATCTCCTTGCCTCCTCATAGTTCCCCATCTTGTAGTAGCCGAGTGCTAGGTAGTATAGGCATTCCCTTCGCCTTGTTGGCTCCGCACGGTAGATCTCTGCAGGGCAGCAGGACCAGGCGTCAGTCGGCGAGAACGCAACCCAAGTAGCCGGGACTCACCTTGCAGTAGCCTCACACCCTCAACCTGATTTTCCTGTAATGGACTCTTCACAAGTCCCCATGCATAGTTGAACTTCGTCTGTATCGTGACATGGGACTGCGAGAGTTCCTTCTGGTACTGCAGGCGTAGCACCTATGAGACAGCCTTCAGCACAAACAAGTGTCGATCCAATGTCTGCTACGCACCTCCAGTTCGTCGTACGACAACGAGACCTCTGCATCCGCAGCATATGGGAGTTCTGTGGGCATGATGATGAGTGTCTAGAGCAAGGTCGTTGTCGGATAGCCTGCGCAACGCGGGCACTGACGACTCCGAGCAAGTCGGTGCCGCGGCCGACCTTGATGTGCCGTATAGGGATGCGTGTCACGTGGGTGCGCCTCAATCCCGCGGGCGGGTCAGACTTCGGCTCCCACTATGCTGCTTCTCCCATAACACCATCGACAACACAATGGCCAGGGCCACTTCAACAAGCGACAAAACGGAGCCAGAGCCTCTGCCACACCCTCAGGAGAACGCCAAGCCTGATGACTATAGGGAAAGGCTGCAGGTAATAGTACTGAAGGACAGCTAGCTGACCGGGACATTAGCTGACAGGACATGCACCTCAGGGTCGAATAACCACGAAGTTTGTCGAGTGCGCATGTTGACGTTGTTCTATCCCGACCTTTCGTTGACACACGGCCTCCTTCAGCCCATGCGACCGCGCAGCCAAGGCGTCGATGGACTGCCTCAACCGGAATGAATTCGACCGTGAACAATGCCTTGACTTCTTCCAGGCTTATCGAGACTGCAAGAAAGACTGGGTGCGCAGTCTCTGAAACATTGCAGCCATATGGTCTGACGGCCTTGCTACCTTGCCTTGCTAGCTCGACCAGCGCAAGGCTGACCGACGTGCAGGTCGGGAATGATACTTTCGCCCGACTCACCGGCAACGGCGGTGTACATACCATGTCCTTTCACGTTTGAGGAACCGTATAACACGGCAGGCCGCCTTGAGTCTCGAATTCGTATTCGGAAGCATTCGCAGTGCTCATGTACAGCGCCACAAAAGTACACGAGGTGGAACACCTACGGAATGCTAGCAGGGTCGAAAATATATACATATATGGTCGTACCCGCGAACCTGTGCACAGACACCAGCCAGAGGAACATCGGAGCGCGCCGTCATCACGTTCAGGACAAGGTCGATCACGACACAGAGGCAGCAGATAAATACAGCGAAGACGAGTACGTTCAAGAAAGCCCGCAGCCCTAGTACATTGGGGCCCGGATTACTTGCTCAGTCCTGCGGCAACGGAGGCGGGGCGTCTGGCTGAGGAGCAAAGATGATGTTCAGCGGGGGCGTCGTCTGGCTGTCATCCGAGAGCAGCGTCGCGATGATACTGCGGCCCGCGAAGCTCCGCCCCGCGAGCGACTTCAGTGCCTGCCCCGCGCTGTGCGACTGCACATACTTGACGTACACGCGGCCGACACCCGAAGCCTCGTCCATACGCTGCGCGGCGATCGCGCTCTCGCGCCCGCCGTCGCCCCAGCCGGCCTTGTCGCGCTTGACAGGGCGCGGTATCCGAAGGTCGTCTACCGCGCCGAACTTGGCGCACTCCTCCTTGATGTCCTCGTACAGGTCCGCGTATTCCTGGTCGTCGGTGAGCTCCTCGGGCACGACCATGTTCAGCATGAGCAGGATGCGCGCGTCCGAACCGTCCGTGTCGCCGGCAGGGAGGATGGGCCGCGGGATCTCGACCTGGTCGTACATGCCTGGGATGGGGGATTGGCCGGGCTTTGCACCCACGGAGGCGCGTTGGACGACGAGGTACTTGTCGCCGAGCTCCATGCCACCGAGGGATTGAATTGCGACATCTGTAACATCTTCATCCACATACTCGAAGAAGGCGAAACCCTACGGAAGACGCGGTCAGTTTGACAAAGGGAGTTTAGTACAGGTACGAGACATACCTTGGACGGTCCGTTGCCGTTTTCACGCACCAAGTTGAATGCCTTGAGCTCGCCGAAACTCTTGAGTAACTCCATGACCTGTTCTTCATTAAGATAGGTTGGCAGGCCGCCAACAAAGATCTTGTTGGCAGAATCGGGGACGTTAGTGGAGACAACGCCAGGAACATGCATGTTGGGGCCCATTCCGTCAGGGCCGCCATAATCCTTAGGACGACGGATTTTGAGAGGTCCGTTGATGAAGATAATTCCATCAAAGGCCATCGCTGCTGTTGCATCCTCAGCGCTACGGAACTGGTACATTTCCGTCAGCGAAGCCAAAATAAGGCGCGTGCAGACTCACTTCAACAAACGCGTAGTTCTTCTCGTAATTGCACTGCACAGCTAGAACGGGGTTTCCTGGTCCCCCAGTACCGATGTCCATCTCCTTCATCTTCGAGTTGAAGAAGTCTGCTAGATTTTGTTCGTTGATCTCCGGAGTGATGCTGCCAATGTACAATCTGCGCGACTGTCTGGAGAGGTTAGGGTTACTGCCGATGCCCATTCCGAATGTTTGCACGGGCATGGGTGGCGGCAGACCTGGAATGGCAAGGATAGGTGGGATTTGGGTACGATTAGCGCCAGGCAGGTTGAAAAGACCTGGGCACAATGCCATCAGCGTAAAGTACAACAGCTAGGGTAATACAGACATACCGGTTTGCTTAGCCTGCATTGCCGTGTATTGCTCATAACCCGGCGCATGGACGTCCCAGCCGCTAGCCTTTCTTTTCCTTTGTGACATAGGAACGGCGTCGGCAGGGGTAGGGGACCTCCTCTCAGGCGTACCTAGGCCATCACGTTGCTTTCCCCGTCCCCTGCGCTCACCTCCGTCGTCATCTCGCCTCCCGCGGTACCCTCCAGGAGGTGGCACTCCATGGTCATCATGACGGTGACGGCGGTCATCGTCATGGCGCGGGCGGCGTTGACCATCCTCGAGGTCGCGCCCGCCCCGTCCTCCGTAGCGTTCCCGGTCCCTGTCACGGTCGCGCTCTCTGTCCTTGTCCCTGTGATCGCCGTGACGCCTGGATTCGTAACGTTCCCTGTCGCGCTCTCTATCGCGGTCATCGCGGTGACGATGCTCGCGGCCGCGATCGCCGTGTCGTGAAAAGTGGTAGCGGTCGCCGTGGCGGTCTGTAAAAGGGTGGAGGGAAAAAGATGTGGTGAGTACACTGTACGCATGAGCATTCGAGGCCTGTCAGCAGGGAGCCCGTTACGAGACGCGAACGGCGGCGGCGATGACCCAATCCGATGCTAGCTAGCTAGAAAAAAAGAGATGTTCATGATGCGTGGGGATGTGCACCATGAGCCCATGGTCTGCGGTCTGGAGAAAGGCAGGGTGAGGTGGCTAGACGGCAGTCACCTGTGAGATCCTTGGACCTGGCTGTCCGTCCCTGCCTCCGAAACACAACGTGAAAGAAGTATAGAAGCGTCCGAGACCCAGTGCTCACCATTTTCCTCTGCCGCGCTGGCCATTTCTGCGTTTGCCTGCTCGTCTGGTGGGAGGCGGGTGAGAGACGCTGCAGGCAAAGAACGACCTCGGACGCAATGTGGCCGACTTTGCGGATTTGCACGATAACCCTATTCTGGGCATGTTGTGCAGAATTGACTGTGACACGGGTCACGTGGATGTATATTTGTGGCAAGGCACGACGCGACGCGCCGTCTGCGATGCCGGCCAGACGCGCATATGCATCTGAGTCCAACTCCGAAGGTTGGTCGCACTCACCCTGCCGCGAGTACGTGAGCCCCCCGCTGACGCAGGGGCCCGGCGGTGCCAAAATGGCGCAAACAATTGTCCGTACGCCCACACCGTCCCACCCCGGCCGTGTTACGCGTACGGCGGGCACATCGCTTTGGCCGACGCACACCTTCGGCAACAAAAGAACTGCACAGCATCCCGCCCGGTATAAGACTGGTGCACTGGCGGCGCCATACTGGACCCATCGAGCAATACCGAGTACCGTCAGACCACACCTACTCTCACAACACCAACCTACTACTACTACTCGCCCATACATGATGCAGAATCCCTGGGCCGGACATCCCTATCCCGCCGAGTACTGGCGCGGCTTCCGCCGCCACCGCCGCGCACCGCGCCTGCTCTGGTTCCTCATCGGTGCGGGAACCGCGACGTTCTGGATCAAGTCGCACCAGGCGCACGAGTGGAAGGCGCGCCACTGCTGGCGCGACCGCATCCCCCAGGACGCATACCCCGTTCCCTCGGGCTCCGGCGCACAGGCGTACGCCACAGGCAACACCCCCGGCGCGGAAGAGCAGAAGAGGGAGTGCGGCAGGCGCTGGGGATGGAGCTGGAGCTCGAAGGACGGACACAGGCCCTCGCAGTCGCCTTCGTCCGTACAAGAGACCCCAGCCGCTACTGTCCCAGGACAAGCGCAGGCCCAGGCTCCGCATGTCCTGCCAGCGCCGATGCCGACTGACCGCTGGGACGAAGAGCGTCACCGTGTGCAGGCACTCGGAAAGCAAGCCACCGATACTGTGAGTTTCTTGGGCTTGTCATCGGTCGAGAACCACGCTCATCTGCTTCCACAGATCTCCGAGTTGTCAGAGGCAACCCTCGACTCTGTTCTCGCGACCGTGCAAAGCCTGAAAGTCGTAAGTGTCACTGCCGTATGCCTTCCAATCGCTGAACTCAACGTTGTCGGCCCAGAAACTGGCCGAGGCCCGCACCCAGCGCGAACAGCACCTGCAGCAGATGCAAACGCTCAAGGACGAGCAGTACAAGATGTTCGAGGAGTGGCGGAAGCAGCACGAAAAGCTGCAGCAGGAACAGCAGCAGCAGCCGGCCCCGAAGCCGCGCTACCCCGTCGATTTCACTTCTGCATGAAGTGATGGCCTCGGGGATCGCCATATTCAGCATCTACGAGAAAGTGACTACTGATTATTACTACTTACCATCGCACCGGTCCCACTCCTTTACTATGTATTGACCTCTCCTCGTGCTTTCTTGGATCCTTGTATACTATCTTGGTTGCTCACGGACCTGTACGCTCCCTTACATTTCGTACTCCATCACCCTTCACCTTGTACGACCGCACAGACAATCAGTCAGCTCACTCACGCGGAACCCTGCACCAACAGCTGAGCATTTCAAGCAAACATTCCAGACCTAGATTAGCGCTACATGAAGATCGAGCTCGTACACCACTCGAGACCGGATCGTGACAACTCTACTGTAATCTTACACTTGTCCTGCGACGATGTTGATCGTGTCGTGCTGCCGCTCCACGTACGCAGGTATGCGGGGCTCAATCTTGCCTTGCGCCTCGGCTACAGGCGTCACATTAGTCTCTTCACAAAGATGCATGATGAGAACGTACGCGGAGCACTCCAGAAGTAGATGATGAGCCCGAGGACGACGACCGCAAAGGCGGGGAAGTACAACCAAAACGGCTTGTAGTGCTACGTGGATCCCATCAGCGATGAGCGACCCAGGGCATGCGCAGAGCCAACGTACGAAGAGGAACAGCCCGAAGAGTAGCCCATAAAAGTCGCTCGAGAGGATGCTCAGGTTGTAATACGCAGAGGAGGCCATGCGGTACAGCATCGGGGCGACAGTGTAGAGGATGAACATCGACGCGGTGTACGCGACGAGGAGACCGACTGGCAGACGCAATCAATGACCCAGCCTGCGAGCAAAGCTTGACGAGGACTCACTGTTCATGCCGCTCCAGGTTGCCTCCCGCATGGCCTGGTGCTCAAGTCCGGCAGCTTGGATCGCGTTGATGATCATGCCCCACATTCCGAGCTGGCCGACGACCTCGTACAGAGGCGACCGGCGCACGAAGAACTCCTCCGTCGCGTTCGCTACAGCACATCTCGTCAGACCCATCCGCACAAACTACCAGCCGAGCACGTACTAAAGCCATACAAAGTCGCACCAATGACCATGAACGCGTCACCCAAGCCGCGGTTCGCCGCCGGCCAGTCCTTGTCCGTGAGCTCGTCCGACGCGACGAGCATGCCCAAGCCGCCGATACAGACGAGCACGCCAACGAGCTGAGAGGGCCGGTACCGCGTGCGCGTGTAGACCCAGGAGAAGAAAAGGCAGGACGGGATCGCCCAGGCGTCGAGCAGCTCGCAGGAGAGGAGGTCGTGTAGTTGTATGCCTTGACCGCGAGGAAGTTGCCCTCGACGTCGCACGCGGCCAGAATAATGTCTAGGAGGTGCGTGTGAGATATGAAGTGAGCGTAGGGGATGCAGACGTACACTTCCAGCCGTCTCGGAAGATCATCTGCAGCCAACCCTTGAATCCGTACTGGTAGATCGTGTAGGGCGTGTATACCACGAACAGCGAGAAGTATCTGTTAAGACGTCGGTAATTTTGTCCAGAGTATCGTATTTCAGCTAGGTCCACATCATTGGGCCCCGCACAAAAAGTGCGTATAGGAGTGGAAGTCGTCGGACATTGATATTCGGTAATCCGGACACTGTGCCACTCAACGTGGGTCGCCTTGCCAAGGTCGCGACAGCCTCGCTCAGCCTGGCCGTCGACTAACATTGCGCCCGGTGTGACCCCACATCGAACCCACTGGACTCCGCCTACTATGTGCGTTCGGAAGGCGCGGGAACCGACGATACAGACTTAGCTGTTACGAGACACTCACAGGAACCATGTCTGCGTCGTCGGCAATGACCAGTTGCGGTCCACCAGCTCCGTGGTCGTCACATTCGTACAGGTTATGCAGAGCGATACCAGCTGTCCCGCAAGCAGAGACAGAATGAACCGCTTCGTCCAAATACTGCAGAAGCGGCGCCAAGCACTCGAGAAGAACGCGCTAGACGAGCTGTAGTCCAGCGGTGGACGAGCCTCCACCAAGAGGTCTTGCGAGTTGAGCGTGGGCGGGCCCGGGGAGACATACAGATCGTCATCGCCGTAGTCCTTCTTGGTGTCTCCTCGGGAGAGTTGGGGACCGAGTGCGTCCGCGGAAGACATCGTGCAGCGTCGTCCAGGTCGATCTCGACGGCGCAGAGCGCGAGGAGGGCGGGCTAGGGAGAAGGGCGGCGCGGGCGCATGGGGAACAGCGACCCAGGCTAAGTATGGGGAAAACTTCTTATCAATTGCCTTTCCGAGCGGTGAGTGTATGTAAATGTGATCGGAAATTCGTCCAGGCACGGTGGCGGACGATGCGCCACGGTCCACCGCCACCCCCGCCACTGGCACGTCTCCGGGGCTTACCTGACCTATCACGCCGCGTGCGTGCCTTTATTCACAGTTCCGGCTAGCTCGAAGACTGAAATAGGATTCATAGTACGGGAAGGCGTCCAGTTATACTCACTCACAAGTACCAGCGGAGCGGCCCGGCAGGACTCGTCCTTGCGCTAGAGCCTAGTGGCGGAAGCAAATTCGAAAGGGGCGCAACGGGTACTAGGCCGCCCAGTAACGGCATCAAACCAGGGGATGCTCCTCGGAAAGAGGCGCGAAATGATATGAGGACGAACTGGTGGAATACGCGCGAGTGAAGTGCCAACGTGAATATCTGAACAAGTAATCTCGACCAGCGTCGGTACTAGTATGTATCGTTCATTCGAGCGCGTTTGCTGGGTCCAGGTGAGTGCTTCAGTGCCAACTTTGCTCGTCAGAAGCAGTCACCGCTATAGCGACGACAGTTGCCAGGGAATAAGACGGTCACCCGTGCAGTTCAGCTGTGGGATACTCCTATGTAGAATATAGAAAAGGTACGCCGTCGATGGTGAATGTGTACCAAGTAGTACATCTCCTACCAGGAATTTCACGGCGAGTTCTTGCCCATAGACGCGTCTGACCCCACCCGGTGACAAAGTATCGTGACCGATGGACACGACAACATAGCAAGAATCGCTGTGTTTATGCCGCATAAGTATTCGGTGGCCTCAGTCGGTCCTAGGCGGCAAGAACAACTGCAAGGTCAACCATGTGCATGCGCTCTAAAGTTTACAAAGAACGGGGACTAAGGGAAAGATATACGCACCAGGCGTTTACAATTCCCCCTTCGCTATCCGACACCTAACAAGCCATGTATGGGAAAAGGCATAAAGCGCAGAGGTACATCTCGGGCCCAACCCCGAAAAGGGATGACAGAGTGGTGGCAATGATGACACGAAGACATACTAATAGCAATACATGAACAGCCCGATAACTTGCTATATCCTCACAGTAACCGCAGGTCCTCTCAGGTGACCGCCTCCGCCTCTGCGCTCTTCTTCCTATGCACGTTTTGGTGTCTCGCCAGTTGATCAGGCCGTGCAAACGACTTGTTGCACCCGGGCTCTGTACACGAGTACGGCCGCGCGCCTGTATGTGTCCGCAACTACGCGAGGCATCATCGAACCGTTAGTCAATCAAAAGAGAAATGTCAAGGGTGACCTTACGTGCTTGGAGAGGTTCGATGACTCCGCGAACGCTCTGTCGCAATATGTGCACTTGAACGGCTTGTGGCCGTTGTGCGTGCGCTTGTGGATGGTGAGCGCACCCGTGATGGCGAACGACTTGCCGCAACCGGGAAAATCGCAGACGTATGGCTCTGTAAATGGTCGTGAGTATCTAGGTATGCATATGAGGTTCGCAGGAGGGAGATTCACTTTCTTGCGTATGCCGCCGCTTGTGCTGCGCGAGGGTTGCGGCCTCCGAGAAGTACTGCCCACAGATCTCGCACTGGAACGGTCGATGGCCCGTATGACTCTGCGTGTCAAACCACCAGTCAGTAGGTTTCCAGGGAAAAGCGAATGGCGCTCTTACCTGCAAGTGCCGCAATATCTTCTGCTTGCTCGAAAACCCTTTTCGCCATAGCGGGTACAGCCTTCCCACCTACACTCATAATGCGCCTTGCCAGCACCGACGTGTTCTGCCGTTATATGGGACGTGAGCTCGTCGCAGGATGGGAAGGTGCACGTGCACCCCTCCCAACGGCAAACATGTACAGGAGAAGCAGAGCAGTCGTGCTCGGGCAGCGGCGTCGGCGGGGAGTACAGGCCAGTGGACCCATCAGGGGGTGAGACACTCGATGCGGCCGAGACGGGCGCTTGTATGTGGTTCTGTCCAGGCGCCTGCTCTCCCTTCGGCGAACGCAGAGGCAGACCCAGGTGGTCCTCCAGCAGGTGGCTCGCGAGGACACCCAGAGCGCTGTCGAATGGGTTCCCGGTCGATGGGCCCGGGATGGACTGCGGAGACGGGTATAAGTGACAATCGGCCCACATGCACGAGAGCCCATCAACGGAAATCCCGTTGCCGTGAGAGACGGCCTGGTGTCCAGGCTGCATCTGCAGCGGCGGAAGAGACGACATCGATGTGGGAGTGGCCGAAACGAGGCGGAGATGCTGGAGGTTGACGTGCCCGACGAGCTCTGCGAGGGATGCGAACGACGCGAAGCACCCGCCCCATTGGCATTTGTGCGCCAGTGCTTGAGGCTGTAGGGACTGCGTAGATTGCGGGGTGTTGTAATACTGAGGGACGTTGCCGGGCATCTGGGGCATCTGAGCATTGATGTGAGAGTGCATCGTGGTCGATTGGAGTAGCTGCCCAGCCTGAGAGTTGAAAGCGACGGGACTCGGGGTTAGCTGCGGCGTGGATGCAGTAGATGTTGCAGCACTGAGGTTGGCATAGCCACCTGGCATGCCTGCCATTTGCTGAGCATCGGAGCATCCACATAGGAAGGCGGCCATGGAAGGATCCCAGACTATGTCGGGGTGACCGGCCGCCATGTCGGATGCGAACGCTTTTGGGTCAGGCATGTAGCCGTAGTAGTCTGGACAACATTGAAACTAGCGGAGCCGCGTCAGACACGATATTGCAGCCAGCCAACGATTCTAGACGTACAAATTCTTCCAATGCGGTGCAGTCGGGGCCGCTCTCGCAGGTCATGTTACATGGCTCACATTGGTCAGGAAACACGGCCGTATCGCACGGTATCGTCGCATGATGCGCGTCACTGCATGCTACGACGACGCACTGTTCGGTGCACTCGGAGCCGAGCTCGACGTTGCACGGAGGGGTCCCGCAGTCGTGAGCGCAGGCTTCACAATCGAGCGACGGGGCGTTCACTTCCGGTGGGCAAGAACAGTCCCGCTCGCCGTTCGCGTATATTCTTGTTTTGCCATCGTCCTGAGCTGCGAGCAGTGCTGGAGCGTGGCGAGGGCGGTGGGAAAGCTGGCTGCTTGCTGGGAACTGCGCGCAGAAAAGGCTCGGGCGGATGAGAGGGATGAGGAGCAAGAGGGATGAACCCGGAGGAGGTGGCCGGGCGATAGCGGCGGTGATGAGGCAGGATTGGCGGCCATGGTCGTCTTTGCAGAGCTGAGGACCCGGCCAGTCATCCTGCCACACCGTGCCTTATGTCAGCAAGTTACTGTCCCTTTTTGGCAATTCTCCTCTTCTGCCCAATCAGCACGCTCCATTCCGCCCCGCCACAACGTGGCTCTGAGTCGTCTGTAGACTTTATTCTTTTCATCCATTCTGGTGCCATAGATCTCATATTAATACACACGGCCAATTGCGCAAACCGTCTGTCTGCCAAATCTAGGTACCTAGCTGCAGCGTACTCAGAAAGGCAGGGCGGCCACGAGCTCTCGATCTCGCTGTCTGTACAACGTTCAGCAGGCATGATGAGTCGAGGTCTTACTGAGTCGTGTAATCAATTGATAATACAACCAACACGATACAGTGCCAAACCATTCTGTGACGCATTGCCAGAGCAAGGCACATACACTCCTGTGTATATACACCAGCAAATAGCCACTGGCAGTTGACAGACAGTCACATTGAGGTCGCGAATCCCAACAACAGACCGTGACATTGAATACACCGGAGATAGTACAAGAGTCTAACTCTGGGTTGGTATCAGAAGTACAAACAACAGCCGCTTGAGCACTTCATCGCGGCATGGTTTATGCTACGATTATCTAAGTCGTCGTCCATCCAGTAGTAAGTTGACAGTTGAATCAGTAAGTAGCACACGACACCTTTCCGAGAAAACGAGTCAACCACATTCCAGTCGCTATAGTCGTCGCCACGGTGCCGTATTTTGGAGACAGGCCGGACATAATGCGTAATGTATCGGCGCCGTGGTTGAGACATGAAATGGGTCGGCGACGGCGAAGCCACCTGAGCATCCGGGAGTATGGAGACAAGCGGTACATATGATGACACCTGCCAGCACGCCGGCATGTACATCATCTCTAGTCGCGGGCGATGGACCACCGGAGCGACGCTGCGAGACTCATCGTATCAAACCAGGCTTGAGTGCGAGAATTACCGGAGAGAAGAGCTCAGCCGGGTCGGAGGGGTGGCGCTTAACCTCGAAGTCGACCGCCGTGAGCGCTGGTATCATGGCGAAGATTCGTTCCCAATCCGCGGAATGTGTCAGCTTGGATCGCGGAAGCGCGGTGACGGTGAGATGCTCGAGCGCGGACAAGCGCAACACCTCAAATCGCATGGAAGGCTGCCCGTGGATGCCATCTTCCTCGTCTGCCATGAGCCATTCGAACTCGGCCACGACGCGACGGTCTGGAGACCTGATCGAAAACTTGAAGCTTGCGTATCCCGGGACCTCTGCGAATTCGAGGATAGCGTGTTTGAGCGTCGATGTGATCGCCTGGAACGATTTGCAATGCGGTACGTGGTCTGCCGTGGAAGACGCATGAAGCATCCGTAGGACCACCGTGGTCGTAGTCGGGAAAGAAATGTGCGCGAGGGTGTGCAACACCTCATCTTGTTCGCCGTCTAGAAGCAGCTGCTTGAGACATGGCAAGTTGATCGGCTCCGTCGGATACCGCAGGTCTTCGTCCCAGCAGTGTTCGGCAAATCCAAGTTGAAGCACCTGAAGTCCAGGGCACCGCCGTAGAGTGGATAACACCCTCGTCACGGTGATGTAGTCCTGATCTTGCTGGCTCAATTTCTTCAATCCAAAGAAGGGGTCCAGGGATACAGGCGCACTGACGATGGTGGCTCGGCATATGTCAGGCATGTGGCCACCAAAGAGTGTCAGTGCACGGGCAGCCATATTCCCTTGTGACGCGTTTTGTACGTGTGCCTCGATATGCAACGCACGGAGGATAGGCGCGCCGCCGGAGAACTCTTTCGCGATGCGTTCCGTAGAGTCGAGGTCAAAGCCCGTGAGAGCGAACCATTTGACCCGCTTCGTATGGGCTGACATTGCGCTCGCAGCCAGCAGGATGTTTTCTGAGAAATCTGCGGATGACGATGGTCCTAGGATCTGGACCTCGAGTGGACGGGTCTTTGAGCGCTTCAGTCTCTCTTGCACCATAAAAGGAGAGCAGCGCTCTGTAGCAATGATGCGGCACCACAGTCGGGAGGTCGATAAGGCCAAAGTCCTCCAGTCCCGACAAACGTGCGCCACAATGTCGCTCGCTACGACAGGTATACGTTCCCTTTTGACAATCACCTCGGAGAGGGTGATAAAAATCTCCAAGAGAAGCTCCATGGGAAGCTTTGATATGGCTGGCCGGGTCCTAGTGGCCGCTACTGGATAGCTGAACGGCAGCGTAGACTTGCCAGGCATGACTCTGTCGACTGGTACTAGCCTTTACTACGTCAGCTCATGACCATCGCCGACTAGCGACAGAGTTTCCTGCTCACTCTATTTCACAATGGGGATCAAAGACCGAGATAGCGCTTGAGGTTTTGCAGATAAGTAGCCGCTGTATAATGGAGTAAGGGAGAGAGAAGGTTGGAAGACAATTACAAGAAGTTGTGGCCACCGGGATCCGCCACTGTGGCTGACGAGCGCCGAGCCGCAACGTCGTCACGTGATCGATCGACCAAAGCGATCGTGGTCCAGTGTGTAGACTCGGATATCATGACTGTACATAGTATGTATACGTACTGACAGTAGCAGTCGCACAGACAAGGCTATATGCCAATCGATCCTCTCCAATATTGCATCCGAGGAGTCCTAGTCTCCAGTCCAACCCAGTCTTCGTAGGTCCTTCCTACACTCTTCGGTCTCGCGCTTCACGCGGGCCATATCCTCGACAGCCTGCGCGAAATTGCCGTCCTTACCGCCTACCAGGCTGAGCATTCCATCATACGCGGAAATTTGCCCATCCAGCTCGCGCTCTTCTTCCTCCTGAGCCCGCGCCTTCGCGCGCAGTTTCTCCATTGCCGTAGCAAGGGCGCGGTTCATGTTTGAGTCGGGGCGGTTCGGAGACGAGTGGCCGTACAAGGCGATGTGCATACGAGTGCGCATGAGCGAGAGCTTCATGAGAGATGCCTCTATTGTGGTGCTCAGGAGGTCAGCTTCTGCTGTGCGCGCAGCGTTTGAGATCGATGGGAGGGTTGAAAGCGCGCCGACGAGATCATCCTCGAGCCTTGGATGAATCTGCAAGCGCGCGCGTGTCAGACGAAGTGCGTTCGGAGCGACGACTCGGAGGCCAACGTACTTGGTTAATCTCATCGACTAGCATTGATATTCTGTCCCGGCACGTTTCGGAGAGCTTGCGCTCGCGCTCGATACTGTCACGCTGAGACCAAATGCGATCCGCAAGTGACGATGCAGCTTCAATGCTCTCGGCACCTATGGCAGTGGTCAGTGCCGTCAGTTGGAGATATTTCATGAGGGGTAGCCTACCGGTCTCTGCGTCCTCATAATAGGCTGTGATTGAAAGTAACGAGTTTTTCAGTTGGTGAGCGAGTTGCTTCTGGCACTGGGGTGCTAACTAACAAGCGTCAGTCGTCTCAAACACTCAGTTCAGTGAAACGCTTACGTGGAGCGATGGCGCGCCGAACCTTCTTACATCTATATCAGACAGCCCTCCTGGGAGCGCTGTGCATGTGTCAGTGGGAGATACTGCGTCCAACGGTGACGCCCACCCTCCAGTGCCTCCGCTTGCAGGTCGCTGCTCTCACTGGCACCGATGTCAGGGGCAGGTACAGGTATAGCAGAGGCGTATGTGAGACCGTCGATCAGTCTCTGACGTTCGCCGTGAGGGAGCTGCCTAGAAGTTTCATGCAGATGATCGTTCAAGATCGTCGCGCGGACATAAGTTCTCCTGGCTGGCACGGCAGAGGGGTTTTGAGGGGACGCGTCGTCATGCTGCGCCGGGTAATTGACACGCTCCATAGCTACCAGGAGTCAAAAATCAACAAATGTCACAACATGTTTACGAAGTCTGAAGCCCACTTACTAGGTTTAATTGGTCAAAGCAAGGTCGAAGGATCGCGGCTGGTAACAAGTCGGGAACAGAACGCGTTACGTCACGCGTTCAGTGACACTGAGTCTGCCGGCCCGTCTTGCAGATCCACAACGGGAGACTACTTATAATACAACGTCGAGTCGCCCACCCGACTCGACAACGCAATGTTCCCTACCCACATCGTCTGTTGGCAGCAGATATGCTCGCCTTCAAGAAATCCACCAGCATCGTTCCTCGCCGTTATCGTCGACCCGTTCGTCATCACTTGCCGTCCTTGGCTCCAACCTTCGAACGTGTTTTTACGTGTCCGTCAGGCGAAGCAACAACATATTCGCTGACCCATGTATAGCATTACAATGGCGAAGCAGCAGCGTCCAAGACGCGTGATCTCGTAGGGTGGTTCTCTCCAGTGGACGCCCTTATACGGCCACCCTCCCCCCACTCAACAAGGTCGCATTCAGGGTCTGCCTAGAGGGGACTAAGTGGCCGCACGGGACTCGGGATGTGAGATGCTATCGGTTCATAGACTGAGTGAGTACGTGGTTTGCTCAGAACGATTGTTAATAAGGAAGCTTGTCAATGCATAGCGTCCGCCCCACCTCTTCCATGATATCCGATTTAAAACATGCCCACTGGTGGGCATTGGTGCTGCCCTCGCTTGAGCTTATGCGTATTGCCCACGTAGACTGTGACCGTCTCAACAATCCCGTCCCCGCCACTTCTCGTCCGAATTGCTTCCCTGGCCTCTCCTTCTGCCACTCAAAGTATGTCCGAGGACATGGGTTTCAGCGTCGTTACAAGCTTGTAGAGTGGCAAATTGCAAATTGGGCAAAGGGCATCTTACACTACTTCTGGCTGTGAGGGGCCGACATACGACGACGAGGTACGGATTTTCTCTCGAAGCCTCCAGATGACACTACTTAACGAATGCTACAGTCTACTGCGACGACCGTGGTGGGAGGAGCCCCTCACTCCGTTACGGAAGACGTGTCGTGTGCCAAGCGTTTGTTTGTGCGACGAAATACGAGAACTCAGTCTGGAATTCAAAGCAAAGACGACCGCAGCCAACACGAGACTACAGCTTTCACACATAGAATCAACGCCCAACTTCCAACGCCAACCAGGATCCCTGTGACAGCACGCGGTAACGTCGCTGATAAAGTACGACGGTCTGATGACTGCATTTCTATCACCTAGACCATGACGGGCGGGCGTCGAATCTGTTCACCGGCCGGCGGCAACAACCCATCGCAAGGCTCTGGTCCATCATAGGAAATGCTACTATTACTCCACCATTCGAGCCTAGCCTTCTCCCACGGGAGATTTTTGACTCTGAATGTTTTGCTCATGCGGCCCGTTCGGGAAGCTGCCGTACCTCGGGACGGCGGTACAATTCCCGTCCTATCCGACCTGTCCGGATTGTATCCTCCGTGCCGCTGGGAATGGGCGTCAACCGTACCCATCCACTCTGTTCCGGTCATGTCAGTGTCACGGTATGGATCAACTCTGACACCGCAGAGGCGCCTGATCTTGTTGCTTGCACATATGAAGGAGCAGCTGAATGTTCGGAGTCAACGGGATACTGGGAGCGAGACGTTGAGAGTTTCATGTCGCGCCCTAGTAAGTATACTCAGCCTAGGCCACAAGGTGATCATGATCACGAGTATCATGCAATAGAAGCTGTCTATATGCAAGTACCACGCTCTGTATACCGTGTAAGTGGCCTGCCTCACCCAATCTTCGCATTTGATCTGCATCGTCAACATCTACTCCGTCCAACCAACGCGGCGATTGGAGACATCGCCTCGGAAAGTCCAGAGGCAGAATACTCCATCCCCGCAGTCCCGAGGCAGGCATCGCACATTCATCATAGGACCGCAATTTGATTCGGAAATGGGACGCGTTCAGGCCCGGCTGTGTTCTGCTTCGCTAGCGCTGTCGAAAGTGCACAGTGCCTGCGCGCAGTTGCGATCCTCATAAAGCCCGCGTCCATTCCCAGATCCCACACCGTTGAGCCATGATCGACATCCACATTCCCTATCACCCGGGCCCGGGGCTGTTTTCCCCTGTATACCTGTTATCGGTTTGCTCTGTCCTTGTGGTGTATGCCTTATGGAAGCTGGCCCACATCATCGCCGCTCCCTACAGGTCTAGCCTGCGCTACTTACCTGCGCCGCCATCTTCTAGCTGGTTGTATGGCAATCTCAAGGATATATCGGCCGCTGAAGCGCGCTCACTCCATGAGCGCTGGGTAGAGCAGTACGGAAACACGATCACTTACAAGGGCTTGTTGAATGTGAGCTTCTGTTATCAATATCGCACACATCATAAGCTGATATATTGGCAGGCCAACATCCTGTATACCATCGACACGAGGGCCGTCAATCATATCCTCAGTCATTCAGTTGACTACTGCAAGCCGGCGCCTGTTCGCTTTGCGTTGTCTCAGTTACTCGGGAAAGGTACTTCAGCTCATCTGACATGTTATACCTGAGTACCTCACCGGATGGTCCACAGGTTTGCTGTTTGTCGAAGGTGATGGTCTCTGCTTCCGGGCACCACTGCGCTACTGACGCCACATTCAGGCGACCAGCACCACCAACAGGTAAGATAGTCCTCTCAATCGCGAGTCAAGTCGTACAAGATAATTCATGATCGCGCTGTTCCCTATAGCGTCGCGTCATGGTCCGTGCGCAAGCCTACGTGCCACATAGCTGTGTAGACATTGATTACGCTTCATAGAATCCAGCCTTCGGTCCAGGTCAGATCAGAGAGCTTACGGACATTTTCATTTTGAAGGCCAACAAGGTGAGACAGAGTCGGGATCAGACGTACTGACATGCCTCCGGTAAATTCATGGCTCACTGACTCATGCGTTGCGCAGCTCTCTGAATACTGGAAAGACCTCATCTCCAAGACCGGGGATCCCGCCCGCATCGAGGTTGTAGAGGGTCTGTCAAAGATGACCCTTGATGTGATCGGACTGGCTGGTGACGCCTTCTAAAATTTCCTTCCACTCTTGAGTCCATATTTAACACAATGTTGCAGGCTTCAACTACGAGTTTAACGCCCTGAATGCGGGCGGCAAGAGGAACGAGCTAAATGCCGCATTCAGCGTCATCTTCGGGAAGGCAACGAACGCACCCTCTGTATTTGGGTTCCTTAGATTCTTGATCCCTCCGCTTCGGTGGATTGTGCGTCCTCCGCGCTCGTTACCCCGTCGAATGTATCACTCATCGAAAAATGTAGCCCACTCCTGGTTCAAGGAGAGTGGGGAAGGCCAGGGGGATCATGCACCGCGTCGGCATGCAGCTCATCCGCGAGAAGAGGGCGGAGATCACCGCGGCCAGTCTCGGCGGGAAGGGGGACAGCAAGCAGGCGGAACTGCAGAGCCGCGACTTGTTGACGTTGCTGATCAAGGCCAACGCGGGCTTGGACATTCCAGAGAGCCAGCGGCTATCCGATGGTGACATCTGGCCCGTACGTCCTGCATACTCTCTTGAAATCTCTGCTGACCGTGACGATTCCACATCAGAGGTACCGACGTGAGTTCCTTAATTGACCATTTGCCACAGTCACCTCACAATACATTTAGCTTCCTCGTCGCTGGGCACGAAACCACGAGCAACGCGACGGCCTGGGCGCTCTACGCCCTTGCCACCGCGCCGGAAATACAAGACAAGCTGCGCGAGGAGCTGTACAGCATCCCCACCGAGAACCCGTCCATGGATGAGCTGCAGGAGCTCCCCTACCTCGACGCCATCGTTCGCGAGACGCTGCGTCTCCACGCGCCCGTCTCGAGCACGATCCGCTCAGCGGTCAAGGACGACCTCATCCCACTGAATACCCCGTTCACGGACATGCGCGGGCAGGTGCACGATGTCATCAAGTGCGCCGTCTAATGTTCGAGTCGATTGTATGCTAGTTGCTGATGCGTTCTATGTCAGGATCGACAAGGGTACCACGATCGATATCCCCATTCTACAATTGAATAGGTCCAAGGCCATATGGGGAGAGGATGCGCTCGAGTTCAGGTACGTTTGCCCGCTTGCGAGCCGTGCAATCTACTCATGGACCGCATATAGGCCGGAAAGGTGGGAGACTACGCCTGAGGCGGCGCAGAACGTTCCGGGTGTCTGGAGCAACATGATGACGTTCCTGGGTGGTCCGCGCGCCTGCATTGGCTTCCGCTTTACCCTGGCGAGTAAGTTCGCGTCTTGATTCCGCCACGCTGCCTAACCGAAACCTGTGTGATCTTCGACTAGGATGAAGGCCTTGCTGTTCACGCTCATCCGCACGTTCGAGTTCGAGCTCGCTCTGCCTAAGGAGGAAATAATTCGCCAGCGTGCTGCTGTCCAGCGCCCGATCGCCGCGGCGAGATGGAGAAAGGCAGCCAGCTCCCGATGTTGGTGAAAGTGCATAAGCGTGATTAATAGATTGGGCTCGCCTCGAACATTGTGCTGTGCAAGTACAAGCATGTATTATATCGTCGCTGTCTCAGTTGTACAAGGAATACATCAGCCTCTGCAAGGAATAATGATACACGAGCGACCCAACATCGTCGACCACACATACCGGTCCGTAATCCACACTTGGCCCATACACTCCTAATCCTGAGAACCTGAGGCGTCGACTAAGGACTAGATCCCATAGCCGATCCCGAATAAATCCTGTTTGGGTTCTTCAAATGGATTGGTATCCGCATCATCGTCAACAGTTAACTTCTGTTGAAGAGCTGCAGCGAGGTTGGCGGGGCCTCGCACAGTACCCTTCGTAGATTCGACGAATACAGACAGGCCTCTGGGTTCGGCAGGCGTCATCGTGTTCGTCCTTCGGATCGGAATGAATTTGCCTAAGCCAAAGGCGTTAAGAGTACTATCCCGCACGAAAGTTGAGAACATACGGAGACCCTTCACGAGATCGTATCCCCTTAACCGCTCCTTGTCGCATGCAGGATTCACCGACGAACCCTCGTCAATAGCGACATAGTCAATCCTCTTCGTGCGGAGGTACTGTTCGTCTAGGGTCCACGGTGCATCCGGTACGACCTCGTCTACCCACCGACAGTGTCTCAGCACTTCGCACCTGTCCACATGCGGCCATATGATCGGGGTTTGGTGGGCCTCACACAGGTCGTCTGCCAGCACACCGACCATCAAGTGTACACTGGGAAGGAAAGCTTCGCTTGACGCAGCTGCAGGCATCTCTTCGTCGCAGTAAGGCTCGCACCGATGGCACACAACGGAACGAACGTCGACTCACCTGGCCTGAAGTGGGTCGAATACGCCGTCTACATACACGCGCACCGTGCGTTGCTCGCCGTCCGAGGCGCGCTGGAATGCAGGCACGGTCGCTGGGACGACCTTCTGGACGTACGCTTGGATGTCGTCCGCGGTCAACGCGACGGTGTCGAATCGTTCCTGGGCAGACTGGAGAGGCGGAGGCTCGCGGAAGGTGGCAGCACCGCCAGCCACGTGACCGAGGTCGGCGATGCTGGACTCGAGGGATTGGTGGCCGTCCGAAATGACATCGTAGTCGGAGAGGTCGTCGCTGGAGAACACGGACACGACGTCGAGCGAGCGTCGCATCGCCGGGTACGCTGCTGGAGGTGATGACGGTCGAGGGCAACCTCAGGCTCAGGCTGGGCGGCCACGAGGCGGGGTCAAGAGGCTCGCAAATAGGCGCACACATCCTCGTCTCACCTATCGATCAGACGTCCTCCCCACATCGTTCGAGACAGCAGCTCGCCGAATACAAGCTTATCGCTGAGGTACGTATCTGCGCGGGTGTCGACGTTCTCGTTTACGCTGTCTTGCGCGAGGAACCTCGTCTCATAGCCGTAATCTGGGCCCACAGATTTTACGAGCGTGGACGCACATTGCACCATGTCCGCTCTCCCGCCATTCGAGGAAGTCCTCAGCAGCAAACCGGAACCGGGTAGCCCCCTCGCGCACACGCTCACGACTCTCTTCGAGGCCTCGCCCATCCTTTTCTCTGATCTGCTGCCCGGGGTTGCATCCTATATCACGTCCTCCCCACTCCACCAGCCTCGTATGCCGGCCTCATCGACACAACTTTGCAGGTTGTATCCAAGTGGGATGCAGGCCTGAAGGCAAGCTTCATCGCAGGCCACCCGCGCATTGGTGAAGTCAAGGGCCTGTCGCACCTCAGCTCGCAGGAGCAAGCTGCACGCGCGACGCCTCCTGAGGTCCTCGTGCGCCTCGCTCACCTGAATGCGTGCTACGAGCACCGCTATCCTGGCTTGCGATATATCACATTTGTGAATGGGCGGTCGAGGTCGGCAATCAAGGATGAGATGGAGGGCGTGCTGGGGTTCGAGCCGTCGCTCAGTCCAGACAAGCCCCTCTTGGAAGCGGCGGGCAGCATCGAGGTCGGCAGCGAGGAGTGGATTAGGGAGCTCGAGAGGGCGATCGGTGACCTAGGAAAGATCGCGCAGAGTAGGTTGCAGGCAGTAGGGGCTACGTAGTGTAAGTCCCGTGACTAGACGGCAGGGGTATCACTGACTTGGACCAGTTCTGGTGCAGATCTATAGTCCATTGTAAAACAGAGATGTACAGATATCGCTTGTGGCGGGTATTGTTGACAACATCAGCGTCAGTAAGTCTGATAAATACCAGCATAAGATCTAGGCCCCAGGATAGATGGGTTAGAGGTACACAGGCTCGCTTTGCGATGGACGCATGGGCGGCCTCTCGGTCTTCTTCATTCTCTCCGCTTGCCGCTTCAACAACTCTCAGTGACAAAAATCGCGCGAGCCCAAGGTGACAACTTACGCGGAGCACTTCCTTTCTCCGTGCTTCCCACTCAGGGTTCAGGTTCCTCAACTCCTGCAGCATATCCTCGGCCATGTCAACCGACTCGCCGCGCATGCTCGCCTCCTCCCTCCGCTCGGCCTCCCGCTTCGCGGTGAGTTCCTCCTCCAGCGCGCACACGCGTTCTTGGTACCGCAATTCTGCCTTGGCCATCGTTTCCTGGTAACGCTTCTGGCTCGCGAGAACCTCCTCACGCAAGACGCGCATGCGCTCTTGATGGCGCAGTTCTGCCTGGCGAGCCCACTCAGCGCGCTCTCGCGCGAGCTTCGCCTGCGCAAGCTTGGTCCGCATCTCGCTCATGTCCACGTTGACGTGTCTGCGAAATATTCGAGTCCATTGTCGTAGGCCTGCGTGGGGTCAGCATTGTTAGGTTTCCGGAGGCTATCCCGCGGATTGTGTTAGAAGAAGTAACGTACGCGGCGCTTTGCCGGATCACTGAGTACTTCGAATGCTGTTCGAACCTAGGGGGCACATGGAGTGCATCAGCGAGCATGGCTGCAAGAGATATCCTGGTTACGCACTTCTCTGAAGCGTGCCTTCGCAGCTTCGACCTCGGCTTCGAGCGTGCCTACTGGTAACTTATCTACGAGGACCGTAAACATAACGCTCTTGCCCACTCTCAGTTTGATGCCTCACCTGGATGTGTCTGCAATGCCTGCAGCTTGTATGCCTTGCGTACTTCAAGGCGACATATCAGTTCCCTTCTCGTTATGCCGCAAAAACCTGAACGCACCAGCATCGGCAGAGGCGGTTTGGGTAATCCCCAGAATATCATACAATGAGCGGCTTGTGGCCATGTGGCCTGGTGTGGCGGGACGTATCCAGGATGAGGCGAATGGGCGTGTGAAGAAGGGGTAGCGCAGCGTGAAGGGTGGGAGGTTGAGAGCAGCGAGCCTGCGTCGCGTAGCGATCAGATTCAATGTTCGAATTCACGCGCGATCACGTGCTCGCGACTCATTTGATGCGACGCGACGCGTCCGGACTGCTCCGACTTCACCCGCATGCCCGGCGTGTTCAAGTATCCCAGTATCCCACATTCAATTCACAGCGCAAGGCTCGTGCCGCGTACGAACGAGCGGACTATTGGGAGTCTACTAAAGACTTGGATATAATACGTATGGCAGAAAGCTCTACTAGTACTGACATACTGCCACATCATGGTGATGTTGGCCCGAGTCGTGTTGCCCCGTCATCCAGTCCGAAACTATCTGACTCGAGCTAACTCATGTATGATACCAGACGCACATTCGTGAAGAGCCGTTGATGTAATTCAACTGAGCCGTTCATATGAAGCGCGTACAGGACGGTGGAACTGCCAGTGGCTAGGCTTGAAGGCCAAAACGACGAAAAGGCGTTCCTCCTGGACTCCTACAGATGAAGAAACCGATACGCAAGGCTACTCAACAAAATTTATTCAAAGGACGACGTCTAGGAATTCGGTCTAGCCTTTACCCCGCATTGAACACGGTTCGCAGATCCGGATCGAGATGGACGCAGATCAGATCTGTGGCTGTGGCGAGTTTAGCGCAGAGCCGCTGCATGATCTAGACGGAAGCATCTCCAGCAACGTTCTCCTCCCAATGGTCAGTCGTTCACGGTGATAGACTTGCCTAGTAAAACCCGCGTTGATCGCTCCTCCCATGCTAAACCGCGGCGATGTACTCTTAACTGATTAGTGCCATCGGACTCGGAGCCCGCTGACTTGTCACAGAATGTCGACTGCGGTGTTCTCAAGCTGCCGCTTCGGATGCGCGGGATAACGGTGAACAGTAATGCACATCGATTTTTCCGCTTCCATCGCACCGGCCATACAACTGGCAAGATTTGCACCACCTCGGTGCGGTCACTGACGTACCCACAGAACGCGTCGACTCGGAGCCTGTGACCAGTGCATCGTTCACACGCCTTTCATTCGCTCCCGTCGAAGAATCTACACATTACGAGGTTTCGCAAGCCTCCGGCGAGCAAGAAGGATGCCGCTTCCACAAGTTGCCGTCGGCCCTAGTGCATGCCGAAACCCTCTGTACGATGAGCTGCCCTGTGCGCCCTCAAATTGTCAAACAAGGCTGCATCTCGATTGGAAGGAGCAGTCATAGAAACTGTGAGCATAATATTTCGATGTTCCATAAACCATTGATCATCTGGCGGAAGGTCCGCACAATACCCGTACGCCTCAGTCAACAGTGAGCATTGTCATCTTCCGCTGAGCTGGTGCTTCCCATACCAAGTTGTCGACTAACTCATCTCTGTTTGGAAAGCTAGACCTCGTGATGCTTCCCGTCTCGAGCTTCTTCAGTCCGACAATCACGCATGGCTAGCCACGGTGCGGGTTCTTTATTTCCGAGCGCCGTTGCAGGCGAAAAGCCGAAGTCGAGGGAGTCAGCGGCGCGAGGTCATGGGCCATATAAAGTCCAGGAACTCATGGGAGTCCCGCCAGGCTACCTCTACACCCTCAGGCTATATTGTCGTGTCTCATCGCGAGGCAGTATGCCGGTCATCCACCAGTTGACCTCCGATATTTCGGATAATCCTTTCTTATTACTGGCTATTGTACCGGTGGCACTTGTCTTGGTCCAGCTCGCTGCTCACTTCAAGGATGCATCCGGATTGCGCTCGTACCCGGGGCCATTCCTCGCCAAGTTCACGGATGCTTGGATGTTCTGGGTGGTTTCCCACAACCGCTGGTCAAGCACAGTCGACAGTTTGCACCGCAAATATGGTATTTATTTCATTGTTAATCAGACTGCAACGGTTAAAAGTCTTACTGGAACAGGCACCTTCGTCCGTCTCTCCCCGAACCACGTCTCTATTTCCGACCCAAGGGCCCTTAACGCGATCTACGGCCACTCGGCTGGCTTCATGAAGGCGGGGTTCTACGACATCTTCGCCAACTTCCGCGTTCGCAATATCTTCAACACGCGGTCGCGCACTGAGCACGCCCGGAAGCGTCGCATAGAAGCGCACATGTTTGCGCCCCAGAGCATCCGCGCGATCGAGCCCATCTCCCACGCGCATGTCTCTGGGCTCCTCCGTCAGTGGGACTACCTGGCATCTCGCATGCAGGAGGCTCAACATGGAGCGGGCCCTCTCAAAGGCCAGCTCGGATCGACTACCTGGAACGTGCAGAATGGCCGCGTGTGGATCGACTGCATGCCTTGTACGTGTCGCATCTCGGCATAAATGGTTGACTGTCAGAAAGCTGAATTCATATCTTACCTCGCTCAGGGCTCAACTTCTGGGCCTTCGACACTATTGGTGAGTGGTCTACGGTCATTCAAGGGTACTTACTCACCTCCTCGATCCAGGCGACCTCGCGTTCGGTCTTCCCTTCGGCATGCTCAAAGCCGGCAAAGACGTAGCCAGAGTTGCGAAAAATCCCGAAGAAGGTTACAAGGCGATCGAGAAGTTCTCCGAGGGCGCGGACAAGCTTTCAATCGAGGAAGAAGACATACCTTACATTGAAGTCCTCAGTACACGCGCCGAGGCAATCGCCCCTCTGGCGTTCATTTCGCGTACTTGGCAGACAATCCTGCAGCAACTCCCCGGGTACGGCAGTAATCGACCTGCGAGTAAAAAGCTAGCGGCTCTATCTATCATGGCCGTCGCACGTCGCTTGGCCAACCCGAGTGGCAGGCCGGACATGCTCCAGAAACTGTTGGAGGCACGGGATGACGACGGGAAGCCGTTGAGCCCAGTGGAACTGAGCGCAGAGGCTTTCGTGCTTATCGTTGCCGGTTCGGACACCATTGCCAAGTAAGCGCGTCCGTACCAGGCATTGATTGCTTCGCTGACGAGGACTGCAGCACCACCTGTGGGACGATGTATTACCTTGCTCGCGACCAGCGCGTACAGGCAACGCTTCAGGCAGAGCTGGATGCGGCGCTCGCATCTCTCGATTCCGAAGTCGCTCCATACGACGCCGTCAAGGATTTACCTTACCTTGATGCGGTGATCTTCGAAGGGCAGCGCCTATATGCGACCATAGGTGCCGGCTTGCCTCGCGAGGTTCCTGCCGGCGGCGCCACTATCCTCGGGCACCATTTCAAAAAGGGCACATGGGTGAGCGTCCCGCTCTACCATCTTCACAGGGACGAGTCTGTCTGGGGCCCGGATGCGGCTGAATTCCGCCCCGAGCGCTGGACCGAGGCTAGTCCTGAACACAGGAAACAGATGATGGACGCCTTCGCTCCTTTCTCTATTGGTCCCAGGTAAGAAATTAGACAATCAGACGTCCTACACGGTGCCGTTTCTAACGCTGCGCATCAGGGCGTGCATAGGTCGCAGTCTTGCCATTATGCAGCTTCATATCATCCTGGCCACGCTCTTCCGCCGGTACCAATTTGCTCTCAAGTCTGATGCTCGGTGAGTATCGTTATATCCACACCCGTCGCTTTTAGTGAAATAGGCACCTTTCCAGCTCCAAGTCCGGGACTCCGTTGCTCGGAGACCGCTCGAATGCATAGTCGGTATGAAGCACAGGAGCATTTGACGCTATGAGACAGGGCTAGAGCTTGACGAATATCTACATGATGTGCCAATGTAATCTTCGCTCGACCTGTTGCATTCGTACTACTACGCCGTAGTTCCTACAAACGCTGCGTTGGCTCGCTTACCTGCTGTATTTCTCCGTCCAAATTATCGCATGCAATCATATCAGCCGTACATGTCCACGCTACGGCATAGTCTCCCGGCCTAGGCAGACCCTAAAGAATACCTCTGAGTTGAGTGGGCCCGGGGGAGAGGATGGTCTTCTATGGGCTACGGTCTCTGCCTCGACGATGTCGCTGCCACCAATTCTCGATCTGTGTATGGCGAAAGGACTTACAAGGCACGAATTCTTGAGATGTGACCCTCACCGGGTCTTACTGACGGCCAGAATTTAAGTTGGTACTTTAATATTAGGGCTTGCGAAGGCTTAGAATTGGCTTAGAAGATTGGGTATCCAGATTCCGCGGCCCGGCTTCAGCCGCGTCGACGAGCCTCCGAAGCGACCGTGGAGGGATCTGATTCCGAGTCTACATCGACCTCCACCCCATTATGTATATTGCCCTGAATTCTTCCTCTGCCCGTGCAATTCTCTGCTGGCACAGTACTGTCTATCGTTATCAGCAAGTTTCCCGACGATCCATAACTATGTACCCCGCTGCTAGCTGGAGCTGTATCAATCAGTCCCACACTCGACTCTTCGGCTCTCGCCATGCCGCCGTGTCTCTTGAAATTGCAGGCTGGAGACAAGAGTGTCGAAACTGTCACACAGTGCTTTACGTACAGAACAACCGATGCGCCCGAACCCGCTGTGTCTTCCGCGTAAAGCCTGAGTATGTACGGAGGACATTCGAGGGAGTATCATGATGGTGAGTGTTCCATCTGCTGTATGCTGCCAAGCTGACTCTACGGAAGCTCCGAGGTTGGCATTATGGCAAGTGCTCATGGCAAGCGACCTGCGAAGTTAAGATTGTTAGTGCCCCCTGGTACCCGTCGACATTCGCAAGCTACGTTCACGCACTATGGTAATGTCAGATCCCGGTGTTGTCCCGCGACTAGTCGTATTCAAGATGGACTGGCTACCAATGGAAGGCGAGCTCGGCGACATATACCTATGCAAAGTCCCAGCAGCGAAGATCGCCATACGAGTTACAGGCAGTCTACGATGCATCCGGATCTCGGATGGTCGTCTCTTGTTCTAACTGTATGATGCACATGGTTCATATATTTTCACAAAGCATGCAGGCATTGTTCGCTTTCGGGATCATCGTGCGTGCGTGCGTGTTTGAGGTCCGTGAATGCGCACCGAGCGAAGCTGGTATACGCGTGAAGTATTGATGGTATTGTTTCGTTTTCTCCGTGACATACCTATGCTCTGTCGCTGATACGCAGCACTCGCAATGCAACCTCGAACTGTCATCCCAAACACGATGTGAGTGAGTCCAGCTCTGCCGACCACTCCTTCACTGATGACTTCATTTTTGCCAAATTGCCAGCGAAGGCTACCCGGACGGACCAATCAATCCCTTCGAACCGAGTACTGGCTGGCTGGTTCTCCGTGCGATATGTACGTGTTGTCTGTAGGATTTGGCCGTTGTCTCGGCTGTCCATTCCATCTGGAAGGTAACTTACAACAGTAACCTGTGTCGTGTGGATGCACGATCACGTGATGCTGGCCAAAGCCTTTGTGCAGGGCCACCGGCATGAAAGACGGATGCCACTCGCTACCACTTGACCCACTCCCTACTTTGTTACGTGTCTTATTCTGGAATACTCAAACCTCTTTCGCGAACGTATCTTTTGCTCCAGTGTTGTCGACTAAGTACGTCCTATCTGGTAAGTCGTCGCTTCACGCTGCCATGAGTCGCGTCGTGGGCTGATCCCTTTGTAGTCATGATGCCTATTGTTCTAGCACAGAACAATGTACGCTTTAAAGCGAACATCTCGCCTATATCATGGCTTCCTGTCGAGCTTCTCGAGGCCATCTTCACCCTACTCTCCGAAGAGGACAAAGTCGACACTGCTATGGCCACCTCGAGCGATATTGTCGCGCAAGTCTCCCATCGGTGGCGACAGGTAGCTCTGGCACGATCGCGGCTATGGCGCAGGATCTCGGTCAACGATACGACCACTCTATGGATGGTGGAAGAGCGACTGCGCCGCTCGAAGACCGCGCGGTTACGAGTGAAGGTCGAGGCCGCTACCACGGCCACACCGCCTACCGCAGACATATCCCCCCTCGTCCGCGCCATCGCAGCCCATAGCGGTCGCATCGAACACTTCGAGCTATCGGGATATGACCTGAACAAGACTATGAGAATCCTCGCCGAGCTCCGCAACCCCGCTCCCATCCTCAAATCCATCCACCTGGAAGCAGAGATCGACGAAGCCGAGCCTCCCCACGTCCTTGCTGCCGCGAGGACTACGCGCCCTTTCGGCGGCCAGATGCCGGCAGTCCAGCGCGTCTCAACCGTCAGCATGCCACTCTCGCTGGACCCCTTCTCGGGCCTGAGGCGGCTGGACTTACACGATCAAGCGAGCCTATCCACCGAGGAGCTAGTATCGGTACTTGGTCGATCCCCGGAGTTGGAGGTAATTGTCCTCGGCATTGTCGAACGGAATTGGTCGGACAACACCGCCTACCCGACGACGACAGTCGACCTCCCTTGCTTGAAGTTCCTCTTCCTTGCAGGATTGCAAGACGACGTCCTCCACACTGTCGCCCACATCACGTTCCCGGCGACAACGGAAGTCAACCTGCGGCTTGTTGGCCCCTCGAGCTCAGAGCGCGACATAACGCGGCATTGCCACTCGCTCCGGTCCATCACATCTGTGGCCCAAGACCTCGTCTTCGCGTACTCAAACATGGCGGATGAAGATAATTACGTCATCAGCATGTCTACTCCAGATGAAAGGCTGACTGTGAGCTGGGAGTGGGACATGGAGCGTGAAGACAACGCCGAGGATGGTCAGCCATCGTTGAGGTTCGAGCTAATGAACCTGCCCGCCGTGCGGTCTGTCAGGATTGTCGGGCTCCCCCAGACCGCCTGTATCGCGCAGGCCGAATGGCAACGCTTCCTCGACCTTATGCCGTCGCTCCAAAGCATCGAGTTCGCCACGTCGTCGGAACCCTTGACCCGGATAGATGTACTGTCTCCGATGTTGGAGGCTCTGTCGCAGCCAGTGGCGTACCCCGGGAAGCCAAATGTTGTCGGACTCCGGTGTTCCGACCTGAGGACGGTGTGGCTGTCGGACGCAAGTTGGGGGCCGCCAGACGCAGACGTGACACAAGCCTTCGTGGTGTATGTCGGAGCCCGATTGCGTTGGGGGATGAGGCAGGAGTTCCGCGTCGATTTTTCGACTCGCTGATTCACAGAGGAGCGGGCGATCGGCGGGGTAGTGACCAACGGATGCCATCTACAATTCGGGAGCCCAAGATTCGATGGGATGACTCGGAGGGAGATTTAGTGGAGAGCAATAGCTCATGGTTAGGCTGGAGGTAAGCTTATGTGTTAGTTTCATGATCCCATAGATACCATGAAGTGCTCACGCGGTCAGAGTTGTGTGCGTATTGTTTCTGGTGCAGTATTAACGATGTATCCTCAAATGTGTCGTCTTTGTTATCCTCGATGTATGATAGCTACAATGCTCATCACTATTCAACTCCGAATTTTTGATGGCCGATGACGAAATGGTCAGCAGTGGGCAGGATGGAATGCTTTATCGTGCGCAGTGCCGGTGAGGCCATGGAGCGTTAAGGACGAGCATAAGCGTTAAACGTTAAGGACGAGCCTATTCGTCCAGCCTCAGCCTCTGGCAGCGACTCGTATACCAGGGCCTTGGTAAGTCCATTGTGATAAGTCTGCTGAGAAGACGTCCTGAGAGCATACCATGCGAGGAAGAGCATTTGGTAGATCCCTTGATCGAACAACATGAATGCGCAGGGTACCGAGCTATGGCCTGTCTCTCGCGCGTCCGAAATGCACTCGCTCACGATGGTGATAACGTCAACGATGTCATGTTAGAGCGATTGCCAATGCCTCTTGCTCCTATCGCAGATACGTTACATGATATTCAACGCAGTAACTGCCCTCGGTGTCTCCCTACTTCATGTTGGAGAGGTAGACAGGAATGGCTGGCGCGACAGGGTTGAACGGCAAGGCATTTAGCACTTGCACTCGGTAGGCTTGCACTGGCAACTATGAGGCTATAAGCATACGGCCTACGTTATATGCAACAGTGATACGTACGCTTCGCCGCAGCTGCAGCTGCTCACGCCACAGTTGGCTTCGTTGACGGGGACGGCGACGTTCTAGAGGTGCGTGAGTGAGCATATCATTCAGGGCAGCGAGCTTAGAGATGTTACTCACGGTGAACATTGTGGAGTAGAGTTGTGAGGGGAAGGTGTGCTTGTGAGGTGCGTTGGGTAGTCTGCGACTGGAGAGAGGCGGTTGTCGTACGCCTCTTTTATATCTCTCTTGACCGGCCGGACACGTGCGGCGCCCTACTTCATACCCGAGGGATTTGTGCGCCCCGCATCAATTTGTGATTTCTATTTCGCTTGGGATGCTTGACGTGGACCGATGTCAGAACAAGCGTTGTGCTGTATCGCGGGACGCCGAGCCTCCGAGTCCGCAAGTCTGTAATGCAACAGCGTTGATTGACGGTCTGATCTTATCTTATCAGTCTCCGCGTGGCGTATCGTTCCCGTCAATCCCTTCGACGCAGCAGCTTCTTGGCTTCTCAAGACCCCATGGTTGTTCAGAAAATGCCTCAGGTGTCTGTATTCCAATCATCAGCACAAATGCCTCAGAGACCCTATTCAAAGTGCGGGGCCGCGCACAGGCACAATTGACTCAACTGTGTCGGAATCTAGGTAGGGTCTCCGAGGTGCCATTCGCACCGGCCCACGGGTGTTGGTCTGCGCTGTGATCCGTCTTGAGCATCCTGTGTTCAGTCGTTCCATGTTGATTGACACAGACTCACCCAATTGGATCTGCTACTGGCTTTGCACTCCGAAGGACCGTGACGCAGATGAATGACCACCGCAAATACCTGTCAATGCCACCCGGTCCACTGACTCAGCTGATCAGTAACCATTCCTCTGCGTTACATCTCAGGCGACTCTGTCCCGAAGGATTCGGTAGGGGTTGGAGTCGAAGAGAAGACGCTTAGGTAAATTGAGGGCTATCGCTACCGCGCCCTATATCTGGGATGCTCCAATTCTGTTCTGGAAACTTTCGCCGCGTGCACAAACCAAGCTTGGACTTTGGACTTGCAGCTTGAACCTTTGAACTGGAAGAGGCGTCTTTGTTCCGCAACGTAAAGAGCCCGTAAGGAGATCTACCGACACGGTGGCACTACTGCGGACTCACAAAACCATCATGTCGGCACATTGACAGCGGGGACTTGCCTGTTCCTTTATGAGATAGGTTGCGAGAGCTTCAATTACGAGATCAATTTGAGTGGTGTTGCATTCGAAATATGAGAGTAGATGCAGGCTCGGTCATGCGAGCACCAACCCAGTCGTCGTTGAGCGAGCCCCAATTCCTGTTCTGTTGCAAATCATCCATCGTGTAGTGACTAGTGAAGTGTGACATATCAGAGTGAGTGCATCCCGAATTTGAAGCTGCGATGATGGCCCCTTCAATGCCCATGGCGAAGGCCCGGGGGAGTTGTCGCATACGTGTCGTCATATCGTCGCAAAGGACAATGCCCTTATTGGGACTCTCCGCCGCCACCGCCACCGCCACCGATCCGATCTGCAATCAGCTTTGATTTCTTACGTAACTCCGAGTGAACCTTGAAGCCCAAACTTTCACCTATAGCCCCGACCACGTACATACTAATAGTGTCTGTTCTTGTCCCGTTATATGCGCCTTCGCTTCCGATGTGCAGAGCTTCAATTCTGACATATCACTTCATGAACATGCGTAAGTACGTCGAGACGAGTATCAGGAGGTTTTGCCGTGTCTGTGTGGCTCAACCCAAACAAAACTTTTAGTCCACTGTACTGCACAAACTCAGCAGTCGGATAGCTACTGTACTGTCGCGCACTGATATTGAAATGTTGGATCACAGGCGTCCGTATCTAATTCCAGAGCACCTCCGAGCCCACCACCGCCTATCGCATAGAAGGATTCACGGCAATGTATCCGCCGTCGGTCAATATCTCTTCCCCAGTCGTGTAGCACCCAGCAGGAGACACAAGGTATATCACGGTTCCCGCCATCTCTTGAGCTCTGATGCTTTTTATCAGCACATAGGCTTTAGCGGACGACTGTGCCTCATCACGTACGTTCCAGCCCTCCCCATCGGTACGGGTACAATACCATTTGCATGCTTCTCCACCAGGTCCGGCGTCACCTCCCCGCCGGTCATTTCGGATGGGAAAACGCCAGGTGCGACGCTGCAGACACGTACGGGTATCTTCTTCAGCGCGAGCTCAGTGGCGAGCATCTTCGTCAAGTGGGTGACAGCTCCTTTCGTCGAATTGTACGCGAACTGTCCATCAAGTGAGCACATACAGGACTTTGTCGGCAAAGCTCAGTCCCACCTTGTTCTGCGCCAGCTTGTATTGCCGCTGATACTGCCAAGGTTGATCACGGAAGAAGTGTATCCTGGGACGTCCTGGCTGCCTCTCGCCAACAAGCCGAGAAACGCGGTCGTTACGAAGTATACGGAGAATGTATTCACGGTGTAGACGTCGGCCCAGTCATCGAAGGACGCACTGTCAAACAGTGCACGCCCGAGCGTCTCCGCATCTTTGTGTTGCGGCGCACTCATGTCATTGAAGAACGACGCGAATGGGCCAGCGATACCCGCACTGATCATGCAAAGGTGAGTTTCCGTGCAAGAATAAGTGACTTCCCTCACTTGTTGACGAGGATATGCAGCTTTCCCTCCTTCGCCTTGATGACTTCATGGGCGGCCAAGATGCTCGCCTTGTCGGTGACGTCCATGACCAGCCTGCCAATGATCTTCATACCTACTCTTTGACATAAGGTGGGTGGAGTACTCACGGTATAACAGAGCCATCTCCTTTGTGCTTTTGCGTGAACTTGGCAGCAGACTGTTCCAGGACGTCCTTGCGGCGGCCAGTGATGTACACACGTGCGCCATTCACGGCGAGCCCTTCAGCGATCATCCATCCGAGACCGGTACCACCGCCAGTGACAAGGGCAATGCGCCCATGGACGCCAAATAGTTTATCAAGGCGCAACGACTGGGACATGCTTGATGGTGAGAAGATAGTAGAGAATGCCGGTGCGTGAGTGTACCGCTCGTGGAGAAGGCAGGTTCCTATTTATATTCACAGCATCGGTGACGTTTTGTCCCTTCGTCGGCGTCAGCGATGGCTAGCGGAGATAAGAAACTTTAACTTCCCCGTCTTACACACCGATACTCCAAATCAGTCAATCGCCGGAGGATCCACAAGCGATGCGAGAGGCTGACGAAGGCGTCAATAGTCGTAGTGGTCTCCGGTAAGTCAGTCCAATTCGAGGGCGATACTGCCGAGCATAGTTGGCCGTAAGATCAGCATTGTGTGTTCCGTAGTGGTGCCACCAAGTTGCGGCCGCTACACACGCCCATCAGTACGTACCTCGGCATTGGGATAATGTTGCCTCTTTATGCATGTTTGCACAGTGCTCGCTCGATAGTCAGGATAATCTCATTATTCCAGCGGTGCGTCAACAAACATAGGAAAAATGCAAAGGGAAGACAAGAACTCTGTCACGCTGCAAGCATAGTCCATAAATCCACAAAGAACCCAATGAAGAAAAATTGCGTAGCTTACACTTCAAAGAAGGTAAGCCGAGAAATCGAAAGCAGCCGTGGCCTGTGCGGCCGCTTGAGCAGCCTGCTTGAGAGCACCCCAGGACGGGTCGCTCAAGCCGATCTCGTAGTCGTACGATGACTGCAGGTTACTTGTTAGTTTCAACGTAATACGCGAAAGGCTCAGAGAGAACGTACATGAGGATCAGCATTGGGAAGGACCTGCCAATACAACCAAGGAAGCCCCGCGTTGTCAATTTGCTCGGCCCAGTTCACGATATTACCGTTACGCGTGTCGGTGATAGGGCATCTCCGGTAGGGCAGTTGTTGTTGGAAGTGTCGAAGTAGCATGCGCCCCTGTGCCGTACAGTCTGAGTCAGATTCTACAATGGAAGACGGTAGGTGCTCACCATTCTTCCAAGATCAGTTTCTTGCCGGCGGATTGCGCTTGCTGGACATAGGGTTTCAGGGCGGAGGTGGCGAGATCCCCAGTACCGTAGGCGTGGATGGAGATGACATCCAGAGCATCGCAGGACAGCCAAGCAGACTGGACTGACTCAGACAAATACGACTCTCCTCCATTCGTCACAAGAATCTGTCGTATACGCATCAGTCTCGAAGCTATGCAATCAAAGGATTAGGGGAGCATTCCTAGGACCTACCCCACTGTTGTCGCCGAGTTGGCCCTTGATCGTCCCAGCACGGTCGCACTGCCTGTTGATAAGATATGCACGGTTATTCCTTCCAGTCAAACACCACTATGATCTTGAAACGTACCATGCAGTGTGAGCCTCGATGAATGACGCGCCCTGCAGCGAATGTCAGGCATTGTGGATATACACGAACATCACTGAGTACTTACATCCCCAATCATGGCTTCGTTCTCAGCCTCGAAAGCGAAGACATAGTCACTCAACTCTTTCCAAGGCTTATTGAGCGACGTGTGCACGTGGTTCAGGATATGCACGAGGCGAGCGTCGAAGGAGGTTTGTGCATCGCTATTCGTGTAGAAATCCCCAATGCCGTACCACTTGCCGTAGGCGTCGTTACTAGACAAAGCGTTGTAGCTATGCATAGTGATCAGAAGCTGCCGATGCGGAAGTCAGTATCACAGCTGCAAATCCGCAAGCGACACCCGGTCACCTTGATGCCGTAAGAGTTGGCCGCAACCATGAAGTCATCCAGTCTGTTAAGAACCGTGTCGTCGTAGCAAGAGGTGTCTCCGTTGCAGGGAGTGTTGGGTTCGAGATCGTTGAAGGGGTTGACGTGAGTACCCTGACCACGAGAGAATATTCAGCCATTGCAGAAGCCTTGCGGAAGCGCAAAGTCCTTACCTTCTGGTCGCTAGACTGACCACCGATCCATACTCGCAATACTTTCATTCCGGCGCTTTGCAGTCCCCTATGTTGGTAGTGGAATGTCAATACGGATCATTGCCACAAAGACGTCAAGATCGAGAAGACCAAACTTACTTAAGCAGGGTGGTTCTGTCATCGTCGTACAAACCTGCTGCGTAGTACAGGTTTGACCCTGCGAAGGAGTTGGCCGCCCGGACAGCCTGAAGGGAGAAGAGTAGAAGAACAGCACACAGGGAGAGTGTAAGTTTCGACGTAGAGGAAGCCATTGCGGTCGAAGCTGATGCGTTGAAGGGATCCACCATCTCGTTGAGCCCTTAAATATGGCTCAAGGAGCACTTCTACTGCAAGGATGGTGTCGTGATACGAGAGCGTCCTATCACCCATTCAACGCCCCCGTGTGCCCATCACAGGGCTCGTTGCCAATGACCAGAATGCGCTGCACATGGCGGCCTCGTAGGGCTTTCAAGTTGGAATACACCATTCCACCACAGGTGCACTGCTACATATTGGCGCACGGAGCATGATGCGCTCATGAATTGAGAGCGACGTACCTAGAAGCACGGGCTGATCCGTCCAGGCGACTTGAACTTCGGAATTCTTGTTGTTCGGAGCCATTCAGAAGACTGCTTGCACACGTTGGACGAGATGATAAGAGGTTCTCGTGGTGAAGAAATCGCCTGCGGCTCGAGGCTAGATGAAGTATCGACAGACTTCCGCAAGACCTCTAGGATCCGCGCGCGCAGAGGCTGGGTGGGTTGTGGTGGCGCACCTACCCATAACGCTGGGCCCAGGAGCTTGCACATTCGGCAACATAACGTTTTGGTAACCTGACGGAAGAACTCGGAGTCTTTCCTCGTGCTGGATCTTGGACCTCGGACGATTTAAATTTGGCCGCCGCCCATGGGGTTGCCTCGCACCAAGCACCATCCAGACCCTGCGCACGCGTTGCGCTGGGTTCTCTGTGGAAACCGTGTCCCGTTTCTGAAACATGGTTTCATCTGCAGGCGCGGGCGCCGTAGAGGAAGGAACAACGGCGGAGGGAGCCTCAAAGATGAAGCTGTTCGAGGCTAGCCAGGTGCTATGCTGGCGGAAGATAGGTCCACGTGCGTAGTTGACACATGGTAACTCACCTAGTCCGCGTACAGAGCACAAGCTTTGCCCATGTACGCTGTTAGAGACAACATCAACGTATTCTCAGGCTTCAACACTTCAAGTCGACTGCCCAAAGGGTAGCTGAGACCACAGTACCACGATGACAATGATGCCCCTCCGTAGACGATGCCTTGGAGAAGTACGCAGCTGTACCGGAGTGGGTGACCGCTGAGGATTACGACGCATGATACTGCATTGACAGATGCGCCGGGACATCACAGATGTTTTGTCAAAAGCATTGCTGCATCGCTAGCAACCGCTCACAACAAGGTCTGCTTGGGATCTGCCGTCTGCAAATGGTCAGAAACAGCGGCCACCATACCGCGTGGGCGTGGACGATACACACCAGATACGCACCAACCGTGGAACACAACTCTGCCATGTGTTGAACCGCACAATGCGGCACACCTTGCCACTTGACTTGACTACGGATCTGGTGAGATCGCCGCCATCATCATTTCGATCGTTGAATTCGTAAGACTGATAACGTTATGCAACACATGTGAGTGGCCAGGACAACCTAAAGCCCCTCGAAGAACATTAAATCCTGCGCGGAAAGTCCACTCGTCTTGGCCGTGCTCTGCACTGCGGGAGGGTTCGCCGCCGGAGCTGTCCCCCGTTGGATGACAGTCGGCGGCAATGCCGTACTCTGCAAAGAGCCGAAAGAGGTGGATTGAAACGACTGAGACTGAGACAATGGCGGCGCAGGCAACATCGGAATGGCCCCTTTGCCCAGACTTCCGGTAGAAGCTGGTCGAAAAGGATCCATCAAAGCCGGCGACGAACGCGATGCGGTGAGACTTTCAGCCTTTGGTCGCACTGGAGAGCGATCATCGTTCAACAGATCCACGGACGCTGAGCTCGACGACATCCAATCCGGTCCGGGTATAGCTTGTGGAAGAGGCGAGGGAGGGGCCGGCCATCGGCCTGGACGCGCGGCTGCTTTCTCCATAAGGTTGAGAGTGTGCAAGTGTGAGGCGGCCTTACTGGCTCGAGATGAAGAGGAGTCAGCCACACTCCGCGAGGTGGACGCGGACGGTTTCGAGGAAGACGACAAGGTGGGTGGCATGTGCGACGCCTTGGAGATCGGGCGAGGAGGAGAGGGGGTGCGGAGAGACTGAGTGTACGAGCCCAGGAAGTCGAAACCAGGATCTTTCTTGGGCGTAAGGAAAGTCTTGTCTGACGTCGTACTATCGTTGGCCACCGTATCGAAGGATCCCGTCGACTGTGACGACGGCTGCGACGACGCGAACGACCGGAAGTCTGAGAATGAATCGCCACTATACGGTTTGGACGACAACGGCTGAGCCGTAGCCGGCGATGCTTGAAAGTCGGAGAAGTCATCGCTATCATCCAGCAACGCCAACTTCGCAGGATGGGGAGGAGTACCCGACGCCGATCCTCGGGATCGTGATCCTATCCGGAGATGGGCTAGCGCAGGTGCGCGACCACCAGAGCGTCCCAGTGAAGAAGGCGGTGTCTTGTTGGGCGTTGACGACCGTGAGGAGGTGGATATGGACCTCACGAGGGGCTTGGACGACGTGGGAACCGTCGCAGACGAGAGGAAATCAGAAAATTCCTCATCGTCGTCGGTCAACGGCAGAGCAGGTGGTTTGGGCGGTGCGGACGGCTTGGAGGGCCTGAGGAAGAGGGGATTGATGTCGACGGTCGCGAAGCGGCGGGCGCACGGATCAATGGTGGTGCCGATGCCTGCTTCGACGGAGCTGGCGGGGACGCCAGTAGCGGAGGGAGAGTGCCACCAGGTTCCGAGCGGGCTGGTGGCGGCGGTATGAGAGGCGCCGACATCTGTGCCCGCGACACAGGCCTAGACGCCGCACTGTTGTTCGCCTGTGCACGATATGCGTCTGGGTAAAGTTCCGCCAGAGGCAAGACCGATGTGGGAGTATCAGGCCGATTCATCGTGTCATCTGCAGGCGCGAATGATGCAGGCACGGGCGCCCATGGAGGAGGGAACAGTGGTGGAGGGAGCTTCGAAGATGAAGATGAAGACCCGTGCACGGCCTCCTGCATGACAGATGGCGTCTGGGACTGTGTCGGCTCGCTGAGGGCACTTCGCACGGTGGGGATCGGAGTGTGAGAGCGGGATGAGGGAGGCGAGGGCAGGAAGAAGGGCTGTGCGGGGACGGCTTTCCTCTCCACTGACAAGGGCGACGGGCTGGCAGATCGAGTGTCTCTCCTGGACAAGCCCATAGGAGGCGTGGCTGGCCTTGATGGTTGAAGATAGGCATTGCGGTGACCGGCTGCCAGGTCACACTGCTCACAGATGACGCAGCAGCAGCAGGGGCGGCCGTGAACGTCGAGTCAAGCAGGCCCATCGTTGAGTCTAGGCTGTTGATAGGGGAATGCATGCCTGCCATGGAGTGGCCCGCCCCGGTCCGAGCAACTGTGTTCACTGACGGCGGTGGCGGCAAGGGAGGAGGCAGAGGTGGAGGCAGAACAGAAGACTGAGGCTTGGAATTAAAGACACTCTCGAATGCCTTCAAGTTGGCTTCGTCTTCATCCTCACCGTCATTTGCACTGGGTATCTCTGCGAGGAACTCGAGGTCATCGGAGGACAACGCAAGCGAATTCCGGGGACTGCCAGAACCCATCGCACTCCGCCGGCGAGAGAATCTGTTCAGGAAACGCGAGACAGCAGAAGGCGCCTGCACGCCGTTTGGATCGACTTCCGGCTCAGGTGCGTCAGCATACGAGGTCGCTCGTGCAGGTCCAGCGGGGAGGGACGACGTAGATGCGTTCGTGGATGACGCAGGTGACGAGGATGACTGCCGCGTAGTAGGCGCACCTCTATCAGCACCGCCACTGGTAAGGGATCGCACACTGTCTTCACTCGGCCGTCTTGAGTGTCCGGCGGTTTCGCTCGCGATTGGACTCCGCAAACTGGTTTCATCCTTGACGTCGGACTGAGATGATGACCGAGTATGAGTGCTCGTCGTGCTGGACTCTCGGCGCCCCCAAAAGGAGAAGAGACGACCCGTAGGTCTCTTCTCTTTGGCCGCGTCAACAGTAGTCTCGCCGGCAGTCTCTTTCTCGAGGATCTTCCAGCCGACGGGCATGTCGTCTCCAACGACTTCGTGACGCTCCTTCACAGCGACTTCCCATGCGGTCGAACCTTTCGCAGCCAGGTAATGCGCCATCGGGCTTCGCTTGGACATCGCCATGTTCTTGGTCAGACGAGCAGACATAGCCATCCGCTTTGCCGTGGCTGTCTTCCCGAAGTGCACCGGCGGTTGTAGAGACAAAGGTGGGAGGAATGTGTTCACAAGGGCCTCTCTGGATTGCACGAAAGCCATACCGAGATACAATGACTCAACACGCCAGTGACAATAGTCGGCTATAACCAGTACTCACAGACCTTCAACGCCTTCCAAGCCTCTGCGCCAATTGCTCCTGGAGTCATCCTTCCCTGCAACGTCCGCGGCCGGATGCTCCGGCCAAGTTTCCTCACAGAATTGCTTGCAGTCGCTGAGCAGTGCCGCTATAACGGCAGGCGGCTGCAGAAGTTGAGAAGGACGCCAGCGTGAGCGATTAAGTCAGACTTACGACTTTGCGATCTTCCTGAGCCTTGCGCCGTCGCGCAGCCTCCCATTCGTCTACCGGTTCCGCCTCTTGCGCCACCTTGGCCTCCGACTCGCTCGCCCAAGCCGAGCCCCATGCATCCGCGTTAAGAGCGCTCTCCTCGAGTACAAGGGCTTTATCCTCATCGGGGCTGAGAGCGGACTCGAATGTCCCAAATACATCGTGTTCTGCGGGCGGTGAGAGCACTGCGACATCTGCTAGCGGTACCGCAGTCGCCAATATCTCTTGTACAGGCGGAGGTGGCGATGAAGGGTCACGTACTTCGAAGGGAGGTTCAGGAGTTGGCGAAACAGAGGTTAAGGGTGCCTCTTCCTCGGGATCCGGAAGTTCTGCGGATGCATCCTCTTTCTCAGTGCCTAGAGGTTCTGTGGAGAATGCATCCTCTTTCTCGGTATCTTGAGGTTCTGCGGCGGGTGCATCCTCTTCGATGAGAACACTTCTAGGCTTTGCGATCTGAATGCCCTCGTAGGTGCTATTCCAGGCAAGATCGGTGTCGGCTTGACCCCAGGAGAAGCCCGCGCTGTCTGAAGGTTCATTCCAGTGTACTCCAGCCCCGGTAGACCATGAAGGGGCCGCCAAGTCGGCCTCCTCGTGCGCGTCCGGTAGTCTGGGAGAGAGCCAAGTGCTTGAGCTCGCCGAGGGCTTCAAGTCGGAGAGAGGCGGGTCGGCGGGGTCATTCCAGGCATTAGCATACAAGTCGTCCATGCCCGCTGCAGGATTATCTGGACATGAGTGTACGCGACAACTCCGGAAGCAGCTTCAAGTTGAGAGGCAACAATTGTTGAGGTGAAACTTAAACGGTTTTATGTAACAAACGCATCTTGGTTTCTTACCCCGGCCCGAGTTGATCTGCCTAATCCAGTTCGATTCGGCTATCAGAACGGTTCAGAAACGCGGTGCGGCGGCTTGGCGGCGGCTGCTGCAAGCAACGGCGACCGCTTTCTGCGTTCATTCACCTCCTCTTCTGCCCCCTCGTCTCGTTCCTTCTAATCGTCTTTGTCTACCTCTGAATTGACTTGCACACGATTAAGCCCGAAAGTGGCCTCTGCCAAGTTACAGCGAACTCTGCGGGAGAACCCCCGCCGCTGAACGACATCCTCGGTTGTTACTTGCATCACGTCCGCAACTCGCTTTCTTGCCATGGATTCATCGTCGGCGAATATAATGGAATGGGACGAAAGTGCAGTCCAAGCGTGGTTTGTCAAGCTAGGCTTGCCACAATACGAGAACCAGATCCGAGGTCGGTAGGCCGGTGTGGACTGATAGGTGGACCACTCACAGAGGTGTCGTGCAGAGCATAGAATATCCGGCGAGGTGCTGTGTCTGTTAGATGCGGATGCCCTGAAGGAAGTCGGTATCACAACAATTGGCCAACGGCTTGCCATCCTCAAAGGTGTCTACAATATCAAGCTCGCTCAGGGTATCCCTATTGAATCGGATCACTATGTACCGCCTTGTAACTACCCATTTCTCCTCCGCGAGGCTCATCACTCACTCCTGAACAGCGGAAGTCGAGGAACGAAAGGAGCAACAGAATGTGGACAAGTTGTTTAACTTGCTTCGAGAACAGGGTCTGTCACAGCCGCTCCAAGCTCCTTCACAACTTACCTTTTCCTCCAGGCGAGCGGTTGCGAACGCTTGAAGAGGAGAACCGCAGGTTAAGCGACAGCCTCCATTCATGTCTCGACGACGTGAGCAGTGTCAGGAACAGCATCACCTCGCAGCGGTCACAGGTGAGTTGCATTCATGGTCACTACCACAGTCTTCCCTAACGGCCGAAGCAGGCGGATACGGACAGTCCTGTACGATCGCATTCCTTCAAGTGGGCGTCATTTGTTAAACCCATGCGCTCCCCCACAAAGGCTGCCGCTCCGGAATTCGTCGACTCGCCCCAGCCATCGCCCCAACGACTCGAGCATGATGTCACTTCGCGCAGCGGCAGCTCAGACAGGTCTCGGGGAGATTCATCACACACAACCGCTGGTCCCAGCGGTCCTGCATTGAGGCAGCTACGACCAGAACCCTCTCGGCAAGACAGCTCGGACAACTTGAGGGCCCTCAGGCAAGAACCGTCGAGGCAAGATAGCACCGACAACCTGAAGAGCTTCAAGGTCAGCCTCGACGATCCTGCGTGGAAGGTGCTGCCGGCTGCGTTGAAGAAGTACAAGATCAACAATGATGACTGGCAGAATTACGCCATGTTCATCTGCTATGGCGCGCCGGGTGAGTTAACATAGGTCAAGTCAATCTTTATTCCCGACTCAGTCGCGTATAGGCAACCGCATAGAGAGGTGTTTGAGCTATGACGAGAAGCCCCTGCTGCTGTTCCAGAAGCTGAAGGACGCGAAGAAGAACCCAGTCTTTATGCTTAAGCACATCAAGGACATACGGTCACCAATCGCAGTCGCACAACAGAAACAGGCCGCACGCAAAGCCTCCGGAGACTCGTCAAAGTCGCCGCCCGTATTGCTGGGGCAGAACCAACCGACGGTACAGGGCCAGGACGCAAACGGCCGTCCACTCAGGTTGCAGGTCAACAGCCACACCACGGCACCAGGGCTTTTGTCTGCGGTGCCCAATGGGCAGTCAGGCTGGCCTGAGCTTATGTCGCCTGCGGTGGAGAACAAGGAGGGTGCGCATGAGCTGGGCGCGTCTGCGGAGAATGCGGGAGGGTCGAATGCTGCGAGCAGCTCAGAGAACGCAGTTCCTCCAACAGTACTCAGGGAGATCCCACCATCGACTGGAGTGTCTTACGCAGTTGCGATCTACCCGTATATGGCCGAGCAGGAAGACGAATTCGATGTTGTCGTGTAAGTGCTACTCACCTTACTGTCATGGTCGTTGGCTGATACTGTTTGTAGTGGAGATACGTTCATTATCCTGTCAAGAGCGAGAGGATGGTGGGTCGTCCAACGAGACCCAGAAGGCTCGGGGTCGATCGAACCGGACACGAGCAAGCAAGGCTGGGTGCCCGCAGGCTGTCTGCTCGAGACCAGCGTTCCTGTTTCGACGGCTATCGCAGAGGCAACCGCGAGGGGTGGCTCTCAACATTCGCCTCCACAATCACCAGGCGACCGTACCCCTATCCTGCCGCTCAGTATCCTGTCGACGAGTTTCCCGGGTATCGCGCTAATGGACTACAAGAAGAAAGGAGAGGAAGAGCTGAACTTAGCGAAGGACGACTACCTCCGCGTGTTCAAGCGGTATAACCATTGGTCATATGTAAGTTGACCCGTCCGTGTTCTTTGTATTGTTGCCTCATCGCATGTTCCCGCAGGCGGTCAAAGAAGAGAACGGAGATCGAGGTTGGGTGCCGTCCTGGTTCATCGGGAAGGTACCGGCGCAAGCAGGAGGCCCACAAACGCCGAGCACGAGTGGTGCACCTCACCAACTATCCGCCTCCTACACAGAAAGTGAGCCGCGCTACGGGAATGACACCTCCCCACAAACGCAAGTCTCACCGATGTCTTCTGCGTTCCCGCCTATGCAGACGCGGTCAACAACAGTAGCATGATCGCGGCTTGCTTCAGCGGTGTGCTCCCTGTACTATGATATGACATTCTCTCCCTCCGTCCCTCCAGGTCAATGGACCGCATCCATACGTTCTCGCCGCCGTTCCGCACTACCCTACTACTCTCCTTCGCTTCCGTATGCTACATGGTAAGTTATCGGACTGCAATGGGTTTTATTTTCTGTTTCGCTCGCATTACACGGTCGTTTGCGCTTCGCTTCCTCTGAATACTGTCCTTAGCCCGCAATACTTTCCACCTTCATCCCGCATTCATGATACTTACATGGGCCCCCGCGCGTGCGCGTCGGCTCCGCACTGTACTCTAACTGGCCCAGCAGGCGGCCCCTGTAGTGTCGATACTACGTATACTGTTACACCTAAACAATACATGAACGCATGTTCGTCTGCTCAGCTAGGACGAGCTGAACGAGCGATACAGTGATGACCATACATTACAATCAAGCTATGCTATGAGAAGCTAGAAATTGGTGATGTTTTACAGGGGTAGCGCGTTATGTATACAGCACCACCGGAGAGCAGAGGAGAGCAAGGCGACGGAAAGCGGCACAGCGAGTGAGAAAATCGATCCGGGGAGTCATACGTGATGTTGAGTGTTCAAGGATTCATGACGACTAGTGGGACGTATCGTGGCGCCGAACGCGATGCCTCAGCAGCTTCGTAAGAGCGTTCAACCTGCGCAGACGCGAATAAACCATCAGTCAGCTCACCGATCCGATGCAGCGTACTGCTGCACCTGCCTGAGACACACGCTCACCATCCGCCGAGCCGCCGCTGCTTGTCGCCGCTGCTGTGGCGGTGGGCGTCCCCGTCGGCCGTGGCAGCACGGACGGGTTGGTAGTCATGGTGGGAGCGCCGACTGTCGCTGGAGGACTGGTGCGAGTTCCGGTGCTGAGGGTCTCTGTACGTGTCCCTGCGGTGGGACCGGTCCCGGTCGGAGTTGTATGAATGGAGGGATGACGCGTGTGCTTCGAGGCGATGTCAGGTTGTCAGTACGCTTTGTGATCATGCCGATGGTCTACCGAACTCACCGTCGCCAAAGCTCGTCGGGGAGTCGACGTCCATAGCATCGCGGTGACGGACAGGAGCGCGGTCAACCGATGGCGCAGGCTTCGATGGATAGACGCGCGACGCCGAACTCACGCTGTTGGTGTGGTACGTAGGCGGGCGCGAGGTCGTATGCACCAGCTGAGGCTGTGCTGGAGGAGGCATGTAGTAGGACGAGGCCTGCGGAGGAGGACCTGCTGTGATGGTCTGCGGTAGCGAACGTGTGTACGCGGGAGGCGGTTGTGTCGCAGCGATTGGAAGGGGTTGCTCAACACCGTTGACCGTGTATCGTTCGCCGTCTGGAGACGAGTACACGACGTGTTCGTTGCCCTATTCAGACTTGTGAGCGTACGAACACAGACGACGACATGACGACGCTCACCCGTGCATCGCGACGTTTTGTTATCTGTTCTGTACGCCCGTTGATACTGCGAGTCATAGTGCTCTGCGATACCCACTGGCCACTGCGGCCAACTGCCTCGTTGACTTGGCTGTACGAACGGGTGTTCGGAGAATCCAGGAGCCCAGAGAACATGGGACCTGGCCCGAAGAGAGAGCCAAAAGGCGACCGAGTGGAGAGGCCGAACGGGTCACCAAACGGTGAGCGGGAGGACGAAGTCGGAAACGGATTGGAGAAGAATGGGTCATCGTCCTCGAAGAAACCCCGGTGGAGATTGTGGATATCGCCGAAGAGGGAGCTGAAGAGTTCGAAGGGGTCTGTGAAGGCGAATGACCTGCCGCCAAAGCCAGAGCTGAAGAAGGGGTCCGAAAAGGGCTGGTTGAATGAAGATTGGTAGTAGTTCTGCGACGCTCGTGCGTCTGGATCTGGTGCAGTAGGAGGCGGCCAAACACCGTGTCTATCGTATAGCTATGTGGAGAGTGTGAGCTCATGGCTCAGATTAAAGACCACAGCGAGAGTGTACACAACGCAGCGGTAGCATGCCTCAAGATCCTCCGCTGTAACTGAGACAGAGTGGGGTGGTGACTCGATCACTCACCTTGCGATTTTCTTCGTCGCTCAAGACCTCGTATGCGTTATTAACCTACAAGCACATTTAGTCGTTGCCCTGTTGATGTATGCCTCCAAGTCCAACGCACCTTGCGGAATTCCTCCGCTGCAGTGGCCTTGTCTGCTTCAGATGTTTGTAGCGAGAGCCTATCCGGATGCGTCTTCAGCGCACGTTTGCGGTATGCTTTCCGTACTGCAAAAGGACCGATATGTTAGCTCAGTTCGCAAAAGTATGTCGGGGTCCTGGGGCTAGGCCAGAATTCACGGTACGACAAATCGCGGACGAGCGCCACTAATGCGCGAAGACCACAGGGGAGCCCGTCTCACTGTCCAGCGAGATGCTCCGCTTTGCATGTCCAAAGAAATAACAGGGCTGCCCGTAGACGTTGGATATCTGTGTGGTTGTGCAACACTAGTCGGTCAATTGAACACTTGAACCCGAAGACTTCCACACCAAAGCGCCACCCAATCCTTTGCCGAACCGAGGAGATTAATTGGTCGAAGACCCAGACCCCAGCATCCCACGGCGACCCTACGGTAAACTCACCGTCTTCTGGAGATGCATTCCTGTCTAATCCGAGCGTTTCGTATAGGTTCGTCGCCATCGTGTCAGCTAGTAGTCAAGGGGAGAGTCAAGGGTAGATGGGTGGGCGCGGAGCGATATGAAACGCTAAAGACAAGGTTTTGAGGCGCGCTGACTATTGTCCGGAACGTAATAGAACGTTCAGGAGTGGAGGCCAGAGCGATGTATGAGCCGCCTCCCATATAAGGCTGTTCCCATCATATTCGGCCACCGCACGTGAGCCGGCGGATCTCAGATTCATGCAAGTTACTGTATCGGGCCGGGATCTCGGCCACCTTAGCACTTCAACTTGTCACCTCAGTCCAAAGGAAAGATAACTATCCTGATTGAGGTGAGAGTGGATGTTGATAAATCCTCGTTATGTGCCTCACTACTTACAATGATTTCAGGAGCATCCACACGAGCATCGTGAAGATCTTCTTGACGAGGGTACTAACAGACGCCCAGACGCCCTAGTCGACCAAGCGACTTCAATTAATGGTGTCGCACACGTCGCTGGAGGTTAATTACATCCCATTAGTATTCAAAATGACTGCTAAAGATGTCATGACTAGAATGGTACATTGCCAGGCTGGAGGACGGTGCGAGCGAGACAGAAGAATATTGATAATGTTCGGGCCCGTGATGGTGCTTAGGTAATACTCACCAAATCTGGGTATCATTGCTCGAAACACCACTCATACTCTCAAAATCTGCTGTAGGGGCTTGCAAGTGAGCACATGCAGAGATGGGACGTGTAGGTTAATGATAACATTGTATTTGTGGCCATGGAAAGAATAGCAGCTATGTGAGGCCTCAATACTAGTGACCGAGCACCTAGGGTCGCCGAGATCCTGGCCCGATACACTGTACCGCTCCGTTCCAGATTTTGCAAGTTAACTTTGGTCGTCTTTCCTCCTCACCGTCTAAGTAGAGGATTGTCCCTCCTCCTCTTCCCCGTCTAGAGGACTGTCTTCAGCTTGGCTTCAGCAGTGCTAGTTTGTCTCTCAGAGTGACTTGTGGAAGACCTTGTGGCAGTTTACGCCAACCCTCTCGAACTTGACAAAACTAGTGCCATGCATCTGCACGAATGCATTCTTTTTGCTGCAGGGCCCTCTCCGTCCATTCCAGGACCCGGGACGATAGCCTTGCACGACATACAGACCGGAACGTCTCTCGCATCCTTCAAGCAGACCTCGGCCGCAGCTCGCTGCACAGCGGTCGTTCAATCTCGCGAGGGTATGGGCGGGTTCATGCTCGCAGCGCAGCCGGACAAATCCATAATGAACGTGTATAATTTCCAGAAAGTGCGCGTCATGCATCTCTGTCGAATGCACCATAATAATCGCCTTGTCTGCATACTAGGATCAACTCGCTCTGAAGATCGTGCTGCCGGAGAAGCTCTCCGCGATCGCAGTAGACCCTCGAGGGGAGCTCTGTGCTGGAGGCACGGTGCAAGGGCGGATATTCCTATGGGAGGCTAGTAGTCTCGCCTATGTGAATAGTAGGCATGAAATGAAACAGGTTTGGCTGCAGTAGGTTGCTTCCGGGGTCATGTACAACGCATGGGATGCCCACTACCGACAAGTGAATGTCCTACGCTTCACCCAAGATGGCGCAGCACTTGTGTCAGGAAGCGACGACTCCAGCGTCAGCGTGTGGTCCGTGTCAAGGTCATTGATAATATTGCCGTCTCTCGTCGTCTCTTGACTTCTCGAATAACATAGATTGGTCGACGATGACATGCAGAACGACTTGCCGACTCCGTACTGCAACCTCTCCGACCACTCGCTACCAATCACGGATATAGTCTGCGGAGCAGGTAGCTTCCCATCCTGCCGCATCATCACTTCCTCGGCGGACCACACGGCGAAGGTCGGCATATGTTCTTCTTGTCCGTCGTATCACCCTGACCCAACTACACCAGCTCTGGGACTTATCCTCGAAAACCTTGCTCACGACCTTCCATTTCCCTCAAGCAATCGCCTGCCTCGCATGGGACGCCACGGAGCGCCTTTTCTTCGCTGGTTCCGCCGACGGTTCGATACACCAGGTGAATCTGTTCCGCCAGCGCGTAGACAAGTTTGGGCGGGCTGCGATGGAAGCTGTCGGGGGCGGCGGCGTGAACGATACGATCCGCATCAACGACGAAGACCCGCAGGCTGCGAAAAAGCGGCTGATATCTGTTGGGTAGGCCTCATGCCGCTTCGGAAGTAACGACTCCGCTGAACATTCTTTATAGCCAACCAGTTACGACAATGGCGATATCTCTGACATCTTCGCTGCTCCTGGTCGGCACCGCGACGGGTTACATCCACACATATGACATAGCCTCTCACCAGCTCCTTCGCACGCTCAGCTCGCACAAAGGGATGGTCATCACGCACTTGACGACGCTCCTCCGCCCACCAGATCTCGTCGGGCATGTCAGCCTCACCCTGACTGCGGGCACGGAGACGAAGGAAGTGCCCGTACGCCCCGTAGCGCCGTTCCAGCGCATGCGGGACGCGAAGGCGCGGGAACTACATGAGGTGGCCATGATGCTCCCACCACAACCAGCGGTACGTCCTGTACTCGTTCTGCAGTTGGGAGATACTGAGCGCTTGCTGGTCTAGACCAAAGCGGAGGTGTTCTTCTCTTATTCGCGGGAGGAGCTCCTCCGCGACCAGGCGCTCTTCGTCCAGACTGACGTTGGCGCCGGACAGCAGCCGGCGTCGGCGCAAGCGCGGCTGAGCGAGCTCGAGGCGGAGGTCGCGAAGCTGCGCGAGCAGCTCGGGAAGGCGAAGGGGATGAACGATACGATGTGGGAGACGGTGGTGAAGCAGATCGTGAACGAAAAGAAGGACAAGGCGGGGCCTAATGGACATGGTAAAGAGGACCCGGAAGAAGCAGGGAGGAGAAAGAAGAGAGGACGTACATGATGTTGTAGCTGTTCCATGTCAACGTACCCTTGTTCAGCATTCGGCTTGTCTTAGCTCACTGCATGTCCAGTTCCAATGAGAGATATTGTTGTGATCAGAGAGTTGTGCATATCATCGACGTACATGCGCCTCGGTCAAGCTGCCAGTACCGACACCGCTGGGAACTATCTGTCACGGCGAGGCGTTGGAAGCCGTCATGGCGCCAGGGACGACGCGCGGAGCTTCGCGGACAACCGTAGTAGGATCCCACAACGTGATGTGTATTCGGATGGGGTGTGAGAAGCCGTCTGAGTAGCCAGAAGACTTCAACGCACTTCCCCTCGGGATATACCTTGCCCACACGCCATCGAGTCCACACATCCTTTGACATCCTTGATGGGCACGATAGCGATAGATACACTGTGACTCACCGAAACACCGTGGACTCCCTCGCAAACGCGCCCTCTCCGCTAGCAATGCATCGATATGAGCATGTTTCGTGTTACCACACTGGCTTCCCTCGGACTCGACGTGCCTTGGAATCCAAAAACCAGTGGGCGCCAGGTACAGCAGTGGCACCCCCACCATTCGAGGACGGGAGACGTAGGCGATGGCGAGGTGGGTCTATGTGAGTCACCGGGTGATGCTGGCACAGTATCAGACCAGGCGGAGGAGCCGCGGGCGACGTGCGAGGGAGGTGGGAAGGCACGCGGCGATCGTGTGGGAGGTCACGAAACATATTGCGCGTGGTATTCCAGAGAGTTACTGAGATACCTGTCACAGATACGCCGATACAAATTAGGTGTTTGCCACAGGCCCGTGTACGTGGTCATGGTTAAGTGGGCTTACCCCAACCATCATGAGGGGCCCATGCCGGAGCTGCCAGGCCACATAGCACTCTGCTCGCCACAGCCATACTATTATGACCTTCAGAAAGTGCTTTCCCTGGCGGGTTTTGATGTGCAGCTGTACCCAACTGATAGACTCCCTAGGTATGACCTTGTACTGGCTTTTGCTCACACAGCTCTTTCAGGAGACATCCTGGCTTAGAAGATGTAAGTATGCACCACCTCTAAAGTCTTCCAACACTAACCCACCTTCATGACTGTCCATAGATTGAAGTGTAGACTGGTGTGTACCCGGCACAAAGCACTGGCTGTGCTCCATTGCCACGGGTCACCCGCGGCAATGGATCGCAGACTTGCTTTGTCTGCACACACTGCCTGTCCGCGAGTGAAGGGGAGACAGCGAAGGCAAATATTGACAATGTCGAACGTTCGCATTTAACTTTTAACGGTTGCGGTCGAGGAGACGAACGATCATGTGATCGCTGGATTTGGGCGGTCGCGACGCGACGCGTGCATCGTGTCTCCTTTGTCGACCTGCTCTTCCCCCTATCCTAGCTCAATGTGAGTTCTGTCGCGCGTTTCTGTGACTTCCTGAATTTTTGATCCAAACAGAAGACATCAATATCCACGCACGACAGACATGGTACGCACCCGACGCACGGAAATCGCCAGCGAGCAGGCGTCGCGACGGTCAACACGGAGAGTTGTCGCATACAACGGCAAGTCCAACAACAACAATGCACGAGCCAAGTCAAACCCGCGTCCCAGGTTTGCGGTTATCGACGAACACCGTTTGCCCATCTCCCCCGTGCTCGACACATTGTTCTACTTCATGGCGGAGCGGCACCAGGTTTTTCTACGCCGCACTGCGGGCGAGGAGCGGCCGTGGACAACCGACGAGATTCTACAGAAATATCCGTTCACGAACGTCTTTCGAGTATACGACCGGACGACGCAGTACATCCTCCGACACGTCATAAACCAAGGCAGTCAGGACCTCCACGAGTCGTGTTTCCGCGTCATCCTCTTCCGCGTCTTCAATAGAATCGATACGTGGAAGTATCTGAAGCAACAGTTTGGCGAGCTGACGTGGGCAGACTTCGATGTTTACTCGTACGAAAAGGTCCTCGAAGCGGCCGACGGTCCCCTTTACTCCCCCGCCTACTTCTGTCCGGCGCCCACAAATGTCGGTGGCAAAAGCCATTTTGCCCGTCATCTCCGCCTGGTCCAGCTGTTCATGGAAGAGAATCTGCCGAGGCAGCTGAAACGGTTCCGCTATCTCAAGGATGCCCACGGATGGTTGCGTCTCTTTCCGAGCATGGGCGATTTCACTGCGCTACAGTACGTTCCGTCCCTCAGCATTCATGAACGTCTATCCCCATCTGACACAATATAGGCTTGCGTTAGACCTTAACATGCTGCCGCACTTCAATTGGAGCGAAGACGAGTGGGTCGGTGTAGGGCCTGGCTCCAAGGCGTGCCTTCGCAAAATATTTGGACCGGGAGTGTGCTCGCATGAGCTCGAGGCCCTGCAGTGGCTGCACGCGACTCAGGACGAGCACTTCTCACGGTTGGGCATCCCGGTGGACCGCAGGCCGCGGCTGTGCCAATTGCGTCGTCCTGGCGTGACGATGGTCGACTTGGAACATGCGCTGTGCGAGTGCGAGAAATACTCCCGGGCGTTGCATCCGGACATCAAGGGCAAGCACACCAAGGTTGCGAAGAATGTCTTCGTTCCAACGCCGAAGCGTCCCACAGCAGACCTTCCTGTCAATTGGACCAAAACCTCGTCCCGACCTGTCAAGCTCACCCGCCCGCCCCCTGTCCATGCAGACGGTGATGAAGTCGAGTGGGAGATATCTCGTATTGTGTCAGAGCGAACCGAGGGGCCCGCCGGGCATTATGTGCTTCGATGGACGGGCTACGGTCCAGAAGACGATACCTGTCAGCCCGAGAAGGACCTCATCGGAGAAGCGCAAGGAGTCCTCAATGTCTGGAAATCGATGAAGGGGAGAATTCGGCAGAGATTGAGTGAGTATCAGACGCTGTCGAGTAGAGAACTCAAGGACAGGAAGTCGCAAATCGTCGAGGTTCCTGATGGACAGTATTTGTGGTAATCTATTACTCTCATAACCGAACTTTCCGTGCTTGGCTTTTATCGCTATGCAACAATGCTGTCATGCTTGACTCTGATACGCCGCAACCTGCCCACGTTCAATGTCATCTTTCCATTACATTGGGCCGTTGTACATTATTGATGCGAGTGGCCTGGTGTAGAGTTAGTCGATGCTTGTGAATCGCTTACCTAGTCCACGACTCGTCACTTGGCAATGCCGGAGCCTGGAAGACCTTCATTTCGATGACTTCGGACTCCAACCGGAGCGCACTGATTTGGATGCTACATGCACCTCTTGTGTCAATAGCTTAGTCGTACAGCTCCTATCAAGCTTCAATAGCCCAAATTTGACAATTGATTTGCACGTCAGAATTGCTACGAGCCTCTGAGTTGGGCGGGACAAATGTGCTGGCTGGAACACAGGATTGTTCCCCGACTCCGACTAGAGGGAGAGAGAAATTCACTTTGTCCATTGTAAGTCCGAACGATGTGGTTGGATGCACGAGTTGTGCCGCGGCGCAGGATCACGCTCACGTGAGCGCGCCTTGTTCCTATGAAGGATTGGAGATCTCAGATCCATGTAGACCGTGGCCGGTGGCTGAGCCAGACTCTCATTCAGCCTCTTGCGTTCATACGTAGTGTTCAGTGTTCCACCGGCGGATACTCCGGAAAGAAGACTTGAACAAAGGAAAGATTGCATTGCGTTCATAGGATACACAAAATATCCCGATACGCAAGTACACGACGTTCCACGTCGCGGACAGACGCTAGCGTTGGAAGAAGATGGATGCTGTAGAGAAAGCGAACACTGATAGGCAGAAGAGATGGTAACGGTCTGAATGTTACTTTTGATCTTATACTTATGATAGAGAAGGGCGAAGGACCAGAAGATTGGTGAAGGTACCTACGCCGTGGTATACCGAGGTAAGCCAGCCTGAGACGGAGAGCCATCAGTCTGATTTGCCTATACAGGTCGTGAAATAGCGACAGGACGAAAAGTTGCTATAAAGAAGATCAAAGTAGGCCAGTTCAAGGATGGACTGGATATGTCTGCCATCCGCGAAGTGAAGTACCTCCGTGAGCTGAAGCACCAAAACGTCATTGAGGTAGGTCTCTTCGCCACTCGTCCGTGCCGGTCTAATACCAAGTGTGCAGCTCCTCGACGTCTTCTCATCGAAGAAAAACTTGAATCTTGTCCTCGAGTTCTTGGACACTGACCTTGAACTGGTCATTCGAGATCGGTCACTGGTCTTCCTCCCTGCCGACATCAAGAGCTGGATGGCTATGACCTTCCGTGGCCTGGAATTCTGCCACAGAAACTTTATATTGCATCGCGTAAGACATCTGTGTCAATGCTGTCAAGGCTTTGACACAACTTTTGTTTGCAGGATCTGAAGCCCAACAACTTGCTCATTGCCGCGAATGGGCAACTCAAATTAGCCGATTTCGGTCTTGCGCGGGAGTTCGCGGACCCTGGTTACAAGATGACTTGTCAGGTCATCACACGGTCCGCGCTTTCTCAACCACCCTCCCGTTTTCCATTCACACATTTGCAGATGGTATCGACCACCGGAATTATTGTTCGGCTGTCGATATTATAGCACTGCCGTAGACGTCTGGTCTGTCGGTTGCATCTTCGCCGAACTTATGCTCCGAACGCCATACCTTCCCGGAGAGAGCGACATGGACCAACTGAAGACCACCTTCCGTGCTTTGGGCACGCCGACAGAAGACGATTGGCCGGTACGATTGATCACTACCCTAATTACTGTCTATTGACTTTGACCGTGTGACAGGGACACACGAAACTGCCTGACTACGTTCCTCTAGGACAGTTCCCAAAGACACCATTACGGGAACTCTTCAGTGCCGCAAGTCCCGAATGTCTCAACCTTCTCAGCAAATGCCTCATATACGAGCCACGTAGGCGGATCAGCGCCAAAGACGTGAGGCTATTATCTGTAGAGACTGCACGCTTCATACTAACCCCTTCGCCGAAGGCCCTATACCACGCTTACTTCACGTCACATCCATATCCTACACATCCATCCAAGCTTCCCAAGCCTGCCACTAAGGCGACTTCAAATCTCCCTCTGGAGGAGCTTGACGGCAATGCGGAGCCTAATGGCAATGGGCCTGCCGTCAAAGCCAACCCGCCGAACAAGCTCAAGCGCAAACTGTCGTCTGACGACGTCGACAGTGGCGGTCGTTCGATTGCGCGGAAACTCGACTTCACACAACATCGGCCGACGCCACAATAGGCCACGACGCGGGTCAGGATGATGGCAAAAGGGACATGTCACGTCCCAACGTTCTCGACGTTCACATCAATACGCTAGGGTAGACGTACGCGTCACTAATATGTACGAGTAGAAACGGACTGCAGTGTACGCTACGGGGAAGGACTATGTAAACCGTTCTTGGGGACATTACGGAGTGACGGACAGCAGGACAGCAATGTGATACGAGATGGTATTCAGACAACTCGAAGCGGAAGTCATCCGCAAACTTAGGGAGCATAGCACAAGAAAGTATCGAAGGGCTCAGACAAGGGAAAGCTACCGCGGCCGCGGCGCTTCACACACCATACATTTCTCTTCCACCTCGGCCCCGTTGGTGCACATGCACGTGGAACACGTCCAGGAGCCTTCCTGGGGTATGGGCCTCGCCAGCTTCACCGCACCCCAGTCAAACCCTGCCTGTTGTACTTTGGGTGCCCCCGGGCGAGGTGCCTCGCATACGGCGCACTTCTCCGTCACTTTGGCGTCGTTCGTGCACATGCACGTCGAGCATGTCCACGAGCCCTCCGGCTTCGGCGGTGGTTTCGCCATGCCCGCACCTTCCCAGTTGAAGCCCTTGTTGGAGGACGATCCTGCAAAGGCGGTAGAGCCTGTTGTACTGCTTGTAGACTTCCCGGCGTTACCCCGAGAACCGGTACTCGTACTCGGTCCTGCACCAGGTGATGACAGGGCGGCCTTCAGGTCGTACGTACGAAGTTCAGCCGGGCGCATCGCCTTCGCTTTATCCTTTGCCGATTGCGAGACGTCAAGGTGGGTCGGCGATACCATGAACTTATACGTAGGGAGATCGTTCGCGCTCTTCTCGGCCACGATCGCTTTGGCATCTTGAGGATGAGTGGAGGCCTTCTTCTCCTGTCTAGTTGACTTCGCGAGGGGCGCAGCCAACGGTACCGACTTCTTCAGAGCAGGTGGTACCGGTGCAGGTTCTGGTACGTCTTCATCATCAATGAAGACCTGGTGGCGCAGCCCGGACGGTCTCGAAGGCTTGTGCTTATTGTGGCCAAGGCTCGAACCGGGGATTCCGGCTCGTACAGGTGCAGGCGGCAGTGCTGTAGTAGGAGATGCGTTCCTGCTAGCGGGTTTACTGCTCTCATCGGGTTCGATCACCTCAGATGGCAATGTGTAATCCTGGGGTCTGCGAGGTCCGTCTTCGTCAGGGACTTCCACAATCTCCACCGACGGAGGTCTGACTCGGCTCCTGCCATTCGCAGTAAGCGCGGCGGCGTTCGTTGTCTTTTGCTTCTTCTGCGGCGAGCCCTCTCCATCATCGACGTCCTCGTGCGTGACGGAGACTTTCGCACCGAAGCCATTCGGTTTCGGCCCTGCTGCGGCCTCAACGCGTGCTTTCCTGCGCGGAATGGGGGGCTCGGTAGCCTCACTGCCAGTCTGAATAGGCTTGATATCCGGCGCAGGACGTGCCCGTTTGCTCCCCTACGAAGACATGAATACCTCAGAGCTGAAAATATTTGAGCGTACTCACGGTTGGCATAGTCGCCTCGATGGTCTCCACTGATGTAAGGGCAGGTTCTGCAGCAGGCGGTGCTGCCTCAACAGAAGGTTTCGACGCAGTTTTCGGTCCAGTCTTCGATGCCTCAGCTCCTCGAGGCTTCCTCTGCGGAGGTTTCTTCGCAGGAGGCCGAGGTAGCACACTGGCAGTCTGATATGGATTTTGAATGTCTGGATTGGTCTTCGGGGAGATCTCCTTGATCAATTGGGATAGATACGCCGCAGACTGAGTCTGCTTGCTAGCGAGGGCGGCGACGACTGTGAAGACGGAGAGTCCGACTGGCCCCATGTTGACGCAATGGCGAAGGGTTGACAGGAGTAGTTGGTTTCGCAGACCTGCGAACGGGTGTGGTGGGAGATGCGCCATTAATCTTCGGCAGTCCGTTGCCATTGATACACCTCTAGCACTGATGCTGGAAGGTCCTGCTGCAGGCGATGTGGCGCCGTTCGTGGCAAGCGAACTGCTAGCAGACACACTTGACGAGATGGTTCGGGGAGCAAACAGATCTGGGTCAGCACCAATCCGTCGACGTTTGCCGTCCGCAGGAGGCTTCTCTGGTGCGATCCTAAGAGACGGAGCGGGACGCTGCGGTGGTCGAATCCTGGCGAGTGTACCGATTTCGCGGACGGGCACTGCCGCCACCACGTATGACGTACGGACCATTGGGATTCTTTGACAACATCTTCCGATTGCCGTTGCTCGCACTGCCAGGCGTGAATGTAGCCTGCGCAGGTTCTGGGCTCAGCGACGAGGTGGAGAACCTGAACGGCTCCGCCTTGTCGTCGGGTTCTGCTGCAACAGCGTAAGCAGAGACACATAATGATTGGCTGAGGAAACTCACCCTCGACTCGCCCTGCGAGTAGTGCTAACACCCCTGCATACTCAATCCGCGTCAGAGGCCGATCGCCCTTGCTCCGCAGGAACTCTTCTACAGCCCTATTGTTGGAGCCTCCGAGATCAGTTGGTCCAGCAGTGACGCAGGACTTTGTGTATCCGCCGATGCTTTCGATTCGGGAGAATGCTGAGTATGGGATGTGGCCGGTCCGGTGGAGCATTGCTAGCAGGTCGTTGTTCATAACCTGAGAACGAGGATGAGGAAGCATATGGTCTCTGGTCGAGCATCTGCATGCGGAGAGTGAGATACACCGAGAATGACCTGAAGACGACGTACTTCGCGTCCTCGCATGCTTAGTGCGCGGGCCGCGGTGGATTGTACGGGTTCGCTTGTCGCCTCTTCCTCGACCTCTTCATCTCTGGAGGGGGACAACGCGCGTAATGGATTGAGGTAACTGAGGACGTCCGTCCAAGCCCAAGACTAGGCACGCGAAAGGATTAACAATGAGCTCTCTGAATAGCAGCACCGCGTGGCGTACCGATTTCTTGGGTGCCGGACGACTGTAGGGCAGAGCCGCGTGTTTGCGCGCGGCGCGTCGGCTTGCACTGGAGCTTGAGCGTGCTACGCCGCTCATGGTGGTAGAGCCAGGGAGAATACAGGGGGGCCCAGTGAAAGGGAGGGGAACAAGAGCAATTGTGGGCAGCGCGCGCATGCGAAGGGCATGACAGTGGCCTCAGCCTGCCCTGAAGTCACGCGCGCCCCCGCGTGTCCGGCGCTGTCGCCCACAGCGAACAACATCTCCTGCTCGTCGCCGCCAGGGCTCAGCTCGCTGCCTGGCCACTCCCGCCCATCATGCCTCAGAAGGTTATCGAGACACCGTATCCTCTCATTGATGCGGACCCGCACGCCTCCCGAGTGATTCGTTACATGCGCCCCTCGGACTACGGTGTATGGGCCACCGCAACGGGTGCTTTCCCTGCTGCGTTGTACTTCTGGGGTGCGTAGGCCTGGCTCAGACCGCAAGGGACAGGACGAGATGACGTTGCTGTAGAGGTGGCCGACCCCACAAAGTTCAAGCTTCGTACTCACCTCAAACTCGGCGGCTTGTTCGGGTTCATCGGAGGGTTCTTGCTGGCTTACCAGAGGTCCAGCTGTGAGTTCATCGCATATGCTGGTCGTGCCTCTCTTGACGTCGATTGATTCCTAAGTCCGGTTCTGGGGCTGGTCGGAGAACAAACGCGAGGAAGAGAGAGACTTCAAGGAGCTGAGTGCCCGTGCTCAGCAGGGTCTTCCCCTCTACGGCGAGTCACCCCAGCCCGAGTGGATCCAAGCCTCTGCGTACAGGAACTCCGTTTTCTCCCAACTGAAGTTCGGTGAGCAGAACGCATCCCCTGCTATGCATCATGCTCATTCCGTCGCGCAGCTGTATTCCCTATGTAAGTGTCGCGAACGGCAAGTGAGGCTCTGCTAACGAAATGCGTACATTTCCACCATCCAGGGTGAACCTTGTAAACCATCCGCACCACGGTACAGATCCCGCAAAGTACAAGCCGAAGGCGGATGAATCGTCGTAGACTCAGTACGCCTTGTATCGCTTGCTATTCCTTCGGCCATACTGCACAAACCATCGACCCTTGCGAATGACTTCAGTCTGTGCACTATAAGGACTTCGCTTTGTGCAGCTTCTGCCTACGTATCACGAGCGTGCGCTGCACAGCCCGCACATCCTCGCCGTCAGTCAACACAGTACTCCAGGCTGCATTCTGCCTAGAGGTGAATCATTGGGGGAGAAGGATTATTGGAATGCTCGAGAATGCAGTGCAAGCGAAGTACTCAGCCGGTGAGCATCTTCTATCCGCGCGTTGTTCCAGACCGCACGCATGCCAGCAACCGTATCACGCTTATGAGCATGTGTCTGGCATGCTGGTACCTGGGCTATGCATCGCTTCAGAAAGGTTAACGCCTGGCTTCTCTGCGGTCTGCCTACTCTGATGACTCCTACTGGAACGTCAGTTCCGGACGACTGCTGTTCATGAGGCTGAATTTGATCAGGCCGTTTGTTTACAATCAGTTGGCGTGAAACTACGTCTCGTCGGGCCGTTCGTGCCACCCATGTGCAGACCACTGCTCCCACACACTCAATCGAGTCCTAGGGACCACTGTTATTGGCAGACGTAGATAGGAGCATCTCACGGACGTCCGAAGGCTACTGGCGGCATAAGGGAAGCAGCATAGGCATTTTGCGACCTTTCATCGTCTACCAGTACTATCACCATGTCCCATTCTCTGCTCCTCGAGAATATGTTCCGCCTCTCAGGCCGAGTAGCCCTTGTAACAGGCGGCGGCACGGGTATCGGCTGGATGATCGCGGAAGGTCTCGCTGTGAACGGTGCGAAGGTGTATATCACTGGACGTCGCAAGGATGTACTGGAGAACGCGGCCAAGAAGTTCGCAGATCAGAACAAGGGCAAAGGTTCGGTTGTGCCGTGAGTAGTCATTTGAACGACGTGTTGTTAACGTTATACTGGACTGGGGATGACAACTGATATTCGCGCCAAATAGTCTGGTGATGGATGTAACAGACAAGGCTAGTATCGCTGCTGGCCAGAAGGTTGTCCAAGCGAATGAAGGCAAACTCCATATACTCGTGAACAAGTAAGTAGTCAACTTCCCTAAGCTTCGTATTGTTCTGGATACTCACAGAGTCTTCAGTGCAGGCATCAGTGGACCCTTGACGCCCTGGTTCAACGATACCTCTGCCCCACAGCACAAAGACCCCGAGACCCTAGGGCAAGCATTCTTCGACAGCGCGTCCTACGATGACTGGTCATACGTTTTCGGCGTGAACACGTTCTCCGTCCACTTCCTGACGACCGCGTTCCTCGGCTTGTTAGCCAAAGGCAGCGAGGATGAGGAACTGTACACATCCAGTGTCATAAACATCACGAGTCTCAGCGGGAGCAACAAGCTCGCACAGAACCAGGTATATAACATATCTCCGCTTCGCTTCGCTCCATCAGATCATGTACTCATGAACGATATGTCACGGGCAGTTCGCCTATAATGCAACCAAGGCGGCCGCCACACACCTCACCAAGATGTTTGCGACGGAGCTCGCACTGAAGAAGATACCCGTCCGCGTGAACAGCGTCGCACCCGGCGTATACGAATCCGAAATGACATACCCGCATATTCCCCCGGAAGACGTGGACAAGATCGGCAAGTCCATCGTACCCATCCCCGCGCGTCGGGCTGGAAGGTGTGTTTGACATCCGTTGTCGAATGAAACGCCGTGGCTTGACAGGTGTGACTCCAGACCGGAAGAAGTGGCTGGGACGGTCATCTACTTGGTGTCTCCCGCAGGATGTTACACGAATGGCCAGGAAATCATCGTTGATGGAGGATACACTGCTGTGAACCCAGCTGTGTGACGCCGGTGAAATGAGCGCTATAGCCTTGTTGTAGGATACGGCAAGTGGTGGTGTATACGCACGAACGAACGTATCACAATTGCATTCGGCCCTCAAGGCCTCAAAGTCTCAGGGCTTTGACTAAGTCGTAAGTTTGGTCCTATTCGTGCACATGCATACACGGTGTACCTCAGTCATCAAGCTACAATTTGAAATGCCGAGGCGCTGTAGTTCTGAACGATGGTACATGCTTGGTATATGCAAGTGTTGCAGAACGCAACCTAGACACCTGCAAACCTGAAGACTACCATGATTCATGAACGTTTGAACCGTGACGAGTACGCGTTCATTGGCAAGACGACTAGAGACCCCTACATTTCGTCTACATTGCAAGGAATGAAAGCCGCCAAGCATAGTCATGCACGCCAGCATTGATGATAGGTAGTTCGGTACTCGGGTTCCCGGCGCTATGTACGGGGTACTAGTCTGCCGCTCTACATCTACCACCGGAACAGCACTTCCTAGTCGACTGTCGAACATGCAACGGAAACCACTCCTTGTGGAGAACCGTTTCGGAGCACATTTGGGATCCAAAGTTTGACGAAGATGTTATATTTTCGGTCGACGAATTTCCTTTTTTGGTAATTGTGGCGATGTTCGTTGAATATCCTTCGGATTTTCGGCATACCTTCGGACTTCAAACATGCTCCGAAACGGTTCTCCAACCAGGAGCGTTGTTCATTGCATGTTCGACAACCAATTCCCAAGTATTGTTCCCGGTGTACTTTGAGTTTGCTTCGAGCACAATTAGACGAGTATAGCATCGTCCTATCTCATTGCAACACTGAAAGACGCAGGTACGGATAAGATAAAACTAGAATTTTGTTGCTGGATCATCGCATTCTACTGCCACTACCGAGGGTCCTCTACGACGTGAACGACGAAACGTGGTCCTCGACGACCTTCTTGATCTTCGACTCGAGCTCGGGCGTGATCTGGCCGCCGGCGATCTCTTGCAGGAGCGCGCTCTGTGCCGACGTCAGGTGCTGGCGGAACTCAGCCTCCCACTTCGTAATCTTGTCGACGGGGACAGCGTCGAGAAGACCGTTGACACCGGCGTAGATGATGGGGACCTGGATCTCCATCGACAATGGCTGGTACTGCCCTTGCTCTACAAGCCGGACATTAGTCGCCGCACAACACGGCACCTCAACTAAAGCACTTACTGAGCAGCTCAGTCAAACGAGCACCACGAGAGAGCAGGAAGCGAGTCGACGCATCAAGATCGGAACCGAACTGAGCGAAGGCAGCGACTTCACGGTACTGCGCAAGGTAGAGCTTGAGCGAACCCGCGAACTTCTTCATGACCTTGCTGTATTTCGAATTGTCAGTCACCGTAGCGCCCAAGCCAAACAGACCATGACGTACGTCTGTGCGGCCGAACCGACACGGGACACGGACAGACCGACGTTGATGGCGGGACGGACACCACGGAAGAACAGCTCAGCCTCCAGAAGATCTGGCCGTCGGTGATAGAAATGACCTGTCGACAACGTATCAGACTTGCCGGAGGCGTTAGAGGGGACACAGCAGTGTAAACGCACGTTCGTGGGAATGTACGCGGACACATCACCACCCTGGGTCTCAATGATGGGGAGAGCAGTGAGGGAACCGCCGCCGAATTTCTCGCTCATCTTCGCCGCACGCTCGAGGAGACGAGAGTGAAGGTAGAAGACATCACCGGGGTAAGCCTCACGACCGGGGGGACGACGGAGCAGCAGCGACATCTGACGATAGGCGACGGCCTGCTTAGACAAGTCGTCGTAGATGATTAGAGCTACATTCACTATGAGCCAACTCGTGCGAGATCCAATGACATTTTATGACATACCGTGCTTGCCATTGTCACGGAACCATTCACCCATAGCACAACCCGAGAAGGGAGCGAGGTACTGGAGAGGAGCAGCCTCCGACGCAGTGGCAGCAACGATGATAGTGTACTTCATGGCATCGTTCTCCTCAAGAGTCTTGACGAGCTGGGCGACGGTGGAACGCTTCTGGCCGATAGCAACGTAGACACAGTAGAGTTTCTTCTCCTCGTCCTGGCCATCATTCCACCTCTTCTGGTTGAGGATGGTGTCAATGGCCACAGCCGTCTTGCCAGTCTGACGGTCACCGATGATCAGCTCACGCTGGCCACGGCCGATGGGAACCATGGCGTCGATAGGCTTAATACCAGTCATCATAGGCTGGTTGACCGAGCGACGGGGCAGGATACCAGGGGCCTTGAGCGAAGCACGGCGACGTTCGGACGTGTTGATGGGACCCTTGCCGTCAATGGGGTTGCCGAGTGCGTCAACGACACGGCCAAGGATCTCGGGGCCGACGGGAACGTCGACAATTTGGCCGGTACGCTTGACGGTGTCGCCCTCCTTGATGAGACGATCGTTACCGAAGATGGACACACCGACGTTGTCAGCTTCCAAGTTCAAGCACATGCCGCGGACGCCAGAGCTGAATTCCACCATCTCCTCGGCTGTAGGACACGACGCGCTATTGAACACAACGCACGACGCGGTGGATGAATGTAGACATACCCTGGACATTTCTCAGACCCCATACACGTGCAATACCGTCACCGACGCCTAGGAGAGAACACAGAGTAAGGATCTCGTTCTGTTGCACGGCGGGGGAAGAACGTACTCAGCACGCGGCCTGTCTCCTCGACGTTCGCGCCCACAGAAGAGCCAGCTATGCGGGACTCGAGAATTGAAGACACCTCAGATGCAGCTACGCGTGACGTGTCACACCGGATTGCACAAAATCGTCATAGCACAGACGCGATTGCAGGTAACGAAATAAGACACGTCGCCCACATTGAATGGCCCGAAGCACGCACCAGCCTTCGCCGTTGCATACGAGCGAGTTGCAGCAAAGGGAGCGACGCGGCCAGCGCTCTGAATTTTGCGTGAGATCATAGGTCAGAGTGTGCAGCCCGCGCAGAACGGCGAGCTCGCGACGCACCCGGGGAGCGGCCAGCGCGGCTGCGCGCAAAGAGTTTCTGAGGGCGACTCTGTGCATGGGGGAGAAGGAAGGTGGAAGACGAGGACGAGGGGTCGTTCGTTGACGTTAGTCGCTAGGGTGTTTTCGGGTCCCGGGACGTCGCCTTACATGTCCACCTTTCAAGCTCCGCCCCAATTCCTGTTTTCCCAGGCCCGCCCGGCTCTCCCGACCGCCGTATTACCCGTCCCCGCCGCTGTCTCTGCCGGCGATGGCGTCCCTTTTCAGAGGTGAGTAGTGCCGGCCTCGTCGCGCTGCACGACGCTGACGACGGCCTCACCACCACCACCAGCGCCCCTGCGCGCGCTCGCGACCCGTGCGCTGCACACCGAGGTGGCGCAAATGCCAGCTACGACACCGCACGCGCTCTCCCTCATCCGCTCACAACCCGCACAATACGTCGTCGCCTCTGTTGCAGGCCGAAAATACCTGCTCGCACCCCGCGACCTCCTCACTGTGCCCCGCCTCAAAGATGTGCAAGTCGGTGACATCCTAGCACTCTCGCAAATCCACGAGGTCGGCTCGCGCGAGTTCACCATGCGCGGCAGTCCCACCATACCGCAGGAAAAGGTCAAGGTCGAGGCGACGGTCGTGGAGCACACGAAGGGGAAGATGGAGGTCATCTTCAAGAAGAAGCGCAGAAAGGGCTATCAAAAGACCATTAAGCACAAGCAGACATACACGCGTCTCAGGATCGGGCCCATTGATATTGTAGACCAGTAGGACAGCTAATGGACAGCCATTTTTCTCGGAATACTACAGTACAGTGTGCGAGGCCATACCTATATCTCGCCCTCCTCAGGAGTCTCAGCACGCGCAGGTAGGTCTTGCTGCTTCGGCGGTTCCTGCGGGGCACTTCCGGAGGGACACTGTACCTCGGTCGCTGCAAATATTCACCACATCAGTACCGGACAATTAGTTCACCTGGAGGAACATACCTTCTCTGCCCGTTCTTCAAACGGCCTGTCCTCATACATGGATCGATCGCGCTTCTCGCGAGGGTCCTCTCGGTAAGTCGACGCGCTCCGCTCCCGGTCCTCCCTGAACGGCGGTGCCTCAGGTGGAGCAGGCACAGCAGGATAGTCCTCGTAGTCTCCTCTCGAGCCACGATGATCCCGACGCCTGTCATCACGTTCATGCTCGCGATGATGCCTCGACGACTTATACGGGTAGTCCCGCTCCTTCTCGCGCTCCTTCTCGCGACCGTAGTATGCCTTGTCACGCTCGCGCCCGTACTCTCGAGACGACCGGTGCGAGTGCGTATCGTGGTCGTCGTGTCCGCGGTGCGACCGCGAGCTCCGAACATCCTTGTCATCCCTGTCTCGGTCGCGGTGGTCACGGTCGCGTTCACGGTCACGGTCACGATCTCTCTCGTCGCGGGAGTCCTTAACTGGCTCTTTGCGCCTGCGACTTGCTGTCGAGCCGCCATCCTCGGATTCTCGCTCGCGCTGCTCGCGAAGACGCTCCTATTGCATACATGAGGGCATGTCCACAGGGAGTCTTCAGACGCACATACCTTCTGGCGTTTAACAAACTTCGAATAGGCCGCTTTCCTGCCATCTTCGTCCTCGAGTGCTTTGAACTCAGGCAGCTCTTGGATGGAAGGAAGAGCCTGGTGATAGGGTCTCAACGGCATGCCCACAAAGTTAGAAATTGAGTAACTTGCCTCGTCATATGAAAGGTTGATATCCAGAGGCTCTGGGAGCTTCTTGAGGGCATACCGCAGGTCGTCCTGCAAGTGACGTAGCCGTCTCTCGGCACGCCGTTTTTCGTCCGCCTGCTGCTTGAGTGCTTGACCGTGCAGCTGCGTGTAAGTTAGTAACAATCGGCATCACGGTTGTATGCAGACTTACCGTGCGATAAATCTCTTCGAGCTCTTCCTCGGAAAGCTTCCCAACAGCCTCGTCATTATCTTTCCTGACGACAGCCACGAACTCGTCCAGGGCCGTCTCCGGAGCAAGATTGAACAGCTTGACACCGCCCTCCTGCCCGTCGGCCATCTGGACATCCCCGTCCGCACCTACTTGCTTTTCCTCCAGCAACTTGTTGTGTCGATTGATCGCGCCCTCCACGACGGTGATCTTCGCGTCAAGCTTTTGGTCAAGGTCGTCGACCGTGTCCCAGAAGAGCTCGAGCGGGTTGGAACCGGGGTTGCCAAGAATGTCCAGGTAGCGGGCGTCGTTAGCTAAGGCGGGATAGACGTCTTTCCACTTCGTACGCGACTTGATCTCGCCGGACTTCACGAGACTCTGAAGCAGGTCCTACATGACGTCGCGATATCAGTCGTCCGAAATCAAGAGTCTCAGTAGCTCGGCAACACCTACCCTATATGCCTCACGCGCCTTGCGCTCCTTGCGCGTCTTTTCCACCTGCGAGCGCCGCATCTGCTCCTCGAACTCCCGCTCACGGACTCGGCTGTAGTCTTCGAAGGCCAGGAGAATGTCAAGCGTAGGCAACATCTGCAGTTCCGGGTCGTCCTTCCACTCGTCAGAGTCGAGCACCATTTGGTGGGCTTGACGCCAACGAGTAGTCACATCCACGTCGAGTCGCTTGAACAGCGCCATGACCTTCCCGACGCTACGGGCCCGCGCCGCACGAGTCTCTTGCTGTGAATCGTTGCAAATATACATGTAGACTGTCAAATCTACCGGATAACCATCATGTCAGAGCACGTACCACCTCGCGCTGCCTCAGTTCAGCGACGTATTCCTCGAAGATGAGCCTCCGCTCAGCCTCGATCTTCGCTTGCTGCCAGATGGGATGCTGTGCGAACAGCCTGTCTGCATTGGCAAACGTACTGTAATGGAAGACGTTTGGGTTGCCTTTGAGCATGTTTCTGACGGCGGGACGTAGCTTCGAAAGCCGCGCGTCACGCTCTTCCTGCTCCTTTGCCCGGAGGTTGTCCGTATACTGTTATATGGTGTCAACGTGTTTTGAGGACTTCAGAAAGAAGACGCATACTTTCTGCCAAGCAGCCTTCTTCTCCGCCAGAGTGTTCAGTGCTTTGTACAGAGGATCAGTGATGATAGCACGCATCGTCTGATCCCACGTCCAATTCGCATCCACGCCAGCCTTGCGCAGCAGATGCGTAAACGCCTTTTCTCCCTCCTCCACCGTTGTAAACCCATTGTGAGGTATCACGGGGTCGTCAGGTAGGTTTGGCCGCGCAGGCAGAACACTAGTATTTTGAAACGGCAATGCACCAGTGTGTGCAGCAACAGCGAGCTCGGAGTTTCCGTTTGCCTGAGAACCGGGGGCGGATAAGGATGGATCAGCGCCTCCCATAGCAGCAGGTGCACCTTGCATTGGAGTCCCAGCGGCGGTGAAAGCCGGAACACCGCGGTTCGTGCTTCAGAGTATGTGAGCATTTGCGGGTGCGCATGGAGAGAGGACATACACTAGAGCATTTGCGGGTTGTGTTGTCCCTTCCTTCTCTACCTTCTCCAGGACAAGGAGCAGCTCGTCGGGCATGTCCCATTTCGACTCCTTCGTGTCGGTCTGCAAGAACGGAGTTCGGGCATACACCTTGGGGAATAAGGTGAAACGTACGTTGTAGTAGTATTTCCTGCCACCCGAGATGTACTCCTTCCATTTCGTCTGGTTCAAGGCTCGCTGTGCAGTGTCAATCGCAATGGTCTCTAGAGATACAGCTGAAGGTCAGTCACCTCGAATGGTGTCTTCAAGTCTATAGAGCACTGTAAGTATGCATTACCACAACGCATAAGCCCTGTGGCGCACCATCTGGTTTCTCCCAAACACTTTCCCTGGTGCCGGTGTTGAACCAATAGGTTCTTCCCTCCGGGTTACGGTGTTCTGTCTACTTCATGTTAGAGTCAATACGTATCTGTGAACGGTGAGCACTTACCCAAACGTTCATATTGCCCTTCAATGATTCAACTCAATGAAGCCAGTGAAGATGGACGAGCTCCGAGGGCAGCGATTCTGAGGTGATGGGCCGAAGTTGCCGTGCGCTGCAGACAGCGTGGGAGTCACCTGCCTATTTCGGCGCTGAGAGGTCTGCCCGTCACGGTCCTCCGAGTCCAGGCACAGCGGCCGCGGTGTCACTCAAAAGCTAGCCAAAGCTACATATCCTTGTTACCTTGTTGACAAGTAAGGTCATTGTCAGTCACTTATTCGTACACGGATACTCACTTTTGCATGATCAGTGCGGGTATTGCTGGCCCGCTCTTCAATGGCATGAGTGCGCCGCAACACAAAGACGCGCCGCGCCGGAGACGCTCGGACGTGCACTGTTCGACAGTGCGTCCTTCGACGACTAGGCCGACGTATACACAGTGAATACATCCTCCGTATGTATACTTCGTAACGGCCGCGTTTCTCGGCTTGTTGGCGAGAGGGCCAGGACGTCCCAGGATACACTTCTTTCGTGATCAACCTTGGCAGTATCAGTGGCAATACGCTTACATAACTCCAAGCTTCAAGCTTAACGTTAACTCAGACTCGGAGTTACACAAGAAATCAAAGCTGATTGCAGATCGGATCGGTGGCGGTGGCGGCGAACAGTCCCAATAGGGCATTGTACTTATATTGACTTGACACAACGGTTGAATACGACCGTCCTCTTCCCGGTCAGCGGCCTCCGCCACGAGTACTGCGGGGATCATGCAACCTCAAACTCGAGATGCACTCCGACACCACCTCACTATTGCCAGTGGAAGAGATCAAACAAAGCAAGAACTAGGGGTCGCCCAACGACGTCTGGGCCTGGTCGACCGTGCCACGTTCGTACGACTTCGTGCACCGAGGATACATCTACTCACAAATGTTTAAACGGATATAGTTCAGACTGTGTGATGAAACATACAGATATACGGCGGTAGCGATAAGTCCCTAATTTACCCAGGGTCTTCTGTTCGACGTCTCCAAGCCCTACTGATCTCTGAGGACAGGGCGATTAAATTTAACGCAGAGGGTGGGTCTGAGTACCGAGTACTAAATCACTGGACTGGGTAGCAGTGGTCACAGGGTATCATGAAAGCCTGGTCATTCATCTGCGTCCTTCGTTACAAGCCAGAGGCCAATTGGGCGAGTTCACGTCAACCAGCATGGAATGACTGAATACACGAGGCTCCGGACAGGTCACAGCTCAGACATCGGTGCTGTAACCAGAACAAGCGGACTGCGGTGTCTCAAGCTGCCGCTTCGGATACGCGGGATAAGGTGAACAGTAATGCACATCGATTTTTCCGCTTCCGTCGCATCGGCCATACAGCTGGCAAGATTTGCACCACCTCGGTGCGGTCACTGACGTACGTATTGCAGAACGCGTCGAGCCTGTGACCAGTACATGGCTCACACGCCTTTCATTTGCTCCGTTGAAGTCTACACATTACGAGGTTTCGCAAGCCTTCGGCAAGCAAGAAGGTGCGAGATGCCGCTTCCATGAGTTGCCGTTGGCCTGAAGTATACTGAACCCTCCATATAACCATCTGCCCTGTGCCCTCGCAGTCGTCAAACTTGTCTGGTGCAAGACTGCGTCTCGATTGAAAGAAGTGGTTCGAGAAACAAAGAGGAGAAGATTTCGATGGACCCGGAACGATTGGTCAATCGGCTGGCAGGTCCGCACAATATCCGTGAGTCTCTTGTGAGCATTGTCGTCTCCCGAGGCCGAGCTGATGCTTCCCATGCCAAAGTTGTCGACCAACTCGTTTCGTTGTGAAAATCTAGACCTCACGATGCATACCGTCTGCAGCTTCTCCAGTCCGACCATCACGCATGGCTAGCCACGGTGCGGGTTCTCTAGTTCCAAGCGCCTTTGCACTCGAAGAGCCGTAGTCGAAGGAGTCAGCGGCGTGAGGTCATGGGCGACATAAAAGCCACGAACTCATGGGAGTCTCACCAGGCTACCTCTACACCCTCAGGCCAAATCGTCCTGTCTGATCTCGAAGGCAGTATGCCGGCTTTTCACCAGTTGACCTCCGAGATTACGGATAACCCTTTCTTATTACTGGCCATTGTACCGGCGGCACTTGTCCTGGTCCAGCTCGTTGCCCACTTCAAGGATGCTTCCGGATTGCGCTCGTACCCAGGGCCGTTCCTCGCCAAGTTCACGGATGGTTGGATGTTCTGGGTGGTTTCTCACAACCGCTGGTCAAGCGCAGTCGAGAGTCTGCACCGCAAATATGGTATTTATCTCATAATGAATCAGACTGCAACGGTTAAATTCTACTGGAACAGGCACCTTTGTCCGTCTCGCCCCGAATCACGTCTCTATTTCCGACCCAAGGGCCCTTAGTGCGATCTACGGCCACTCGGCTGGCTTCGTGAAGGCGGGGTTCTACGACGTCTTCTCCAATTTCCGTGTTGGCAATATCTTCAGCACTCGGTCGCGCACTGAGCACGCTCGGAAGCGTCGCATAGAAGCGCACATGTTTGCACCCCAGAGCATCCGCGCGATCGAGCCCATCTCCCACGCGCACGTCTCTGAGCTCCTCCGTCAGTGGGACTACCTGGCATCTCGCATGCAGGAGGCTCAGCATGGAGCCGGTCCTCTCAAAGGCCAGCTGGGATCCACTACCTGGAACGTGGAGAATGGCCGCGTGTGGATCGACTGCATGCCTTGTACGTGTCGCACCTCGGCATAAATGGTTGGCTGTGAGAAAGCTGAATTCATATCGTACCTCGCTCAGGGCTCAACTTCTGGGCCTTCGACACCATTGGTAAGTGGTCTACGGCGATGGCAGGGTGCTTACTCACCTCCTCGCTCCAGGTGACCTCGCGTTCGGTCTTCCCTTCGGCATGCTCAAAGCCAGCAAAGACGTAGCCAGAGTTGCGAAAAATCCTGAAGAAGGTTTCAAGGCGATCGAGAAGTTATCCGAGGGAGCGGAGAAGCTTTCAATCGAGGAAGAAGACATACCTTACATCAAGGTCCTCAATACGCGCTCCGAGGCAAATGCTCCTCTGGGGTGCCTTTCGCGTACTTGGCAGATGATCCTGCAGCGACTCCCGGGGTACAGCGGCAATCGAACTGCAGGTCAAAAGCTGGCGGCTCTGTCTATTATGGCTGTCGCACGCCGCTTGGCCAACCCGAGTGGCAGGCCGGACATGCTCCAGAAGCTGTTGGACGCACGGAACGACGACGGGAAGCCGTTGAGCCCGGTGGAGTTGAGCGCAGAGGCCTTCGTGCTCATCGTTGCCGGTTCGGATACCATTGCTAAGTACGCGCGTCCGTACCAGGCATTGATTGCTTCGCTGACGCGGACTGCAGCACCACTTGTGGGACAATGTATTACCTTGCTCGCGACCAGCGAGTACAGGCAAAGCTTCAGGTAGAGCTGGATGCGGCGCTCGCATCTCTCGATTCCGAAGTCGCTCCATACGACGCCGTCAAGGATTTACCTTACCTTGATGCGGTGATTTTCGAAGGACAGCGCCTACATTCGACCGTAGGTGCCGGATTGCCTCGTGAGGTTCCTGCCGGTGGCGCCACTGTCCTTGGGCACCATTTCAAAGAGGGCACATGGGTGAGCGTCCCGCTCTACCATCTTCACAGGGACGAGTCTATCTGGGGCGCGGATGCGTCTGTATTCCGCCCCGAGCGCTGGACCGAGGCTAGTCCTGGACAGAGGAAACAGATGATGGACGCGTTCGCTCCTTTCTCTATTGGTCCCAGGTAAGATCGTAGACTCCGATCAGACATCTCACATGGCATCGTTGCTGATGCCGCGAATCAGGGCGTGCATCGGCCGGAGTCTTGCCATTATGCAGCTTCATATCATCTTGGCCACGCTCGTCCGCCGGTACGAGTTCGTCCTCAAGTCTGCCGCTCCGGTAAGTATCGTTATATTCGCACTCGCCACTTCCAATGAAATTGGGACCTTCACAGCTCCAGGTCCGGGACTCCCTTGCTCGGAGACCGCTGGAATGCATAGTCGGCATGAAACGCAGGAGCATTTGACGTTATGAGACGGGGCTAGAGCTTGACGAATGTCTATGGTGTGCCAATGTGCATGTGATCTTCGCTTGACCTATTCAATTCGATCGTGGTTCCCATAAACGCGTTGGCTCGAGTTTCAACCATCGCGACAATTTATCCGTCCAAACAAATTGAGGCAGATGTGATACATGTAACTCACACCCAGGCTCCTCCCCATTCACCTGCGGGTAGAGGGGATGCATTCGGGTACGCAAACACAATATTTGCTCATTCTCGATCCGAAGTCCTGTATCCTATGGTGCGGGACGCCTAGCCACCACTACTTATGTACAACGGTTATCGTAGCTTCAATATTCACCGGATTTTAAATCTGCTCTGGTAGATCGACTCCGTTTGATGAGTAGGAATTTCCTACCAGACAGATTTTTTTTAAACACGATATTGAGCAAGTTGTTACACCGAGAATTGGCCACTGGGCGTCTATACATCCTGATATAGTAAGTACGTCGGCGCTACGTACTACCCGCGTCGAACTGGCGAGCAAGGGTGACCTTGAAGGGTCTCTGGGACACGCCTGTGGGACTTGTACTGCTTGGAGCTGAACTGCTTCACACGGAATCGTGCGTCCTTCGCTCCAAGCCCCATGCGATAAGCATTCGTCCACTGACTGCTGATGTCTGCATTGCCACATTTGCCAGACGGCGGGACATCACGGTGAGGAAGGTCCCCGGCAATTCCCCTAAGGGTACAGTCCCGGACAAGCAAAGGCGACAATCTGTATAGCGCTCGAACGCGACTTTTCCGCAAGATTCTGAGTGCAGGATCGAACTCGGAGGGGCTGAAAACCCCCAAAAATCGACCTCCGAGAATTTTCCCACGATGTTTTGGGCGCGCCAATTTTTTGGACCCTTTCTGCGACGACTTGTAGGGCGCTAAGCACCAGCAGAACCGTCAACTCTGAGTCCAGTGTCGCCTTTGCTGCTGTAATATTTCAGACCGGTCAGTCGGCAGCCCCAGAAGTCGGCGAGTTACTACGCTCGCCAGCTTGTATGGTCTGCAACGGAGACTAGCGAGTTACCTTACCAAGTAGGGAGCTGCCGGATCGGGTCACCGAAGCGCTCGTCTCGCCACAATTTCGAGCCTTTCCAGGCAGGTGCCGACTTCTGGCGGCTGCTGACTGATAGGCTATAGAGAGGGCCAACGACATGGAGAGGTCGGTAGCCGGACCATGCAGAGCCTGGATTGGGTTTGGTTGTGGAGAGCTGACACTCAAGTACCCAAGTACTCAAGCTCGAGCATGGGTGTAAAACCTCCGCTAATTCCCCATCCTTCCAGTTGTATAAGTATGTCAGCGACACTAAATCGGACTCCAACATGTATCCCTGGTCCATAATCCCAATAGTACTCCTTCTGTACTAAGTATTACTTTTGTCAATGTTCGATAGTGACTCATCATACCGAACCGATTCTCCGAGTCTGTTTGTGGGGCGCCGGATGGCCTAGCGCCAAACTTCTTACTCAATTTATGAGTCCAAATGTAATGGGGGGGTTTCTGCTCTCGACGGAATCATACACAGCTCATCAAACGGAGCACAATGGTAATTTTCCCGTGACTTTTACGAATTGTTTTGGGGTGCGCCAAAATTTTGGGACCCAAAATGGAAATATTGCTTTTGGGGGCAATTGGCTCGTGCAATTGCGATCATTACGCATCAGAAACACCACTTCTACAGTTACTTTCACGATCAGGCACTTACCGAGGCCCAGATAAGTCGAACAGAAAAATTGTCGCCTTTGCTTGTCCGGGACTGTACGAACATCCGGACCCCTCAAAATCGGCCTCGGCTACCCAACGTTTTCGACCTCCAATACCCAACATCGGACAAGTGTCATCACGTTTGGTGAGGAGCACCACAAATGGAGTAAACTGAATATATATAATATTTAAATCCTATTATTGATGCGGTGCCGGGTCAATTTGGCCACTGTGCAAAAGTAGCGGCGCTTAGGCGTCCCGCACCATAAAATGTACTAGTTGATGTATGTCACGTGCATCACGCAGCGGGCGGGGATGGAAATAATTGATGGGATGTGGCTGAGGTGTGGCGGGTGAGGATAGGGACACAGAACAATGAACATAACTGCACTCTCGGATTCATCCCTCTTACCTCCCGAAGACGAATGTGGAGGGGCCTGCGTCGCACCCGTAGCACTGCTGGCATAGATTCTGCTTAACGAGTACTTGGGTGCGCACATTATTTTACTTAATTCCTCGACTACTTATCGGGTTTCTCACGCAAGGCGCGCGCGAGTTTGGGCAAGCATTTTTGAAACAACGCCCATGTCGCCATCTATTGCGTGCTCATCGTGCTCGACGTCGTCCTCGCTGCCAATGGACTCCCCTGCGCGATGCAACAGCCCAGAAGGCTGGGGCCCGGTCTCGGCAGCCCGCCCATTCGATCTTACACCCTGCTTCGAGGAAGGCATCCTTCTCTCCACGCTCCTTGTCCTCTTCGTCGTCGCGGGTGCGTTCCGGTGCTGGGCATTACGACGTTGGGAAGTATTGCCAAGGTGTCGAAGGAGCCTGTGGGTGCTGAGGGCCAAGCTCGTACGTTGTTGATCCGCTCGTCGGGAACCGAAGAATGCTTAATTTCTGCGTGGCATGATCTGTCTTTTAGATCCTCCTCGCTCTCGCGTGCGCGGCGAGCTGTGCGAACCTAATCTTTGTGGTCGTCACCCACAGACCGGTCGCGGTTATTCAGAGCTATGTTCTCGACATTCTAGCGTTGTTCGTCGCGCCCTTTCTCACCTACCTCAATCACCACCGGACGCGTTCTTCCTCCACGCTCCTGCTCCTCTTCTGGCCTTTTCACACTGCGTGTACACTCATATGGTGTAGAACAGTAGCGGTAACCTCGCTATATGCTTTCGTGCCTGTCCTTGCTCTGAAATGCGCGGCTACCACCCTCGGACTCGCCGCATTTACCCTAGAGAACCTTGGAGTAGAGTTCTCACCTGAAGACAAGCCACAAAGCGCCGAGAAAGACCATGTAGAGAGCCCGTTGCTCACGGCGAACGTCTTCAGCGTGTGGACGTTCGCGTGGATGTCCGACCTCATGAAGAAAGGTGCGAAGACCTACATCACGGAGGATGATCTACCCTCGCTCGTGCCTAAGGATGAGGCTGCGAATCTCGGTCGGAAGCTGCAGCATGCCCTGCAGAAACAGTGAGTCTGAACGTGAACATGTGTCAACTCTGTTGACCGCCGTGCAGCAAGGGACTTTGGATGTCGCTCTTTGTCGCGTACGGACGGTCCTATGCTTTCGCAGCGCTCCTCAAAATCATCCAGGACTGCCTTGTTTTCTTGCAGCCGCAACTCCTTCGCTGGCTCCTTGCATACATATCAGAATACCAGATCGCGCGCGCGTCAGGGCGCGAGCGACCGAGTGAGCTCGAGGGCTTCGCCGTTGCCGTGATCATGTTCTGCGCGTCTGTGGTACAGACGATATTCCTGCACCAGGTATTTATTGAAAGGTTCCAACATTGTGATCTTGTGGTTGACATGAGGGAATCATAGTACTTCCAACGGTGCTTTGAGACGGGTATGCGCGTGCGTGCGGGCCTCGTGGGTGTCATCTACCAGAAGGCACTTGTGCTCTCGAACGACGGGCGCGGACGCGCTTCAGGGGACATCGTCAACCTCATGTCGGTCGACACGACGCGTCTGCAAGATCTCTGCACGTATGGCCTTATCTCCATCTCCGGGCCTTCCAGGTCAGTTTCCACAAGTGTGTGCGTCCGAAGACGTCTGACGACTAGGGCCAGATCACGCTTGCGTTTATCTCGCTGTACAACATCCTTGGCTGGGCGGCGTTTGTCGGCGTCGCCATCATGATTGTCTCCATCCCGCTGAACACGCTCATGGCACGGTTGCTCAAGAAGCTGCAGGAGCGCCAGATGAAAAACAGGGACAAGCGGACGAGGCTGATGAGCGAGTTGCTGGCGAACATCCGGAGGTGCGTGCCTGTTCCGCAGTGTGTTGGCTGAGGAATGGCGCTGATGAGGGTTTGGTCGTAGCATCAAGTTGTATGCGTGGGAGAACGCGTTCATTCGTTGGATCATGCAGGTGAGGAACGAGCAGGAGCTGAAGATGCTCAGGAAAATTGGCATCGTCACTGTGCGTTCATTATGTTATTTGGGTGAGATGCGTGGTCGTTGACGGCATGTCTAGTCTCTTAACACATCCCTCTGGGGAGGCATCCCACGTAAGTGTTCTAAGACTTTCGGTCTGAGTGACAGCGATGAATGTCGACTTCGCAGTACTTGTTGCCTTCAGCTCCTTCGCGGTCGCGTCTGTAACATCAGACACGCCATTGACCTCCGATAGGATCTTCCCCTCGATCTCCCTCTTCATGCTCCTCAGCTTCCCGCTAGCCATGGTGAGCCATTGTCTCTTTTTTTAGCCAAGGATGGTCTGGAACTGAGCCATCCCAGTTCAGCCAAGTCACCTCGAATATCATCGAAGCCCTCGTCTCCGTCCGGCGTCTCTCCGACTTCCTGAGCGCGGACGAGCTGCAGCCTGACGCGCGCGAGCTCGTGACGAATGCCAAGCTCCAGCTCGGCGACGAGGTGCTCGCGATCGAGGACGGCGAGTTCTACTGGAGCAAGGATGCGCCCCAACCCACGCTGGAGGACGTAAACTTGACCGTGCGGAAGGGCGAACTGGTGGGCGTCCTCGGGCGCGTCGGGGCAGGGAAGACAAGCTTGTGTTCGGCGATCATTGGGGAGATGATGCGTACAGAGGGTGAAGTAAGGTTGTCTGGGTGGTGTCATATGCGCCGCAGAATCCGTGGTGAGTGAGCTGTCGCTCTCTGAGCGTGATGTGCTTGAAAGTTTTGATATAGGATCATGAGCGCGACGATTCGGGACAATATCTTGTTCTCTCATGTGTATGACCCCGAGTTCTACGAGCTGGTGTTGGATGGTGGGCTCTGTCCTCCGATGCTCGTGGGATATGCGTTGATGATTGGGGCGAAGCTTGCGCACTGCGACAGGATCTAGCATTGTTGCCAAACGGCGATTTGACCGAGGTCGGTGAGAAGGGTATCACGGTGCGTCGCGAGTGGTCTGTGCAGCTATTGTAAGGTGTTAAACCTCGTTCGTGGTCTGGATAGTTGAGTGGCGGTCAGCGGGCACGCGTTGCGCTTGCGCGTGCTGTCTATGCTAGAGCGGATCTGTAAGCCCGTCTAGTCCCTTTCAAAAGACAGTGCAGTTGACTAGCAAATAACAGAATCATTTTAGACGACGTCCTCGCTGCAGTAGATGCACATGTTGCACGTCATGTCTTTGGTATGTTCCCTCTCCTAGCGTGGCCTGCTGACTGCTCATTACGCCTCTGGACGCCATCAGATAATGTTATCGGACCTCATGGTCTCCTTGCAACGAAAGCTAGAATTGTCGTCACGAACAGCATACACTTCCTCAAGCAATTTGATAAGATACTGTACATCCGCAGAGGCATAATTCTCGAAACCGGAACTTATCACGATTTAGTCAACAACTCGGATACTCAATTGTATTCACTGATGTAAGTCACGAATCCTTAGGCGATGCAGACGGGTGGGTTAACCTTTTGCTACAGAAACGGCCATGGCAGCCTAACGACCTCGGGGATGTCGACGCCCTTCCTGGGAGACACTGCAACTCCGTCTTCCGAAGGCGACACTGCGGTGGACTTTTCTCGTTCCCTCACAGAAGAGAAGCTTGAAACTGTCGACACCAAACTTGAGCGCCGGAAGAGCTTTTGCAAGGCAACACTCATAGATAATCTGCCGACGCGCACCGTCTCGGATGGGATAACGAAGGAGCATAGCGAACAGGGCCGCGTCAAGGCTGATGTCTACCTCCAGTACATCAAGGCTGCCTCTAAGACCGGCTTCACGTTCTTTGTAGTCTGCATGGTGCTCCAGCAGGTCACCTCGGTGCTCGGCAACAACACGTTGCGTGCCTGGGGCGAGCATAACCTGACCACCGGCTCAAACAAAGATGCGTTCTGGTATTTGATGATGTATGGCCTATATTCGTTGGCATCGAATCTCCTCGGAACTGTTGCGGCCATCTTGATGTGGGTCTTGTGTTCAGTGCGCAGCTCTAGGCTTCTGCATGATTCCGTATGTGTATTGATCAAGTCTGAAGTACAGTATGAATATCCTGACGTTCTAATCTTAGATGCTCAACGCCGTTATGCGGGCCCCATTGAACTTCTTTGAACTTACTCCTACCGGCCGGTGAGTCTGACCAACGTTTCTGATATGATAATATCTATTGACACAGATTGATTCAGGATCCTCAACCTCTTCTCGCGAGATACATACGTCGTGGATCAAATCATTGCCAGGGTCATGCAGAACACCATTAGGACAGCGTGCACCACCGCAATCATCGTCCTCGTCATCGGGGCGAGCTTCCCGCTTTTCGTGAGTACGGTCTTAGCTTCTGATAGTGTCAGCTCTTACAGATAGTGTTCAGCTAATTGCTGTGCCGCCCTTGGCTTGGTTCTACATTCGCGTGATGATGTATGTTTTACGGTGCCGATGGTCTCGGAAAGTTCCTTACATCTATCAACAGTTACTATCTCTCGACGTCGCGGGAGCTCAAGCGACTAGATGCTGTTTCTCGTTCGCCGATCTTCGCTTGGTTCTCAGAATCGCTCAACGGCCTCTCAACTATCCGAGCTTTTGGTCAGCAGAACGTGTTCATACAAAACAATGAACGCCGTGTCGACCGCAACCAAATATGCTACCTGCCCAGGTTTGTTTAGTCTTCCATTCTAAATCAAGGCATGTTGCTGAAATGCAATATAGCATCTCCGTCAATCGCTGGCTTGCAGTTCGCCTCGAATTTGTGGGTGCCGCGATCATATTCATTACTGCGACGTTGGCGCTTGTGGCCTTGGTAACGAGCGGGGTCGATGCGGGTCTTGTCGGCTTCGTGCTGTCCTACGCATTGAACACGACGGGGTCTCTGGTACGTCTCGACAGAGGGTCTCAAAGGTCTTGACAGCTGACAACCTGCGCTCGAAGAACTGGCTTGTGCGATCTGCAAGCGAAGTTGAGACGAACATTGTCAGCGTCGAGCGAATACTCCATTACATCGAGTTGGAGCCAGAAGCTCCAGCAGAGATTCCCGATGTTGTCCCGGAGAGCTGGCCGACGAAAGGCAAGATTGAGTTCAAGGACTACTGTGCGAGGTACCGCCCCGAGCTCGACCTGGCATTGAAGAACATCTCTGTCACAATCGTGAGTCGTTCGCATTCAATATTGTAATAAGGAGAGCTCACAGGGGGTCAACGTAGAATCACAGAGAGAAAATTGGGATTTGTGGTAGGACTGGATCCGGGAAGTCTACTGTAAGTAATGAAGGTGCTAGTGGCTGTGCGAGCGTTGCTGATACTGTCGGTGAAGCTGCTACTCTCGCTCTTCCGCATCATCGAGCCTGCATCTGGCACAATATACCTTGACGGCGTAGACATCACGAAGATTGGCCTCCACGATCGTGCGTGCTTGCTCGTACCTGCTTCGCTCGTCTTGCTTCACAGAATCTGTTATATGCAGTCCGATCGTCTATCTCAATCGTGCCGCAAAGCCCCGACCTGTTTGAGGGCACGATTCGCCAGAACATCGACCCAACAGGGGAGCACCAGGATGCCGACATTTGGGTCGCGCTCGAACAGGTCAATCTGAAGGCATTCGTGGAGTCATTCCCCGAAGGGTTGGATGCGCCTGTACGGGAGGGCGGTTCGTCGATGTCGGCGGGGCAGAGACAGCTACTGTGCTTTGCTCGGGCGCTTCTGCGGAAGGTACGGGCGGCTTGTGTGTGCGTTTGCATGTGTACTGAGTCATCGCTTTAGTCGAAGGTCCTGGTTTTGGATGAAGGTGAATCGAACTGCGTTGTGTTGGAGATACGACACTCACGATAGAATATGCAGCGACCTCTGCGGTGGACTTGGATACTGACAAAGCCATCCAAGACATTATCAGAGGTCCTCTATTTGCGGACGTGACTATGCTCACCATTGCGTACGTGCCCGATCAATGCACGCCTTCCACTTCACTCACAGGTCACATTGATATAGGCATAGAATCAATACGATCATGGAGTCGGACCGCGTACTGATCCTCAGCGCCGGCGAGGTGAGTATATGCGCGGTATAATTTGCGTATCCTATATTAGCTGACGCCGGTTGTCTCAGGTCACCGAGTTCGATTCCCCGAAAAACCTGCTGAGCAACAAGCAGACCGCGTTCTATTCGCTGGCGGCCGAAGCCGGACTGGCATGATCAACAAGCGAAGTGCCGCATTGCACAGACCCCGGATGCGGTAGGGTATATATGGTCGGCCGCAGGCAATCGCAAGCTCGTACATGGTGCGCGGTGCACAGCTGAGGGCCAGGAAGCGACCAGGGGGGCCTCGACTGCCGCGCATCATTTATAGGTGGAGTCGGTACCTGCAAGTAAGTACACGAAGTACTGGTAGAAGAATAGACGTCAAACAGACGGGATGTGAAATCAGGTTGGTTCTTGGCGCGGATGTCAATGTTCCTCTGCCCATACGTCTTTTGGTTTTTCTTCACGAACGCAGACTGAAGCTGTCCGACTGCACTGGGACTGGGTGCCCGCTTGCTATCCTTGTCTTCGTCATGGAACGTTACTTTCGATTCCACAGCTGCGTGCAAGGCACTGCTGCCAGTGATGATACGGGGCGTCGCCGTATCTCCGCCAGCTATGTGCTCAGCGTTCGTGATGGTCTTACAAAAAGCAAGTACTTTCCGCTTTACGGCGTATTTAGCTGTTGGCTGTCTGCTCGTGATTTCTGTTATTCTGCATCCGGTCTAACTACTACTGATCGCGAGCTCGTCTCCATACGCTTCCCCGAAGATGAACCGGGGCCCCGCAGCGTCTGCTCGTCGGCAGCGGTTGCCCTCAAATCAGCTCCGACATTCCTCCCGAGTTCTCGAGGCAAGTCTCGAGGGTAAGCCCTCTTCCTACCGTTAGCAGCGCGGGCCGGTTGCCCACATGTCTGTATTATATCAAGCCTCCGACGTGAGCCCGACTCTTCTGCTCGAGCGTTCAAATTTAAAGCGTGGAGGCTTACTTCGATGAAGGAAGCCGGTGCCAGTGGGCCCGGAGACAGCGGTATGTCCCGGTCTGACTGAATCAGTGGTCATACTATTCATCTAAATGGTCGCATATGTTGAGACCACAGACATATTTGGTTCATCAACAACGCCCTCTCCAACTACGTGCAGTACGTCACTGGCGGCGTCAAGCAGGGTCATCTGGGATCTCTCCGGGCGGTACGGCGGCTTTATGGCAGCTCGCAGGCCATGGCATCGCAGCGTTCACGGTCAGCTGCTCGATTTTCCGCGGACCGTGTACGCCCATTTTATCGGGATTTACGCACATCCTACAGTGCCGTTTGACGTCCGACCACACCAGTTTCCCGCTTACCGTGCTTCCTGATGACGGTCCCTTAGTCACTGTTCCCCATCGAACGATGGTCGACGTGCACGCAGCTATAAAGGTGGTTGGCTCGGCTTCGAGAGGCCTCACCCGTCCACAGACCCTTCGTCTGTTCGCCCGCGGTCGACATGGCCACCTTGCTTGCCCTTGCATGTCTGGCTCTTGCCACCAACGTTTACGCTGCTTTCCCTGACTGTGTCAATGGGCCATTGGCGAATAACACGGTCTGCGATACCTCTGCGACACCACTTGCGCGTGCAACAGCATTGATCAGCCTGTTCACTCTAGAAGAAAAGATCAACAACACTGGTAATGCAGCTCCTGGTGTCCCCCGTCTTGGGCTTCCTGCATACCAGTGCGTAGTCTACCTGTCTTGCTAGACGGACTTCAGCTGAAATCGTCTCCCTAGATGGTGGCAAGAAGCCTTGCACGGCGTGGCTAGCTCTCCCGGTGTCAACTTCTCTGAATCCGGAGAGTTCAGCTATGCGACGTCCTTCCCTCAGCCGATCCTCATGGGCGCTGCATTTGACGATGCTTTGATCAATGCGGTCGCCACGGTGGTTAGCACCGAAGGGCGTGCTTTCAACAACTACAATCGGTCTGGAGTGAGTCATCTTGTTTATACTGTACTGTGAATCATCGCTCACTGGCATTGGCCGGCACAAGCTTGACTTCTGGACACCGAACATCAATCCATTCAAGGACCCTCGCTGGGGACGAGGTATATTTGTATTCGAAGTGCGACCGAGCCCACGTTGACTGGTCCCACAGGTCAGGAGACCCCAGGAGAGGATCCTTTCCACCTGCAATCGTACGTGTACAACCTCATCACCGGCCTGCAAGGTGGGCTGGATCCCGCGTACAAACGTGTGGTCGCGACATGCAAGCACTACGCCGCATATGACCTCGAGGACTGGATGGGCAACGTGCGCTACGGTTTCGACGCGCTCGTCTCACTGCAGGACCTCTCCGAGTTCTACACACGGTCGTTCCAGACCTGTGCACGTGACGCCAACGTCGGCGCGTTCATGTGCTCGTACAACGCGGTGAACGGCGTCCCGTCCTGCGCGAATTCATACCTCCTTCAGGATATCCTCCGCGAGCACTGGAACTGGGCGAGTGCGGACCACTGGGTCACCTCCGATTGCGATGCTGTCCAGAACATCTATGAGCCGCACTACTACGCGCCCACGCGCGCGCAGACCGTCGCGGACGCACTGAACGCGGGCACAGACCTCGACTGCGGGATGTATTACCCCGAGTTCCTCGGCGCGGCGTACAACGAGAGCCTGATCAGTGTGGCGACGCTCGACACAGCGCTCATTCGCCAGTACGCATCTCTCGTGAAACTTGGGTACTTCGACCCGGCCGAGAACCAGCCTTACCGTCAACTCGGATGGGCCAACGTCAGCACCCCGGAGGCTGAGCAGCTGGCGTATATCGCCGCGGTGGAGGGCATTACGCTCCTGAAGAACGATGGCACGCTCCCGCTCTCGAAGGAGATCAAGACCATCGCACTCATCGGCCCGTGGGCGAACGCGACGACGCAGATGCAAGGCAACTATTACGGCGTCGCACCGTACCTCATCAGCCCACTCATGGCGGCTGAGGCATTAAACTACACGGTGCTCTATTCCGCAGGCCCTGGTATCGATGACCCCACCACGCCGTCGTATCCCGAAGCCTTCGAGGTGGCGTCCCAGGCAGACGCGATCATCTACGCGGGCGGCATCGACACGACGATCGAGGCGGAAGCCACGGACCGCTACACGCTCGACTGGCCGGGCGTGCAGCCCGACTTCATCGACCTCCTCTCGCAGCTCGGAAAGCCGCTCATCGTGCTCCAGATGGGTGGCGGACAGATCGACGACTCGTGCTTCGTCCCGAATCCGAACGTGAACGCCATCATCTGGGGCGGCTACCCCGGACAATCCGGTGGCGCTGCGCTCATGGATATCATCGTCGGGAACGCTGCGCCCGCAGGGCGCCTGCCCATCACACAATACCCCCTTGAGTACGTGAACCAGGTCCCAATGACAGACATGTCGCTCCGCCCGAGCGCGACGAACCCTGGCCGCACGTACATGTGGTACACCGGAACGCCCGTGTTCGAATTCGGATACGGGCTGCATTACACAGACTTCACCGCGGTCCTCAGCGCTCCCGCAGCGCCGAGCTACGACATCCAGAGCCTCGTCGGTGGATGCTCGGATGTGGCGTACCTTGACCTGTGCCCCTTCGAGTCGTACGCGGTCAACGTGACGAACACCGGGAGTACATACGCATCTGACTACGTCTCGCTGCTGTTCTTGGCAGGTGCGCATGGTCCCGCGCCGTACCCGAACAAGGTGCTCGTTGCCTACGATCGCCTGCGCAGCGTTCAGCCGCTTTCCAGTCAGACGACGACGCTGAACCTGACCCTTGGATCGCTCGCGCGCCGAGACGAGTACGGGAACACGATCCTATACCCGGGGGAGTACACGCTACTCCTCGATGTTGAACCGCAGAGCACACAGAGCTTCACCCTTACGGGCGAGCCTGCGATTCTGGACTATTGGCCCCAGCCTTGAGAGGCTAGTAGACTATGTGTTGGACGAAAATGGTGTTGTAGCATAGAAGCATCATGGCGCGAGGACATGTGGATCGCCTATGCGATGCCAGTGGAAGCATGGTCTGGTTGCGTGAAATGCCAGTGCTAAGGATGCCACTGGTGGCCGGATGCACGGTAACTGACTCTACTTTTCGATACTTGCTGGGAGCCTTGCGGTGATCATCATCTTCTCCCACTTGGACTGATGAGTCAAATCCTTGGTAGCTTGAACGACAGATATGATACAACGACTCGGAGCATCAGCTGAAATGTGCCCGATCGATATCATGGTCGTGACGCTCAGTGAAAAACGCACATACCCGAACTAGTTGCTTGCTACAGACGTGGACAATTCCTTCAACCTTCGTGCCCCAGGACATCCTTGTCTGACACACGAATTGGACACGGCTACATAGCCTCTATAGGTCATTTTTATTGCTACCTGGCCCAATGCTCGGCCGCGGAACCGTGGAACGCATTCTTGTTCTATCCTTACAATGTTATTTCGAGGTTCGTCCTCCGGTCAACGCCGGTGTCTGCTTGAAGATGCTACTAGTGTCTGAGTCCTCTTCAGGCTCCTGTCGTTTCAACATAGCGTCTATGTCACATATTCAATTCGCCGCAGGGTTCATACCCATCCGCGAAACTCTCCCTTGCTTTGGTTATTGGCGTGGTTGCTGTTCTGAAGTGGCCGCACCAGACGCATACAGCACATTATCCACTTGTGCTATGCCCAAAGCAGTCGCACCTCCAGTGTCTGGGCGGCGGGGGTGTGTGAAGTCTGTTTACATGTACATCCAGTATTCCGACTGCAGCTGCTCAAACTGACAGACACTGGCAGGCTCACGTCAAAGGCGGTTGATGTTGCGGCATCGCATTGCCTGCTTACGGAAAGCCGAATTCAACGGCAAGACACTGCATGATGCGACTGACGTGCATCCCAAGCGCGACATATGTGGATCTCAACCAACACTGGCCCATTCGCCGGTTGCGATACCGCAATTATCCACGATCCTGACTTGAAGCTGATGGAGGTGGCCTATAAATACGGCAAATCGGTGTTGAGGTTTCCTCGTCCTGTCCTGTCCTAGCAAAGGTAGTCTCCCGCGATGAAGCCAGCTGCTTGGTCTGCCATCGTCTCTATAACAAGCCTCGCCAGCGCAGCCATTATCGATGCTGGCACATTTGCTAGCACAAATTCGACTTCTTGATAGCTGGCGGAGGCACCGCTGGGATTGCGCTCGCCACGAGGTTCGTATTTTGTTATCGTCCCACCGGGAACTCAACGGACTCACAGCCTGCTATACAGGCTGTCCGAAATCACCAGCTCACGGTTGGCGTGATCGAAGCAGGTGACTACAGGATGGCGATCCAAAGATTTTGGTACGCCAGCACACCCTTTCTCCGCGCCCTGGTGCTTATGTGTGCAAGGATAGGTTCCTGAAGGATGGAGTAGCGGTCATACATGGGGTGACCCGGACTACGATGGGGTAGGAATTATATGCCTCGTTCAAGAACATTCAGTTTGACGCAGGGACCCCTAGGATACTATACGACACCACAGAAGAACCTCGCCAATCGTCAAATCCAGATGATTCGCGGGAAGATGCTCGGTGGGTGCTCTGGGCTGAACAACCTTGGAATAATTCTTGCGGGCTCTGTCGAATACGACGGTGAGCGACTACCTCAGTAGTCCACGCAGGGAACATCTGACACATAAGTATCGCAGCCATTGATCAGCTTGGGAACCCAGGGTGGTCATACAACACCACTCTTCAGTATTTCAAGAAGGCGACAAACATGTCCGAGGCACCGGAAGCCTTGCAAATCACTACGCATGCTACAGAGGACCCCACGTATCACGGAACTGACGGTGTAAGACCGGATCTTGATTCACAAGTATTTGCCGCTGACTTACTGTGCAGCCTGTTCGTGCATCGTACTCGGCCTGGTACAGCGACGCGACGCCACTTGCATACGATGCCATGGTAAATCTGGGCTTCAGTCAAGCGTACGACGGTGTATGTTTGCACACCTGTTTTCCAAAAATATGCAATGCTGATCTAATGAATTTCACTAGCAAGCAGGTCAGGATTCTGGTGACGTTTGGAATCCAGTCCTCTCGATCGATCAGGAGACACAGACGCGCTCATACTCCGCTAATGCAAGTTTTTAATTGGTAATCTTCCACAACGATTGACTTACCATACGCTCTTGGCATGCTACAGGCGTACTACGCTCCCAACGCCGCACGCCCCAACCTTCTCGTGGTAACCGGCGCTCAAGTGACGAAGATCGTGACTTCGCAAGCCGGCAGCTCGGGCAACCTGACTGCGACAGGCATCACCTTCGTCTCTGGGTCACAAACGTACACGGCCAATGCAAGCAGAGAGGTGATTCTCAGTGCCGGCTCGGTACAGACACCCCAGCTCCTCGAGCTGTCGGGTATCGGAAACAAGACTCTGCTGGAGAGTCTCGGCATTGAGTCTAAACTCGACCTGCCGGAGGTGGGCGAGAACTACCAGGACCATCTCATTGCGTACGAGCAGTTCATCCTGCCAAGTGACGTTGTGACGTGGGATGTATTCAGCAACCCTGGACCGAATGCGACGGCATGGCTCGAGTAGTAAGTCTGCTTACATACTATCCGTATGTGCGACCATGATGCTGACGAATATGCCTATAGCGAGACGAACCGTACGGGGCCGTATGCCTCCTCTATCAACGTTATCTCCTACCAGCCCGCAGCAAAGGTCGTAGGCAACAATACACTCCTTGAACAATGGCTCGCCGAGCTCGATGAACAATTCAACGCAACACAGCCCACGGCAGGGCACCGCGCCATGTACGACAGAGGGCCCGTCTGCTAGCAGACAGCACGCAGGCATCCATAGAGTATGTCCCAGGTCTTGTCAGTCATCTGCGACGCACTGAGTTCTCTCTCCATGATCTATGCTGCGCCGTCCGCTGCTTACTCCCAGGGCTTCCAGTTAAACACCTCGTACCTCATGCTCGCGTCGATTCCTTCACATCCATTCTCCCGTGGCTCCATTCATATCGACACGTCGTACCCCTTGGCCAAGCCCATTATTGATATGAACGCACTCGCACTCGACATTGGTACGTCGGTATTTGCTAAGTGTGAGCCACCAACTTACTGATGTACCGGGCTCTCTCATAGACAAGCATCTATTTGTCGCGGGTGCCAAGTTCATCAGGACGATCGCACAGACTAGCCCACTCTCGGATGAGATCCAGTCCATGGACTTGCCTGCGCTGAACATGACCACCGACGACGACTGGGAGAAGTTCATCGCTGAGAACGTCGACAACCCGGCGCACCCGTGCTGTAAGCCGCCCAAATCAGTCTGCGGATCATGCACTGACTATGCACAGGTACCGCTGCTATGCTGCCACGAGAACTCGGTGGTGTAGTCGACAGTACACTGACAGTCTACGGTACTTCGAATCTCAGAGTGGTAGACCTGTCCATCTTGCCCCTGGTTAGGATCTCCCTATTTCTTGAGTCGAGGCACTTGCTGACGAGCCAAACCAGCAACTGGCTACCCACCTACAGGGCACGGCATATGCGATCGCAGAGCAGGCCGCGGACTTGATCAAGGCTGACTATGGTTTCTGATCTAATTCACTGGGATTCCGAAGTACAGTACTGCCTCTCCCTATAATGAATAATTGCTACTACTCACGCTGATCAAAAAGACGACACTCCCTGTGCGCGTGCCCCCGCGCAACCTTGTGCTGTGCTGTACTGAGTCTGAGTAACGTCACCTCGGAATCTGTCACCGCTTTGTTGTTGCCGCCCTTCCTTGCCTGACAAAACCCACGCATTAATAGAGAAAAATCGCGGGGAATGACGCGGCTGCTCCGTGGACTACGAGGTAATAACCTGTCGCGCTGCACAGCCTGGGGATGATCCTTGCGAGGTCTTTGATTTTCGCGGGAGAGAGTTGCACAGCACGTGCCCCGACGCGTCGCGTCCGCCGTTGGGCGCCTGTGGGGCAGTTACGACCACGTGGGGTGCTTACGGGGCGATGGCGCTTCGCGTCATCCCCCAACGCCGCCAAGGCAATGTCGATCATGTCCACTAGTACTTAATGCGTTCTGCACTGTTACGACCATCCATTCGACCAGTTCTCCTCGCGCCTACTCTTTCCATAACTTCTGTTCGTCACTTGAATCACACTGCGATCACTATGAGCAACTCCAAGCCTCAGAGCGACAGCGAGTGGAGGGCCATCCTGTCCCCGGAGCAGGTGAGTAACTTGTGAGTTTGTGAAGGGCACGGACCAACACTCACATATTGTCCTGCAAGTTCCGTGTACTGCGACAGAAGGGCACCGAGCGCCCAGGTACTGGCAAGTACGAGGACTTCAAAGGCGAGGGTATCTACGCCTGCGCCGGATGCGGCACCCCGCTGTACAAGAGCACCACTAAGTTCAACAGCGGGTGCGGGTGGCCGGCGTTCTTCGACGGTGAGCCGACTCAACGTGCCATCTCCCATTTGAACGTGAAATGCACCGCTTCCCTCAGAAGCTTCTGGGAAGGAATGAGAGTGCAGATCTGACGTTCTCGTCTGCAGCTATCCCAGGAGCGGTCAAACGTCACGACGATCGCTCCGCTGGGATGACCCGCACTGAAATTACGTGTGCCTCGTGCGGAGGGCACCTTGGCCACGTCTTCAGGGGAGAAGGCTTCAACGTTCCCAGTACGTGACAACCATACCTTCGCCATTTGGATGGAGACTCATATCTGTTCACCGGCAGCGGATGAGCGTCATTGCGTGAACTCGATTTCACTCAACTTCGTAGACGACAAGGACAAGGCCTGAGGCCAGACCCATTGTAGACTCACGTCTGTTTCCACGAGGTTCCGACCCCATCCCACGACTCTGACGTTGTATTTCCTGTTAATGATCATCTCAGCCTTGCCTCCGAAGGCGTTGGTAGTTCACGACCGTTCCAAGTGTGACGAGGCCAGAACGATTATCCTGCGACTCGTAAGTTGTCCAGGATTCAACGATCCAAGTCAATCGCTGAACGACGCAGGATTAGGTCTTCTCCTGGCACACAGAATTATACCCGATTTCGACTGGCTTTGATTTGGATTCATGCATATAATACGAGGACGTCGGCGAAGAGACCCAGAGTGTAAGGTAGGTGAGTGTATCAGATCGTAAGGCATCGCGGCCATGGAAAGCGACATGAGTAGGAGCGAGAAGCCGGGACGTAGTTCGGCAGTGAGAATGCGAGACAGACAACACAGAGCAGCAGTAAATCGATCAAAGCCCTTCCATGTTGGCGACGAGTTCGTCCAACTCGGCTTTCGACTCGCGGTACTTTGATTGGGCTTCCTGTACGCCGATGATAGTTAATCCAATAGTTACCCATGAGAGCGGTAACATCACGCACCTCGTACTTCTTCTCCCACTGGTCGCGCTCTTGCTCCAGTCGCTGGACCTGACGCTCGAAGTGCTCTGCCTTGACGTCCACCTGCCGCAGCCTATACGTGGCATTATCAGTACCGACTCCCCTATTACGGGACGAACATACTTCTCCATGGCATCCTTGAGATTCTTGTCCGCCGCGTCGAGCTCCTCCTCGAGCAACTGGATCTTCCTCTGCAGACCCTCGCTGATCGTCTTGCTCTGGTCGCCCTCTGCCTGAGCAGCCTTCGCATCAGCGAGCTTCGTCTCCGCCTTCTCGAGATCGCCATCCATCACGGACAACTTGTGTTGCAGAGACAAGATCTCCTGCTCCTTCTCCAGAACGTCCTGCTCATACTTCTTGTTCTTGGCCTCTGCCTCCTCGGCGCGGGCGACTGCGGCATCCGCTTCCTGGCGGAGGGATTGGAGGCGCTATCGACGCGTCATGAGCGCGTTCTCGGACACATGCATCCTCGGACAAGTAGACATACCTCCTTGATTCTCTCCATGGTCGTAGATCGTGCGGGTAGTCAAGATGGATGGGTGTATCGTATGGCTGTTCGGCGGCAGTGTCGCGCCTCAGTGCACTGCTGTAACTTGATAAAGTATCAGCCGTGGGAATGCTTCCACAAAAGGAAGGCCCACGTGCGCCCCGCGATCGTCCCAAGTCCCGAGCCGCGACCAAGTTGCATGACTGTTTCTGCACCACCATCGTCCCCGTCGACCCTCAGACGGCCCCGGACGTCCTCTACGGCGACGAGAACAACGGACAACGTACATGTAACCGAGCATGACTGCCCCAGTAGCCCAGGAAGGTGAGTGTGATGCTGCCGAGGACCCACGCGGACGGACTGATCTTCGACACAGAGCTGCCTATCCTCGAGGCTGTGATCAAGTATGTTTCTTGCAAGTCGTCTCGGACGCGTCTCACCGAATTGCGATTTCCTTGCTGTAGCATACGCAATCGCCTCACCGCGTTGAAGAAGGACAGAGGAGAGTACATCAAGCCGTACGATGTGAACGCGCTCTACCAGGCTATCATCAAGCAAGGTCTGTCGCCTTCACGCCTCATCACGCACGCAATGTCGCGCTGGATGTCTCTCTTCCGGCGCGCCCACTCACCGCGCATGTATTTGCTCCGGCGATCGCAGTAACGCGCCTCAACGAAGTCCGAGATGACCACACCACGTACAACAACCGCCTTGACACCACCCTCGCGGACGTGTTCAACCTCCTGTCGTTATTCTTTCTCACGATCGGGAGAACGAAGGAGTCGCCGTCGACATATTGTCAGATCGCCAGCATGAGGGTGAGTCCTTTTCCTGACCCCTCGAGCGCCTGGGAAGGCTGTAGCGGTTGGTCCGGCGAAACAACAGTAGAGGTGCCATGACAAGCCTAATGTCTCGACTCTACCCGCCATCTCTGTCTGGCATGAACTCCGGCTAAGGGTCACGCTATGCACGGAGGCCTGAGCTCGTCCGAACGACAGCTCGGAAAGCTGGGCCACGTTCATGCGAGCGTGAAGACCAGACTTGACATTTGCGGACTGTGTGTGATGTCAACCTATCCTCGGAAGACTATTAGCACATCCGGGTATCTTGACGTTTGCGTTACGTTTTCATTCCCGCGAGCATTTGTGGCCCAGAGCTGTCCGCGCTGGCCAGGCGCTAGCGGCTCACACTTTATGTCTATACCACCCGCCTTCCGCCTTCCGCCTGCATCCCCCTTCTTGCGTGTTCCATGTTCATGAACGCTATCCACCTTATCGCACTGGAGTCTGTGCAGTGGCGCGAAGATCATGCGAACACGGAAGGAGGGGCATGACCGCAGTTCGGTGAAAGCATCATTCGGGAGGTATACGGGCTTGACTAACAAGGCAGGATGATAGGATTGCATCCTTCTCCGTTCCATCATTACTCACGCACTGCGGCGCCTTCGGGACGTGAACCAAGGGTGTGGTACCGTTGGCACATTGCGTTTTGCGGATGCTTTACGCGTACTGAACGGCTGGGCGTGTTCGCGTTCGCTCTTTGATGGACACGGTCGTGGCGGGCGCATATATACCGGCGGACGGAGTGCATAGCGAGACAAAGCTCCCGTCTCCGCCCCGCCCAGCATGACGTGCACCGTCCTCGAACTCTCGAGCCTCCATGTTGTGTCCACTTTGCCATGTCGATCTGATTATGACCCCGCACAGCAAATCCTGGAGCACATGGACGAATCTGGTGTCTACAATGAATCCGACCTTGCGCCCTTCCACCGGCGGCTAGCAGAACTACGGTGCGTGTCTTCAGCCATGTCTCCGTCGCGTAGCCCACTGTCATCGCGGCACGGCGAGGGTCACAGCGGCATGGCATGCCGAGGTGGAACGGCTGTGGCAGGTAGGACAATCACACGTAAGCTTCGTTCCATGGCCTCCTCGAAGGCCATGTTCAATAACAGCGATGGCCCATCATAAGGCACGGTGTGCGGAGCAGTCCACTGACGACGAGTATCCAGCTGGATCGTGCGAAATGATGCGGAGAGCGGCAAGCACCCAATGGCGATGACGACTCTGCTAGAGAGACAATTGAATGAGTGCGGTACGTTATCCTGGTGGTTGTATTGGGCTTGGCTGACTGGTTTGTCCCCACTGCAGAACATGTGTTGCAGCGCCTTCAAGATTCATTGGCCGTGCTCTCTCCTGAGCTTGTGCCCATACACGAGCGGCTTGTGAACGTTCGACGGAAGCTTGTCGCACTTGCCGCAAAGGAGACTGCCCGGGAGGCAGCAGCAGAAAATAACAAGCAAGCAACCATCGTACCTGAACCGTTGCACTCAAAGCCTCCCTCGAAAGAACCAACGCCGCCTCTTGACGGCGAAACACGCTCAGGGGCTGACTCAGCACCAGATAGCGAGTCGGAAGCTAAGACGCCTACGAAAGAGACCACACCCAAGCCCGAATTACCTCAGGCAGAGAAAGACCGCGTAAAAGTGAAGGCCGAGCTGAAGGCGCTCATGGAGGAACTCCGCAAGATTGATTCGTTGAGTATTATCTCACTTCGTGATCGCGAGTTGACCGATGTTAACTACTATAGCGCCGTCCTTCGCGTTGCTGTTGCTGATTCACTTGCTCTTGCCGTATCCCTTGACGTCCTGTATCTCTCCTCTGGCTATCGAATACACGCATCCCATCGAACCAGGAAACGTGTGGACGGCAAGTTCTTGGGTCCGGGCGGAATGGTCCCCGCGTCTCAGCGGCCTGCTCATCTCTGCTTGAGGAGTGCTTTGAGATCGCGCAAGAAATCCGGGCACAAGATGATTCGCGATATGTCGCTTCGTCCCTCAGACCCATCTATGACCGTCTCAGCGAGATCCGGCGCGAACTGGAGCAACTTGTGAGTCTGGCGTATACCCAGCCCGCGACGCGTCTGACAAGTCTTGCTACACTAGGTATTGACACATCGATGGAGCCTTCGCGAGACCGATCTCTGGAACTATAGCTTGAGTCTGCAAGAGATCGACAAAATGCGCGTTGACGGCAAGTTCGTCGATGCAGAGGGCATTCGACCATCAGGACAATATGTGCGTTTGTAGTGGACGAGTTGGTGCGGTGCACATCTACTGACCTGACGAATACGCAGGTCTTGCTGTATCTGCTCCGCAGATGTTATGGTCTCATCTATCGCCTCCTCTCGTCCAGTGAACCTGTCTCGGAGGAGCTGATGCCCATTGTGAGTATCGATGCTACATACTGAAGATCTGTACTTATTGAAGCACGCATAGGCGAATAAACTCTCCACTGTGAAGAAGTGCCTGAACGAGGTCTTGAAGTATGGCGGGCCATTCTCGCCTCGAGATCTCTACCCAGTGAGTCCCTGTACGGCAATCTGTGCTTGTCTTTGTTTAACGATACCTTTCCATCGCGCAGTATCAGCTAGCTCTGTATCAGATCGATTCTATGCGCAAAGAAGGCAAATTTGTCGGGGTGGATGGAACCATTCCGGAGGGTCAGGGTATTGTGATGGCACATCTGAATGAGTGTCATGAACTCCTCGAAATGGTACGTCTTGTATTGTGATCACTCAACGTGGTGCTGATGCCTCGTATTCAGTTGAAGGAAGCCATGGAAGAGGCGGAGGACGGCAGCTACGATGACGAAGATGAGGAATATAGTCTAGACGGTGATGAAGAGGAAGAGGAATGATTGCAGGTACATGGGGGGTTTCTCGGTTCACTTTTCTACACGTCGTTCGCTCTGCTCAATGCATTCTCAATGGGTGGAGTAGTCATTATGTTGTATCGATACATGGCCGGTCATAGTATGCGCGTCGAGCACAATTCATCTCATGACAATGTCGATCTAGGGGATCATGGCCAGGGCTGCAGCACTCACCCAGCTGATAAGACTACCGTGTTGTACCTCACTCACGTCGAGTTTTTCGCGTTCCGAGCACATGCCCTCCAGGAACCACTGCTGCGATTGCGTTCAAGGTCAGATGCAGATATCTTACACGAGAAGTACATGCCCGTGTAGACAGATGATGGAGTGACTACTAGTACACGATGTTCAGTCTGAGGAGTGACGAGCGCCATCATGCTGAACTGCATGCTCGTCGTCTGCGCCACGTACGTATCTTTCACGTACTTCGCGACGTCCTACACATCCCACCAGGATCAGCTGATCCCGAACCGCAGCAACAAGCGTGTCTCTTACCTCAAGCAAGTTCGTTGACGCCCCCTGTCGATTGGTCCGACTCGGCGGCCGTCGAGCTCGACGAGACGCGGCGGGAATGAGGTTACAACGTTCGTGCGAGGCGGGTCGGGCGTCTGCACGAAGCAGGTGAAGTGCAGGTCCGTGTGCATATCTGCTTCGGTGACGGTGGTTTGACCGGATGAGGCCGCTTCAGCGTGGATGTTTGCGAACAGCGGGGTGGTCTCGAGGGCCTTGGCGCGCTCCTCGGGTGTCATCTCTGGGAACATCGTGGTGAGCACACCTGCAATGCGGGCGTGAGACATGTACCTTTGCATTGGTCGATGAACTGCTCAAGAGGACTCTCCGGAGCCAGTGTCACGTCTGCCTGAAGGAACAGTTTTCAGTCCGATCGCGTGTCGTCGTACGAAGTGGTTCACGTTGGCGAGTGCATGCAGCAGCCCGATCGTCCCGCATGCATTTCCGATCTGACGTCTAGCATCAGCGCGCTGCCAGCTAGCATCATCTCCAATACTGACCGTCTGCTTGATATAGAAGACCGTAGGGTCAATTGAGCGCTGGCCATGGGTCTTAATCCGGTCATCTCCTCTTTCCTTCGATTCTCGATCGACCCAGTAATCGGGAAGAGTAGGATTACGGCCTTCACGGGTTGTGGGACCATCGCGAGGAGCTATGATACGCGTAGATATTAGTTATCGTGGTTATGGTTCAAGTAGGGACGACCGAGCATACGTCTCCGTCTAAGCCGTAGACGTCTACGAATTCTGCTTGCGAAGTGACAAGCCCGGCTTTGCTCGCCCACTGGGCAGAGGACAGAGATAATCAGGACAGCATCTAGAAGAGCAAATCAATCGCTTCGTACTTGGTTCAATACCTAACAACACCAAGACTGAGCCCGTGAGTTACCGCAATGGTCTAGAAAGCTGCGTACATCGGGATTGCTCTCCAGTGGAATCCAGCGACTCGGGGTGCTTGACATTCTGTTTTCTGTTTCCAAATGCTGTTGCAGGCTATTCTCGATGGTTAAGAATATGATCAGCTCTTGCAGGTGGCTGTAGTGGTACAAGCTGGAGCGCAGCTGCCGCGTGCGCGACGCGCAAGTCAAGTCCCGCACGCGCCCTCGTGACTCGTGTATGATGACGACACGCGTCTCGACGCGTCTGCCGACGCGCCCATTGTTCGGACATCCATTGTACATGTATTACACCCCATACGAATACAGCAATGTCCTCTATGATACAATGCAGATTGATTTATGCTAGCTTTCCGTTTCCTTCATTTAGCTAGGGTCATGACTGCTCTGCCGGAACTTCTTGCTCTGCACTCTCCTTCGCCGCATCCTCTTCATAACCCTCCAACTTCATGTCGTTCAATCCAAGCTCCTCGTTCTGCTCCCATGTTCGATCGTATGTTTCGATCGTCATATTGGGATCTGGATCGGGCGCGTACAGGTTCTGCAAGTAGCTGTTCGCGAGCGGATCGTCCAGGATGACGGTGAACGGCTGGTCCGCGCTCTTGACCGCCTTCAGCTTCGCCAAGAACTCCTCGAACTTGTCGTCACCGCGACGAGTGTCGGAGAATACCTTCTCCGACAACTCTTCGTAGACCTGGTCAGGATGCCTTCCAGCGTGGTGAACCGCCCACCGAGTGTGCCTCTTGTGAGTACAAGCTCAATCTCGGGGATCTCAAGACCGCAGGTCTCGCTCTTGAGGATATCACGGCTGAGATCTTCCTGATCCTCGACCTTCAGCGTGATCCGCTTGCCTTGTAGAGAGATGGCGGAACCGGACTTGACCTCGTTGTCACGGTATCCGCACTTGTCGCAGTTCGTCGACATAATGATGACATCCTGCATTCTGGCATCAGAAGCACTGCTCATTGATCCTACGAGGAGCATACCTTGAAATACGGAATGTTGACTTTCTTCATGAGCGTGTTGATAGCATGTCCACAGCTCGAGCACGTCCCGGGGAAGATGAAGATCTCCTCGTTGGCATTCTCTACGCCTTCATCACCCTCGCCGTTAACCTTCGGTAGGAGCTCGTCTGGTTCATCGGGGTTTATCAAGCCCAGATCAATGTTATGTTGCTTTGTGCGGTGATATGTGCGCATGTTCCACTTCGGATCCGCCATGCTCCCATTGAACTCGATGAACGAATTGCCCGAGGGGTCATCCAGGCGCACAGTGAACGGCCGCATCGGTGCGTCCTTCTCACTCGCTTTTCGCGGGAGCTTGACTTCTCCGATGGCGCTGTCCTCATCCTCGTCCTCATGATCTGCGAGAATCTCCTTGAGTCCGTCGATGATGGTCTGAATCTTCTCGTATGCTGCTCGTTCTGAATTCGTCGGAGGGGCTGGTCCGCGCTCAGGTCCGCCACGGTATCGCGGAGGACTCCCTCGATAGTGGTGAGCTGACCGCGCGAGGCGGGAATGGTGAGTTCAAACTCAGGAATCTCGATGGTTCCCGTCGAGGATTTGATAAGTTGTCGATTCAAGTCTTCTCGCGAGAGAACGCGGAGGGTGTAGACCGTACCATCCGCTGCATCCTGATCAGGTATTGAACAAGGAGTGTAAAGTCAGTGGATACTTACGTCGGATGGCACCAGCCTGCTGAACTTCATTGTTCTGGAAGCCACATGATTCGCAACGGAAGGACATTACGATCACCTCGCGGAAGAAGGGGATAGACGTCAGGAGCAGCCTGGTGACTCCCTATGTGCAATGGTCAGAGCCCGCTCAATAACATTGGCCCCTGAAAGCATACCTGTTCACCACATCTCATGCAGAGTGACTCGATCTCCTGCATGGGCCGCTCATCATCCTCCGTCGTCGACTCGACGTTCTCGCCTTCCCTGTCTGCGAGCTGCTCGGTCTCCTCTGCGACTGCTCGGATCTCTGGGAAGAGATTTTGAGACATGTTCTGGATCGTGTAGTAAGTGTAGTCGTGAAAACGGAAGCGTTGGAAATTCGGGTGAGAGTTAGCTTATGAGAGACATCGACTCAGGCTCAGGATGGAGCCTGCCTCACGCTTTCGAGAGAGATCGACTCGACGCGATCGCCATCTCAGATTCTACCCACGTGATGTTTGTCCGAAAAGGCAAGTTACCAATTCGCGTCCGACGCGGTTCGTGTCGCCTCGAGCCTTGTTCATCCCGCCCTCGTCGTCGACCACTCCGTCCTCGCCAGCATGTACTCCAGCTCGTCGTTCTCGTCAACGAACAGCCATGGCCAGGCCCAGATAGTCGACCATCCTACTCGCACTCACATTCGCACCCTGCGCATCAGGGGTTCAGCGTGGCTGGCATGTCAGGTTTGAGCGGTTCGAGCACACTACAGAGTCCCGGTTTGCGCGGCGGCGCGCTAGGCGGAGGCTCTCATGGACTTGGGAGCAGTAGCTCCTTCGCAAGTGTATCCTCTCTTGGCGAGTCAAGAAGTCATTACCAGTCTGGTTATATCATGGTGCGTGGTTAACTACGTCTTGGCCTGTGTTCGTGACTCATGCGTCATCCTGCATGTAGTCCGTCACGCAGGGAAATGTACGGAAATTTGCTTAGGGCTCGCTCTGAAGGCTGAAAACATGTTGCAGGGATTACAACAAGGCGGACAACGCCACGACGAGACACCCATAGTGCCAACAAAAGCGAAATTGAGCCACTCTCTTGTTGGAGGCTCTGCCTCGGACTTTGGCATGGACTCGATGTTTGAAAGCTCAAGGTTGTGAGGTTTCCTGATGAGACTGCTCATGTCCTGACGATGTCTCTTGAGATCAAGGCACAGACATCGACAGCCACTTGCGGACGAGGATGCTCCTCCGACCAACTCGGTGAATGATATAATCACGAGGTTTATACTGACAACGGGCCTTCAAGGAATGCTCACCGTGTATGTCGTTGAGTCATTGCGCTACTCGACTTACTCAATCGGCGCATTGCAGAGTCCGGGTTTTGAGCCTTCAACGAGTCGCAACGCATTCATTCGTGCCGCCCAGCCCGCCACACCAAGAGCTAGTCAGACACCTCAAGCAGGCAGTGTCGCGCAGACGCTCCATCTCGTTGTGTTCGGTTATCCGCCGGACAAGTATAGCGTCACTGTCGATACTTCAAGTCCCTTGGGGAGACTACCGAAGCTGAACAGCATCCTGACATTTCCAACTGCTTCCGCATTGGTTATGTCAACCCTTCGGAAGCATGCGTGCTATACGAAAGAATGGAGATGTATTGAGTGGAAGCTGGATGATCGGTGTCAAGTGGGCGGTACGTCGCTTCCCTCCTGTGCAAAGGCGTGAGCTAATCACAGATGTGTAGGACCCAGCACAAGCTGACAGTATCCTTGGATCGGCTTTCGTGCGGTCCGAGTATGGCACACCTGGTTCACCTCCTATCGCCACTTCCTCGCCCAATAACGACGTCATCATGTCCTCGGCCACATCCGCCAGTATCTTCCCCTCTGCATCCTCCCGTATGAGTGTCGACGAGCCCGGCTTCGGGACTTCGACGCCATCAGTAGGCACACCCATTCGCCTCGCACCCTCTGCCGCGGCATTCAGAAAACCTGGTGCCGGATCTCCTATCAAGGGTGTGCAGGGTCTGCCCGGTGCTGTCGGGCCTAGTCCGAGCAAAGGCATGCTGGAGCAGGTCGGGGATTTGATATTTGGGTGGTAGTCACCTTCGTACTGTTCTCGCTGGAGGTTCTTGCTCTCTACTTACTACGGTTTCATCCCACGCCCTTCCAATGTTCCTGGTTCAATTGCAACTGCGCTACTCCAAACGCGCCCGGTCTTTGTTAGGTTCGAGTTCGAGAAACGTTCGACACAAACCCCGCACGTGAACGCGGCGTGGAGGTTCTTGAGCGAGCCGACGGTCTTTGTCACCTTTACCAGGCTTCATTCAGCGCTGCAGATAAGGATAAGGGTACCATACATATATCTCACTTGTCCGAGCCTCTGCTGTCCAGATTGCCGTCTCTCGCGGACGGACCCACTAGGTGAGCGAAGTCATGATGTGTAGCGTTGGCGGTACTGAGGTGGATGTTGTATGGTATTTTATCGGATCTAGTGAACAATGTCTCCTGCCCGCGAGTTATCAGAGGTCCTTCCGGGGAGAATTACACCGGTGGAGATGGCAAACATGCCAGCGATACACTCCCCGAAGCTCTCATGGGATGGTAAATATGTCGTCTACTGCGTGGGTACCAATTTCAGGGCGGGCGACCACTCCACTGTGGCCCTCTGGGTTGCGGACACATCTGTGGAGAACAGCGCAAGGCAGATCACATCCGGAGAGAAGAACGACTATGCGCCGTCGTTCCATCCGAGCTCTAGAATGATCTACTTTCTTTCGGACCGACAGAAGGCTGGTGGACCTGCAAAGATATACCGCATTTCAGTAGATGCACAGTCGATGCTGAACCGACTCTTGTCTTGAGTTTGGAGGAGGGTCAGGGCATATCGAGCTACGAGGTATCGCCTGATGGGAACTCCATCGCGTTTACAGCTACGAACAACAGCGACACGAAGGACTCACAGACGAAAGAAGTCTTCAAAATATGGAGGGAGAAGAGCGGCCTTGCGTCTCTTTATGTTGCTGACTTGCGACACAGTGATGAGACGTACGTAGCCCGATTCATCAATATACTCAGCGATTCATTCATCTCGGCTTATAACAGACCGCGCGTTCTAGTCAGCGCGGATGCTCATGTCAACTCGTTCTCATGGAGTCCAGACGGCCGCGCCATTCTGTATCGCCTCTCTGATTATGCGGACGAAGAGGGTCTTCGCGGCAAGCCCACCCGCGAGGCCGTGGTGGACCTCGATTCAAGTGCTACACCGACGGATTCCTTCACCCCCGTACGCCCTATAGCGCATCCATCTGGCGCGAGACAGGCGACATCGTCTTCCTGCAGAATACGACGCCGAGCTGTGTCTTTTCCGCGCAGTCGCTCTGGCTGCGCACCGTGACAACGAGCACGCCGACGCATGTCAGATACGGTGAAGACGATAACACGATCATGATACTGGATCTGCGGAAAGATTCACAATACGCCGTTGCTATTGCTCGCGGGTTGGACACCGCCGTAGACGTGTTCGACGCCAACCACAAACCGAGAACCATATACACGACCCAGGACGACCATATCTCCGGCCTTGATGTCAAGTCAGTCTCGGAGGGACAGTATCGGTTCATCGTCCTCCGTAGCTCTGCTGTGCGAGGGGAGCCACTCGAGGTTTGGTCTGGCACAGCGGACGCGAACACGATCGGGAAGGCAACGCACAAGCTGTCCTCTCACAACACTTGGTTGGTACGGGAACGGATGCCTGTGAGCCGTCCGTTTCACTGGACGAGTCCCGATGGTCAAGATGTGCAAGGCGTCATCTCGCACCCCAGGGCGGCGGGCTTGAAAGCCATGCCAACCGTTGTCGCAATCCATGGAGGACCCACGGAGTGCGTCGGTTCCCCTGCTCCCTTGAATAGTTAATGATCTTATGGCTACCAGTCGCGACACTTTAGATCTTACATTCTGTAAGCGTAGTCCCCATCACATTGATCAAGTATTGAAGTGCTGTATGCAGACTTTTCGAACTGGCGCCTCTTCCTTGCATCGCAGGGCTATCTCGTCATCTCGCCTAACTACCGCGGCAGTAAGTGTCGTCTTCGCTTCATCGAATAGTGAAACAGATCCATCCTTCTCGCGCAGGTATCGGGCGTGGTGACGCGTTCGTTATGGCCGCAAACGGCGGCATGGGAACAACGGATTGGATGGATATACAAAGCATGATTGACCAAAGTATCGCCGAGGGATTGTCAGATCCTAGTAGAATATCCATCGTTGGGTACAGTCAAGGTGGATTCTTGACGGCCTGGGGTGTCTCTCGCCCGAACAACATCTTCAAAGCCGGCGTCGACGGTGCAGGAGTCACCGATTGGGGCATGCTCGCGGCAACATCTGATGTACCTGACCTCGAGGTGCGTGCTCTCCGTTCATGTCTGAAGATGTAACATCGTTAAGTATCATCCGTCCATTAGGCAGCTCTTGGTGGAGGTGCACCATGGGCACCCGAAGGTACGCCTTACCTCCGGGGAAGTCCGATACGTGACTGCAAGAATGTCCACACTCCACTTCTCCTTCTACACGGGGAAGAGGACAAGAGAGTCCCCGTCACCCAAGCTATCGCATTCCTGCGGGGGATAGAAAGAGTTGGTCAAACGAGGTCAAAACCGAATTTGGTATTGTACCCGCGGGAGGATCACGTTTTCCAAGAACGTGCGCATGCCGAAGACCTCTTCCAACGTTTGGCAGAGCATCTTCATTTTTTTCTCTAGTCAGTGGTTACTGGATATGATATTACTGGGTACCTATGTACAGCGAGAGTCCAGTAACTGAAGAATCAGATGCGAAAATCTGGATTTCCCTGACCAATGGCATCGTTTTTCTACGACCGATGGGGTACAGGGAGCCCTAAGGATCCCCTTGATCGCGACATACGGTCGGTGGCAAGCCTCACTAGGGATATATTCGTCGAGCGTTTGTCAGTGAGCGTCCGGACTTCCGCTTCACCTGACATGGACACTGTCACTACTCGTAAGCGTTTAGTAATACCGTCACGACTTACCTCAGGCCTTCAGGCCCCTGGTTTTTGTAACTCGAAGCTCACCCCACCACGTCATCAAACAGCATATCCACGGTGAGTGTTGACCGTATGGTACCTGACGTTGTAGTTCTGATACCTTTCACCTTCAAGTGATCTGACTCAGTAGTAATCCAGTGTCAATGTCCGGCCATTCACACCCTCATGATTTCGCTCAAACGGAATCTCTAACTTCACCACTCACTGCGGAGGAAGTGGCGGGCACCGATACAATCTCCTCCTTGAACTTGTCCACCGACGGATTGCGTGTCATTTACTCCGTCGGTCCGCATTATCGCACGGGTGACCATGCTACCTCAGCTCTTTGGGTTGCGGACACATCCGTTGAGAATAGCGCCACGAAGATCACACTTGGAGACAATCACGACTACATGCCGTCTTTCCATCCAACTTCGGGCGATGTCTACTTCTTGTCCGATCGCCTAGAGGCTGGCGGTCCGGCGAAGATATACCGCTTGCCCCTCCATGCCGCAGCGACCGCTGAGCCGCACCTTGCTGTGGACCTAGAGAAGGGTCAAGGCGTCTCTAGTTATGAAATATCGCCAGATGGGAAGTTCGTTGCGTTCACGATGAAGGATAACAAGCGCGACAAGGACAGGCAACCAAAGAATGACATCCGGATTTGGAGGGACAAGAGCGATCTAGCAGCGCTTTATGTCGCCGATCTGGATGGCGATCGGAAGATGTGAGTTGTCGTGTTGACTCGAGTCACTGCCCAATCTTGATTTCATAAACCTTGCGTAACAGAGTACAGCCAGTACTCTCCACGGAAGGCCACGTCGAATCGTTTGTCTGGTGCCCAGACAGTCGGTCAATACGCTTCCGTACGAGTCCCCATGCGGACTTGGAGAGCTTAAGCGGTGATCCTATCCACGAGGCTGTGGTCGATGTCGCCTCTGGCGCGGTGCATGACCACTTCACTTTCCTCGCAATCCCGGGAGCAAGTCCGTCCAACGTGAATGCGGCGACATCATTTTCTTACAGAACACGACGCTGAATGTCGACTTCTCTGCACAGTCGCTCTGGGTTCGTGGACCTCAGGAAATCAAACGCATGTCAAATACGGCGTAGCCGAGGACGCACTGAAGGTTGTGGACCTACGCCAGTGTTCTCGCTATGCGGTCGCTGTCGCGCGGGGGCTTAATACGACGATCGATGTCTTCGATGCTGAGCATGTTTCGGTCACCGCGTACGAGACGCACGACGACCATATCTCCGATTGGGACATGAAGGCAGTCGGCACTGACCGCTACGTCTTTGTAGTCCTCCGCAGCTCGGGGGTGCGGGGAGAGCCACTAGAAGTGTTGTCTGGTACGGCTGAGGGCGGTGCAGTCGGGAAGGTAACGCACAAGCTATCATCCCACAACACTTGGCTATCACAGGACAGAATGCCTGTGAATCGTCCATTCCACTGGAGTAGCCTCGACGGACAGGACGTGCAGGGTGTCGTATCACATTCTCGAGGTGCAGTGGTACAGAAGATGCCGACTATTGCAGTGATTCACGGCGGACCGACGTCGTGCGTCTTCCTCGATGGCAGTCATACGAGTGATGTCCTAATGAAATTTGCTTCCTAGCCGAGATACCTTGGACCTGTCATTCCGTGAGCATCGTCCATCATGTACTTTGAACCCTGCTGACGACGTGCCTGTCAGAGGAGTGGTCCTGGCGGCACTTCCTAGCGTCGCAGGGCTACCTCGTTCTATCGCCGAATTACCGCGGCAGTACGTATGTCTCAACACGTATAAATGAAACCACTGACCTCGCATCATAGGTCTCGGCCGTGGAGATAAGTTCGTTCAGGCGGCCAACGGAGGGATGGGAACGACCGACTGGATGGATGTCCAAAGCATGATCGACCAGAGCGTCGCTGAAGGAATGACCGATCCGGACAGAGTGGCCATCGCCGGATATAGCCAAGGCGGTTTTCTGACTGCTTGGGGTATGTCGCGCCCGAACAACAACTTTAAAGCCGGCGTAGATGGTGCAGGAGTCACCGATTGGGGTATGTTAGCAGCGTCATCCGCCCTTCCAGACGTGGAGGTGAGCAATCTACTTAATACGCACATTGATATCCGAGGTTCAATAGAGTGTCTTCGCGGATTTTCAGGCCGCCCTTAGTGGTGGCGCCCCATGGGTTCCCGGGGAGACAGCCTATTTGCGAGGAAGCCCCATCCGCAATTGCACGAACGTTCGTGCACCTCTACTCCTGCTTCATGGAGAACAGGACAGCATCGTCCCCTTGTCGCAAGCCATTGCGTTCCTTCGGGGCGTGGAGAGAGTGGGCCATCCGACGTCGAAGCCTATGCTGGTCATTTACCCCGGAGAGGATCACATTTTCCAGCAAAGAGTGCATGCAGAGGATGTCCTTCGGAGGCTCGCAGAACACATGCATACCTACCTGTAGGCAAATTCCGTCACCCTCGCAGAGTCGCTATGCCATAGTCATTTCACGGTGCTGCCACACAATATCATATTGCATTTCCTTCGCAGTAAGTGTCGCGCCGCGGCGCGGCGTCAAAATTGTGGGTTGTAGCATTAAGTACAGTAATCGCCATAGTGTCGTTAAAACATGCTTACCAATCTGTTCCACCGATCACTGTGAACCGGACGATCGCGAAGCGCTTTCCATCATTTCCATTTGGGGACGCGGACCCATTTACGGCGCTAGTCCGAGGTCGTCGGGTTTTTGCGTCCGGCCACGCCCGTCTGTTTCCTCTTTTCACCACTGGCTAGCTCCTTCAATACTCACCGTACGAACTAGAAAGGCTTATTTCCGGACTCATCACCTCAGAATAAGCATCATGAAGGAGTCGGCAAGGCCATGCTATCGACCGCTGAACGCGTGAGCGGCACCGGGAACGACAAGCGCCCGCGATCAACGTGCTACGAGTCTCGAGAGACTCGGGAGTCGGAGGCATATGGTACGTCTGCACACCTAAGTACGACAGTACGACCGGATATGTTGAATTCACGTCCAAACGGTTGCTGTGGTGTTGCTGGTGGTGCATGATGTGTCCTCGACTCCGACTCGGTTTGAGTAATCAACTTGGATACCTATGATTGTACAGGCAGGATTTTCATGAAGTACATTGGCCGAATGGCATTGCGCAAAAGCCAGACCTCGGACTAGTGGGTACTGAACCGTGCCCATTGCCATATCAGCTGAAATAACACGGCCAATTCTTCAAATACGTTAGCCTACTAAGTAGCAGCCGGAGGAGCTGTTTTGTAAGTTGTTGTTTTCGGTCTACAGATGTTGCCCCTGCAAACCGTCTTCATTGCAGAACGTGTAAACGTAATCAAACGTGTTCTGTCTCGAACGATGAGAATGAAGAAGCCGGTATGAAAGCGTTTGAGAGTGTCTTCAGCTCAAACCCGCAGCCTTCTGTCATGTCGACACCTCTCGTCCTTTCCATCACCGCCGTCAGTAACTATGACCGCTCGAAGTGTCGCAAGAAATGCTACGGCAAGCCTTGCATCCCCGTATCAATAGCCTAGACTCGACGCTGGATTTACTTGACTCTACGTCCTTCACGGCCGCCCCAGCTGCCGCCCGCACGGCCCGTTAGCAATTCCTTGCAGCCAGTCACCGCAATGATGCCTCCATGGACTTGCCCACTGCTTCATCTCCCAGGCTCCCTCCGCCGCTGTTCCCTTCTCCACGGGCGCGCGTCTACATCATTCGCACCTGCAGATGTTAGAGCAGGTGGTTTGAAAGGTTGCGGACGGCTCGGCGGGTGCAGATGGAGAGGGGATTGACGTCGATGGTTTCGAAGCGGCGCAGGGGTCAATGGGTGGTAACCGTGGTGCCGACGGCTGCCTCGACGGTGCAGGGGGGGTGCACCAGTAGCGGAGAGGATGCCACCAGACTCCTATCGGGCTGGAGGCGGCGGTGTGAGAGGCGCCGACGTCTGTGCCAGTGTCCGCGACGCAGGCCTGGACGCCGCACTGTTGTTCACCTGTAAACGATATGCGTTTGGGTCCAGTTCCGCCAGAGGCAAGACCGAGGTGGGAGTATCAAGCCGTTTCACCGTGCCGTTGGCTGACGACGGCGATGAGAAATGCCTCTCGTCTGCTACGGTTTCCATGTCGTGAAACCCCTCGTGGTGTTCATGTCCCCCTCTTCTGGTCGGCAATGCCCAACAAGATACCGCCTTCTTCATACGGACACTCCGGTGGTCGCACACCTGCACTAGCCCTTCTTCGGATAGGTTCGCGACCCCGAGGATCCGCATCCAAGTCGGGTACTCCTCCCCCGCTTGCGAAGCTGGCGTTGCTGGATAACAGTGATGACGTCTCTGAACAGGCGTTTCCGGCTACCGGCCAGCCGCTGCTGTCGAAGCCGTAACACGTCGACCCGTTGGCACAGTCGGCGGGAAACTTCGACATGGTGGCGAATGTTAGTGCGACGTCGGACAAGACCTTCACGCCCTTTTGACTTCCTGATGTCGTACACTCAATCTCTCCGCACCCCCTCTCCTCCTCCCCCGGCCACCAAGGCGTCGCAAATCATGTACCACCTACCTCGTCGTCTTCCTCGAAGCCGTCCGCGTTCACCTCGCGGAGCGTGGCCGCCGCCTCTTCATGATTCATCCGGGCCAGGAGCATGGTCGCCCCATACCTACACATGCTCAACCTTCTGGAGAGAGTAGCTGCGCGTCCAGGCCGATGACCGGATCTCCTCCCTCGCCTCTTCCACAAGCTATACCCAGACCGTACTGGGCATCGTCGAGCTCAGCGTCCGTGGATCTATTGGGCGGTGATGGCTCCCCAGAGCGACCAAAGGCTGAATGCGTCACCGCATGGCATTCGTCGCCGGATTTGATGGGATCCTTTTCGACCGGCTTCTACCGTAAGTCTGGGCAAGGGGACCATTCAGATATTGCCTCCGCCGCCACTGTCTCAGCTCAGTCATTTAAATCCACCTCTTTCGGCTCCTTGCAGACTACGGGATCGCCGCCGACTGTCATTCAACGGGTGACAGCTCTTGCGGCGAATCCTCCCACAGTGCGGAGCACCGCCAAAACAGGTGGACTGTCCGCGCAGGACTTGATGTTCTTCGAGGGGCTTTAGGTTGTCCCACTGGTGGCTGCATCGCCACTCACATGTGTTGCATACGATATCAATCTTACGAATTCAGGGATCGAAATTGAATGATGATGGACGATCTCACCAAATTCGTAATCAAGTGGTAAGATGTGCGGTTCAACAGATGTTAGAGTTGTGTTCCGAGGCTGGTGCGTACCTATTGTTCACGTCCACGCGGTCTGACGGCCGCTGTTTCTGACCATTTGCAGACAACAGATTCCAAGCAGACAGATCCTGTCGTGAGGGGCAGCAGCAGCAGCGACAAGGCGTCTACGATGTATGCCAATGCGGAGCCATGTGCCGCAATCCCCAGCGGTCGCCCACTCCGGCACAGATGCGTATTTCTCAAGGCATCGTCAAAGGAGGGGCATCATTGCGGCCGTCGTATTGTGGTTCTTCCCAGGCTCCCTCTGGGCAGTCAACCTGAAACTTTGAAGCCTGAGGATCCGTCGTCATCGTCTCTATCAGCGTACATGGGCAAAGTTTGTACTCTGGTACGAGGGCTAGGTGAGTAACTGGATTACTATCTTTGGAAGACATGTGGACCTGTGTTACCCCAGCATGGCAGGCGGCTACCCTCGAAACCATGTTTCAGAAACGGGACACGGTTCGAAACAGAACCCAACGCGACGCGTGCGTGCGCAGGGTCTGGATGGTGCTTGTTGCGAGGCAATCCCATGGGCGGTGGCCAATTTGGATCGTCCGAGGATCAAGGTCCAGCACGAGAAAAGACTCCTGCTCCAGATTACCATACCGGTATGTTGCCGAGTGTCCAAGCTCCCGCGCGCTGCATTATGGGTGTGTGTGTCACCACAACCCACCTAGTCTCTGCGCGCATGGAGCCCGGAGGTCTTGTCGCTTGCGGAGGTCTGTCAATACTTCGTCTATTCCTGTTAGTAAGCCTCGGGCCACAGGCGATTTGTTCACCATGTGAACCTCTTATCATTGCACACAGTCCAGCGTGCGCAGGCAGTCTTCTAAATGTCTCCGAACAACAAGAACTTCGAAAGCCAAGTCGCCTGGTCCCATCAGCACGTGCCTCAGGCTCTCGTGGTACGTCGCTCCTGCATGAGCACATTATGCCCAGCGCGTTAACCTGTACCAGTGTGTCTATGGTAGAAGGGTGTATTCCAAATCCATACGACGACACCATGTGCAACGCGTTCATCACGGCGTACCTCACGACCTGGTCATTGGCAACAAGCCATGCGATTGGCAACGGGGACGTTGAACGGGTGATAGGACGCTCTCGTATGACGACAGCATCCTTGCAGCAGAAGCACCTCTTGAGCCATATATAAGGGCTCAATGAGATGGGGATCCATACAACGCATCCGAGTCTCCTCGACCGCAATGGTTCCCTCGATGTCAAAATCTATACTCTCCCTTTGTGCCGTGTTTCTCCTCTTCTCCCTTCAGGCTGTCCAGGCGGCCAACTCCTTTGCAGGGTCCAATCTGTACTACGCAGCAGGCCTGCAAGACGATGACAGAACCGCCCTGCTAAAGTAAGTCTGCTCTTCTCGATCTTGACGTCTTCGTGGCAATGATTCGTATTGACACTTCACTTACAATATAGGGGACTGCAGAGCGCCGGTATGAAGGTATTGCGAGTCTGGATTAATGGTCAGTCTAACGACCAGAAGGTACGGACTTCAGTGCGCTTCCGCAAGGCTTCTGCAATGGCTGAATATTCTCTCGTGGACAGGGTACTCACATCAACCCTTTCAACGATCTCGAACCCAACACTCCCTGCAACGGAGACACCTCTTGCTACGACGACACAATTCTTGAGCGACTGGATGACTTCATGGTTGCAGCCAACTCTTACGGCATCAAGGTGATTGGGTGTCGCTTGCGGATCTGCAGCCGTGATACTGACTTTCGCGTCGGCAGCTTCTGCTCACCATGCATAGCTACAACGCCTTGGCCAGCAACGACGCCTACGGCAAGTGGTACGGCATCGGGGATTTCTACACGGATAGCGATGCACAAACCTCCTTCGACGCTCGCCTCGTGCATATCCTGAACCACGTACACAAGTCGCTCGGAAAGCCTTGGAAAGAGTTGAGCGACTATATCTTCGCCTTCGAGGCCGAGAACGAAGCCATGATTGGGGATGTAAGTGCTCAGTGATGTTCGTGTATATCCACAATGCCTGACAATCGCTGCAGGGCGAGTCGTTCGTCAAGGCCAACACTGCATGGTACGTTTCAAGATCACTATGGTGAAAAATGCGGAAGAGATGACCGTGCATATTCATTCAACAGGCAGTGCGACCGTGCAGGGACGATCAAAGGCCAACTCGGCAACAGCAGCGGGGTAGGTTTGAGGACTGCTCCTCTTATTCTTCTAACTGCATAGCTTCGAAACTGACTCATACAACAGATCCTTGTGACGACTGGAGGAGAGTCGTGGTTGTCTGAGTCGGTCCAGTCTGCTTGGCTGTCCTGCGATGCTCTGGATGTCATCTCCATTCACGCCTACGGTACCGGGGACCTCGCTACCTCCGCCCTGAAACCCTATGTCCAGCAAGCGCAGTCCGCCGGCAAGATGCTGATGTTGGAAGAATGGTGAGTATTGACCGTCTTCTACTGTACTCTGATCCGTGAATCTGACTCAAACCGGTACAGGGGCGCATGTTACTTCGACACTTCCAACAATGACTGCCCTACCGGAGATGCCCTATCTACCGACACGCGTAACGGCAATATCGTGAACTGGGCCGAGCAAATTGACAACGCGGGGCTTCCTTGGTTGTATTGGCAGGTCCTTCCCAATGCTGACCCTCATGTACGTTCTGTCTGGGCCTTTCACGTATTTGTGATTAACAAGTGACACGCAGGCGGGGTTCGATTACGAGATCGGCTTGAACGATCCGTCCTGGAGCGCCCTCCAGCAGGCTGCTCAAGCGGCCGCGCAGGCCACGGCTGCTTTCGACTTCTCGGCTTACCTTCTGTGAAGTGTGAGCCACGCATTTGAAGGTCGCGTTTCTTTTCGGCTGCGTATCTTTGGGTTGCATTTCTTTGGGTTTCATTTCTTTGGGTCGCATTTCTTTGTGGATTCATGGACTAGCTTGCAACGCGACTATGTCCTTATCACTCCCTTGTTCTCATCCGATGTCTGTTGACGCCAGTGTTTTGTGCACTGCTGGAGTTACTATAGAATACTACTGTATAATCCTTATCCGATCAATTCATTTGTACCTGTTTGGTCGCTCTGTCATAACATTTGCCTCTGAAGCCCACCAATCGTCTTACGACATCTACAACATAGTTGCATTCTCTGCATCACCGGGGTATGCGCCACAGTCGACTCGGACTAGGTGACGGCAATGAACCAACGCCAAGAGGTACCAGCGTCTCGCGCCTTCCGTTTGCGTACAACTTGGTAGCGACGACTCGATGTTCACTGAACACCATGAACCACAGCCCTCTGGCAGAGGCTCATGTCCTCGCACAGTCACAATGTTGCGCCAGTTTGCACAGTGGTGCCACTTGTTGGATTTCCTTTGAAGTATCGCGCCGCGGCGCTGCTTACAAATCGTGGGTTGCAATGTCGTGTTTAGAACATACTTACCAAATCCGTTCAACTTCCACCGATCATGAGACCGACGAGCGCTTTCTATCATTTCCAATTAGGGAACGAGTTGTGTTCTCGAAGCAACGACGAGCCATCGCCATATCCGCTGACATAAGACGGCCAATCCTTTCAGTACGTAAGCCTGCTAGCAGCCTGAGGAAGCCTGAGGAACTGTCTTGTGAGTTGTTCTCGGTCTACGATGTCGCCCATGCAAACCCTCGTACTCGCAGGACGGGCGAACGCGATCAAACGCGCCCAGGTTGCCAGTGCCCCGAAGGCCATGCGCAAGGCGCAGCCACAATCCGATATACCACCAAACGGACGGATCCCTCCCCTCCTGGACGGGTCCAGCTCCCCCATCCAGCTCCTCCCGGAGGATCTATTGCACGATATCTTCTACGCTATTGTCTCGACGTGTACGTACACCACTCAGGAAGGGGATATCGTATCCGGCAGCGTCCTACTCCTCTCAGCATCGCACGTATGTCGGCATTGGCGGTCACTCACCCTCGCGTACCCGCGACTGTGGTCGTTCCTCCATATAACGACCAAACGCGCATCGGCATGTTTCGGGAGTTCCTGGCACGCGCGCAGGACGTCCTCCTCAGTGTCAAGCTGCGCGGCCCCAAATCAGTCTGGGATCCGAGCGAGGACGTCGTGCGGATGGCACAGATCCTCGCCGAGCGCGCAGACCGCATCGAGGCGTTCCACATCGGCCAGTTCTTCAAGGAGGAGATGGCGAAGGTGCTCGCGTTTTATGCGGGGACGCCCGCACCCAACCTGCGTCGCTTGATGGCATTATCTGGATCGTACGTGGAGATCCCGGCGCTGTTCGCTGGGGACATGCCCGCGTTGCGGAGACTCCACACCTCTAGGATATCCATGCCATGGCTGCCGTACCGGGACTTGATCGAGTTGGATATACCCAGCCAGGTCACTCCTGCCACGGAGGATATACTGTGGACCCTACGACGCTCGCCTTCCCTCGAACTATTCTCGTTGGTAATGCACGGGATCCCTCTGAACCCATTACGTCTGGTTTGCTGCGAACGGTCCGGTTTATTTGCCGCGACTGCAGAGGCTGCAGCTGGGTACAATGCGCGACACCGATGATGTGCTGCAAATTTGCCTCATCTCGACTTCCCGGCCACCGCTAGCGTATCTCTATGTCTACGCCAACGACTACGGACGAACATGGATCTGGGAGATCTGTGCCCTTCCCTCCGCGCAGTCCAGCTCGTGTACGCAAAGGGTTCGTGCAGTTCATTTGCGTGGACGACCTGTACAGCATCATCTTCCGATCACCGACATGGTCTTCTGCATCGAATGGCATGGGGGGTGTGGCACTGGGGCGCAGACGACGAAGCGGATCTGTCGAGCACGAAGAACACACTCGACTGCGTCACGCTGCCGAACCTGACGTCCCTCGCGATCCACGCAAACCGATACTTCCTCCGTACGGATCAGTGGGTCGACGTGCTCGAGCATGTGCCACCATCCGCAGGCTCGAGGTCGATTTCCGTTCCGGTCAGCTCGGCTCTGCGTGGCCCAAGACACCTCGCTTTTCGCGGCGCTCGGCAGAGATGGGGCAGACGGACGACTGGTGTGCCCCAGGTTAGCTCACCTGGTCATTATGCGGGCGAGCTTTACTGAGGCACACGCCGGGGAGGCCTGGGACGCGCTCATCGGCGCACTTTGTGACCGGCTGGAGAAGGGCGCATCGAAGCTAGCCAAGCTGGAGATTACGACGCGTGATTCGGCCGGTCTGGTCTCTAACGGATGGCTTCACAGCTTGGACCAACTAGTAGAAGGAATCGATATTCATACCGTCAAGGCCCGCTGACGGTCGTGCCATTTCCTGCTGTCGTTGATTACTGCACTTCGATATGGTAGGTAATCTCCACGGTGACACGACGTTGAAGGACTCATTCGCTCTGTTAGAAGTCATGTCAAAATAGAGATACTAGTATTGTAACAATGCTGATTTAAGCGTCGCACTGACGGTAGCGACACCCAACCGTGTTTTAATAGCACGGACTTATGGGCACATGTAACACTTTGCGGAGCAATGAGATCGCGATGCTCTGCAGAGGGTGCCACTATTAGTACTGCTGGTATAGTGGGTCGAACCGGAGGCAACTGAAGGAACCAATGGAGTTGCCTGAATTGGTCGCGCACCCGGCGGCCCGGAATGCCCCGAGTGCCCGAGATCGAGTAAGAACATGTCGGGTTTGCTCCCGACGCCGTCTCGCACTTTCTGCTCTCTCCTCCACCTCCAGCTCATCTCTGCCTCTCGAAAAAATGGGCCAGGCAGCCTCCCAGGCCTCTCCGTCGACGCCCGCATCATGTCCTGTTGACCACACCGCACTCAAAGCAAAGGCCTCAGCAGGACAATGCCCGATCCAGCATGACGCCTCCCCGCTGCCTCCTCATCCTCTGCACCGCACAATGTCCCATCAGCCACGAAACCGCCGCCACCTCAATCCGCTCAACCAGATGCCCACCCTGTCGCAGGCCCCCGCAGCGCACCAGAGCATGGCGCTCCCGACGGACCGCTCGACGTCGACCATCCCGCGCGACGCCTCCTCGCGCTGGGAGTACCCCTCCCCGCAGCAGTTTTACAACGCGCTGGTGCGGAAGGGGTGGGAGACCCCGGAGGAGCACGTCGAGACGATGGTGCAGATCCACAACTTCCTGAACGAGCAGGCGTGGCAGGAGATCCTGAAGTGGGAGCGGAAGGAGAACCCGTGAGCCTTGCGTGACATTGCGAGGTACTTACTGTGGCTAATACGGACTTGATTACCCAGAGTCGAGGATCCACAGCTGGCGCGGTTCAAGGGACGCCCCGGAGAGCTCTCGCCGAAAGCCCGTTTCTGGTTGCTCGCAGGCTGGTTGCTCCCAGCTCGCTTCAAGTACGCTCGCACCTCTCGTATCTCACGACGCCTTACTGACACTTTGACAGCACTGAGCCGCCTTTCGACCGTCATGACTGGATTGTCCGCCGACGGGGTACTGGCAAAGAAGTACGCTACGTGATCGACTACTATTCTGCCCCGCCCGAGCCAGACGGCTCGCCCGTGTTCTCTCTCGACGTCCGCCCCGCGCTGGACAGTGTTGGCAGCGTCAAGCAGCGGATAGCGGCAGCTTCACAGGAAGCGTGGGCATCGTTCAAGGAGAATAAGCCCACCGGCATCGCACGCGATGCATAATACATACACGATTGATTCAGTATTGGCGGTGATGCGATATTATAGACCTGGCGTGCGCGGTGGGTTATAGAGATAGCTTGCCCGCATGCGTTCTAATGATTATGGACTATTCACGACTACTACATCGTGAATGACGTGCCTATGGTACTTGGATGTTCGTGAGTGGTGGGGTGACGATGCAAGCAATGTATGTAAGTGCAGCGAGTCAGCTAGATGGCGCACGGGGCGGTCAGATTTTGGGTGGGCCGAGCGGGGGCGAGGCTCAAAGGTATGCGCGCGATGATCGACGGGCCATCTGTGACGAGTTGGTCAGACATGCGTATGCATCTACAAGACACGATTGATGAACGTACCTCAACGACCTTCCAGCCTCCTGTAAGCTCGTTATCGAGCTCCTCCTCTGTCCGTGTGACGACGGCAGCATAGTGACACTGCTCGACCTTGTTCTCGGCACCGACCATGATCTCACTCGTCTTGGCGTTCCGGAAGATGAGCATCTCCTGCGTCTGGAACGTCACTACGAACACGGGGATGTCGTTCTCGAGGATCTTCGCTCCCGATATCTACGAAATGCAGAGGTAGAGTTAGAACGTGACAGGGTGTGTAGGGATGCGAGACGCACGTCCACTTGCCGAATGTCCAGCACTTTGCTGTCGCTCACGAGACCTTGCCGCAGGAACTGCTCCATCGTCGCCCATAGCACATTATACGTCTACAGAACCCTCATCAGACCACTGATATACCCGTTCACTCAAAAGCACTCACCGCTTCCCACACCACGCCTTCAGCGCCTCCTGGTCCGCGGTCAGATACGCATCCACCACCTCTGGAATAATGTACTCCCGGAGCTCGCGCTCGAAGCTCTCCAGCGAATAGCTCGGGTCCATCAGCTTCATCCGGCGGTGCACCTGCGCCTGCTCCGTCTCTTCGAACCACCCGCCTATGGTGTCCGTCACCGCGCGCATCCGCCACGACGGGTTCTCCGACTCGTCGTATGCCTGACGAAGCGACGCGAGCGAACGCAGAACCGGGTTCGTCTCCTTCAATCGCTCCCAGCGCTCGTTCTTCGGCGAGTCTTTGTGCAGTACCATTGCAGAGCCGGCTCTGCGAGACGGGGAGGGAGTCAGTGAGGAGAGGGAAGTGGAGGAGAAGGAAACGTACTCTGGGTCGGCCTTGACGGCGCGGGTGATGCTCTCCTTGCCTGCCTTGGCTAGACGTGCCTGCCGACGCTTCCGCCGTGCCTCCTTCTCCTCAAACCTGCATGTTTCGCGCTCCCACTGTCGTCCAGAGCGTCAATGACCGTTTCGGAAAGTGTCTTATAGGCCTCTGTTTTCCGTATTGGCTCGGTGGTAGATGCGATGGTGTTTGACACGGCGGCGGACGCGCGAGATATCTGCTGCACGTAAGATGCTGAGGGTTGACCATCCGTACGGTGTGACATACCGCCCGCATGACCTCGCTCTCCTCCATGGTCTTGAGTGCTTCCGACACGGCATCACCGACCTTCATACCCGTCTTACGGAGCTCTTCTGCGGCAGCTCGTAACCGCGGATTTTCTTTAATGCTGGAGGTGAGCTACGGAGCGCGGATTTAGCACCCTAGAATGCAAACGATGGGTTGTCCGGCATACCCGTGCCCGCTCGTACGCTGCCTTTGCCTTCCGCATTGCCTCCGAGTCCTGGAACTTGTCCACGTCGCCCTGCAGCTGCTTGACATTGTCCTGCAGCTCACGATTCTTGCGCAGCTCTTCGCGCAGCACTTCCACAAACGTCTGGAACGGCGACCGTGGTTGCTCATCCTGCCGGCGCGAAGACGAGTGGAATGACGCAGACGGTGGGTGCGAAATGACACGGTGCGCCCGGAGCGAGGTCGGCCGCAGCGAACTTCGCGCGTAGAGCAGCGCACGTATTTGTGCGGGCGCGGAGGAGGTGACGACGGCAGCACGGAGATGGCGGGGGAGCATGGCGGGCACAGAGAGGGATGAGGGTGAGCACTGAGCAGAGCTTGCGCTTGCGCCCGGCGTCGTTCCCGACCAAGTCTCTGACGCTCTCTGGCGGGCGCTTGCCAAAATCACAGAGCACGTGGTGTGGCGGTTGATCGGCGGCACTCGGGTCCGATTTTGGAAATCGCGTCTTTGCAACGTTCAACAACTTTAGGCTCGACTTTGCACAGACTCCGTGTTTCTTGAGGCTGATGCAGTTTGCAAATAACCGGGCAATATCACGCTGGCAATAGCTTGAACTCCGAAGAGTTCACCACAGTGATGGTACCATGCCGTTACCAGCTTCTGTAACCGCCAGGCCCATATACGGGGCGGAAATCAAGAGAAGTGTATCGTTAATGTCTCAATGGAATGTCTGCTCTGCGCTCAATTTCAGGTAAAGGACTCGACCATCCCAACACCACGTCTCGCGAAAATCCTGGAAAACTGATACTCAGGAGATGAAGGGCCTGCAATGCCTTACCCCGGTCCCTCCTCCGAGACACGCCCAGCTTCACAGGAGAGTCGCGGAACCGTTGCTTCCGGTGCGCGGTTCACGAGCTATGCCCTATCGCTCGGATAATGTTCTATGAACGCGCATCATCTACCGAGGCGTTGAGTGAGTGGTTGTTCGATACAAAATGGCGTGAAGGTCAGATATTTGTCTGAACTCGTCCGTGTATAATCATGAAGGTAAGAAATTGCTCCCTCGTGACGAAAGCATGTATTGCATCGTCCCTCCACTAGTCAAACCCACCGATCTGGCATCGCTTACATCGACGGAGAGCGTCATACTACCCGTGGTCAAGACCAAAATGTCGGATGCGGCCAGCCATCCCATCCCGCTCCGTCAGCCTCTCTAGGCTGACTCCGACCAAGTAGACTTCATATCCGCTCTGAACTCACCTCTCTTTTCCCCTTACCTCCATCTAGCCCGCCGAACGCACGCGTCGTAGCAAGTCGTCCAGCACGCCCATCATGAGTAGCCCAGGCCAGCGAAGCACCGTGGCGTCTGCCCACAAGGCACCCGCCATCAAACTCACGAGGCCTGTCAGATCGTCGACACTGCCCACCACATCGACCAAGCGGACGTCCACCAACCTATCCTCCACCCGTCCACCCGCGCAGATCAAGAAACCTAGCTCTGTCGTGCCTGCGAAGAAGGCTTCTCCTGTCAACGTACCAAGACGTGGTCGATCATCCTCCGTCGCCGTCAGTGTCATAAGCAAGACCTCTCCGGCTCCTGTCAAATCGGCGGTCAGCCAATCACTGCCCACTCCGGTGCGTGAAACCCTGCTTTATCCTTTAGCTTAGGTAACTCACTGTGGATGTGCTGCAATTCTCGCCTTGTAGCCTACTGTGGCGCGCACTCTACGTTCCGCCGCTCCGAGCAGCACGACTAGTAGCCCAGAGAAAGAAGACCGCATGTCCCGCTTGACTCGCCCGACGCGGTCGTCTTCCCAGAAGACCGTAGACTCTAGCTCCCGCTCTGCACCGAAGCGTGCCCCGGGCTTCCGAGGGTTGCAAGCGCCACAGGCAATGATGCTGGCAAGAAGTCGCGTTCTACCTCTGTCGTCAAGCCGGCTTCTACGAGCACCAAGTCCTCAATGAGCGGCTCGAGGCACGGAAACGGCACCCGAGACCTACGGCGTGCAAGAACGCTGCTCTGGCGTCGACGTCGAAGAAGACCTCCGCGTCACCCAGGTCAGTCAGTCCTGTCAAGAAGGCTGACGAGCCTGCCGCGAGCGACGTCCAGCGAGATCAAGTGGCGGACGTCAAACCTGCCACTGGTGATGTCCCTGTGGCTAATGCGCCTGAGCTCATCGCCTCGACAGAACCCGTATGTTCGACATATGCTGAGGCTGACCTTCCTACCGCTCAAGTCACCACCTTGGAGGAAGCTGCGGCAACTACACACAACGAGCACATTGGCACCGACAGTATTGGAGACGTGCCTGAAGCGGAGGTTCTTGGTGACGAGATCATCGCTAGTGAGCTCAAGACAGTCGACGGCCAGACTGGCGAAAGCCCTGCAGATATATCGGAGAAGGACGTTCCTGAGGGTGTCTGCGAGGTTCAAGGCGAGGAGAACGACGTTATCAAATGCGAACAGCATGTCGAGGACTGCACGGACAGCGACGGACTGCATATCGAAGACAAGATCGAAGGTGGTGATGAAGACCAAGCAAGCAACAGTATCGATGCACGCGAGTTGCACGGGGAGATTACACATGATGAAATGGTTTCGATGGAGAGGTTAGTGCACTATGTTGCTGCCCGCCATGTTCAACTAGAGCTATCACCCCCTAGCGAGAGCAAGAGTGATATCGCAGCAGCTGAATCGCTCTCGGACGTAATCCAATACTATTCTGAGTCAAGCAGCGAGGACACAATGACTAGTGATGACAGGTGCGCAATACACCATTCCACATTGCTTCGTCTGGTGATGCTGGCTACGTAGCGAGACGAGTCCTTCCGAGTCCACGTCCTTCGGTTCCCTCGTGGGCGCGTACTCCGGGTCGTCCGACTCAGAAGAGAATGTCCCATCGGTCACTACTTTGTGAGTCTTCTGGAAGCTTCCGTCAACGACCGCTGATCACAACGTATCAATGCTTTAGCGGGAGCACCGGCATAGTCGCATCTTCCTCCTCTTTGGGCTCCCTCCTGGAAGCCTACTCCGGGTCTACAAGCGACAGTGATACCTCCACGGACGACAGGTATTCGCGCATAGCTTTATAAATGACCCACCACTAAGCAAGTGTACTGGCAGCACAACTACTCCAACGAGGATGGGCCCTGTTCGTCCTACACGGACGAAAGCATCAACACATGCGCAACATCCCCACCAGCGAGCCCTACGATCCCGGACAAGCTAGTCTTCACCGAGCCACAACCCGGAAGACTTCCTACGGGTCCCGGAATGGGCCTACGAAATACGTCTGTCCAGGCGCGCGAGTGCTTCTCGTGACAAGCTGAAGCTCCCGCTCGTGAAGCCCCTGCGCATCGCACCGAAGCCGCCGATCACCAAGGCTCCCAAGGGATGGGCATCGTCTCTGCAGGTAGTTGGTTCAGGTAACAGCCCGAGCACTGCACGGAAAGACGTCCAGCAAGGCGAGGTCCCGAGGTCCAGGGACGTTCACGGGACGTTTACGAACAGCCTCAGTTTCGCACCTCCGCCTGTTGCATTGGACATAGCGTCCCTGCTATGCGAGATTCAAGACGATGACAAGATACCCATTTCACCGTATGTTATTCAATTGGGATACTCTGATTCACAGTCATTGATGCCATTACACTTCGTAGGAGAGTAACGGCTTCCCACAGCGCAGCTACGTGCTCACCCAGGGCCGTGGACCCACTTGACGAACATTTCGCCCATGATCCATTCCTAGAATCACTGCGGTACGTCCTTCACCGTCGAGGTTTACCCGATAATCAATAGGACCAAATATATAGATGGCTATACACGAGCCGCATCCAGCTTTGGCGTTCGGAAGTTATCGGCGACGACGACGACGACGATGACGACGAGGAGCAGGCTACGGATGAGGACTTCGATGCCATCGCCTCTAGGATGGCGGCCCGCGTTGCTACGTGGCGCCCCACTGACAAGGACATCCCGGTTGCCAAGGAATTCCGGGAATCGGTCGTTCAGCTGCAGGCTTTGGTTTCTGAGATCGAACAGGAACTAGGCCTTCCAGCCGAAGGTCTTCTCACTCAAGTCTCAACGAACGATGTCCGGGATACGGTGGCGTGTGCCACCATCGTTGGCAGCGACGCACAGTCAGGGTTTAGTGGCAACAATCTGATGTCTGCGTAAGTACTATTGCATTCCCGGAGGAAACAGTCGCTGAAGTCTCTCGACATCAGAACTGTAGAAGAGAAAACAAACATTCTGACAGTGGATGAAGAACAGCAGGAGAGCCCGCGCCTGACAGCCGTTCAGAAGGGCAAGGCTCGCGCCACTGATCAACCAGAGACATCGAGCACTGTTATGACAACGCAGACCATTTGCGATTCCAAAATCGACGCAACGGACTTCATCGACGACGAAGACACTTCAGGCGAGACGTTCCTGTCTTACCTTCCTCTAGTTAGTACTACCTTCTTTCGACTTCCTATCTTTATCTCACTGTTGCACTTCCAACAGCCTGAGACGCCGAAGTTTCTGCTTGGCGGCACTTGGTCGTTGGTCGTGCTGCCATCCGCGGGGTACACCAGTCCCTCATCTCGTTCGCATCATTCATTCGGGAAGCTGCACGCGCGGTTCTTGCGTAGCACATCCGAGTCCCTCCCAGATGCAACGACAGTGAGTTTGCCGCATGCATTTGACGTCGACTTGTCCAAGCTCACGCCGGTGTCAGTCATACTGGCACATCAGCGGAAGCAACAGCCAGCTTCCAGGTACACAGAAAGCCGTCGCAGCAACTTCAATTTCCCGGTCTCATGCCTCTAAGTCGGGCCCGACAGTTCTGGTTGACAGTCCTTCCAGCTCGGAAGGAGCAGCCGCAGATTCAGCAGGCGTGTGGGCTAAATGGTTCGGACGCCGCAGCGTCTCATCTTCCTCCAATGACGCCACCGTCTCGCCCGCATCCTGCGTGCGCGCACCCGTGGGTCCTCCCGAAACCTTGCCTCCGCCGTCGCCTGTGGTCAGCGAGCCTCGACGGACGATTCTGACGGCACCGCGTCGGAGACCTCGGCGGGCTCGCCCATGCTCTCGGGGCATGATGTTCCCGTGCGCCCTCCCTTGTCAACAGTCGGAAAGGGCAGTGGGTTCAAGAGCCTGTTCAGTCGGTGGTTTTAGTGGTTGTCTGTGCGTACGACCTCTGAGCTGGAGAAACATTCATTGCATACGTTGTCATCCTTTGATCAGTGTATCGTGTAAACCTTGTTTCGCATTTCATAATTCAACCAGATCGCGACACACAACTCTAGCCAGACCAGCCCCTCTGTGACCCGGCTTGGCACCGAGTTTGCCTTCGCCCCCCCGAAATTGTGCAGGCCTAGGTCTCATGAGAGAACCAATCACGCCTGACATGTAAATCAGCTGTAATCACTACAAAGCTCGTCGCGAAGCTTGACTAGCTCACCATCGGCAACACCCTGTAGCATCTGTCCTCGCTGTAGGCCCTCACTCATAGTCTGAAACCCAACTCCAGTCGAAAACGTCGGGTGTGTCGGGATCCATACTAAGCCCCTCGCTCCTCCTGAATTCTAACCTCTTTTCCTCTCGCAGGTGCTGCATGCGCGCAAATAACTCGTCGCGCAGCGCTATCAGGAACTTCACGGTGTTGTCTTCTGCGATGATTTCTAGCTTTGCTGTGATGAAACGGAAGGTGAAGAGCGCCGTGAGCGCGCCCAGGTCCAACGTGGCAAGCGCATTTGCTGATGCTTCGAGAGTCACGGCGCGCAATCGTGGGGAGGTGACTTGTTCGAGGATAGAGACGGTGCGCGCGCATGAGTCGATGAGTTCCAGCGAGTGCAAAGAGGGATTATGAGAGAGACCCCCGGCCTCTATGAACCACGCTGTGACTTGTGTAAGTCGCTTTCATCTTGAGAATGTGAGGTGAAAGGGGTGCTCACTTTCTGGACAATCACCGACACCGACAGAACAGCAAGCTAAAAAACGTCTTCCAGTACGTTACCACATGACCTCAGGATCGGGACTATGTCCTTGACAGAGGATTCTCGTATGTTATGTACAACGAGTCGTGTGATGGGTGGATTCGTTGTGATGCAACGAAAGTTGGCTGGGGAGAAAATGCATAGGTGGGCTTCCACCAGGTCTGTAGGATTGCTTGGAATGCATGTTGTTGGAAAGCGAGGGAGGGACGTAGTTCCGCCTCGGGGTCTCTCGCTAAACTCCTTCGTGCTGACAGCTAGAGCTTCTAGCGATGAAAGTAATTCGGAAACTTTACCGGCGTGTTCTGTCTCGAACGAGCAGAGATGCAAGCACCTAACCCGTGGCAACACAGAGAATAAGGCCGCTCGCGCTCTTGGTCCTAGCGCAGCCCAAGAGAGATGCCCAATTGTAAGAGTCTTGAGATTGGTCAGCTCTTGCAGGCGCATTCGAGGCAGTGCATCGTCAAGCCACGACGATTCCCTGTACGTCCGACCTCGCTTCAAGTTGTTCTCTTCGAGAGAAAGGTGGCATATATATGGAAGGATGGTCGACGTGCTGGCACACAGGACCGCCATTAGAGCAGACCTGCGAGTTGTGCGCCGGGGAAGATGGAGCCGCTCGAAGCGATGCATGCGAGCGGCGGGGAGCCATGCCCTGCAGACGAGAGCACAGGTTGACAGTGTTTCTGTGTCATCGTGGAGATGGTCGATGATCATGTCGCATATCTCGGGGGGAAGCCGCTGGCAGGCCGGTGAGCCTTCATTCGACATGATTTTGGCTCACTGTGCGGCTCAGTGGTGGAGAATGGGCGAATGCAGCTGGTAGGTTACAATAAGATCATGATTCAGAACGGTACCCTGGAGTCCTTGATGCCTTGAACCACCGACTCACCATCCAAATCTGACCCCAACTAGTCTGATGTCTTCCTAGAGATCCTTGAGAGTCGTGGCTGAACCGTACTGCAGCGGTGACTAGATCACGGACCCACGCTAGGGCTAGGGCCTAGCATACGCAAAGAGAGAGCACAAATGAGTGATCGAGGTCTGCTGGCAACACCGGAAGCGTCGAGCTAAGTAGTCTCCGTTGCAGACTAGCCGACTCGGCTATCTATACTAAGTACATACGGTTTACTGGCAGCCGAACTACGACGCTCTTTTCACACATGTCGTTTGCTGAACTTGTCTTGTCTTCGAGTGTTCAGTCTACGCATGATGACCATGACATCTACTTTTATACGTCTCGCCCTTGTGAATTCGATTCCGCCCTTGATTCCGGCAACTTGTACTTCTCAAACACTCAATCGTAAGAGTCCGATCCTCATCCCTCCAACAACGTATCCCGGACGTTGGGCGTGTCCGGGTCCATGCGAAGCCCATCGCGACTCCTAAAACAGATCCTCCCTTCCTTTCGCAACCGTGGCATGCGGGCGAACAACGCATCCCGCAATATGATGAGCCGTTTCTCGTCATTGTGCGTCCCAACAATCTCGAGCGTCGCAGTAGTGAAACGGGAGGTAAAGAGCGCCTCAAGTGCCTCCGCTGGCAGGTCAGAGCCGAGGGTGACAAGCGTGTGCGGCGTCATATGGAGAACGACCGCACGCAGTCGTGGAGAGGCGACTTGGTCGAGGAGGGGTATGATGAACGTGTGTGTAGCAACGAGATCAGCGTGAGGAGAGACGGGTTGCGAGATAGACCCCCAGAACGGATGAACACACCTATAGTCGATGGAGATTTGGTTTGTGAGCGACGAGTCGCTCCCGAAAGCGGAGGCATATGCGACGTACCCTCCGGACTTGAGAACATGAGATGGTTGAATCGCAGGGAAAGGTGAATTACCCCCTTCCCGCATGAGGCCAGAAACGAGGCCGCGTCTACCGCAGATGTCTCGAGAACGTCATGCAACTCGAGGTCTGTCATTAGTAGGTCCGGGTTGACCCAGCGAATGGGGTTTAAGAGGACACTTGATGCATCCACCTGCATGCGCTTAAGAGTGCGCAGAATGGGTGCTGCTGGGAATCGAGCCAGGAAGGACGTCTGGTCCATCGTATCGGTCATCCTCGGCCTGAGTAAAGCCAGAGTTTCCAGTGAGGTTGCGGCACAGAGAATCTCGAACACACCCAACGAGAAATCTCCTTCAAGCAATGGTAGAGACAGGGATGTCACCCGCGGCAGAACAGAGAGCAAGCACCCTCTCGCCCGCGTGGAAAGCGCACGCCAAGAAAGGCTATGGATCGTGAGGCTCCGGAGATTGTTCAACTCCCTCAAGCGCATCCGCGGGAGCGCATCGTCGAGCCACGATGGATCATTGCGCTTCCAACCTTTCCAGCCATCTTCAAGGGAAAGATGGCGTATGCACGGAAGGATATTCGATGTGTTGTCACACAGTAGTGCGAGAGCGGGCCTACGACTTTGAGACCGGGGAATATGGAGCGTCTCGAAGCGGTGCATGCGAGCGGCGGGAAGCCATGCCTTGCAAACGAGAGCACAGGTAGACAGGGTTTCCGTGGAGCCGTGGAGGTAGTCGATAATCATGTCGCAGATCTCGGAGGGAACCCGGGCGCGTACTACGCGTTCAGTTGACATGCTGCTGTCACTGAAGCTGGGCACCAGGCGAGCAGTTGAGCTGTATAATTTCATTAGATGCGGCCGACGAATATGAGAGGTGACAGTAGTACCAAGTACTGACAGTGACCAACAAGTTGAACTTGGTATACCACTTGGTCAATCTTGCTTGGAGGTCCGTGCAGAGGCTTGGCTTGGTTTCAACTCGCTGGTCCAAAGGTACGTAGTCTCCCGTAGACCAAACCGAATTGCGACCTTGGTGACTTAAGTGCGAAGACAATGCGAAGGACTTGATGTACAGCTGCGGGACTTGAGGAGGAGGACTTGAGGAGGACCGTCGGATCGTCGGTCCGGGTCATGCCGGAACTTGAAGGCGCCTCGAGCGCCCACAGTAAGCGCCCGCATCCTCTCCTGCAACGCTGTACGGACGCTGTGTGCGTTTTCTTCGTGCAACCCTGGCAGACTTACTGCGCTGCGTCGGCTTTCCTCGTCGTCAACGGTGAAGGCGATACACTCGACAGTGCTAGCGTGCACAGTTTCTGGCTCGACGCAGCAGCCCGCATGCGCCACCAACCGACCCTCCTACCAACTGTATGTGGAGATATACCACGCTCGACCTCGCTCTCTTGATCGACGGCTGTCGGTAGTGCGCGGGACTGCTACCATGGGAGAGGTTGTCCTGCGTTAGCGGCCGACCGTGGCGTGGGCCCTTGGGCTGTCCTTCGCTCGCAAGGTAAGTACACAATGTCAGTTTGTTGGTTTTCTGACAATACGACATACTTATAAGGCACGGATCGAAGCTCTAACGGCGAGCAGGGTTATTGCAGATGTGGCAGCCAATTCGACGAGTCCATGCGCGATGCGCATTTGCGTCCTTGTGACGCGAGCGTATTATGGGCAAGGACTGACAGGAGGAGGACACAATGCGCCTAATTTTTCGATCGAAGCGTGGACTCTCGAGCATATACTTGCATCAGCTCGATACCTATGCACAAAGTCTCAGGGCCTCATTGGGAATGCATGATGGCGCAACAGTGGTACGCTCGCGGAATATATTATCTTTCCGTCCTGGATATATCTGTGGTTTTGACATGGAAGGTCTTTGATACTCGCAGAGATGGCACAACATCTGTCTTGTGGGCTGCAACTCTGGACGCTTCGGATTTAAAAACCCATGTTATCAGGGATCACGAAGGCGAGGCCGCAGTTGCCTCGGGGTGCTACGTGAACGACGGGAGGACTAGAGCAGTGAGCGAAGAGGGTGGATTCCGGCTGCTACTCCTGCATGCTCACGTTTCAGCTACCTATGCTCGACCTATGTGTTGGCATTCCGACTCTGCGTCTGAATATCATATTAAATAATGCAAAGATTCTCGCATTCCGGATCCAACGCCTCGTCTCAACCCTTACACTCAACGCTGCGGTGATTGCGATCTACCAAGTTCAGCCACGAGCATTTCTGCAGGATGCCAATGGTCGCAAGTATTCATTCTGAGACTCCAACCTCCGAGTCCGACGCCTTATCTCTGCCTTCAACGGGAAGATCTATCTACCTGGAACCGATGTCTGGGCTCATCGTATGCACAATCATGCTATGTGCGTGTTCGCAGCAGTGTTTGGCAAACATTGACCTATTAGCAGTGCGTGACAAGCAATGGTCCTGCCATATCCCCCAGTGGATACTTCTCGTCCGTATCGCCCCAGCTGCCGCGTCGGCATTCATACCAGCGGCCAACCGTCTGCCCGATATTCCCATCGAATCCTCTTCTGTAGTGCACTATCAGACACCGGTACCGTCGCCCCACTAATCACCCGACAGTAAACTCAGATTTCTCATGACGTTAATTCGACAGCGGCTCCCCGTCGTGGTCACCCATGCGAGATACACAAACTCGACTTGCAGCTTACTTGTAGCCTCTTCCCGCTTTTGCCCACAGACATCTTTGACCAATGCCGGGCATCACTGCACCTCCATTCCCTGAGGACGTGTCTACACATCCTCTCCTCGTAGTCGACTATCAACTGGTCAAGGCCGAAGACCACGACGAGGTCGAGAAACTATGGAAGGCAGCAACGCAGCTCGGTTTCTGGTAGTAAGTCAGGACTCACTATCGCTTCCTATGGACAGACTCTGACCTACTTACGCCCAGTTTGAAGAACCACGGCGCTGATGCCGAGG